AAATGCATTTCTCCAGCCGCATCCCATTCACAGACATCAGCGAATCGTTGCGGAGGTCGTTCACTGCAGCTCCTCTACTTTTCCATCTGTCCTGAATGGGAACTCTAATTGGTATATCAACAACAAATCGGATTAATTTACAAAATCGATATGAGGCGTAACATTTTTTGGAATTTCATGGCCATGGTTTTCATTAAAGCCTCTTCATTTAAAATTTATATTACTGAATGAGCAATCTCCGACGTATATTCAATTTATTCTATTTGTATGTGACATTACCATTTTAATGTTATGCTAAGTTCTAATTTTATGGTAGCAGATTGTAGATTTTATTTAAGTATCCCTAGATGGGCCAATACAATTGCCTTTTTTCTTTATAATCTATTTGTCAAATAATTTACCTAAGACAAACAAACATTGTTTTAGAACATGAAAATTTGCCTAAGTGGGTTTGTTTTCCCAAAAATACACTAAAACAATTATTTTTATTTGTTTAAAAATACTTAATGGCATGGTCTATTTATGTCAAAATATGTAATATGTTATAAGTATACATATACATTTTGTAATAAACAAGAGAATGCAGCATTGATAATTTTATCGTTGCATTTATGTGCTATTTTTAACTGAAAACAAATTAGCACGAAAAACAAAACGAAAAGGAAAAACAAGCAACCAACAAAAAACTCATAAATAATCAATTTGTATTCTTAAAATTTGGAAAACCCAGTTTATTATTAAATTGTTTTCTTAAAATTTAAACAATTGCGAAAGCATTATTGTTGACATATTAACAAACATAAAAACACACACACCCAGGCCAAAGTGAAAATACACAAAATAGAATTATAAATAAACACAAAATTTATACTTAGAACTAGCAACTTGAATTGGCGAACCGATAGTCAACTTGGGAACACTCCTTAGAACAATACACTCTGAGAGAGAACAGAACGGCAGCCGCGTCAGCACTGTTCTCTCTTGATTTTCGCTCGCTTCGCTCTTATTTGATTTTACGCGACCCTGTTGCCATGTGCCCGGGTAGCTCAGTCGGTAGAGCATTGGACTTTTAATCCAAGGGTCCAGGGTTCAAGTCCCTGCTCGGGCGATCCAAATTTTTTTTTAATTTTAACAAATTTTTTTTTTCTTTGCGGGTTGGAATGTTTTTAAAAATATTTTCATTCATTTAACGCGCGTGGGAAAGACCCGGAGGCTGTGATTCATTCATAAAACTGCATGTGCAACAACATAATTAGGGCAGGAAGAGGGCGGTCGGTTGGTTAGGTTAAATTTAAAGTAATGCGTCGATAAAACGAACCATTATAAGTCATATCAAATTATCAAACGGTTAGCGGTCACGAAAGATATTTAATTATTGTTGGTAGGTTTTCTGTTGGATTTTAAAAATTCAATTTTTTTAAATATTTTTTGTACATTTACATATATGTACAAAAAATATTTAAAAAAATTAGTGATGCAAGCAAAAAAAAATATGCAGTAATAAACAAACATTTATAAGCACAAAGCAAATGTTATTCAAAAGCAAAGGACGGTACAACTTTATAAAGTGTTTTGCCTTTAGTTTTGCTATAAAAGTAACACTGTAGCTTGGACCACAGATACTGGATACCGGAGCCTATACAGCCAGTGGAGAACACAAGCATCGCCCGCCGGGCAATTTGTCTGGGTCGAAGCTCTGGAATCCTCCTCCTTCTGACAGAAGCGCAGTGTCTGCGCCAATTCCTGACCGATGACTGCGAAACGCCCCCCAAAACTAAAAATGGAAAAAAGGAAAAAGAAAGAGCCAAGAGGTGACCAGCTCAAATGCCGAGGAAAAGAGCTGGCTGGGAAACTGTAATGGAAACCGGAAATGGGGTGGATGCCAAGCAGATTGAATCATTGGCCATGCCTACATGTGTTCCTATGCTGCATTCAGGAAAAGAGTTGCTGGCTGCATTTCATATCGGGATCTTTTACACGACAGATTCAAGGGAATTTTGATTTGGCGAAATTGCACTGGAAGCGGAAATTAGTCGAGTCAAAAGCTGCGAACGGCGAAAGTCATTTATCATTTTGGACATTTTTCAGGCAGTGTGTGAATATTTTTTTTTGCATGCCGGTTTGGACAATTGTCCGGCTAAATTTACAGTTATGCATTTAACAAGAATGGGTTGATGGGCAGTGGAAAATTGTTTTATGTTATAGTTCCTTTAGATTAAAATTCTTGAGTAAAAATAAGTTTGCAAAATTATAATTATATAAAATTATTGTGTTCCTTAACTAAACTAAAACAAAACGTAAGATTTTTATTGATTTTTTTAAATACATTTTCCTACATTTGCAAAATGGCACAAAGCAAATGAAAATGTAAGCTCTTAGCGCTGATGGTTTATGGCCCAGTCGTAAATGTTCTTTCAGTTGTAAATGTAATTATTTTAAAAATTTATAGTAATTACATTTTTTCCCACAAGTCAAAACATCTTGTTTTAGTTGTCCGAGTCCATTTTTCGTTCCATAGTACTTCGGCAACGGCCTTTGTGTGGGCCAAAAAAGTGAGGAAAGTAAGTCTCGCACGCAGCTTAAACAGAACCGAAACGACAACCCACATTGAGTTATGAAGCTAACCCCCCTTATGCGCTCCGCCGCCCCTATTTTGCCGCCAAAAAGCCATAAAGTACAAAACAGCTAACAACTTATGGCGATCGCTGCTGCTGCGGCTGCTGCTGAAGAAGAAAAATATGTGTTTTTTATGATGACTCACGAGGCGAGCGGCTCGCGATAAGATCAATCATCAACCACAAAAGGGGAAAGGGGGAAGCTACGAGCGCTCAACAATCTGGAACTCGGAGACCCGGGCCAAGTTTGCGGTCTGCGTCTGACCATTCAGACCATCTTTCATGATAACACTATTGAATACGAAAGTAGACAAGTTTTTGGAATCGCTTTCAGATACAGTGCGTTTCGAAAATGTAATAAAAGGAATAATAAATTTTAAAAGGAATTTAATTTTATATTATTGTTTCAATAGGCTAGCACTACAAGTATTCTTCACTGCGCTAGTCCCAATAATATCACTTAATTGATGATTGTGTCGTAAAAGTTTATTAATATTTTGCCATAATTAAAAAAATATCTCGAAAAAATAAATACATTTTATTTTGTTCATTGATAATTTAGAAAAGGTACCTAAACTTTCGAAACGTGCTGTCCCACACATGCTCACACATTTAGACGAAACCGGCTTTGATTTCTAATTATTGGGGATCGGTTTGTTTTTCTGGGGTTTTGGTTTTTTTTTTTGGGTATTTGATTTGATGGCTCGTGAGCTTTGAATTAACAGCGGAAATAGCTGAAGCGATAATGCCAATAAAAACGCTTAAGACTTTTAGTTTTTCCATAGAAAGGCGTTTATTTTCGAACTTAATTCCAATTAAAAGATGGTTTATTGTCTCTGCCCGATAATAAGGCGTAAAAGGTGTTTAGGCTTAGGCTCACTTGCTGTGGGAGCGACTTGATTGGAACTGGGCTTTATTTTTACGGCCAACTGGAGGGCAGGGTCTCTGTCTGGATGTAATAACTCAATGTCAGCTTGTGGGCGAAGGAAAACAAAGGCAGCCAGGAGGACGAATAGGGATGAGATAGACAAGAGCGAGAGATTCATTCAAGGCAGCATAATGAAGCATGAAAAGCTTAAGCTTAAACAGACAAAGCGACGTCTGGAGTCCAGGCACAAAAGGTATGATATATATAAATTCCTAGACCAGCGGCCTCTTCCTTTAGGGATTTACAACTCATTAGACGCTGCAAAACCTTAATTTGGCATTCAAGACACGCCGGATAACACCAAAAACTCTTCCATTCATCGAATGAATCATCTCGTGGTCTGAAATCCGTTAATAGGCAAATCATGTACGAGCAGACCACCAATTGTCCAACAGGTTTTCCATATAATTTTATTACTATCATGCTCGATTCGAGTTCCAGTTCGAATCCGGAGTTGGAGTGTTACCTTTTCGATTGTGATTCATAATTGTTACAAGTGCTTACAAAAAGGGCTTGGTCTCTGCACAATTGAAATGTATTGAGCATATGTGCACATGTAAATGGCTTCAAAAGAGCTTGTAATTAGTCAGCATAAAAGTCAACTGCTATAGGGGAAGGCGTATCGAATTTGGGATTCTTATTTTGAGAAGTTTTAATGCCCTGTTTAATGATCGTAAGCCTATAACAATATCATAACTTTTGGAATAATTTAAATAAAACTTAACCTATATAAATGGGAAGGGATAAGAAAAAAGATTTCTACTAAGTTATTGATCTATAAAGATATAAACAGAATATATAAAAATTTATTTTTTCAAATATTTTTAACAAAATTTGTCAAAATAGGTTTTTTACTTGAACCATAAATATGCTTTATTAAATACCCCAAAAAACAAGGGGTATCAATCTTGAACAAGTAACTGTAATCAGGCTTAAACCTTTCAGTCATTTAGGCTGCGGTTTCAACTGCAACTGCCAACCGCAAGAGACGTCAGGTTGTCTTCCAAGGTTCTGGAATAAAATCGAGGACAGCGTCATGCCATCCGCTCATTTTCGGCTCTGCGAAGGGGAACGACATATGTCAGAGTCAAGATCTCCCCAACCCAAATAAAAACACAGAAGACGAGGCTTATCAAAAACATTTTGGCTTTGGCGCCAATTTCGTGTTAAATAAAATGCAGCGAGAAGATTTATAAAGGCATAAAGACAACGATTGGAAACGGGACCACCCAACATATAAAAAATATTCAGCTTTGCTTGCTAATTTGTCAGCATTGGGAAGAGGGGGAAATAAAAGCGATGCGGGTTTTGTAATTCTACGAAATCAGCTTTAAGCCATTCGACGGAGGCCTTCCAAAGGTGTCAATTCGTGAAGAATTTTAAAATGCATGCGATGAGTAATAATCCCCACCAGAGACATATTTCTCTTTCACCGAAGCGGCTTAAAAGCGAGGAAAATAAGAAAGAGGTTGCGGCCAGCAAAGTGATAAATTTAAATGTCTAATTGGGAATGCCTCACAATTGTGAGAGATTGATCAGCAGCTCTAGCAGTCTGAGCTCCAAACTCCAAAGTGCGAGTCGTAGAAACATAAAAAAACTCCCCGAATAGTCATAAAATTTGTTGTTTTTTTTCTGCGGAGGAGCATTCATTTTCAAAGTGGCTACCGGACAGGATTGGTATTAGTCCTCGCACACTCTCACAGGCAAACATCAATAATGGGGAAAGCATTTTACAGCATTTACATTTACGAGCCGAGGTGGCAAGGAACTCATTCCCCAGCAGATGGCACCTCCATTAGCCGAAGGGCAGTGGCCAATGGGTCGGAAATAGATATGGATAAAGGGTATGCACATTATATATTTATCTTTCGCAGCTATTAATACATCAAGCCATAGGTAGCCAAAGAAATTATTATTGAGTTACGCTTAAGAAAGGTTCAAAAGGGTGTTTAATTTATTGCCTAAATTTTAAAGATGTTTCATACAATTTTATATAACCATAATTACCCAATTGAAATATTATTTAAATTCTGTAAAATATTTTCTATTGAAATACAATAAAATATTACTGTTAAAAAGGCTTTCTGGTTCAATAGTTTTTTCTATGAATATTATTTTTTCTTATTTATTGTTTTATGTTTTTTTCGAAGCTGCCTACGAAAGTGCATTCCCACATTCGTTATTCACACTTCGCCCCCTGTTCATTTCTCTATTTAACGCGGATTGCATGGCGACCCGCCTCCTTTTGCAAAATTGTTATTTACAGCCTTAATCTGTGCGAAATGTATTAGAGAGCAGAACGAACGCATTGGCACGGAGCGGAGAGCGTAGAGAACTGCAAAGTGTTGGCAAACAAAAAGTCCAGGTTCAATTAGCATACCACGGCGGTGAGCCATAGAGGATGGTTCGGTTCTCCTCCAGTCCCCCCAACCTCACTTCACTCTTTTTCCACTCGTGGGACTGCGACTGTAACTGGGACCTGGCCCAAGCTGAGAATTTTATGACAGGTTAATGACACAACTACGACAACGATGGCGGTGATGATGATGAAGCCTGGGCGGCACTGCATTGCAAAAATAAATAAAATCCTACTGCATTCTTGTTTAATAAACCAATTTATTACAAGTTAATAGCAATGTTCTTCTAAAAGAGGAAGAGAAGCTCTATAATTGTTTGGAGTTTGAATTTGTTTATATTTTTTTGTTCTAGTGTAGAAGTGCAATGACTAGGTGGCTATGTGTATGAGTTGCCCGGCTCAGCTTGTTGCTGGCTACCCATTAATCAGCACGTTCTGCGTCCAAGGGTCTGACCCCAATAAACATGACAGGCTTGGACAGTGGATTACAAGGCAGGAAGGAAGGCAGACCAAGCAGCTGGATGTATCCTTAACTTTCCAAAAGGGGTGGGACCACACAAAGAAGCCACCGCGAATCAATCAATTAATTGAACATTTTCTACACGAGTTCATCGAACCCCCGAACTCCCGCAGCAGCCCTCAAAGCAAGGACAAAGAAAAGCGGCGGTGGTGGCAAAGGAAAACCAGCGAAATGAATAAATGAATGGGAAAATGATGAGATAGAGTGACAAGAGTGATTGACACCCGACTGTCTCCTTACGTTTAAAAGGAGCTTAAGTTATGCTCCATTGAGGTGCAATCAAAAACAAATGCGTAGTTATAATATTGGCATAAAGGAAACCTCTACACTTTAATTATGGCTTTGCATTTGAAACTCAACATAGTAATTAGGAAAATCAAAACACTTTTTTAACACACATTACCCATTTGTATGGGAACTGTTTACCATTTGCTTAATCTAGTTTACGGAACTTATTTCACTTTTATTGCATAGTTTTCTGGTCCTGCTCTGGGATAAAACTTTTGTTATTGTTATATGTTCCAATATTTGGTCTATTTTTATTTAAATTGTATTTATATTACAACATTTCCATAATAAGAAAATGAAAAAACAATTTCCAAGCATTCCCAAATCCAATGAAGCATAATATGTGTTTTCATTGCATAATTTTAGGCGTATCCCCAGAACAAAACGCCCACAATCTAATTCAATTACGAAATTCAAACTTAGCATATAAAACTAGTATCTCCCAAGGGATTTCATCATTTTCATCCCGCTGCTTACCTACGGCTAAAGCTGCGTCCTTTTGGGCGTCAGGATAATCCTTTTAATTTAGGCACAGGCACACGAAATTCGAAATTTTGGGGTGCGGCAAAAGCAGCGAAAACAACAACAACGGCACTACGACGCACGCACATACACATACACAAACGCACCACTCACGCACACAGAGGCAGCTGGATACACTTGAAAAACTTTTGCCTTGGGTGGGGCGTTTTCTTCTCTTTTTTTCGGTGGCTTTCGGTTAGATTCGCAAAAAATTTTCCAACGACGCCATGGAAGGTATTTGCAATTTAAATGTTTTATTTGGGTGGTTGCTTTTCGGTAGATCTTCAGGATGAACTGCACTCTTTTTTGATAAATTATTTGGTTTATATTTTGTTTTAATATAAACAAAATCTGTTTAAATAGTGAGTAACATGAGAAATAAGGGTGGTTTCAGTTTGCCGCTGAAAACCAATCAAATTTTCAAGGGTAGCAGCCGGCGCATTAGAAAACTGTTTGTATTTTGAAAAGTATAACATATAACCCGGTTTTTAAATAATATAATAAACGGGTATATATTTTTAAACGTCACAAATAAGTTTGATAGTTATTGAAACAATTATTTCAGAGCTCGGCGAGTTGGTAAATTAATTAGGCGAAAATCTAACGCACGTCCACACGCGACGAAGCCAGGATAGAAACTCCTGCCGCGGTTACTGAACTTCATCCAGGATATTCAGAGGGAAACTCAAGGGAAACTCCGCTTCCAATTGGAACGGCATAACGGGATAGGACACGGAGTCTACACCCAAGGACTTCGAGGGTGGGTTTCGGGCATTGTGCCGGCTAACAGCTGCTTATATGTGTGTATTTTCCATCCCCCACAGTGGTTAGTTTCCAGCCGGAGACTGGATGCCCGACTACGACCGAAGTCTTCCTTGGAGACTTTTCCGAAACGGGCACTTGCGAACGCCACATTTGTTTTGAAACGAAAGCAGCCGGTTGCCGGAGCAGAGTAACTTTTCCCGGGCGGTGGGTGGTGAAAATTGCGAGCCGGTAGGTGCCGCAATAACGACGCAATAAATGACGAAACCATGACGACAAAATGAGATGCCCACTTGAACATGAATAATGACACGGCCCTCCTTAATTCATCCTTCTCCCATTTCCCAGTACCGAGTGCCCAGTTCCCAGTCCTTCCAATCTCAAGACGTGCTATTGTCGGCCAGGCAACTGACTAACTCCACTCAAATGTTCTTTTTGGTCTGCACTCGGGTAGGGCCCCTATAATAAAGTATCTCTGATCTAGCAATTTAAGTAATAGAGATCTAAACGTTTAACCAAAATTGTTTACGAATTTTGGATGATGCAATATGCTTGTTTAACTAAATACATTAGTCGAGCATATAACCCCATGTTTCCACATTTTTTAATGTATTTTGATAGCCTAATTTCAAAAATGTACATTTTCCAGATATGAGCGGAAAACTGTCCACATAAACTGTTATACCATCGTAACCATTTATTGTTTTATAAACCAATCAAACGAATTAGCACATTTAGACCTATAGACTTTTGAAACAAACATTTTTTAAGCTTCGAATCAAATCCGCCCAACAAGTCATCACCTGTTCACAGGTTTCCACACTCGAATTTCAATTAAGATTAATATAATATATTTTCTGGTTGAGTATGATAAATAAATCATTGTGTTTGAATGACATTGCAAATCGTGTTAATATACGGCGACTTTTCGACGGATGTGCGTGTCTTAGGGGGGCGGCTCAATTTTGTTAGCTGTTCCATTGAGTGGAAAATGTCTAACAACGATCGCGTTTTGGCCAATTAGCCGAACATTGCAAAGGTTGCTAAACGATGTAATATATTATTTCACAGGCGAGCGACTTTCCGATTCGGATATAAAAGCGAGAGTGTCATCTGCAAAAGTCAGTTCAGTCCGCACCCATTGGCACAATACAACATGCAGCGTTCTCCAATCTTCCTTGTGGCAGCAGCCATCCTCCTGGCCAGTGCCCTAGTGCAGGGCCTTGACGAGAAGGCAGCCTTGGCCAAATTAATGGAGGCAGCCGAGGGCTGCATGCCGGAAGTGGGAGCCGGCGACGACGACCTGCAGGAGGTAATCAAAAAGCAGCCAGCTTCTTCCTATGCCGGCAAGTGCCTGCGAGCCTGCGTGATGAAGAAGTTTGGGCTAATCGACGCCAATGGCAAGATGGACTTGGAGGCCGGAAAGGAAAGGGCCAAGGAGTGTATAGGCAACGATCCGGCCAAGTTAAAGATTGCCATCGAGATCGGGGAAATATGTGCTGCCATCGCTGTGCCGGATGATCACTGCGAGGCCGCCGAAACTTACGGAGCCTGTTTCAAGAGCGAGGCAATCAAACACGGACTTATGTAGTCCTTTCCGCAACCCCCGACCTGGACCCACAATCACTGCTATAAGTTAAGCGAAGTAAATGTATTCCAAAAATACGTTATTTTGAGGACTACGCGGGAAAAAAACAAGAAATAACATTTCAATTTGTAACTCAATGAAGCAAAACCCTTTAAAAAACGTGAAAAAAAATGAAATAAATAATTTGTTAATATGTTGAAGAACCGATGGCTTATTTTGTGGCTCTGAACATTATTTAAAGGTTATTTATTGAAGGTTGTCCAATTCAAAGTTATTTTTCAATTTTTTTTACACTTTTCTATTATTATATACAGACTATTATCTGTAAAATTAGTTAAAGCAGCAAAAAGTTTGTGATTTTAACGATCAGATTAAAATACAAATTTACTACTAAGATTGTATCTGCATTTTCGTTTTGTTTTCGCTAATTCAAATTAGATTATGTTGATTCATTCAAATAAGTGATTTAGTGTTACCAAATGAAACCTGTTGGCATTTCAATAATTAAATGACTCACCTCCACATTTTCCACATCGAAATAGCAGAAAGTTCGCTTGGTCAACTCAAACCATCGATGTTTATAATTTACTGGGGTAAATCGTTTCTTGTTTTGGGCCCTTTTGACCATCGACCCGCTTTTCACAACGTCAAACAGTCTTTCAGACATTCTATCCATTTTTGCCTGAAAGGATTTGCTGCTCGATCGGTGCGATGATGCTGACTTGATGCTGCCATTGACATGTGAATTTCGCTGCTTTGTGCCCAACATCTTGACAAGAAATAGTGTCTGCAAAACAAGATAATGAATAAAATTATTAGCTTACCAAAAAGCTATGTTAATATTTACAGCGAAGCAAAAACGTTTTTAACCCTTAGCTTTGTCGTTATTTTTTGAAAGATATTTAACTAAAAATTATAGTTTTAGGGCATATTACATGAACAAAATAAACACCAAGTGATAAACAGTTTAAGTTAGAATATGGTTTATAAAAGAGACACCAATACAAGTCTTTTAGATTAAAATTTTAAATGATCCTATATATATGATTTAACAATTCAAATAATGTTATAAATAGCTAAATAAAGATTTCTAAATTATTTTATGAGCCATTTTGTGGAACGTCATAAATATTGTCGCATTGGTATACAGAGGGTTAAAATTAGAAGCGCTCACACAAAAAATTGGTTACAACACACTCTGAAGGCAAGGCCATAAATCTATTTTTGGGGGGCGTGGGCGTGCGAATCTTTTGAGCGCCCCCCGAGGCATTGACCGTGGAACATTGAACCACTGAAACATTGGAGCATTGGGAGTTACCTGGTTGACTAATTGCCGTGGGCGTTCCGTCTGACATCAATCAGAATGGGATAGCGAAAAGTAGGGGAAAATATAGTTAGCTTATACAGGTATGGAGAAGAGCAGAGTGCAAAAAAGAAGAACCAGAGTGGACAGACAAGTTAAGCAGCAAATCGAACGATTAAACGGACAATTAATTAGCCCCCGACCATAAGGAAAATATATACTATATGCATATACTCGTACAAAGATAACTAGTTGACCTTGAAGTCGCGCACAGCGGATTAAAGGATTTGCCCCCAAAGCGGGATATTCCACTTCCCGCTCCCTTTTCCTCACGCTCGTTGAAACTGAGGCTCCAACCAGAGGAACAGCTACAATACGATCTCGGGAATTATCACACTTCAACAAAAGCTAACAAGAGGCTGAGAAGGACACCAGAGCGGAGTGCGGTTAAGTCGAGAAGGAAATAAATGATCCCAAACATGGCAGAAAGTATTTTATGTTAAATTTTCCTGCCTTTAAATCATTTAAATCTCTTCAAAGGTGTCAAAAAATATCATTCGAAAAATATTAAATTTCATTTTCGATATTTATTTATGAACTTATAAATTTAAAATATATACTTTAAAATATCTTAAAAGTGTCGTTAGTTTTTCAAAAACGGAAATTGATAATAAAGTTTGGTCATGAATTTATTTATTTAAATTTAACAAACCTCAAGTTTTGAATGGCACGAACCCGGGTAAAAAATTTTTTGTTATCCTGCTGACCCTCGAATCCTCCCCTGACCTTCCGAAGAACATGAACAGACGCGTCAGGAAAAAAGGGGAGACAAAACAAAAGCGACAAATGCTCGAGCGACAACAACTGGCTGGATCTCCTGAACTGCTCCTCTTCTTCTCCCGGTGCTGCAACTCCGCCCACCCCACCCCCTCGCTTTAATCAAGCAGAGCCGCTACAAAAACAGGGGCTGAGTGGGGGGCTCAGAGAAAGAGGGGCTGAGAGAATCTTTAGCGCAACGCGCATGGCCATAAGTAATAAAATAAACACTGACCGAGCCGAGGCACAAAAAGGAAAAAAGGATGGCAAAAAGGCAGAAGGCGCAATGTGTACATAAATCTTTTTGGTGGAGCGAGAGGCCCAAAGACCTGGGCTGCATATTTACGTATACATGGATGTATATTATCATGGATATAATACATACATATAGCGGGCGTGGCCTGGCAACTCGTTTTTGACTTTGAATTTCGCCACGCAAATGGTTGCGCTTAGTTTTGTATTCTGCTTTGCATTTAATTTTTGTTTATTGTCGCGCTTTTTCTAGTCGTGAGACGATAAAGAAGAAGACTGGAAAATCTGCGACCTTAGCAAGAATTTCAGTCTAATTGGAAATCAAGTGATCTATGCGTCTTGTTGATTCACTAATAAGCTTCAATAAAATGAAAATAAGTATTTGTATTATAAATTGCCTTTAAATATTATTATCATTTGGTTAACTTTATTTTAATAATAAGAACAATAATGCGAAATTTTAAAACTTTCCCGGTTTTCTATATTTATATATATGTAAATATATTTATATTCATACAATATTTGGTTTAAAAAAATGAGTAAGTTTATTATTTATAAAAATCCAATCATCCGAGATACAAAGTTATCTCCTTTTTGAAAATCTTATTGGCTTAATATTTAAATCTCTTTAATCGTCTTGTTTCTTATTAGACATAAGTAACATACCGTTTTTTAAAAAATAATATGTAATTTTGGGAATAAAATGTTCTTAAATAAAAAATATATGCTACTACTTAGGAATTTCAACAGGAAGCGCAACTAGTCTGTGAGCGGGAGCATAATCATTTAAATTGACACTGATTTATTTTTGTGCGTTACAAATTTCTTTTCAATTGAAAGAGGAGAACAAACAAAGGCAACTTTAACTGGAATACAAGGGCGTCTGATTAGAATTCACAGAATTTTAGAGACCTTTTTTCTTATCAGCTCTAATGAGGACCCAATAGTTTCAGGCGCATCTTGCAAGGCGATCGAATTAGTGCTGATAAAACAAAGAACAAAAGACGAAATTCGATAGCGGGACAAAGAGAGAGAGCGAAAGAAGGAATAAAATTGATAACTGTGCCACTGCTTACCACAAGTGCCGTTGATTGAGCAATTTGAAGCAATGACCCGACCGCATAACAACAACACCAACACACTTTACTAACAACAAATCACAATTCTCCAATTGGAGGAAGACCGAGTAAGTAACAACAACAAATCACTTTCGTTTGCGCGGCGTCGAGAGTAAATACGAAAATTCAACCGACCGGCTTGTTCAGCATTTGCATACTGCGAAAAAAAACTTTATAAACAAAATAATATCGCAGGCACAGCTGAGACGCTTACACAGACGTGCAGACACCCGCACACACACGCAAAAAAGAAAAGAGAGCAACAGGCGCAACGTAGGATTCCTGGAATTTTTCACTTCTGCACCCCCGTTGCAGTTGCACTTTCAAGGTTTTATCGTTTAACCAGAACTTATAATGTATATTCATATGTCTTCTGCTCTTCACTTTCTTTAGATTGCTTACAATTATTAACTATAATTAAATAATAACGATTTTATAAGAACCGAACTAAACGCGCCGCCGCAACTTCGCAGCAGTGTGACCAAGTTTTAGATGGAGAAGTACTCCACAGCCGATTCGGTTAACTACTCCAAGAAATACTAAACACGTTCCAAAATATACTAGACCCCTCCACGAATTTTGTTCTTTTCCCGCGAAATTTTTTTTATTTAACTTTAAATATTTAAAAACTACTCGTTATTTATGTTAAACTGGAAGCACTGATATTTTAATTCAAATTTTGGTTCGTTTATTGATCAAAGAACGAAGTTTTGTTTACACTTAAGCCGTTGTTCTTTATACCACTTTATATTCTACCATTTGACAATTATTAAATTAAGAAAACTCATTTTGATGCTAAAAAGATTCATTAAAACCAACTATTTTTCCCAAGTTGTTTAAGTTGTTTACTAAAGATATTCCTACATTGGTACACACATACATAGGGGTTTATAATAATTCAAATTGAATACTACTTGAGAAAGGTTTGAAACACTCTGAAGGAATCTCTGTGTGCTATATTATTCGCAGCTTCGTTGCCCAAAGCAGTCTTTTTTTATTTGAAAAAATACTGTACTTAAGTACTTAACTAGTTAGTATTCTTTACACTTTAACATGCCTACAAAAATAGAGTTGAGAGTTAAAAAGAGTTTTGGTAATGCACGACAGCAAAGCAGTTTCGAAACAAAATGCAAGTTTATAATGGGAATGAGGTCCCCTTCACTTCCACTTCAGTTCTCCTTCTTCTGGATGGATGCAATCCGCCAGGCGCCCACCAGATAACGCAGCCAAATCATGAACAGATCCCTGCCCATTTGCAGCCACGACCAGAAAGGCGTCAGCTTCGAGCCATCGATTTCGGTCCAACGAACAGCAATCTCAGACATGGGCACCTTCAATCGCTCGGCAAGGTAAAGCAGCTCCACATCGAAGGCCCAGCGCTCCACGTGCAGACTAGAGAAGAGTTTTCGGGCGGTTGTTCGGGTGAATAACTTGAATCCACACTGGGTATCGCGAATGGAACGCACGGCAAAAAGCCAGACAAGGAAATGGAAGCCGTGCATCAAAATGGTTCTGTAAGAAAAGTCATATTTTATAAAATTTGATTCGGCTAATGAAATGCCCTTGCAAGACTAAATAACATTTGGAACATACTCAGTATGTTATAAATGACTTTCGCAAAAGTATCGTGTATTTCCTTACCTGAAAAAACTTCTCGTGGCAATCGCATCGTTTTCCAAATGAGCCCGCGATCCTATGGCGATGCCATCGTCTCGCCACTCGGAAGCTAGTTCTTTCAAGGCCACCTCCAGTTTATCGTAGTCGGGGAATTTAGTGGCTCCGTCTGCATCGGCAAAGAGCAGATTACGACCCCGAGCACTTAGCATTCCCATGCGAACGGCTCCTCCTTTTCCCCGATTTTCGGTGAGTTCCAGAACCCGAACCTTCTCTGCACCGTGCTTTTTCGAGTAGCCCAAGGCCACGGACACTGTGGCATCCAGGCTGCCGTCACTCACCACGATTACCTCGTACGAGAAGCGGGAATCTCCTCCAGATTTTTGTTCCAGGAAGGCCAAACACTCGTCCAACATAGCAGGCACTGAAAGTTGACAATCATGTGGTCATTACTCATGCCCAAACAATAGTATAGGATCTATATTAAATGAGATAGTGTACCAACACACAAAATTAAAGTTTGTGAGAACCACCTACAAAAACTATAAATGGCCTACGAATTCACGGCAAATAAGTTCAAACTTATCATAAAAGGCAATAGATAAAATGTTGAATGTGATTCATCAAATGAGACAACATACATCGCTTCTCCTCATTATAGGCTGGTACAATGACACTGAGCTCCAAACTTGGGGAATCCTCGAGGCTGGGAAAAGCCACTGTTTTGATAGTGTGCGGGTCCAGGAAGGTCTCCTCATCCCTCTTGATATTGGGGTAGGGCTTCGTCTTGTAGAGCACCACAGCCACGATCTGTTGAGTCGGTGGTTATCAATAATGATAATGATATTCGGTTGTTTGTGTTTATAAGATCTTACCAACAGGGCCGCAACCGCAATGGCGGATAGAAGACCGAAACACAGCTGACACAGACAGCACCACATCGTAGGGCTATTTTAATGGGTAGTGTATTTGAACAGGTGCACCTGCTACCTATGAGCAGACATTACTTCTCCAATTTGTGCGAGATAAACGAAGCCACGTATTGAATTCTAAGAATTTCAGCCCAAATCGACAGGCAGCTGATTAGGGTTGTCAACTTAATTTAGAGATGGCACTTTTCTGAAACCAGTGACTCGATCGCCTGTGACTGTCTGTATCGATAAATGGCCAATCGCCGTGAAGAATACTAGATCCTGTAAAAATTTTAAAAATGCAAAATAACTGATTATTTTTCCAGGACCTCTTTTAAGTATTTCTTTCCGGTTGCATGTTTAAATTAAACATGTGTTGAGCAGTTTATAATTTAACTTGAAGGCATTTAATAATATTTTGAAAAGAAACAACAGACATGTATCTGCGTAAGCAAACAAAATATTGTTAATAAATTTTGAAAAATTTAAAACAAGTTTTGATTAAGATTGCCTTATTTTTTTCACTGTTTAAGCCTCCAAACAGATGTAACTGAACCAAATAGCTCAAAACTGACCTTAGTCACAGGTGTCTTGATGTCAAATCCAAAAGGCGCAGGCGCTCTCTTTATAAATAAAAACAACGAATTGGGAGAATACATCACTTCCATTTGGATACACACTTTCGGAATTTTTCAATGCCTCTGGTCGGCATAACAAATTTGTTTATAGTCAATTAAAATGTGCTTGTGAAACGCCTCAAATAAGTCAAAACAAAATGATGTTTTTAAACTTTATAGTGGCTGTATTAGCTTTAATCTACAATGGAGCAGAGGGGATGAAATTACAGGCAAATGTGGGGGAGCTGTTCACGTATAAAATCGAACCGCAACTGTTTAATTGGACACACCAGGTCATCAGCCAGCAGTTTCGCTACCGACCCTCCTTGAAGGGCTATCCCGATTTGCCCAGCTGGATGCGATATATGTACAGTCATGAATACCACTCCGGATTTCTCTACGGAACTCCGCCGGAATCGGCGGCCGGAAAGGATCTCAGCCTGGATGTGGTGGCCCTGAATCGCCAGAATTACGAAACCCGTCACGTCGTGGTCTCAATGTTCGTGGCCCAAAAGTTCCGCACGCCCAATGTTGTGCAGATGAAGATAAACAACTTGAATTGGGTTCACCTTATGGATCCTGGCAGGGTGGAGAACTTACGCAACATATTCCGGAACGACCTGTGGCCAAACAGTAGGGAGGACTTGAGTGTGGTCTTCATGGAGTCGGCCGTGAACATGGGTGGACGTCTACCCCTAAGACCCCAGCAGCGCGAGGGGTATGTACATATATATAGCCAGGAATTGAAGAATTAAAGAAGCTCTTAAGATCTCTAAAAGTACGTTACAATCTGTTATGATTCTAGACTTCCAACATATTTTTGGTAGTATACTTTACACCTTAAAACCTGTGGAGATTTCCCTGGAACCTCTAATTAATATATTATGTATCCTATTCCAGAGTCATTGTCCACGTGGGAAGCTTTGCCCAATTCTCACCCCGACTGATGGAGCTCCAGGAGGAAGTGCGTCCTTTGTACAAACTGCCATCCTGCTCGTATAAGCGCACATCCGTCCAAAAAATCTTCGAGAATGTGGGCTTCAAGCTGGACTGGTGCGCCTTTCGCATGGTGGGCATGGAATCGCCCACGGAAATCCTCTTCCACAGCGGCAAACAAAGCGAGCAGCAAGTGACGGGGGAACAGAAGCATCAGGAGGATCGCTGGATTGGCATCTCCAGGGAGGATGTTCCCGAGCGCAATTACATCGATGAGTTCGCCTTCGCTTTCGCCATTCCGGGCGTGATTTTCGCAGTTTTAATCGGAATGTTATCCGCCGTCTTGTGCTTCCAGCACGATAAGTTGTGAGTTCCCTCTTGGGAGGCTGCTAAATTTATTTGTGCCATTTTAATTTTATAAATTTGTGTAACCTTGTGTTTCTTTGCTCTTCAGTTCCGATCCGCATTCTGAGTTTTTCTTTGCCAACATTTTCCACATCTGCGAAGAGTCCTGTGCGCCCAGCGCGTCAAGCGATTCTGGGGCGGATGATGGATCTGAGAGGTGATTTTCCAATGGATATATATTTTTTTGTCTCCCTTTTTCACTTGGAACATTCTTATTAATTGTGCATTTCTTTTTCAGTTCTTCGAACTCCGATTATCCCATGTCCTCAACTGTGCAGATGGTCCAGTGTTCGGATAGCAAGTCCAATCAACCCATTACCACCTTAAAGAGCCTCAAGGACCCGAACTTTCTTCTGGACAATATCAGCATGCGATCTCAAAGGTTAGATAAATGTTGAATAAATAATCAAGTATTCACTATTACATATTTATTTTTGTATTGCAGTCCTAACAATAGCTTTTACCAGTTGGATTGTGGAACCTCCAGCATTTACGCCCGTCCCAAACCTCCGCCATACAAGGGCGGCACTCTAGGCAGGAATGGAGTGGATATTTGACAAACATCGCCCCGAGTGCTCTACTGCTGAAAGGCGTTGGCTCTGATCTTTTGAAATCTCAATAAGCAATATCGAGGAGCGTTATATCAATTGCACAAATACTCACACCTGCCGAACTAGTCAAACCATATCGTAACTATCAAATCAATTTATATACATATGCAAGCATGAAACTGTAGCCAATTTACTTTGCCGTTCGAGAATGAAGGCAATCAAATAAAGGAACGTTTTTTAGAAATTGGTTTACATCAATTTAATCACATTTATAATAAAAATATGTTAAAAGTGGAGAAATAAATATTGTCTAAAACTGTTATTGGTATATACGCAAATAACTGTTCAAAACTCCAATCAAATACTTGACATTCAAATTTTCAATATCATAAGCTCGACAGAACTTTTACGCGCCTAATTTAAATATGATTATAAAACATTTGAAGATTTGAAATCGATGTTTCAGAGACAACCAAAATATCGATGTATCGATTGGGAAATCGATTTTCTTTCCAGCTCTAAAATGAATGTTCCGCAAGTTTTCGGTTTTTGGAGAAAGTTTTTACAGTTTCTGTGCGCTGCATTGGGCCAGAATTATTCGCAATGGCGCCGGACAACATTGGGGCCCTTGGGGTCCTCGAAAATTTCCTAGACCGGTACAAAATCAACCTGCTGCAGATGATGTTCGGCACCTTCATCGCCACGATCGTCTTCTTTGGCGGATTGATGACTTTCGTGGAGAAGTACCTGCCGAATAGTATACGTCAGTCCTTTCGGTATGGAAAGCACAGTTTCAAGGGCGAAACAGATCCATTGGTAGCCTGGTTGGAGGTCCCGAAGTCCTGGTTCAAGCACTTCTATATCTTCGCCTTGTTCTGGAGCTGGCTGTGCTTCTATCTGCTCATAATGACTGTCCGGGAACAGAAGGAGGCGCCAGAATATGTCCTGCGATTCCTGGACATCATGGGCGGCGGGAGGAGTCACCGAAAAGTGGAGATCGATTCTACGACGGCCTGTGTGGGAACACTGATGCTGACTTTTCAGTGCACCCGGCGTTTTTACGAGACCAACTTTATGCAGATCTTCTCCACGAAGAGCAAGATAAACCTTTCGCACTATGCCGTGGGCTATGTTCACTACTTTGGTGCCGTAATAGCTTTACTATCCAATACTTCCGGCTTTGTGCGCGGCTCCCAGCCAATGGAATTCAGCCTGGACAAGCTGACGGGACAGCAAATACTCTACCTCGTAGTCTTTTTCATCGCCTGGCAGCAGCAATATGCCAGCAACATGATATTGGTAAACCTGAGAAAGGATCCGCAGACGGGTAACATCAGAACGGAGAAGCATCTTCTGCCCAAGGGTGGCCTATTCAATCTGATTTCGTCTCCGCACATGTTCCTTGAGGTGGTCATGTACTTCTGCATCGCCGATCTTTACATGCCCGTGAGGATTTGGCGGCTCATCTTCCTCTGGGTGGCCAGCAATCAAACTATTAATGCTCTGCTAACCCACAAGTGGTACAAGGAGACGTTCAGAGAGTATCCGAAGAACCGACGTGCCATCATTCCGTTCCTGCTCTGAGTCCGAAGACTGGAAATATTTCGCATTTTTGTACAAATAATTTAGTAGTGGAATTTATTAAAGTCGTTTTACACGCACGAAAAATGTGTGCTCGCTGGTGATTTTAACTACAAAACGATATAGGGTGAACTTGAACTGGAACAGGACTTCAGTCGATTCTATTTGAACAAGAAACTGTGGAGGGCAAACAATGAATGCAAGTTAAAAAAGTTATATTTGTTATACGGTAATAATGGCTCACCTATAGGGATAACCCTGCGCCTTCGAACGGAAAACGGACAGCAGGAAGGAGAAGAAAACGGTGAGGAGCACCAAACCAGTCATCGCCATTATCCTGTTCTTGTTGTGGCTCTTTGGGGTTCCCGACTCGATCAGCAGAATCATGCCCAGCACAATCATGGCATCTGAAATGGAAAGATGATGTGTTCATAATCTAAGTTCTTAAGGGCAAGATTGATTGGAAGTTATGATTTACTGAGTTCCCGTTTAGTATGATTTATTTTAAATTAGGTTAATTAACTTATAGTCACTGTTAATGAATATTAATTTCTTCACAATATAGCGTTAACTAATAGTTTAATAGGAAAATTGTTTAAAATCTAAAGATAACCAGAAAGTTTTGAATAAGAGTGCCCTTAAAATTAAAATTTACTGTGACCATTTTATGGTTAGCGCAATTAAATTCGACTCTTTTTTTATTCGATTTAAAAAAATAATGCTTTAACTTGAAATACTAAAACTCGATCTTGATTATGTGGCGATTTTATGGATTAAAGTCTAAACTAAGTCAATTACTTACTCAGGAACATGACGATGTAGGTCTCCACCACCAACTGGCCCTGCGAGGAGCCGTGGATGTAGGCCACGCCACCATTCTGCGACTTGTGCACCAGCGGCGGTCCACGGATGTGGTTCCACATCTGGCCCGAGATCATGGCGAAACAGAAGAACACGGCGATTGCGCCCCACAGATTCTTGTTGTACAGGAACTCCAGGTTATTCCGCCGGATGTAGAGGAAACTGCCCACCAGGGCCACCAGCGTGATCATCGCCACGGTGCCCGAGTAATTGGGCGGACGGAAAATGCGGATAGTGATGTCCGTGCGTTCGGCAACAAATTTGGCAATGGAATCAGCGGCAAAGCCCACGCGATGGATGTCCATGGTATCGGCGCCCTTTGGCTTGCCCTTGGCCGGGAAATGCATGAAGACAGGGGCGGTGTTCAGGCGCAGAAGTTGGAAAACCTCGGATCCATCATCGAAGTCCACCATGGCAAAGAACAGTTTGTTGGAGTAGGTGGAGGAGAAGCGGTACGAGTTGGCCACGATGGCAAACTCATCGTGGGCGTGCCGGCAGATCTGGCATTGTCGCGAAGGCGCCAGAGCCGTGAGCATTACAATCATCGAATAATTTCGGGGGGCACTCTTAACGTACTCCCGGAACTTGGGACCATTGAAGCGGAGGAGCGGCTTCTTCATGTTCATCTCCACCAGGTTTTGTACTTTCTCCGAAAGCGAGAGGCCCGTCTGAAAGACATTTGATACCCATTAGAAACATGTTGGCTTTATCTTTAGCCGGCATTCTTAAAAGTGGAGCTAGAATCCCCCGGAAAAGTGACGTGGCCACAAACAAACCTTCGATTTTGCCTGCGCGGCCGCGTAAATAGCGAAAATCGCCAGCACCAGCAACCCGCTGAGCAGCGACTTGTGCAGCAGCTTCATCCTGCAGGCGATTTTGTTAATAATTTCACTATTTTAACGCAAAATCACAGAAAAAACGTTTGTTCCAAAATATTTCTTCCGGCGCATGCAGCTGATTGTGAATGGCAAGCGGCAACTGCGTGTCATTCGTTGTGAATAGACACGTCGGGCAATTGTCTGATAGTGGGCAAAGCAAATATATCGATAAATATATTTTGCTATATTTAATCACTTAAATTTAAATGTAGAAATATTACTAATCGTACTGTCTATGAACATATACGGTAGCGGCAGGTAAATCAATTTATAATGGATGATTATTTAAATTTACGATTGTCTAACCCATACTGTTATCGATACCGCTTTATCAGAGTGCCGTCACTACACGGCGAATTTTGTTGTCTTTAATTTTAGGTTTTCTTAAAATTACGATTTTTAAACACATTTTAGGACGTTTTTACTGCTTTTACTGATATGAGCGATGTGCTTAAGAGCTCCCAGGAGCGATCCCGCAAAAGGCGTTTGCTTTTAGCGCAGACTGTAAGTTTTCCACCCATATAGAAAGCAATGTGTGCTTAGTTTAACTCATAAATTATGTATTCCTTAGCTGGGTTTGTCCAGCGTGGATGAGCTGAAGAAGGTCCTGGGCAATGCGGAGGACATCAACAGCAGTCGCCAGCTGAATACTGGCGGGCAGCGCGAGGAGGATGATGCTGCAGCCTCTTCGTCGAAAAAAGCGCCCAATGAAATCATTTACAGGGACTCTTCCACCTTTCTCAAGGGAACCCAGTCTTCCAATCCGCACAATGACTACTGCCAGCACTTTGTGGACACTGGTCAGCGTCCCCAGAACTTCATTCGCGATGTGGGCCTGGCGGACCGCTTCGAAGAATATCCTAAGCTAAGAGAACTAATCAAACTTAAGGACAAACTCATCCAGGACACGGCATCTGCCCCTATGTACTTGAAGGCGGACCTTAAATCACTTGACGTAAAGACCCTGGGCGCCAAATTTGATGTTATATTGATTGAACCTCCTCTGGAGGAATATGCCAGGGCAGCTCCTTCGGTGGCCACTGTGGGTGGAGCTCCTCGGGTCTTCTGGAACTGGGATGATATACTTAGTAAGTATTCAGTCTAACTTCCTTCAATATTAGCTAATATCCCTGATTCTTGCTAGATTTGGATGTGGGTGAAATTGCCGCCCATCGATCTTTTGTATTCCTGTGGTGCGGCTCGTCCGAGGGCTTGGACATGGGTCGTAACTGTCTGAAAAAGTGGGGTTTTCGCAGGTGCGAGGACATCTGCTGGATACGGACCAACATTAACAAGCCTGGACACTCCAAGCAGCTGGAACCGAAAGCGGTCTTTCAGCGCACCAAGGAGCACTGCCTGATGGGCATCAAGGGAACTGTTCGCCGCTCTACAGATGGTGATTTCATCCACGCAAATGTGGACATTGATTTGATTATCTCGGAAGAAGAGGAGTTTGGCAGTTTCGAGAAGCCCATCGAGATCTTTCACATCATCGAGCACTTTTGTTTGGGCCGGCGACGATTGCATCTGTTCGGCAGGGATTCGAGCATTCGACCAGGATGGCTAACTGTGGGACCCGAACTGACAAACTCGAATTTCAACTCGGAGCTGTATCAAACCTACTTTGCTGAGGCCCCGGCCACGGGTTGCACCAGTAGGATTGAACTCCTCAGGCCCAAGAGTCCTCCCCCGAACAGCAAGGTATTGAGAGGAAGGGGACGTGGTTTTCCACGTGGTCGTGGCAGGCCCAGATAGCCAGATTTTGACTCAACAACTGCATGTATTCTAGTGTCTAAGATCAAAATTTGTTAAGACTAAGAATAAGATTAAGATTAAAGGCTAATTCTGCATATGGTTGTATATCCTGTGGATTTCCGAGAGTGTCTAAATTGTTCTTTCTGAGCCTCCAGCAGCTCCTTTATAAGTATTTTGTTTGACTAATGCTGCAGACTATGGTGATTGCTTAGATGCCTCATGTAGATGTCTAGCTCATCCTCGCTAGATGCTTCCTTCGCTTCCGTTGTGTGCTCTCCCAGTTCCTCTTCATCATCACTGTCTTCGAAATAGGCATCCTCTTCATCTTGCTCTATTTGCTTAAGATCATCAAGCAAGGCATTATCATCAACGGCTGTATAATCAAAGTCCTTGTCCTCTCCACTCAAGAAGCGCTCCTTCATCATGCTCAGGAACTCATGCCGTAGCAGTTCTCGTTCCCCAGGATTATAGAACTCTGGTGTGGAGATCTTAGCTATGTTTGATGGAACTCGCGCTTCTGCATTTCGACTTGTGGAGCAGGCAACGGGCTCATCATCCTCAAATCCGCCCCATTGTTTTCGGCAAGCCACAGGGACTTCAAAGTCTGCGGAAGGAATAGTTTCACACCTGGCCTCCACTTCCTCCTCTGTTTCCTGTTGTGTTTCCTCAAGCAATTCATCTCTTTGCTTTTTCTCCAAAGTATGCATAAGTATTCCGGAAAAACTAGTGTTTTTAACATCATAACTATCCCGGACTTTTTTTTCTGCCTCCGTTAAGTATTGACCTACTAACTCCTGGTAAAGATCGGGAGCCCTCTGCATCATCTCGTGCTCGCTGAAGTATTCACCCTTGTCCAAGAGCTGCTGCATGGCATGGTACCTCCGATTTTTTATGGATACTGATCGAGTGCTAAGTTTCCTCTTGAAATCCTCCAGTAGTAAACACATCTCCTCCAGATTCTCCTCTGGTTTGATGGGTTCTTTGACGGCCAGATCCTGGAAGGAAACGAGTTGTCGGACATTCAGGAAGCGTCCAAATCTTATGAGGAAGTTCTCCCGGTTCTTTTCGAATACTTCTTGAGCTATTTCTTGTTTTTCCTTAAAAGGAATTTCCGGGTCATCTATTTGCTGCGATTTAAAGACAATTTTGTTGTTTTCTGCCAGGGCTTTAAATATGTCCATTAGCTCCGGGGGCAGTTCCGGTTTTTGTGAGGTGCTAGCGTTGCCCTGGTGTTCATCATCTCCTTCAACTTCGGCTCCAGTCGTCATAATTGTTTACGCAAATTGCACAGTGTGAAATAAAATGTAAACAAATGCTTCTTCTTACTCACTTTCAATGTCACTCACAGCGAAATGGAAGGGACATTCTCGCTTAAATTTTGGCGGTTTTAGTATCGGTTAATTTAAAAACAAGATGTTTTTAAGTTTAAATATAGAATATCGCAAATATTTTCTGTAAATTCTCAGATAATGACAAGATCATCGGCAAAATAACCTCAGGGAAATCAAAATCGGGAACCCTGACCAACGAATTTCATCAGCGTTATGTAGGCTGGCAACCCTGCGGCTCCACATAGCGGCTGCATTTTCATTACGAACTTTATCAGAAGACGAATTGCTGTGTTTATCGCTTTGTTTAATGCCACTCGATGGTTCGGTGGTGCAAATGTCCAGCCAGGGATGACTAATTAATCAAGACTAGCGCCACGCCGAGGAATCCCCCCGAAAACTACGATCAAGATGTCGACTATTGATTGGGGCGATTTCGCCTGGAACTGGACACAGTTCTGTCCCACTGGACTGACGCCGTTCGCTAATGAAACCAACGATCTGTTGCCCTGCTTCCAGAAGACCCTGCTCCAGCTGCCCATCTACACGATCTTCGCCGTCGTATCCGCCTACAATTTCGGCAATCAGTCGCGTCCCGTCGTTCGGAATGAGTTGCAACTCCGGATGTTATGGATACGGGCCTTCCTGGGCATCATATTGGCCCTGCTTCCAGTGGCCAAGGTGTTCGCCTTCCACCAGGAGGGCGTTGAACTCTACGCCGTGGATCTGCTGGTGGTTAGTGCCGAGTGCATTATGTGGGTTGTTCACAGCGGTGAGTGTGCGGTTTTACTTTCTTCTTACCTTAAGTTTATATATTCCGGGTTTCCCCCACACATTTCGATTTTTCAACTTAAATGATTTCCATTTAACTATAATAGAGAACTGCACAGAAATTAAATAGATATAATAAATAAAATAGAATGATTCCTTTATACTTAAATAATTATGGTTTTTACATACTTAATTCAAAAAATGTATCTGAAGATTGGATTTAAAACACCAATTTTTTTCTGTGTCTGATAAAATTTAACACGATTTGCTAACAAAAGGATATACATATGTTGTTTAAAGAAACACCCATACTTGACAAAAAACAGATAAGTCTAAAATAATCATTTATGTCCCGTATTTTATCAGCTTTTTCCTTTATCCCCCACCCACAGGTTTTTTATTGACAGCCCGTCAATATGGAGAGCTTAGTCATCGGGGATCGCTGCTAATCAATGTCGTTTGGCTGACAGTTGTGGTTCTGGATGCGGTATGGCTGCGGACGAGTCGCCACTTCGATTGGTGGCCCTGGAGCCTGGCCACGCTGCTCTGTGATCTCTTATTTGGAGCCACCTTGATACCCAAAGGAAGTGCTGTTTATTCCAGCGTGTCCAGAGGAAGAGCTTCCAGCAGAGAGGATGAAGCACTCCTATCCCAGCAATATACCTATTTCCATTTCGATGTGAATGAGAGCCACTTGGGTCATGCCCAGGATGAAGCTAATTTGGGATCACGTTTCCTCTTCCAATGGGTTCAGCCCCTAATCTCCAAAGGAGTAGCTGGAAAGCTGAGGAAGATTGAGGACCTATTTGATCTCCCCGACGCCCTGAATATCACACGACTGAGTGAGAGGTTGCATTTAGCTCTGTCCCAATCCCAGAGTTTATGGAGAGCCCTGCATAAATGCTTTGGAGTGGAGTTTTATCTCATAGGAATCCTTAGATTAATCGCCGATTTGAGTGGCTTTGCGGGACCCTTACTGCTCGGAGGACTACTCAGACAGGATCACTCGGACTCCAATCAGGTGTATTATTATGCCCTGGGACTCTTTGGCAGCACATTGCTGTCGGCTGTATGTGCCACCCACTTCGACTGGCGCATGGCCATGGTTTCGATGAAAATGAGAGTGGGAGTGATCAACTCTATATACAGGAAAGCACTGGAGGCGAGGGGACTAAAGGAATCCAAACCAGATATGCTTAATCTCATGTCCACTGATACGGATCGGATTGTCAACTCTTGCATTAGTTTCCACTTCTTCTGGAGCATTCCCTTCAAGCTGTTCACAACATTGTACCTGTTGTATCTTCAATTGGGAGCAGCCTTTTTGGCTGGAGTAATGTTTGCCGCCCTTTTGATTCCAATTAATAGATGGCTTGCCAAAAGGATTGGTATATATTCAAGTGGTTTGATGACTGCCAAGGATGCCAGGCTATCTGCTACTACGGAAACAATGCAAGGGGCCAAACAGATCAAGATCAATGCCTGGGAGGATATATTCATCACCAAGATTCGAGGTCTTCGACAGGAGGAGCTGCGATTCTTATCGAAGAGAAAATACCTGGATGCCATGTGTGTATACTTTTGGGCCACCACACCCGTACTAATGTGCTTGCTTACTTTTGGAGTATCCGTGCTAATGGGAAATCAGTTAATAGCTTCAACTACTTACACCAGTGTAGCCTTACTTTATATGCTAATTGGACCGTTGAATGCTTTTCCATGGGTGCTCAACGGCTTAATTGAAGCGTGGGTTTCCATAAAGAGAGTTCAACAACTGATGGACGTGCCCAACTTGGATTATTCCTCTTATTACAATCCTATAATGAGAGGGAGTGGCGGATCGGCAGCAGAAGATGCTCCTTTGGATGCTCCGAAAGCCAGTGTGCTGCAAATGAAGTGCGCTAGTTTCTGCCACGATAGTGATGACAATACATCATCCACACCTTTCCGCCTTAAAGATATAAATGTGGATATTAAAACGGGTCAGCTCGTATGCATCGAAGGCCCTGTGGGAGGTGGGAAAAGTAGCTTTCTATCCGCTATAGTAGCGAATCTGCAGTGCACCGATGGCGAGGTTTGCGTCCAGGAATTGACCACAGGATTTGGCTACGTTCCCCAGTCACCGTGGCTCCAAAGAGGAACCATCAGGGATAACATTGTATGGGGCGCCCAGTTTGATGAACAATGGTATAAAACTGTTTTGCATGCTTGTGCTTTGGAAGATGATCTGCAAATCCTTGGAGGTGATCTCGTTGGCGTGGGTGAGAACGGAAGGACCCTGTCCGGAGGGCAGAGAGCAAGAGTTGCACTGGCTAGAGCGGTTTATCAGGATAAGAAAGGTAATCTTAACTTTTATTTTTCTTGAAATTGGAAGAGTGTTTATAATAAGAGTTAACATATATTTATCCTTGGAATTGAAAGACTAAACTAATCTGCTTTTCTTTCCACTAATTTTTATTTGACAGTTTACCTTCTGGACGATGTGCTCTCCGCTTTGGATGCTCATGTGGCCAGACATATCATCAAGCACTGCATTCTGCGCCTCCTTAAGCACAAAACACGTATTGTGGTCACACGAAGCATTCAGTTGTTTTTCCACGCCAATCAGATTCTTCAAGTTAAGGATGGTCAACTTCTCCCCAGTGAATACATGACCCAGAGCATTGATTTAAGTTTGGATGAAGAGGTGGATGATGACCAAGACGAAGTAGTGAGGCGACGATCAGTGGAGTTGTCCAACCAGGACGACAAGAAGAGTGTGGATAGTCTGCTTCTGGAGGAATCCAGAGAGTACGGACATCTCTCAGGCGACGTTTTTACCTGCTACTGGAAGGCTGTAACTTCTCCACTGGCGTTCAGTGTTTTACTTTCTGTATTACTCATGCAATTGACAAGGAATCTAAGTGATGCCTGGTTGGCGTATTGGGTCACTGAAACTACTTTGGATCCTCACCCGAATGACACTTTGTTGGAGCACGAATTGATGCGACCTGCGCTGGGAAATGAAACTGGCTCGGGACACACGACAAAGTTCTATCTGAGCATATTCACAGCAATCGCTGTAACCAATTCCTTAGTGACGCTAGCAAGGGCGTTTCTTTTTGCCTATGCTGGAATAAAGGCAGCGATCTTTATGCACGAGAAGCTTCTGAAGAAAGTTATGTTTGTAAGTAGATAATGGCCATACAAATTGAAAAAAACTTAAATTAATAAGAAACTTTTTAGGCCAAATTCAATTTCTTTGACATCACTTCTGTGGGTCGCATTCTGAACCGTTTCTCATCCGATACCAACACTGTGGATGACTCCCTGCCCTTCATTTTGAATATTCTGTTGGCGCAACTTGCTGGCTTAGTGGGAGCTCTCTGTGTCAGTCTGTATGCGATGCCTTGGCTGGGTCTGGTCATCATTCCTATGGTTCCTATCTACCTGAATCTGCAGCAGCGTTATCGCCACGCATCCAGGGACATCAAACGGTTATCCAGCAATGCAATGTCACCGCTCTACACGCATTTTACGGAGACACTTCAGGGATTGACGACGATAAGAAGTATGCGAGCTAGTCCGCGATTCCAAAGGGACTTCCAAGTGAAGCTCGAGGAGAGCATTAAGGCCCAGTTGACGCAATCGGCTGCTCAACAATGGTTAGCTCTGCGACTCCAGTTACTGGGAACACTTCTAGTTGGAGGAGCTGGTCTTCTGGCAGCAATAACCGCCTCTCACACCACCAATCCTGGCTTGGTGGGACTGTGCATCTCGTATGCTCTCTCCATAACTGGTCAATTGGGAGATCTATTACATGCTGTAGCTGAAACGGAGCAGGAATTAGTTGCAGTAGAGCGTATAGATCAGTATCTTCAGTTGGAAGGAGAGCAGAATGCCTCCGGAAGTGCTGAACCTCCATTTGGATGGCCTACCCAAGGAGTTCTGAGTTTCCGTGAAGTACAACTAAGCTATAGAGAACACTTGGCACCTGCGTTAAGAGGTGTAACCTTCCAAACTGAGGCCTTCGAGCGTATTGGCATCGTGGGCCGCACTGGAGCTGGGAAAACGTCTGTTTTAGCTGCCCTCCTGCGAGTGGCTCCTTTGTCGCAGGGAGAGATTCGATTGGACCAGGTTAATCTAAAAACTCTGGCACTAAGTGTGCTTAGGGAACGGGTGGGAGTTATCACCCAGGAGCCATTTCTTTTCGAAGGTCAGTTTGGATATTATTTATAACATACACTTTTTTAAAACCTGTACCCTTCCTTCAGGCACTGTGCGAGAAAACCTGGATCCGCGTCACGGCTTCTACGACTCGGAGATTTGGCATGCAATTAAGAACTCGGCGGCGGCCACTCTTCTCGTCCAGCAGTTGGGTGGACTAGATGGCAAAGTGGAGTCATGCGGCAACAACCTTTCCGCTGGTCAAAGACAGCTTCTCTGCTTGGCGAGGGCGCTGCTCAAAAATGCCAAGGTGGTGGCCATCGATGAGGGTACTTCCAACCTGGACGACGAATCCGATCTGAGCATCCAGCAGGCTTTAAGGAATGCCTTTAAAAGTTGCACTCTCCTGTTTATCGCTCATCGCCTGCGCGGACTGCACGCAATGGATCGGATAATAGTACTGGATGATGGACGGATTTGTGAAGAGGGAAAACCCAAAGATCTGGCCTCTAATAGCTCAACCATTTTTCATGGAATGCTCCTCGCCCAGGACATTAATCCAGAGGATTTTACCAGACCGAATTAGCAATAAGTAAACATTTTTAAGATTCAAATGTATATAAGTCAATTTTTATATGATTTTATTTATTGTTTTTTTATTGTGTTCCTAACTTATAAATCCGTTTTGAGTTTACTTAACAAATAACAAATGAAAACTAACATCCATTGTCCTAGCTTTATTTAATTTTACAAATATTAATTTGAGTGGCAATCTATTTTTGTAGTGAATTTAACAAAGTAGAAAGTAGTTAAATCCGTACAAAGTTGTTACATTAAAAAAAAATTATATATATATATAATATTTTAAAATAAATGTTTTGTTTTAATCATATGTTTGACTAAATGTTGCGACCGAAAAACAGATGTAAAAATTCCTTAAAGCTTTAAATCTTTGGAATGAGAAAATTTATAAATTTGATGAATCAGTTGTACGTCTTTTTAGTCGAACACTAAATTGGGCATTATTCCAATTCAGTTTAAGGCACTATAGTTTGCTATATCGACTCTTGTGAGGTTTCGCAATTAAACTCTTCACAAGAAATCGTTGAATTAATTATACTTAACTTCAAGATATAAAGCTAGAAAAGGCCGCTTGAGTGGGCCAACTATCAACCAATAACCAACTTGATAATGACTGGGTATTCTTCGATTAGATTTCATAGTTAAAAAGCTTCTCGCCTGGCCTCCCCATAATGTGATCATATTGATTGGGAATATGCGGTGGCTTGGATAGCATTTCATTCACAGAGCGCTCGTAGAGATCGATGTAGTGCTGAAGGTTTTCGTCCGAGTAAATCTAGGATTTCAATAAAACAGGAATCAGTAATCAAGCGCTATGGCGGTTCTGATAATTGTTAAATGGCGTGTGCTGGTTAATGTGTTATATATGAGATTAGTGCCCGAATGAGACCAGTAATTAGTACATTAGTCCATTAAATGGCCCACTCATACTGATACCTTGGGTTGGACATATTCTTTCCTTGGCCTATAAAACAGCAGCGGAGGATATTTGAAAACAAACAGTAGTGTAGAGTATGGCATACGTCTGCGTGGAATCAAACCAATACCTTCAGGTAGCAGCGCCCCGCGAATGTGATTCGACGTAGATCGTGAATTGCCTGGTAGAGATGATGGTAGGAAGCCCTCTCGCACTGCAGAATAATGGCACGTACATCAATGAACTCATCCTGGCAGTGCTGAAAGAAATCTGGGTACTGGAATGGTAATTGTTAGTTAACAATATTATTATCCAGGTATTTTACTAATATTACTGACATAGTTGCGAGTGAACTGTTTCCGAAAGAAGCGCTCCAAGTGCTTAAGCTCCATTACGCGGTCGCTGAACTCGCACAGCTGGCGAGTGACCTCTCGCCCGATCAGGCTAAATGGATTCGTAAAAGCCCTCACATCTTTCTGACGCTCCGGTTCCGCACGAGATTTTTCTGCTATCGGGGCTGGAGGTTGACGAATTTCCTGCGGTGGCAAAGGCTTTTGAGGAATCTTTCTCTGCCATTGGGATTCCTGGTACGGATCTTTGGGCTTTAAGGGCGGCATCTCTAATTGTTTCGACTCTTTTTGCAGTGGTTGATAGGTTCCAGTTTTCAGATAAGTACCATTAGCATCCACGTTGCGTTGGGTTTCTTCGGAATCCTCGATCATAGTGTACAAATAGTTCAGATTAATTCCACACTTTGGCTTGTAGATAGCTGGGGACGTTGAAGTCCGGCAGCCACGTGACTCTTGGCCTTCTGAAAAGGATTTCCCCATTCCATTCTGATTCCGTGGAGTGCTATAGGCACTGGGCCCTTGGCCTGGACAAATGGGATGACCATTAGTCACTGCCTGGTTTTTCTGTCCCAAACTGCTGCTATCGTTGCTGTCTATCAAACTTCTCAATGAACTACTATTGTTCACGTGCATCAGAGCGCTTCCATCTTTTCCAGAAAAGCTGTTCTTTTGTTTTTGCAAGAGTTCATCCAGACTCACAAAGGATTTTATAATCATCTGCACAAGGGATAAGGTCGAAACTTGCCAGGAATCAAAAATGGCCATGAAACCTGCGGGCAACTCATCCTTGATCTTGTTCAAACCCTCGGGGGTGTTATAAACATAGCCTTTCAGTATTACCCAGGCATTCACAATGCGGGTGAAGACGAATATAAAATCCTTAACAGCCCAGGCGATTCCCTGAGAGTTGATGTTGGGCAGCACGCCATCCGGACGCAGAAGATCCTGTTTCAAGCGGGCACAAAGTGTATCGATCTTCTTGAAGCACGGACGATTGCGATGGGCATTGGCCAGACGTTCCGCTATCTCGCTGCCCTGCAGAGAGATTCTAGTAATGTCGTGGAGCCGCTGTTGGAGCAACACCACCTCCGAGTTGCGCAGCAGATTTTGGACTCGCAAGCCATCGCCGGCACCGCTTTCCAAGGAACTTATGCTCGATTCTTCGGGACCAAAACTGAAAAAATGTAATTTAATTAAAGCATGTATTTAATTTTAAAAAAGTATTCCTTATATCCTTTTGTGGTTTTTAGAAAATAATCTTACTTAAAGTGTGCTTTTTTTTCAAAATATTAATCATAGGAAGTAGTTTAAAGCTTATTTATTGTAGAAGACTTTTAAGATCTCTTACTAACCCATGTTAGACTTACCTATCGAAGAAGGGAGCAGGTTTTGGCTTCATGACCTCTAAACGGGATAATTCAAGGCCCATATCCACCTGGGTGGCCACGTCGCAGCAGCGCTTGATGGGAGCCTGTGTCTGGGTGTGTGCGGTCCGGAACTGCTTGGCCGGCGGAGCATGAGTGCCACTTGAATAGTAGTTCGGCACATAGAATCCGGCCATATTGCAGCTGGTGGTAGCCGAAGCACGAGCAGAATACACCTGACCCTGGCCATAGGCGTTCATGGACGCTGGTTAGGAAAGGGAATAAATGAAATACCTGTCACGTTGGGGATACCACAACACACCATAACTGGCTGCATAATACTGCATACCCGGCATGGCCATATAGGTCATATGAGGAGGATTCGCAGCCGGAGGAGGTGGATGAGGAGCCGGCGGGTTGGGATGACAGGCTCCATGGGCACTTCCAGTCATAATGGGGCAATTGGCAGTACCAGGTATAAACACAGCCGATAGAGAGGGCGTGGCCATTGACCAGGAGCTCTGCGAGACATGTTCCTGCACGAAGACATCGGTGACCATGCGATTGCGATCCAAATAGGTCTGCTGGTACATCGATTGCTGGCGCATCGACTGCATTGTCACCGAGGGCAATTGGTAGATGGGAATGTTCATTATCCTGCCACGAGCAGAGTTTTAAAGCTGCAAGAAAAAAAAACACCGAAAGCAAAGAAAAAAGTTTTAAAATATTACATCCATTTTGAGGTTAGCTTGTAGGGACTAAACGCATGTGGGTTGCTTAATCCTCCCCAGAAACTTACAACGACCGAAGTGTTGGTATCTCCTGTTAATCCAGTGGAAAGCGCCGCAGTTTTGGCCAAAGAAAGAGCAGTCTGCTCTCTAGTAAGTCAGAAGACGAAAGAAAGTTTTTGAAACGGCCACCAGAGTTGCCGAGCAATTGGTGGACTTATCGCAATTTGTTCTACTATCGTGTGCTTTAAGTAGGACCAAATATTTCAAATAGTGATGGACGGTATTGTTTACATTAAATTTAAGCTTGTCTTTACTTGACTTAATTTCAAATTTATATCAATTTCACTTTGAAGTTGACGGTAAAAACTTGCAAATGGTAACTAATACTCAACTAAATCAAGCAAAGACAATCTTAAATTTGATGATATTTTAATAATTAAACCGTCTGGTAACTACACAGTAGTTGGAGAAATTCAAATTAGAAATTATAAAGTGGGTTAAGATTTAAGCATTCTTTATATTTTTGAATCTTTTGCCTAACGGTCAGGATATCTATCGGCTATCGATTCCATAAGTGTGACCGCTCAACGCAGTAGTGTTGAACTGACTTATATCGCTGCCTAACACTAAAGTTAAGGCATTTCGCTTAGCACAAATTAAAGATAAATCCATAAAAATGACAGAGGTGTCTGATTTTAGCGATCAAATAGCTGGTGGAAAGAACAAGTCAAATGTGCACTGCCAGTTCTGCAATAGTTTGATGCTCAAGGCCCAAGAGGGGACCTACAGCGAGGAGGAAGTAAGTGCCGTGTTTATCTTTATATTCTAACACTAATTGTTTACATTTATTGCGGTCAGGTGGATGTGCCTCTGATGATGCAAAAGCAGGATAGGACGGCGGACAGTCTGAACAGCGAGCCTCTGAAGGGCTTTTGGCTGGTCAAAGACATGATGATGTTCGAGAATATCGGATTCTCCAATACGGTGGATGGCAAGAAGTTCCTGGTTTGTGCGGACTGCGAACGAGGACCTGTGGGCTATCATGATCTGAGCACCCGTCACTGCTTCCTGGCCCTCAAAAGAGTGGTCCACAAGGACTCCTAGCTGCCCTATCCTTGAACCCTTAGTCTCGGTCTCTTGCAATGCATTTGATTATACTAGAAGTCATGCCAATAATGTGTAGTTTTTCCTTTTCAAGGAATTTCACCGAATTCTACTTGATTCAGGAGATTTTTGTAATGTTCCCTTAAGTTTTAGCACGTTCTTTAAGAGCATCCTGTAACATCTTCAAATATCCTTTCTTCTGCTAAAGATTCAAACAAATTCCATAATAATCAGTAAAAAACAATAGAGTAAAATAAGCTTTTTTTGCCCAGATTTTCTCACATTTTTTCGATTCTATTTTGCGAGCATCATTCAATTAGCAATTATACCAAAAACAACAGGCATGAAATAGTTAATATGGCCTAAAGTAAATCCTTTGACTTGTTAATATAAGCATACTAATAAAGGCATTAAGCATAAAGGGTACTCAAATGCTGTGAAACGTCGCCAAGAAAAAACATTTCTTACTGTCAATTTTAAGTTTTACTTCCTTTAAAGCTGAATTTTAAAATAAATTCACCCACATATTAAAAACCAAGTTTAAACTACCTTCCGAATAAAAATTTGTTGTTAGAACCTTAATCTTGATAAGTAATTGTTTAAAAAACATAATTGGTACTTTTTTGTTGGCTGCACAGTGATCTCTGGGCAATGAAAAATTCGGTTTTTGTATTCATATTTATTGTTTTTCACTTTAAACATTTTACAATTTTATTGCACTATAAATATTGCATTTTAGAGGAGATTCTTAACTAAAAAATTTTTACTATAAACTGTTATTTGCTATACGAACTAAAAATGATGTATTTTTTGCTTTGGTTTCTGTAACGTTTTAATGTTTTACTTGGTATCTGCATCTGCAATTATTGCTACGTTGGACAAAAGGTTTCATTGGTGTTTCCTCTACTGGATATCCCATAAATTTGGTGTCTCCTTGCTGGGTGGTGCCTATGCGGTAGATGAAACGATTTCAAAGTTTTCCGTTTTTGGCAGTTGGTTACAACAACGAGTGTTTTTTTCCCCCTTGGGAGTGCGGTTGATATGGGCGTGGTCGTCGCCCCTAAGCGTGTCAGAACTATCTTTGGGTTATCCTCCGACGACTTTCCTCCCAATTGCTTGCTAATTATTCTATGAAGTGTTCTCCTCGATGAGCTTTATTTTCAAATACTTTATAATTAATTTTCGCTATTGCGGACATTTAGCTTGCTTGTTAGAAATTTGGTTTAAGTCTTATGAAAATAAAAAAAGAGAAACTTAGGCGAAGAATGTTAACATTTATAGTTTTATGTACTACTTTTCATTGTGGTAGCCTTAATTTTTAACATTGTTAGCTTTGTGGCCTCCTTTGACTTATTGGTTTTTCGATTTCTTTGTTAAATACTTTCAACTGCGGTAGGTTTTAGTTTTATATCGTTATTTTCATTTGCTTTCGTTTAATACGTTAGTTTCAAAATTTAGTGTAATGTAAATAGATTTGAAAGATTATATTGGCCAATTGTTACTTGCTCTCTTTGGTTTTTATATACACTTCTAATTAGGGAATTACTTTATTATTTAATACTTTGTATAAAGCTTTTACGGTTCTCCATTCAAAAAATGTTACAAAATCAGGCTGGACCAGAGCTGAAAATATGTGATATAAATATATCTATATTAACTTGAGTGGTATTATATATTTTTAGGACAAAATTACCAGGCTCTGGAGCAGCTCTGCGAGTGGACCTTGTTTGATGATGGGGGAGAAAGCGGTGAAAGTGTCACGGAAGTCAAAGAGTCAGCAGCAAGACGAAAAGAAAATTGGGTGGATGCATCGATAAAACAAACAAAAACAACTGAGGGATTCCCTCGAATCCGTCCTTAACGCTGTAGATATTGACGGGCGCTCAGCAGGAGTCCCACCATGGCTGCCACGCCCACCGCTGAGGCGCCCATCGCCCCGGCTCCGTTGCAGTTATCCGTATCACAGGAGCAGACCACCTGGCGACCTCCGAACCCGGCACGCTGATAGCAGTAGTTGGTGGAGGTCTGGTTCTGGTAGGCACAGGTCCTTATCACACGGCTATCCGGGGGCACTGCAATGCGATTGTCCAGGGTCATTTTGGTTTCCCTTATTACTTTGCATCTCTCTACTCACGGCTGTTCACGGAGAACTCGATGATCTGCGTAATCTTGCGGCAGTACGTGGGAATCCCCTTGCCGCGGGACGAGTACTGCTCATCACAGTCCTTCAGCAAGTTCTCGGGCGGTATGTCCAATGCACAGTTGGCATCTTTGTGGCTGTTGCAGACAAAGCACTTGATGGCATATCCTAACAAAAGTATAAAGAAGATTGCGTTTAAGTTGAAATTATTTGTATTCAACAGGATTATTTTAAGAAAGCAATGAAAATGTTAAAAATTGTTTTTGTTCGGTCCAAAGATTTGTCAGAAAATTTGATTTCAACATTTTTGTATTTGTTTATGTTGGACTAAATTTGTTAGTTAAGTAGTTAAGGCATTTTGTATTTTATTTCCTTACTTGTGCTTTTGTCAAAAATATATAACATTTCTTATAATTTAAGTCCCCATTTAATGTTCCATTGTTCCTCTACCTTAAATCACTCTGATTTTCTAATTGCATTTTTAATCTAATTCCGTAATTGAATTTGCGCATACCTTTCTGCTAGCTACCTTTTTCGTTCGTATGCAATCTTTCACTTAATTGACCACAAAGCTATAGTTAATGTCAATTAGAAAATTTCCATTGGCATCATATGTTTAACCTTAATAGTTTCACAAAACAAGCGAAAATGAAAGAAACAACCGTGTAAACAAATGTGAGAGCTTTGCCCAGATATAAGTATAAAGAGATCTTTGGTACTTGTGATGACTGTCGTTGCCTTAGCTAAATTGAATTTAAGGTCGTGCGGGACACGAGATTCGCATTATTTAATATACGAACTGGAAATATTGTGTACCGCCTGTCCGGTAGTATGTCACCTGCCCCCAGCCGCCAAATGGTGCAACCTGCGATGCGCTTTTGCCCCACTCTGTGCCAAAAATGGCACAGTGGCACGGAGATGTCAGTGATTCCGGCGATTCCATCGACGCCTCCATTAGTGACAGACTGCGAGGCTTTTAGGATTGCCTCGCTAATTGAGACATCGGCATTGCTAATGGACTCGAATAACTCTGCCTCACTTCACTTGGTTCTGAACACCCCCACCGCCCATTCTCATCCAATTCGGGTTGCATAAGCAGGGCGGAAAAATGTGTTGCCTGCTTCTAGGCGAAGATACTTGAGAACAATGGAAAGGGCCGTCTGTAAGATGAACCACTCTACGGGTAGACTAGATATTCTGAAAGCTAGAAGCACATCATCCCGACAAAAGAATGTAATTGACTAAAAGGGATGTTTTTAAGATGAGCTCATATTATATGCTTTTTCTATAATTTTCATATGAATCATATGAATGATAAAAACAATACCTCTTAAAGTAACAGTGCTATGATAATAATTTAGTAAGACTCTAGAATTGTTGTTAACATTTATAGATCTAAGATAAACAATATAAAATAAATATCTGTTTGAAAATATTTAATAATTTTTAGTAAACTCGTTACACTTTTTAAAGATAGAGGATTAAAAGTTTTTGACCTATCAATAGTCTAGTTGGAAGAATAATTTTAAAACTAAAGCATTTCTTTAAAATAAAAGAAAATCCTTTTTTTCCACTATTCAAGATTTAAGAAATATTAAATTTATAAAATCTGGCCACAAAATAACCAATCTTCCCCACTGTTTACACCTAGTCATGACCAATTAAGGTTTGTTACAGTCTATAAATAGTCATAAATTGCATTGATTAAATTGCCTATAACGCAAAAAAGGTAGAGGAATATATATAAGGAAATTCCTCAATAAAAATAAATAGGGGCAATTATTTACAAAACAGAGATATACTTTTATGTCGCTCTTTTGAAACGTATTTTTATATAAGTCTATGAGCGGATTGGGGTTTTGGGTATCGGACAACTGCAACTGGCCCCCAGGACCTTTAACCAAATAGAGTGCGCATGTCCTACATTATCCCTGCACGTACACACTTATGTGGGAAAAGTAAAAGAGGAATAATTTAAAAGAGGAGGAAGGAAAAACTTGAGGTAACACAAGTTCCCAGGGATTATCCTTTGCGAAAGGATAGCATAGTGTGGGCTAATTATTATCTGTCTTAATTAAGATGTCAACTGGCATCGACCCCACGGAAAACACCCACTCCACTTCCTCCTCTGCCCAGGAAAAAGCTGTGGCAGAGAGCCAACAAATGAAGTAGAGAAAAAAGTTCCTTTTTCTCAGAGAGCTCAAGGAACCCGACTTATATCTATTGAATGCAAATATTACTCAGTGGGGTGGACAAAAAGGCGCCACGGCGGCCGGCTATGATACTCAAGATACTCTGCTTTTCTGTGGCGTCAGGACGTCGCCACAAGCTCTCCCATTTCCCATTTCCCCTTTCCCATTTCCCATTTCCCAGCGCCCCAGGAACCTGCCCCTTCCATATCTCCTATTATGTAATCGTAATCGCGATGTCGGACGTCCGTTCAGCGATTTAATCGAGACTCTTCCTGTAGTTGACTTAAATCCTTTTACCTTGCTGCACGGCGATGGCCAGAATCAGTGCACTAATCACATAGATGTACTGCATTTTATTTTATAGACTCGACACACTCTTTCGTTAATCACTAGTTAATATTTTGGTTTGAATATTTTTTTGCATGCGGCGCTCACAGACGACTCTATTCACAGATTTTCGTTTCAGGTATTATCGCTGAGCATGGGCTGGTTCTAATAAATTCCTTGCAAAAAACTAGCGCTCACGCAAACGTTGGCAAACGGTTGACAAACGGCAAACGACTGGGCGAAGCAGCAGCCACACTCGACAAATGTACCACGAACACGAATTGCGGACGGCCAGTCCACGGGGCGGATGAGTCGGATCGGATCGGGTGGTGTGTGGTGTATGGTGACTGGGATGAATGTGGGGGAGGCTAGTGGGTGGAGGCCCCAGCCCCAGCCTCCCACTCGGATTCAGTTTTCAGCTTGCAGCCATGGAGCTTTTCCCGCCGAGCTTTCGAGCGTGCGTCCTCATTGCGATTTCCACGGTGTGTGTATTTTTGCAGTCAGGAGATACAAATGTGTAGCTGCAAAAAAAGTGTCTCAATCCACACTAGTCCACAAGTCTTGGAATCATAACTATATTATACATCATATTGCAAAGTAAACACACATATTAACACTAATAAAAATTTGTTAAACAAATGTATTAACATGTATAGATTGTTTTAAATACAAAAATAAAAATTTTGTTATACCGATTTAATTTGTAATAAATATTGGAGGTACTCTTTTAATTGTTATTATTTTTCATTTATTGAAATCAACTTTAATCCGTTTGAAATATTTTCAAACACCCCTGTAAATGTCTGAAACTGTTTATTATTCATAAAACGAAGTTCAAATGCTGATTTTGTGTGAATGCTATTTCGAAATTTTATTATTAATAGATTAATTGAAAAGGGAGGAATTAGAGATTAGGAATTTGGGCTGATCATGGGTCAAGGCCTCAAAAGCTAAGTGGGAATATAGCTTATTAATTAATCTAGTGGTGAATGGGGTTGAAAGCTAATCTAACCTAAAGTTTACAATGAAAAACATTACTCAGAAAGGAGATAACAGTCCGTTACTAATGAGAAATAAACATGTAAGAACACAAATGATTTTTGGAGAATCAAACCACAAGTCTAAAAAGGTAAGTCACTTTGAAATCGGTTTAAATTTGGTAATGTTATAGACTAAATTTTTGGGTACCCTTTTTACAAATAACTAATATGAAAATGGGTCAAATGGGTCAATTATATATACTTTATTGCGTCGCAAATGTGCAAACTTTTGACTGCAAGGGTATAATAGGGAGTGAAATCAAACACTTTGCTTTCAAGCACTCAAGACACTTACTTTGCCATTTTATTTGTGCCAAATTTGGCTGCCTTCTTTTTTATTTATGCACATTTAAGTACTCGTAATTAGAACCTGCAATTAGACGAGGGCAGTGCAATGGCTGGCCAATCCACTTATAACCCTGAGCCCCATTTCAACTAGGCGTCCAGACACATAATCCGGAGATCAAGACGCACACGTGAACAGGCGGAGCAGTCGCACACCAAGCATAAATCTGCCGGTGCATTAATTAAGCTTAATCGCAGGCTTCCTCTTGGAGCTCATCGCAAAGTCGCACAAATTGCTGCCCCAAGACGCTGGTCAATTGAATTAAGTCTCTCTCTCACTCACTATATATATATATATATTTGCAGATCGTTTTGGCTGGCTTTTGTGTCTCAATCAGTGCGCGAAATTGAAGAAGCCATGGGGGAAAATTGCCCTTTGGGGAGATTGCTTTTACCAGACTCGTTTGTACTTACACAGAAAACAATTAAAATAGAAAATATAGTTGTTTAAAAATAACATTCGCTTTGCTTTAATTTTTCATATTTAAATAGATACCTTGCCCAAAGTTCAATAGACCAAATGTGATATTAAAATATATTTTCAAAATTCAAATTTAATGTTATTGAGAAATTTAAATAGAATAGAAAGTATCTTTTTTTTGCAGCGTATTGTCCCTCAATTGACAGCATTAAATTATTTTTGTGACTATAAATAGCATTAGTCAGAAAAGAGTTTTGGCTTTGGATTGGGGTTAAAGTACGAGTAATCAAAATGTTTACTAACATGTTAAGCAACAAATTACTTAAATTTAAATAACATTGAGACTTACTAAGGCTATAGCTTTCAAATCTTAAGCTTAAAAGCTGGCTTCTAATAAGTGGTGGCACCAACTAAAAGCTTTTCTAAAAATATATTGGGTTATTCCTTTGAAAAATTTCCCCTCGTTTTGATTGGAGCACTAACCCCAAAAAACTGGGATTATTTTATTTACTTTTTGTTTGGTCTGTGTGAAATTTAATTTCGTACTTTTATGCGCAATTAATCTTCAAGCCTGGCGGTTAAAATGGGGGGACCGGGAAGTACCAACTCCAGATCACTTGTTAGAATAAAAAATATCAGCAAACCGGTTCCAGCAAACAAGAATCGAATCTGTTCATTCGCCTGGATCTGGGTTGTACTTATGTATATTCGAATCCAAGTCTCACCTTTCAATAACGCTCGCTGATCAGCTGATTTCTGATTTCTGACTTCGATACGATCCCAAAGACGAAGACCACATTTTCACAGCCCTCAGTTTCACATTGGATTTGCAGCAGTTTGGTTCTACAGTCGATGGGTTACGGAAATCGGCTTTTTAGATTCCAGTATTATTAAGGAATACAATTTTGTAAGTGCTACAAACTGGACTTATTTAACCAACAACTCTTTTTAATGGGTTTTAATATTTTTGATATAGAGTCTATAAAGTCTTTTCTCTAAACACAAAAGTTGCACATTTAAATTAAGAGATATAAGTGAAGAAGTGGAGAGTGATATAAAACATTTGGTTCTTATGCATTTATTAACAATAATTTTTATTGATAATTTCAAACTTTTACACATTTGACTAAATGCATATTATTGAAATAATTGTTATTGTTAATTTTAAACTTTTTCTCTTGATTCAAAACTTTTAAGAGTGTTATTGGTTAAAACATTTAAATTTTTAACAAGTAATTATAAGGAAATACTTCGATTACATTTTTCCATTCTTTGAATAATTTAAATTAAGAGGTTTCTATTTTTGTTAACATCTTAGTTTATATTTGTACTTTGTAATTTTTCTATTATTTTAATGCCATACAACCGCTTCAAACTGGCTAAAACCGGCAACTGAACGGTCGACTGATGAATTTATTCGGTTTGGTTTGGTTCTCCACACAAAGCAGCGTGAAAATTTCAAATTAGTTGCATTGCTTGCAGAATCGGAAACCCAATTAATGCAGCAAAATAACGCAGAGCCAACAGAGCGGACTTAAATAAACATTTAACACTCGTAATGATGAGTCGAGAATTCGGTGCTTCTGCTTCCCAAACTGACTTTAACCAGGACAGATAAGCTCAAGCTCCATCCTCCGTCCTATCAATATCAACACCACTGTTTTCCTCAATTAAAACTAATCTTTAAGTCTGACTTCGTCACCGATGAGGACTAGACCAAACCACCACAACTGAGTTTTTGGAGGTGCGAACCAGTTTTAACTAATCAGCTCCGTTGATAAGGGAATATATTGCACTCGTACAGTCCATGTTATGGAATGTTGTGCTATCGCTAAGCTCCGCTCACCGGAACCTATCTGATCACTCAATAGAAAAATGTAGTAGAGGAAATAAAATCAGGGGCGAGCCCAAGATTTATTTTGGACTTCCGAACGATCATTGACAAGGCACTTAAGTTTGTTATTACTTTTTTGAGGGTAACAGAAAATGAGATTAATAATTAGTTCACTAATTGTCAATATATAGCTTTTTTATTTCATTTTTATTGCTAAAATATATATTATTTCAGCAATTATAATGAAATAAAAAAGCTAAAATATATATTATTTCATAAATAACAATGAAATAAAAAAGCTATATATATATTTCAAAGCAAATGTTTGGTTTAATATAAAAACTTCTTTGTTTTATATTTAAATCATTTGTTCATTAGATCCTTTATCTAAGATATCTTTATCTTTTTAGAACGGGTGTTATAACTTTAAAGCTTGACTAGACTTATATGTTATATATTTTTAAACATTTTATTTTAAAATGTATATTATTTTAGCTTAAAATAAATAATATATTTGAAGGAGCAAGGTACGATTACAAGTGTTCCATTTTTTTCTCTGTGCTCAATAACCCTTTTATAGAACCCTAAACAAGGTATTTAGAGAGCATAAAACATGATATTTAAATAAAAGGTCAATCCCAGCTAATGAGACATAATTTGGTTAATACTTGTTTATTTTTTTTTTTGTCTGTCTGCCAGTGACGTCACATCGGAACTAACCGGTTCGAGCCGGTGTATTCCGTTTGGACTGCGTTTTGTTTTTGGGTTAAGAACCAAGCTGAAACCAACCGAAGCCAGAGCTTATCAATACAATGCAGCCAGCGAACTACCTTGTCGAGCATCCCCTCTCCACAAATATGTATTTAATAATATAATATAATAACAATACGACCCCGTAAAGATGATCGAGTGACGGAAGTTTTTCCATTTTTCCCATTTGCTGACTTTAGGGTCGATCTTGTTGCTCAAGTCGCTCTTTTCCACTCGCTCACAGTAGCTCTCTTCGGCTCTCATTTCTGCTGCTGAGCTGGCTTTTTGAAAAATCAACGTTTTTCGAAATGAAAATACGAGTTTTCAGATTCATCTCGACGGTGCTCGCGTTCAGTTGTCCCCTCGCATTAACAACAATAGTGAGATCGTGTGAGAATAATTGTGCGTTGTAAGAATTTATGACCATAAAGAGTTCTGTGGCCTTCAGCTAAACATTTCAAAAGTGATTTTTATAGAAATTTAATTTTAATTTGTTGATGAAAATGACCTAGTTATAAATAATAATATTATTTACAAGAGTTATAAACCAATTATGTAAAATAATAATCAACACATACACTAAACAACACTGTTTAAATGCTTCACAAGTTGTTATTTTTGCTCGGCAAATACAAATTTGTGATAAAGTGAAGGTTGTAAAGTAGGATTTATGAATTATTTTTTTTACCTTATTAACGTGTATTAAGTCTTCTTATTGATAAGAAACAAAAATCTCACCTTTCCAATTTCGTGAGCGTTATTAAAAATGTTTTCTCATATTAAATAAGTATTTAGAGAGGAAGCACAATTCTTTGCTTTTTTATTGCATTTCATTTAATAAAATAAAATATGAACAACTACGACTACATTTAAATCTTAAACAAAAAGTTGTATTAGTACAATATTAGCATTTGTCACGTTTGTCAGCCACGTTCTGATACCGGTTTACCAGTGTAAATAAGAATCGTATACAATGGGTTATAGATTATAAATATTACTGAAGTAATGCTAATGAAAAGATCGCTGTGTTTAGCGCTAATCAAATTACAAACAAACCATACACACAAAAACATAGAAAAATCTGATAAATTAAATAGGAAATTCTATTACTTCTTACAGATCTAGTAAGCCAAACGAAAAACCGCAAAAATGTCAACAACCATCTACATCTATGCCGTGTGCCTTGCATTGGCTGCCAATTTCATATCAGGTAAATATCTATAGTATAATTAAGTCAATTGTACGAGTATAAAATAAGCTTGTAAGAGATTTGCTCTTCGTTTTGTTAATCAATTGAAAGGCACTTTTAATTTAGAACCAAACAAAATGTTAATTAATTGGCCAACACTTTAGAGATGTCCAGTCTTTTGTTTTGACAAATCAATTGATTTGTTCTTTAGTTTAAATCGTAAAAACGAACAGTAACCGAAAAATCCAAAAAATCGCTGAGGTGGAAACTCATGCCAAACACACTTGTGAATCACCAAAGCCACTCATTAAAATAGACTCTACACTAAATTCAATTTATGCAGATTAAGCGATAAGTCATTAGGAATTGTTTTGTTTGATTTTTTAATTTCCCAATCATTTTTTTATAACTTCACTTATATGACCCATGTATATTGAAGTTACGATGCTTGTAGCAATTATCTCATCTTTCTGCGTCTCATTTCACCGCCCACCATTGGGTTAACTATTAATTGTTTAAAAAATACGAGTGCTTATTCTAATTAGCCAGTGGATGCTCACACGCACACACAATCCTTTGTGAGCCACCGCCACGAGTAAATTGATTGTCCAAGCAATTCCGCGGCTCGCACTCACTTGTTAAGGGAACATTAAATGGCGTTAAATAATATTGAAAGTATTTGCACACGAACATATGAATGTGTTCAACTTCTTGCCCAGTAATCGGTTGAGCAAATATGCACGTTTATGGGCATTCCAGTAGTAAGTGAATAATACTTCTCCCTTTTCTATGGCGAACTTAAGAGCGCGTTTCATTAGCGAACAATTGTCAAGCGAAAAGTTGCAACAAAGGCAACACTGACTGCCCCGATTTCCCCTCGCTTTTCCGCCTTTCCTCTAAGTTCGCTGAACAGCCGCATGAATATGCAACAAATGTAAAATGCAAATGGGTAATGCTTAAAATGCAAATTTGGAATCCCAACTGCCACTGTGGTTATTTTTTAACGGCAGGTGACTTTTTATTACTCAATGTTTGTTTGCCCTGCCCTGGATTGGCTTAATTGCCAAACGGTCTACGTGAGTAGCCACCAAAGTGTTATAATATTATGCATACGCCCCGCAAAACGATAGACATTTATAATCCTGACAGCCCCAGACATACTATATTTCGAGTTTTCAAGTACGTGTTCCAGTCCGCATGTCCTTGCCCTTTGGCAATGCATTTTTATTAGCAGGTTCAATGGGGGAACGCTCCTTTGAGTGATGGCTTGAAGGGTTCCAATTCCCTTCCTTTCTTCGGGCCATCGTTTCTGTCAAATGTTAACCAAATTGGATAGAGACTGTCAAATAAGCTTATGGGCTTTATAGCAAAATGGACATGGATATGGAAAAGAGAATAGGAAAGGATAATTGGCCTGAATCAATCTGATTTGCCGTAATCTTCTTCTATATGACAACTACTTAATAAGAAATGTTATGAAATGTTGTTTACTTTTGTATATTGGAAAATATTTTAGTTCCTTATTTCAATTTAAATGTACAAGAATTTTAATTGTAATTTGGTAAAAGTTTTTTAATTGAAAATTAAATTAGGAAATTGCAGCAAATAAGTAATTTCATAATCAACGATTGTAACTTCAAATCCTTCATAACCTAGACATTTTAAATAACTAAATCAAATAACTTGTATAAACTATATTAATAAAAATCGTGTGCATATTTTTAATAACATGCATGTAAAGAAATATATATTGCTGAGATCAACTACCTTATATTTTAGTAAGGGCCATCGTACTTCGCTATAGTTCAATACTCTTAGTCAAAATGAATCCCAGTTTTTGCCAGGTCCTCGACCGGTCGCGTGCCAAACTCTAGCTGTTTCGGCATTTATTTTTTGGCCCCAAGCAGTTGACATGCAATTATTCAGGTTACTGCAGTCGGATGGGAGTCAGTTCGTCAGTTTGTCAGTCAGAGGCCTCACCTGCCGACAGTATCTGGGAATGGGTGGGAGGCTAATAAAACAATTTACTGTCAGTGTGTCGGGCACTTTGAAAAGGGCGAATCGCGAGGCATTTGAATGCCATTAGAGGTTGCACATATCAAATTACCGTCGAGGGGGCAAAAAGTGGTTTAATTAAAGCAAATGTTGTAGGTAATATCAAAAGGGTTTCGCATTACTTCTAGGAGAAGCTTCTTTGCAAACACATTGTATATGAAATTTATGCACATTTATACATATTCAGAAATATAACAATGTCCAGTTTTATTAGAGCAGAATTGACCAAATTCGACCATTTTAATGCCTTAAATTGGTGCTTACTAATCTTTATAAAATTATAACTTTTGGACCTTTGGATAATTCCACAATGTTTTATGTTTCAATACAATACTTTGGGTACTTGGTGTCTTTTATGATATATTAAACGCCTTAAAATATAATATTTAAAAAGCCAATAACTAATGCGTCGCTTTGTGGCTTGTTTGGCATTGCAGTGAGTGCCATTCGGTGCCATCAGTGCAAATCGCACGAAAACAACGACTGCTTCGGTCTGGTGGTGAACACTCCTCAGGCGCAGGTGGATAACCAGTACCTGAGGGACTGCACTCCGCCCAGCGGAGAGGAGGCCTTCTGCCGGAAGACGGTGATCAAGTTCGAACTGCACGACGAGCACAGGATCGAAAGGAGCTGCGGGTACCTCAAGGAGAAGATTGAGAATGGCTGCTACTCCGCCGACAACGAGGGCTACAAGCAGATAGTCTGCACCTGCAACGGCGACGGATGCAATGGAGCCAAGTCCTTGATGGGAGTCCGCCAAGTGGGCTACAGTCTGGTTGGCTCTGTGGTCAGTCTGGTACTGGCCAGCATCATCAGGCATTAACTTAACTCGTAAATTGCGTAAAAAACTAACTTTAAAACCAAAAACATTATCTATTAGTTAAAACCCAAAACAATAAAAATACGTGTTGCAGTATTGCAGAACTTTTGTTTTTCTTTTCACAATAAATACAATGGGTTCATGAGAAAGCTAATGCCTAAAGTTCGTGCTTGCAAATCTTATACAATTAAAATTTTTAGACACCAACGCAAAGGCTATTAAACTGAAAAACAAAAGATTCAAACTTAAGATTATTTTGTTGTTCTACTCATTAAAAATATAAGGTTATATCACCATTTGCGACAATGGTATTTAGTAATTCGTATTAGGCCCATTTGGAAATGAATTGAGCACTTAAATTTTATAATTCTAAGATTATCTCACCTTTTGAAACAGTGGTAATATATTTAGTAATTCTTGACCATTAGGAAATAAATCTAGCACTTATATTGCAAAATATTAATATGTTGAAAAATCTATAAAGATAATAATAAATTTACTTATAATTTCACATATCTACAACATTCCATTATTCCCAAAATCTAATTTAATGTTTCATTGAAATAAACTCCGTCGAACTTAGGGCAATACTTTGGGTACTTTGTACTTTATAGGACTTAAGAAAAGCAGTATTTAAAAGCAATTGATTAATGCATCATTGCAGTGGGTGCCCTTCGGTGTCACCAGTGCAACTCGGAGGACAATATTGCATGCAAAGGCCTGGATGATAACTGGTTCCGGAAGGAATGCACTTTCCCCAGCGGTATGAAGCCCTTCTGCATGAAATCGGTGTTTGAGAGCGACCTAAAGCACGTTGTAAAAAGGAACTGTGGACATTACCATGCGGAGATAAACCATGGTTGTATCTTCGTCGACAACGATAGCGACATTCAGGCCATGTGCACATGTGCCGACGACGGATGCAATGGAGCCAAGTCCTTGATCGGAACCACCCAGGTGGCCTACAGTCTGGTTGGCTCTGTGGTCAGTCTGCTACTTACCAACATCTTCAGGTGTTAACTTAGCCGCGGAATCCGTAACTTGTAAACTAACCTTGAAGCCAAATAAATTTGCATACAGATGGACATTATTGTTTTGAATGCAGCTGTGAGTAAGCTTATACTTGTTAAATAGAGAGATTTGAGTATATTATGAGAGTTTTAAATAATAGTCATATAAAAATATGAATCAATATAAAAAATATTTCCTCAGGGTGTAGTCCGTTTTTGTTGGCCATGACCAGCGACTTTAATGCCAGCGAGTTGCTGTTTGTCTTCTGCACACATACAGATGCGAAAATACGCAGATAGAGATACAGATACAGATACAAACACAACCTATGGGTCGACCTACATGCGTTAGCATTTGAGCTCTGTCGTCGCCAGCTCAAATGGCTCTGCGGCTTTTGTCTATGGGTGCGTTCTGTCGACAGAGTGGCGCCTTGTTGCCACAGCAACAGCATCCGCCCCGCCCCTTCCGCCCATCCGCCCACTGGCCGGCCACGCCCCCATCCCCAGGCTCATTGGCAGCCTTGTCTCTGTCTGCTCAGTCGTTGGCTTCCTTTTATTTTCGCCGACAGCTTGGCGCCAACATAAAAAACATTGATTTTGAATTCACTGAGCGCCCTCGCCAAAAACGCTGTCCAAATCATTTATTTCTGTTTTTGCGACTAGCTATTGGCCTTTCTTCGGTTCCGTATTTTCTTTAATTGTTTGATTTATAAACATAAATTGGCGGACGATTTTTACTTCCTTAAGAGATGCTTTAAAGCATTAACTTTTTGGTTGGCGAAAGTAGTTTTTGGGATAAATAAACACAGTATGAATATTAAACCTGAAACAGGGTATTAATTTGGTCAAAAACCATTTAATTAAAGTGCTACCAATAATTGAAAAACTTCTAGTGTTCCCTGGTAAAAGTTTCACACTTGAAAGGCACTCCAAAGTATGCGTCATTAAAGTAAGCTAACATAAATGTCATTACGCGCAAAATTGCGCATACGCAGGGTGGGTCGAGCAGAAGAAAAGCACAACTCCACCAGGCTATAAAGTTATCATTGTCTGCGGGGCTCTGGCATTTTGTTTTTCATTCCAAGCCATTGCGCAAATATTTGTGCAATGAAATAACCATAATTTTGTCGGTTGGAATTTCAACCAGCATTTTTCTGTTGTTAATACCACAGATTGTTGCGATTTAATTAATGGAGTTTTATGAATTTAAAATAAAATGCAACCTTAAATGTATTGTTTATAAAGGCTAAACGGTTTTTTAGAAACCCGATTATTCTAGCTTTCTTACCCGAGAACATATCTCGTAGTTTTGCCAGCGTTAAATCTCAACAAAGTTTTCCTTGCGCAAAAGCCAACATTTGTCTTTGGAATTCGCCAGCATTTAAGAGACACAGATTTTGCATGTTAATCAGCTGCATGATTTGTACTTTGCTGTGTGTGTTCTTGCCAAAGCCAAATAAATATTTGTATTGTTCATTGTGTCACGTTCCGCAACCACTGTGGCGTATACGCAATGCGGAGTAAATATTTTTACTAGCTGCCTAGAAGTATGCCATGATATTTTGTATTTGTCACGCTCTTTCAAAAGCTGATTGCTGTTGATGATGATGATGATGCTGCCACTGCTGCTGCATTCCTGTGGCACGTGCTGCACGAAAGACACCCACAAATTGCTGCAATAGCTCTTCCAGTTCCTCCGCTTTTCCTTGGCTCATTGACCTGTGAATCGCATAAAGGACAGGGGGTGAAATGGTAGGAAATCCCTGTCTTTTCTTCGTCGATTCTTCTTTAGGCTTCAGCCCACCTGAGGCTGCTTGAACGGCGATTGCAGTCAAGTGCAAGTGATTGCTGGAAAAATTACGTACTTTGGCATTGTTTGCCTGCCAAATTGATTTTATGTGCTTAGCATTCCTGAGATGATCGCCCTGGCAGTTGTGCAGGTGACCTCAACAGAGACTTCGCTTTTGGAAAAGGTTTAAATAATAAATCTAGCTATTTGAGTACTAATTTCATTTAAGATGCAATCATATTTAAATAAAACTTTTATATAGATAGTGATTTTAACAACAAAAGTGGTAATGTGACTTAGTTTTTGTGTCTTAGTTTTTCTTGACATTCAATTAAATGAAATATCAAAACAGCTATCAATTTCATACTTACATATGTGACAAATCAAAACTATAACTATAACTATATTTTCTTGAATGCTATGCAAAGATGTATCAATTTTATAACTAAAATTCATTTTAATTTTATGTTATTACATGTTAACACAAAAGCTTGTATTGTTAGTTGCAGACATGTAATGTAATATAAAAACTTCAATTTACTATCCTCTAGTTTCAAAAGTCAATTTAAATTTATTTTAGTTTCAGTTTGTGCCAGTTAAATCCCACATCAGCTGTTATACGAAACCATAAAATACCTTTGCTGGCTCAGCATATGTATGTAGTGCAGAATAATCCCGGCGAACTGTGTGTGGGATTCGTTTGCCATTGTACAAGTAGTTTTTCTACTTCGATACTCCTGCATTTGCAAGCGCATTTGTAGCGATTGATTTACCCAGAAGCTGCAGATATAGCACGATAAAGTTTTATGTTTATGGCTGGCATCGAAGTTGCCTTGAATTGGCTTTACCCTCGTCCTTGGCAGCTGCTAGTGGGCAAGTTAATTGGCTTCGGCAACCCAAGGCGATGTGTGTGGCACGGTGCGTATACGTAATGAAACTCAATTAAATTAGAGTAAACAGAAGTCCGCCGTTTACCGACTTAAGTTCTTTTGTGGCTGCCATTTTAGCTGGTTAGTTCTGTACACTGACACACTTTTACGAAGCCATCGTAAATATTTCATCGCTGCGGCTTCACAAGAAAAAAGTTTTTCAATTAGCATGCCAAGCGAAAATTTCAACTAATTAAAGGCCATTTTGTGGGCGGAGATTCGCAACAGCAGAAAAACTTTTGACCCACAAAATGTTGTTACCATTTTTTTTTTTTGGCAAACCTAGATTTATGGCCATGGTAAAAGAGAATAAAAATAAGCGAAAAACACATTTTACGATTTGCACGGTTCGATGCAAAGATAAAGAGGTTGTAAACCAAAGTCGAGTACCGACGAAAATGTGTCAAGTTGTAAAAATCGAAAGCATATTCGTGTGGCCGTCTATGAAATTCGGTGTAAGGAAATGCCAACAGGAAACGGAAACGTGCGTAAACCATTTTAATTATGTCCTGTGGCTCTTAGCAAATGAAGCGGCGACATGCGATGGAGAGCACCCCAGGAATTATGACATCAACACGTCGACGTCATCATCGCCATTGTCCAGACAGCCTCGAATGTGTCCTTGCCACGCGGCAGCCATATTTGGCAGTGCAATTGGCCCGGCTCTGATTTCATTTCCTTTTTGGCTCTGGGCAACAGGCTGCGGGTTTATGGCCCGCGGCCAGGAAAACCAGTGGAAATGGCCGGCTCTAAAGGGTAATTGAAATTGGCGCTGACTCGCGATTTCACCAGAAGAAATCGTTGGTGTTGTTTACAATTTTAACAAGATTGTGGCAATTAAAACTTCAAATCCCCCGGAAGTTTTGCTTTGCGATTTGGCAGAGTCAGCTTAAAGGAAATAAACTTAGTTGTTTTGTTTTAACTTTTAAGGCCAGGCAGTGCCCATTATCCCTATTGCCGAAAACCCCAAAAAAACAACTCGAGTTAAGGTTTTTTGATCAAAACCAATGGAAATAATGGTTAAGTGTTGGAATGTCATACCTCGTTAAATTCGTTATAAAATTTCCAATAGATTGGCATTCCCAGTTAAAAAATGTTTTTTTCGTCCAATTTTCGCAAAAAATTATGAGTTAACCCCTTATAAAAAATGCGAAAATCGATGAAAAAATTAAATTTCCCAAATCAACATAGAATTGATTGTATAGGTTCACAGCTGCACAAAACGGTCTTTTTTTGGCTGTGCGTCTTATTTGGGATAAATTACAACAAAAAACGATTAAAAAATGGGTCTTAAATATATTTTTTTGATGGCCAAAATCTGGAAAAATCACACTTGATTTTTCAGTTTTTTAAGCAAAACCCTTGGAAATAATGGTCAGATCTTGGAATGTCATACCTCGTTGAATTCGTTACAAAATTTCCAATCTATTGGTATTCTCAGCTAAAAAATTTTATTTTGTCCCAAATTTTGAAAAAAATCAAGTGTTACCCCTTATAAAAAATGCGAAAATTGGTCAAAAAATAAATTTTCCGAAATCAACCTGATATGGATTGTATAGGTTCTCAGCTGCACAAAAAGGTCATTTTTTTGGGTGTGAGTCCTATTTTAGCGAAGTTATTACTAAAAACCCTTAAAAAAATGACCTTTTTGACCAAACTCAAAAAAATAGAACTTAAATTTTGGGATTTTTATCGAAACACTTGGAAATAGTAATCAAATATTTGAGTGTCATACCTCGTTGAACTCGTTGTAAAATTTGCAATTGCTTGGCATTCGCCAATTTTAGCCAAAAATCACTACGTTACCGTCGTCGAAAATAAGTAAAAAAAAAAAACCAAAAAATCCAAATGAAAAAAAATAATAATAAAGTAGATCGAAAGCCATCTTCACAACGAAAATAGACAACTCAAGGAAATTAATAAACTATTTGTTGATATGCCAGCCATTGGATTTAGTCGACCCATCGGCAAGACTTAATATCTTATATTTATTTTCTAAATTGAATTCCACAATGTTTACCCTGTGATTTCAATTAATAAACTTCTTTGCCACTAATTAGTGTAAGTTTATATGGAACATTTTGGCCAAGAACCACTGTGGCTTTGTAGAAGATAAGGTTAAGCATGTTTTAAACTACCGCGAAGTGAGTGCCTGGGGGTTCATCACCACCACACCTGCCACCCCCAAAGAAAAAAAAACCGTCTACTCCATTATCGTGCACCAGAAACAAGCGGCCACATTAGCTAACCCTTTTGGCGGATTTTTGGGGCCAGGGCCACGACCTACACCAATCACTGTCTGCATTGTTTATGATAAATGGAAACGCTTGCCAGCTGCTCGGCCCCGCGGGAGATACCAAAGGATTCGCGGTTCTGGTGGGGATTGGGATGGAAATGGGAATGGGAATGGGGATTTCCTGAATGTGAGGACAACCGCTGGCTGGCGATAAATGAGCGCCCACGCCCAGGATGTCGTCTGTGGCCATGTGACGAGGTCAGGGAAAAAGGGGAAGCCGCAATACAGAAAAGCGGATGGGTTTTTTCGCTCTTGGGCGCCACTAATTGCTGTGCATTGTTGCTGCCATCCAGTCCCCGGGGCACCTCCACCTCAATATCCTTGGCACCCAGCCTCTCTCCTTGTTTTTCGCAACTCCCCGGGCACTCATATTTTAACAGACTATCGCGCGTATCCTCCTTCTGCGTTTGAATACATAATTTCATTTAAGCTGCGATGGCGAGCTTCTCTGGCTTAGATGATGGGTCAAACGGGATGGTGTTTCTCTGGCTGGAGCATTTTTAGTTGCCTGGGGAAGTGCTCAAAAAAAGTTACATAAGTTTGTCAATAATATTATACAAAATGTAGTACAAATACGTTTTTATTTTATTGTTGCATTTATAAAATTTTTTAAATGCTTATGTTACTTTATTTTAGTTTGTTGAAACTTTACAAGTAATATATTTTAATGTATGAAAATGACTACATAATATATATATTATCTTTGTTATCTTAATGTATTGTTTGTTTCCAACCTTTTTTAAAACAGATCTTAGAACGATAAAATGTAGATTAAGCCTTATTATCCTTTATCTTACTATTCGGGGAATATAACTGTATTATTATTCAAATTTTGACATTTTTTCATATTGTCTTTGGTGTTGAGTTTGGCCGCAGGGAAATTGCTTTTATTCCGTCGCGGTTCCTCTGTTCCTTTGACGAGCTCTTGCGTTTGGGCTGGTGCATTTTGCAATTTAAATAATTTTTCCCTTTTGCTGCCATGTGGGGCGGCCAAGACGTTATTACTGTCGGAATCAGGAGCCACTCGAGCGACGCACCCACGCAGCAAGAGATCCCAGGACGAAGGACGAGGGACGCAGGACGACGGGCCAAGTAACCGCCCATATAAAGCAGCTTCGGGTCGGGGTCGGGCCAAAAACGATGACGTCGCCATCGTCGTCGTGTGGCACATCCTTTTGCAGGCAATTGGCGTCGCCAAGCTGGCTTCCAATTTCAGTTTGCTTTTGGCCAACGGCAGTGGCGGAACCTCTCGACCAGCTTGGAGCGGAAAATCCGAGAAGAACGCGCGCGAGTGCCTGAAAATATTTGAAAAATCTCCAACCAAAGGGAAATAAATCTAGAGAAGGAAAATAACAGTGCAAAAAATGTCAGGAATTCTATTGCTTCTGGCCCTGCTAGCCTTCATTTCAAATGGTGTGTGTGTGTGTGGTTGTGTGTGGGTGGTGATTTGCCTGCGGTTTCTGTGCCCTTAGATTGTGAAATATAAATTTATATTGCATATCCCACAGGCGCTGCCATCAAATGTTACGTCTGCGACTCGAGCGATAATCCCAGCTGCGCCGATCTGGGCTCCAATTCCAGCATTGTGCCGGAGGTGAGTGAAAAACAGGATTATCCATCGGCGGATTGATTGATGATTTGCCTATGACCTGTTGGCGGTGGGCTGGGCACTCGGCAGCCGGGTCAAGTTGGCTCAACCTTTTCAATCTTGGCCCAATCTGACCTTAATCAAAGTGCTGGGCCAAAAGCCCAGACGGTCACAAATTAAAACTACATGGCACATAAATTCTCACCCCGCAAAAAAAAGGTGGAAGCGAACGGTTAGAAATAGAGCCCACAAAAGCGGAAACGGAAACGTGCTACGTCGTCGTCCTCTTGTGGGGATCCCCTTTTTCCACATTCCCCTCTTACAAACTAAGTGAATTTTCTGTTACTGGCATCTTTCTACTTTTTTTCTAAAGGGGACTTTGAAAGGAAGGAAGGAACTTAGCCGGCCACGTGCCAAACAGTTGAAATACTTTCACAAAAGTCCAACAACGTAAATTTGAACCTGACAGGCTCTTGTAGAAACCTAGTCGCTTGTTAGAAGAATTAATTTGATTTAATGTGGCGACAACTGGGCGATTATAATCCCCTTTTTTATTTTTTAAAGATTCCTCTAGACATTATTATGGATTTATTTTATTTACTACTTTCACAAGGAGAACACTTTCGCTAAGAATATTCAAGCAGTTATCCAAGATAATAAAAATAAAAATAAATATAAGGTGAAGTATATACCTTCATATAAATTTATTAAAATATGATAATGAAAGCATGTTATTTACTTAATTTAAGATCAAGTCTAGCTTCACGAAATTGAAAACTACATTTAAATTTATTGCTAGTTTCAAATATATTATCGAAGTCAATTGTTGTTATCAAAAGATAAAGTGACAAAGTAGACAAGACTCCCGTGCGGCCGTTCTATCATTTCTAAGAGAGATAACCAAATATTCATTCAAACAAATAATTCAACGCAATATTTAAAGAAGTCACATTAATTCTTAAAAAGTATTCTTTGTGTCAAATCAAAGGTGCGAATTCGTAATAACTAAACTGCAAAGAGCGTGAAGTGGTCTGATTATTTTGTGATTTTTTAATCTAAATGTTCTTGTCAAAATAAATAATTCAAAATCAAATTAGTCGTGCCAAATTAATCTCATCAATTTATGAGGTTTGTCAAATTTTAGATTTGAATTTGCTAAATTAACAACCAACTTGGTCAAGCGTTCAGGGCCTGTTATGAAATGAACGCTTATCTTTTTTGATATTTGCAAATCAGAATTTAAAAACGTCATATTTAGGTTGGTTTTTTACTTGCTAAAAATAATAAGTTGATTAGAAAGTAATAAACTGCAAGCATACGCAAGTATTTATTTCTATATTATTATATTTATGGCAAATCGGAAAGAAAGAAAAATATTTTATTCTTATTATATCATTACGTTTTAGAGTGACTAACTAAAATTCCTAGTTTCTAATCACAGCTTTTCCTGTGTTCTCATAATTATCCACTATTTTCCTAACACTTTAAAGAGTGATTCCCCGATTTTGATAATTGATAACTATAATGTCTATAAAGTTTTACACCTTTCTAAGAAATCGTATTTGTTCTTAACTTATCTGGGTTAAACAAATGGAGTTCAAGTGCTTTACTCTTTGTCTGATAACCAAGGCTGTTTGGCAAATGCTCATATTGATAAGATATATTGATAAGCTACGCACAAGCTGCAGCAGCAATAATTACTTCAATTACAGGCCTGCGACAAGATTGTAGATCAACAAGCATTCATTGTGCACATTGTTAAAAAATCAGCAAAAGGTAAACAACGACTAATGACATTTATTGGGCTTATTTTAGGAATGCACATTGGACAAAATGAAATCGCTAGACACCTGGCTTTTTGACCTAAACAAATTCTCCTATTTCGATAACGGCGCCAATAAAAATCCGCTTATGAATTGCCAAAAAGTTGTGGCCAAAGACCGTGAGTATTTGCACGTAAGCCTTGCTTTTTTTGTAGCAATTAGCTTAATGTATATCACAGTCCTAGCATTATATAATATCCCATATGAATCATTGAAAATGTATTTGTCTTCTGACATACATTTATCAACATTTCAGCTAATATTTGCCTTGGCTTATAAACGATTGTTATCAGATAGATAAATATACCTGGGCAAGTTGCATTTTACCAAGGGTGGTATATTTTATGGTGGCTAGTCTAGCTGATAATTGAACAGATTTATAGTTTAAGGGAAATTACATTTCATAAAATTCTAGTTCCTGTTAAATTTGAAGCAAACTAAACAAAAATTTCAGTGATCTTTTAAAGAAAACTTCTCAAATTCGATTCCTGTTAAAAATACTTTAATATAATAATATTAGTGCATTTTTTTAAGAAGTGACAAGAGAACAATACTAAAAAAATGCATTTCAAATTAAAATGAAAATCATCTTATTAGAAATAAGAAATGGGAAAAATTAAAAACTTAATTTTGTTTATCCGCAGCTGACACTAGAAAAGTGGTGACTGCTCGCTTTTGCCAACTGGACACCGGGGATTCCGATGCCTGTCAGATCCTGAGGACCAAGCTGCGAATCCCGTCCCCCGAGGAGCGGGATCAGCGCAATCGCAACCAGAACAAGAGGCGGAAGAAGGGCCAGGATGCGGATGACGAGGACGAGACCTCCGCAGAGGATGCGTTCTTCTGCGATATTTGCAAATCGGATCGCTGCAATGGAGCGGCGGCCATAACGCTATCAGTGGGTTCGGTTTTGGCCCTGATTTTGATCCAACTGGGCCACTAAAGCAGTGAACGTACAAGGGATATACATATATATAGACCTATACCGATGGAATGAGTTGGTTGCATTTAGGTTGAGTTACCGTTAGCGTTACCCTGGCCGTTTACTTTGTAAATATTTGAGTGCAATGTCGCTGATTCGTACAAGTGTTTCAAAGGCACTCACTTAACCCCCCTACCCCTTACCTTTCCCTCCCACCCTTTCCCTCACCCCTAGACATGTAAGCACCCACACACAAACCCCAGTACACCGATACAATACACAGAAACGGAGAAAGCTAACACACATAGTCCCTTTGATTCAAAACAAATATGAAACTTTCGATTTCCAAAATAAATACCAAAAAATTGTAGGGATAACCATGTTTGCAAGATACTACATCCTATATACATATATCAATGTTTATGATACTATGTTGTTAGCCCTTACGATCTAGCTTTATTATGTTACTATTCAGATTGTTATTTATAATTGCTAGGAGCGAAGAGTATAAGAATTCACCGAATGCCTTTAATTTTCATATTTCATAGCAAGCAATATAGAGGTGAATTAATATTGACGTTGGATGTGTATATTATTAGGTAAATTCAAAAGTGCTTAGTGAATTCGCGTTAAAAATTACCGGATTTTTGAAACTTACATCTGATATGGTATAAATAAATTTGTCATAAAAGCCGCAAGCAAAAACAATCAACTAAAATGCAAGACGCGAATTTATGAATAAAATATAACAAATGCAATTATTGTTAAATAAATGTGCAATTAGACGAAATGTAAAAGCAATGCAATAGATATTCTGAGAGCTTAGAACCGCCTAAAAGCCGCACACTACATAGTACTATATGTTTTTGCGCCGAATCGAGCAATCAGTTCTGCTTAGTTCATAAGCGAGTTTTGAAATGGAAACGAAAAATTGAACATTCAGAGCACACGAATAAATGCTGTATGACAGTATAACAGAGTTGGGGTACGAATTTATTACTATCAGATAACGACGACAGTAGCTGTATAACAGTTTCTGTATCAAGAGAAAGGGTATCTTGGATTTCAACAGAGTTTTGTAATGCTGTGAAGTATTTTGGGTCGAAAAGAAAAATGATGAATGGATTTAAATGAAAGGTAATTAAAGAATAATTTTTATTAAACAATATTTTATTATAGATATTTATTCTTTATATAATTTATATGGAAAGTTCCGCATGTTTATTAACCGATTTTTCTTTCTTTTTGTTTTTGTACTTTGATGTACTTTTTTAGAAAAACACACTTAATAGGAAGTTATTTTATATGTAGGTATCTTAAAGATATGTTTACAAAACAGTAGTGATTTATAGCTGAGTAAGTATAAATCAATTCTATTATAGCTATAAAATCATGAAAGGTATTCAACACTTCGGTTTCCAAAAACTCCTTCATGTTTCCTTCTTGTTATGTTTTTCTCTTTCTTTTTGGGATTTTTTCAGCAATCAAAGATAATTTTCCCATTACTCATGTAAGATGCTTCAGTTCTTTGCCTCCAGCCCGCTTATCAATATCTCGACCTCTATCGCTCCCTCAGTCCATCTCTTTCTGGCGCACTTAATTTGAAAGTCTGGGCCGATGCTATCGTTTGCCGCGTGTAGTTTTTGTCCCCACTTCCAGGGCACTACATGTTTCACCAATGCGGCAAATTATTGGCCCCCCCCTCCCCCCCCCCCAACCTCTGGCCCACAATTATAGCGATAGTGAAAAAAACAGCCTCCGGAAACTTATTTGTGCCAGTTCAATTTGAATTTTCGGTAGCAACTGCTGACACGAACGCAGAGCGGAAAAAATAGATGAAAAAACCCCAATAAGGAGTCGCCTATTTTCACCATTCTAAGGGCTTCTCAATCGGAGAAAGTTACCTACCTTGCTTGACACCTTGACGTTTTGCAAATTGAAAGTTTTCGAACTTCCCCCAATTTTCCACCCCATTCAACCTGCCCCAAATGCGTTTTTTGTGGTTTGTGCTGTTGCTGGCTTTCGTTACCTGTGGCCCAGGTGTTTCAGGTATGTCATAAATCACGGAGCGATGTAAGCCATCCCACATGCTAATTGATTGACCCCGAACTGAGTTGCAAAAGTTGCTCATACGCAACGTTGAACCCCGCAGAAGGGTGCGCTTATTGCCCGAGTAATCCAGCTGATAAGTTAAAGCTGATAAGGCACACCCTCACGCACACTTTCGCAGATGGGAGTGGGCTTAGCCAAGGTCATGGGTGCGCTTTTTCCCCCTGGCAATTATTGGTACCCAACCGCAATTTGCATGTGGCACTATTACAAATTATTAGATTAATTATCACATATCTAAAGTCCTAAAAACACAACCTTTTGGTTGATTAAATGTTTTCACAGTTACCACACTTAAATTCAAATTATTTCAATATGATATAACTTTCAGAAACATATTAATGATTTCCAGATTTAAATCTGGTTTAAATATCTTTTGGTAAATCAACGAGTCAAATTGGAATATATTTTTAAATAATAATTGAGCCCACCCAGAAAAAAAAAAAAAATGTTTTCTAATAATGATTTTACTTTTCTGGCTTATCTCTTAAACACCCGTATTAGTTAGTATAAGCTGGTACTTTAGAACATCCAACTAAGGCGCTGTAGATTAAATTTCAATGCTTAATTTTATTTTTGTATTATTATTACTATTTTTTCTGCTGGAAGCTTTGCGTTGCTACAAATGTGAGGACTGCGATGAAAATACCCAACTAAGCGACATGGAAATGTGCGATGGCCCACTTATGAGTGGGAATGGACAGGGCACACCTGCCGGTTTCAGTCCGAGTCCGAGTCCAGTACCAGGAGGAGCTCCTTCTCCAGCTCCTCCTGCACCTTCTCCTGCTCCTGGCGCCCCCGCCCCTGCTCCCTCCCCCTCCGCTCCCTCCGATGCCAGCGAAGAGGAGGACTATGAAAGCGAGGAGCCGGCCACCGTAGGCATAATGGCAGCAGGAAACGGTGCTGGAGGAGCAGGAGGAGGAGCAGCTGGAGCTGGAGGAGCAGCAGGAGGAGCAGCTGGAGGAACAGTAGGAGGAGCCTCTGGAGAAGCAGGAGTAGCTGTCAGCGAAGAGGAGGAGGAAGAGGACGAAGAGGAGGAGGAGGAGGAACGACGCAAGCGGAGATCGATTGCCCGACAGGTCGACCTCGATATGCCAATCGCCTTCTGCTACACAGTGAGGCTCAACCGTAAGCATCTGCCTTCGATTCCCATGACATCTCATTGCAAAATCATAAAATTCTGTCGGTGTGATGCTCCCACCCACAGCGATAGGTTATCTACAATTGAGTCACCCATGAAATAATAGCACAAAGTGCAAAATGAAATGCACTTAGGAAAATATGATGAAAAACTTTATATAAAAACTACTCAGAGTTCTTATTATTTTATCAATTATTTTTATTTAGGACCATTTTCAACCATTCAATTTCATTTCAAATTCGATTATTATACGTTATTCTATGGAACTTTTGTTTACTTGTATCATATTTTGGCCATGTAAATTCAAGATCACAAAAAATTTTAATTTTTAAAGAAAACAAAATTGTTATATATTTTTTCGATTAATTTTTAAATGTAATACAATATAACCCAATAAATTTGTAATTACTTATTGATTCATATGAAAGTGAAATTTTATAAGTATAAAAGGAATTTGTATGGCGCCACTAGTTTATAAAAACGGCAACCTTTATTAGTTTAGCATATATTTTTAGAAATTGTTCAATATTTTAATTATCAAGAGGAATTTGTCACTTAAAGACTATAATTTCCTCTTAATCAACAGGACTGTTTTTGTTCTTTATGTTAAAGGCAACTGAACCTTGAATAACACTTGTTCCATTTTAATGATAAGGTATTCAATATATTTTTATGCCAAAAGCTTAGTCAACAAATGCTTATAAGTAGATATGATTTCACACAGCTTTAAATATAATAACATACTAATTGAGCCTGCTCCACAGTCAATGAATCAGTGATCACCAAGAGGGGCTGCACCACCGCCAGGATGAGCAATCAGACGGGTGGATGCGACGGTCTCTTCGAGAACTGGACGGTGGCAGGATGTCAGCTGTGCCAGGACGACGGATGCAATCAGCCCATCACTGGATCTTCCAGCAGAAATATCGGACAGTCCTGGACATTTCTAGCACTCACGCTAATGGCATTTATGACCCGCTATCTGGGCAATTGATTTGATATATAGAAATACATTAATATATTACCCACAAAGTTTGACTTCGACTTTGGCGTCTGAGTTCATTTTATTTTTGGGAACGCTTGCGGCTTTTACGAGCCGCATGATGTCTCTATTTATGGGACGCTTACCACTCGTAAAGTTCGGTGGCAATGAGCACACCTGAGCTATTTTCGCATAATTGTTTAATTGGCATCGATAAGACACTGTCCCTTTTTTTTTGATTCGCCCGCAGGGGAAAGTGCTCGCTCATTGAGCCCGTTCATTCAGTTGCAGGCGTATCGGAATTAAATCAATTAGTCGCTGGCGATAAGTGGTGACGAGGAATATACCTGTACGAGTCGGGTGCTCCCGTTCAAATACGATTTCATGACTTCATGCGACCCGCAAGCTGATAAACTGATAAACTGATATACTGATCAAATGGCCAAAGCATTTAGGCCGATAAGCGTTAGGAAGTCGAGTGGCAATTGCTGCCTAAAACTTTGTCGAGATTTATGGCCTTATTTTGGGGTCCGGAATTGAGCAGAGTTCTTAATACAGCGATGAGGAAACACGGCCGACAACAAGTTATCACTTTAAGGAAACTTGCTCTAAACTGTAAATGCCACTGCCAAATTCGTAAGGCTGATATAAAATGTATTTATATATTTTATTCAACTCCTCGATTTGTGGGCTCGATTTGGGGACTTTTTAACGCTTCCCCGTTTTATTTTCGTCGGTTTCCGGGACGGTAAAGTAACTTGTAATGACGAGCATGTCCAAAAGCCTTTCTAAAAGCCCCGCTTTCAGATGACGTAGAATCCAATGGGATTCTAAAGAGAATCTCAGTGAGAAGAGGCTAAAACCCCAGAGAAAGAGATTCGAGATTGTCACTTAGCACTTTACGTGATGTCGTCGACACTTTTTAAGATATGTACATATATGCAATTTTTTGTAGCTGTCTTTTTGTCTCCGGGGAAGTTACGGGTTTTTATCTCCCGTCTACACTTTTCAGACGATGCGTCAGTTAACCCATGCGGCACTAACCAGACCCACTCGACATTTGGCACGATCCACGGCCGGTAAATCATGAATTATAAGCCCACGAGGCACATGCTCGACTTCCAAACTGCAAAACTGCACCAGTAAAGTTTCAGGGCCAGTAAATATGGAAAAATAGAGAGACAATTTAACTAAATTATGTGCTGGTTTTCGTACTTTGTTTAACAAACAAGCCATTTAAGACATATCTAACAATATTAATTAATAGTATTTTGTAGCTTAATCATTAGAACGTTTAAATGTGAGCCAAAATTAAAAAAAAAAATTTATTTAATATTCTTTATTAAAAACAAATCTTGATAACAACATCTTTGTATAACATTTTAAAATGTAAGATTAACCAAAATATTTAAAAATGTGTCGTAACATAAAAACCGTGTAAAATATTTTTATTTATTTTGTTTTTAAATAAAAAAGCGACAAAAAGCCAGTCAAACCATACAAAAGTTCGGCTTATCAGCTGACCTTGCGCCTCGTTCGCAGGCTTTTTTCTAGGTCAGAAGGCGAATTGAATTACCTTTCGAGCAAACACGACCTTGGCGTTTACTCGACTGGAAAATTTCGTTAAGCTATTGCGAATCCAGAGTTCTAAGCCAGAGCAATGGGACAGGTGCAAATAGGGTTAGCTAATACGGGCCACAACGAAATCTCTGCTAATTGTTTGGCTCTGTCTAAGCCGCATTTGTTTGCTATTCGTGCTCTGATATTGAATAATAATCATGGGACATCCAAATCCAAACGCATATATATAAGTGACGAATATTATGTAAATGGGAGGCAGGTAATGCGGCTATAAACTTAACAATCGTATTCAGACTGGGATGGGTAATTTCTGGATCTCAGTTGCTGACTAACGAAAAGCTGTTTAATTAGCAACAAATTGGCAACAAAGAGATTCTGGATGAAAACAAAACAACAAAGGGTGCGAAAAGTCGTCGAGAAAAGTGAAATGAATCCCCCAGAACTGAATCATTTGTCGACGGGGGGAAATCCAAAGAACCTAAGATGCCATCCCAGAATATCCCATTTTCCCACATTATCATATCATGCAAAGAGAACCAACCCCCACAATAAAATTAAGAGTGCGCTCTCTTCGATCATTTTAATTTGTGCTCGCTTAGTCGGCATAATAAATTAATTTGTTATCAATAAGAAAAGGCAAACTTGTTTTATGGCCCTCTCTTCATCTCTCGCCCCCTCTCTCTTTTTTCGGCTCGTGCCGTCCCTCTCTGCCGCTCACTCTCTTACGCATTGAAGCCGCAGTAGCAGCGCAGTCCGCTTTTAAAACTCTATAAAAAGTCTCAAACAAATCACAAGATTTTCAGTTAAATTTCAGAATTCGCAAACTGCGGTAGCCCCCAGTAAATCTAATTTTACCAAGTGCGCGCAAATCAAAATAAACAAATAGCCCACATAATTAGTACAAATACTAAACGCGAACATTATTTATAATATATCTAAAATATATATTTTGAAATAAACCAAAACCAAATACAAAAGCAAATAACATGTTCAGCAAAAGTCACATCGTTTTGGCCAGCTCTTTGCTGTTGCTAATCGCCCTGCCAGGTAAAGCATTTTGGGTATTTGAGGCTATTAGAATATCGTGAAAAGTGTCGTGATAACTTTGATGTGTCTTATTTTACCTTAAACGATCTAAATCGTAGGTTTATCAGATAGCGCGCAAAGGAATCATACGATCTGATAAACATATCTTGAGGATTTCAGTTTGTGGCTGCCGCTATAAATACACACTCGTGTCTCAAGTGTTGTTCGCTTATATGCAGTTGCCAAAAAGCCAGCAAAATGAATTCAGAATTCAAGATCATGAACATTTCGCCATAAAATTTTTGCATATCAAGCAGTCGGTGACAACGGCGACAATAAAAATGGTCAATTTATTTGTTATTATTTAACTGTCATAAATAATGCAAAGATTGTTGCCAATTTGCGGGTTTTTTTTTAATCGCCTTGTGATGCGGAAATGTCATCCGACCAGTCAGCTCCCACCCTTCGAATAAATATAGCATTATCATTTGGGCCCACTCTAATTTATGCCTCGAATGAAAAGGAAAAGTCAGCTGGGGAAATTGAGAATAATGAACAAATATTAGTTGACATTGAGTCGAGCTGGCGACTGCTAATTGGAAATGTTATAGTTACACTTAACACATTTTGCAGCAGCGGCCCGAAATGGAAAAACTTGTCTGGCCATTAGCACCATTCAGAAAATAACCGAACAAAACCTGAATTTCTGATATTTTTTTCACGATCGATTGACGCAATTGCAAATGATTTAATTTGTGAATCAAGAAGAGTTACGTATATATATTTAAGGCCACTTGGAAATACCAACTTATTTAACTTCTGTGAAACTTGGTTTTTTTCCATTTAAAAGGGAAAAAGAAAATAAGTCGTCTAGAACGAACTTTGACTTAAACGTTTTTAATGATTTTCAATTAACTTTACACAAACAGCATTTGCATCACAAAGATTTTTATTGACTTACCTAAGTAAATATTTACCCCCCAGTTGCACCTTTGTTTTTAGCGAAAAAAACAACAATAAGTCACTGAGTTGCACTTTTGTTTTAAATGCGAAATAATAATAACACTTACAAATTAATGTTTGTTATTAATGAGAAAGTCAAAAGTGCAAAATATCCAAATGGCGTGGCAAGGTGGCGCTTATCACGTGCCATTAAAATTAAACCCCAACAATACTGTCATTACCCTGGAGAATTTAAGACCTGCCTTCAAGCCCAAAACTGCCCCATCAATCACAATGATTTATGATAAATTTAAAATAATAAATCAACAAAAGTTAGGCAGAGATGTATTGAAGCATTTGATTGTTGGTTGTTATAGAACTATTCTAAATAGTACTGAAGGATTTTAAGTGCTCTTCAGTTGAGAAAAGATCCATTAGTCAGTTTGGAAAAACTTTAAAAGAAAGCACACGGTCAAAATCACCTTCTTGGCCCCAAGTCCCTTATCGATGGTATCATATGGAAAACCGTCAAGTGGAGATTTACTACCTTATCGGATTATCGTGGCTGTCAATCGAGATGACTCACCTGCCCACTGATAATTCGGTTCGTCGAGGGTGTATCCGCATCCCCTGATAAGACAATTAACGCAATTATGCCGGTGTACCCATGCCGATACGTGTTGTCTATTTACCTGTTTGCTTCTGGCAAATATTTGCTAGTTGTTTGCAATGACGATAACATGCAAATGGAATCGATTTTCCGGGGGAGTGCGCCCCCATAAAACCAGATAAAAACAGCTACTTGCGCTTGATCAAAGGCTATGGTAAGGTACTTACAAACTAATACTAAAGAATCGGCAAATAATACGCCAAATACTTCGGATTTAAATTGATTAATGTTGCTCACATGCTCATTGTTCTTATTGTCATCATTTATCGACTATCGTGGTTTTTCTGTTTGCCAAAGCTGTAAATTGAGCACTTTTAACTGATAGATACTATCTTTGCGTCCAATATAATTTGTATGAAAAGGGCAAGGCCACCCAAATAAAAAATTGACTTTGATAAAGGGGAAATGCCGGAAAAGGTGTGCAAAAGTAGGGTATGCAAATTAGGTCCAATATGTTTTTCATTCAAAATTAATAGCTTGTTAACAGTGTAAGGATTTTAGTTGGTGATAAGAAGGTTTCCCAGAAATCATATGGAATTGATTGCTAAAATAAAAATACCTTGAAATCAGAAAAGACCAAATCAATTTAGGTCAATTTATAATTAGGCCTTATAAAAAAAAAGACATAAAACCGTATTGCCTATGTATATAAGATCATAAACAAACCCTGGGACTCTGAATTATGGTCGATTTATATGGCTTTCGAGTTATTTATAATATGATATGCGAAAAAATAGAAACAGTCATAATCAAATAAATATTTTTTATTGTGTTAAGTACTTTACTTTACTATAAATAAACCAATTTTCTTTAACTTCCAGTAATTCGCGCCGATCTCATGTGCTATGTGTGCGATGATTGCGCCCAGCTGCCGAAGGATGCACCCCTGTTGGCCTGTAATGAGGACTTCTTTAATCCTGGCGGCAGCACAGAAGCCTCCACGGTGACCACCACCACGACCACCGAAGCGAGCACCACCACTTCGCAGGAAACCACATTGGCTCCAGTGGAAACCACCACTCCGAGCACGAGTGCTGAGACGGATCCAACGACAACGGAGTCCACGAGCACTACGGTGGAGATCACTACCACCGAACTGACCACCGAAGCTACCCAGAGTACCCAGAGCACCCAGAGCACGGAGGCACCCATTCCCACGCCACCCACCGCCGGACCCGTTGAGACAACCACCGGAGTGCCCACGCCACCCGCCGAGGATCTGGCTGCTCTGTCGGTGGCCTTGAACACCACCCGCCTGGTGCCGGTGGAGGCGGAGACCACCACGCCCACTTCCTCACTGGCCATCCGGCAGCGGCGATCAGTGATCGACACCGGATTCACCTACCACTGCTATTCCGTCCAGGTCACAGGTGAGTCACTTGGGAATACCACAATTTTGATACTTAAAATCGGGAAATCACCTAAAATACAGCTTATAATAAGATGGGAAAATACCTCCCATTAATATATTTATATATATATGTATAAATTAATTATATATATAATTTCTTAACTTGTAATCTCTGTTACCGTGTTTTATACATTTATTAAACCAGTTTCCCTAGTTCAATCTATTATTGACATTAATAGATGATATATTAAGAAATTTTTAGCATAAATTAGAAAGACAACAAATGAGCTTTGGGGGAATTTTTATGATGTTCTATGTTTTCAAATGCAATCTATTAAACAAAACTAACCTTTTTATCCTTCCTAATTCTTCTAGTGAACGGCACCATGTCCACAGATCGTGGCTGCTCCCGGGTGAGCACCATGGAGGGGGTTTGCGAGCAGTTGAAGATCCAGAACAACAACACGGAGCTGGCCAACTGCAATCCCTGCAGTATGAACGCCTGCAATGGAAGCTCGACGCTTCAGAACTCCGTCCTGGCTACTCTGCTCCTGGCTTTTGTGGCCTTTGCCCTGCAGCGCAACTAAGGATTAGATCGTAGTCCATCACCCGGTGCTTAAGTCTAGTATTCCTCGTTTCTTTGGGGCGAACACACACTCATCAGTCCGCGCCCATTGTTAAGTGATTCGAAAATTTATGTAATTTTTAAGATATACACAAACGCACATGCACAAAAAACCGAATATCGAAATATATACAACTGTACTTGTATACAAACTTAATCTAACCAAATGTAAAGCTTCAGGCGACTTAATAAATAATATGTAATTATAAAATCAAGAAAACTTTAGTTTATCTAATTTAGCTTGTTGTGGGACTCTGTATGGCATTCTAAGATATTTTTAGTGTCAATAAAACCACTAAGTGAATCAAGCAGTAAATCTAATCTTCAATAATAATACTCTCCGTTAATATCTCTAGAGGATTTTTGTCATTTAATGGGGAATATAAGTGTGTGATCATATCCTGGAGTAGACATAGTAATCAAAGTAAAAACAAACATCCTAAAAAGTTTTTAGTGTGATAAAAAACTGTCTGGCTTTCTTAGAGAAACAATTAATTTTCATTTCAAGCTCATAAATAACACAAATATTCCTTCAACATAATATACCTGCATAAAACAAATATAGACGGGAAAATATTTTTGCACTACCAATACGAATGTCACGTATACGCCTAGTGGTACGATTTCATTTGTTGAACAAACAACCGACGTAAAAAATAGGCGGAGGCATACTTTTAGGCCATTTATGCTAAACAAATTTGCTCAAGACAAGCCCAAAAGCAAAATAAACGCGGAAATCAAACACACAACAACAACAGATTCTCATTGATAAGATACGATTTTATTACCATTTTTTGTACCTTTTGGCAACACCAAAGGAAATAAATATACGCCCACGCGTAATCAATATAGTGATTTTATAGCGCCAAATAAATCCTATAATAAAGGTATTGATAAGTTCAACAGAACTATTTAACGCCACCTTTCGAAAGTTCGCTACCTACCGCTACTCACTTTATCCTGATTGTACTACAAGAAGTACTTATTACAGCAGTACTAACCAGCATGTTAGACGAATTGATAAAACCTGTAATCAATAGAATTTCGTCACTAGATTATGAATAAGGGCTGAGAACGATAGTGTTGTCATAGATTAGCATAGTAATCGTAAAGGTAACACAAGAAATCAATTTCTTTATTATTGCGCAGGTCACAAGAAAGAATCATAATTTTTAAAGGTCCAATGTCCGCAGAAGTACACCAAATTACGAAGGCTTTGGTGCTCATCTATCAGCCAGCTGTCCAAAATAATATGAATCAGTATAAATATATGTTCATATAACTCTTTATTTAACCACACGGAAAATGTATGAATCATCCTTAATATATGTATTAAATGGTATTTATTTATCAGAGTGCTGAATTCTTTTGGCGACTTGAGCAGACCACGCAACGTGCAAAACGATTAGTTATTTTACACTCAAAGAAAATAAGTTCCGAAAAAGGCCTTTCTTTTATAACTATTGTAGTTTAGGTATAAACTTTGTAGTTTATATTTAAGCATCATGTTTTTCGAGGCATGAAGTTCCTAATTGAGTAACTATAGAAATATTTTATTCAAATTCAAGAACAGCTTTTTGTGTTTTTTAACTGGCAATTATATGTATTCAATTTTTACTATTTAACTATCATAGTGTTTAAAATTGTGTAATTTCAAATTACTAATTTGCTATGTAAATGCTATGTCATGTAAAATCACTTCTCCTGCATTTGATTATTGGAAAATAAATAGCATGCACAATAATTTCTTTTAAGTGCATATATTTGCGAAGTACAAACACATGTGTATTTATACAAACAATTAGGCTCATTACTCTGGCAAAGACATCATAAACCCAGGGAAAGTCTTAAATGGATCGGGCTGATTAAAAATGTATCCGACTGATTAGATTTTTACGGCCACATTGTTTGGATCCAAAGCCAACCCAGAAATGACGAAATTATTAAAAAACTCATTCAAATCAAAAGTGCAATTTGCTTATAACGGGTTCGGCCCATGAGTATACCCAAAAACAACTGGGGTCTAAGACCCCTGGCCAATGGGATCAAGCAGGCGGTTGATATCGATTTGATAAGCAGGCAGTTCTCGGAACCATGTAGATCGACAACGCTATTGACCATATAAGTGGCCATAAAAACTTCAATAAGCGCAAAAAATTGGGCATCCTGAGGAAGTGTATCCCTGGGTTTCCCCATTCTCTTCACATTCCTTATCGGCACCTATCGGGGCTATTAAGTTTTATGGGGCAGCCATTCCGGCAGGAAGACGAACCACAAAAGCGGGCCTAAACGATGAAAGTGCGCTGCTCTGCTTTTCCGCTGCCTTCCTTATCAGTGACTGAAAATGATAAAAAAGCCAGGTTAACATTATATTTAATTGGTAGTTACCATTCAACCGTTGTGCAGTGCGATTCTTGCCTTTCAAACGTTCTGATCCTCGCTAAAAATAATTGTTCGGTTAATATCCTTTCGGTCGGAAAAAAAGGAAAAATGCGTCCGATCACGGTTAACTTTTTGCTGGTGGCACTTTGTGTCTCTTCTACCATTTGGCCAGGTTGGACTTATTTATCACATTGTTTCGAAGTGCCTGATTGAATAATGCGGAATTTAAACTTACTGATTGATTAATCGCGTGTCAGACGTAAAAACGGAATTTAACTTAAATATATGAACTGTTTCAGTTAGGCGAAAGAAAAATAACTTTGCCTCTTATCAGACGTGCTGTCAACAAATTCCAGTCAATACCAGAGCCATGGCCAGTTCCATTATTGAAATTAGTTTTGTGCCGCCAACAGTCTTTAGCCTATATGTTCGGAGTTGACAAATTGCTAACATAAACTATATTTTTAAAATATATTATCACTAATTAAAAGATCACAATCACTTAAAAATATATAAACGACAATTGAATGGAGCAGCATATTTATGGCCTCTTATACTTAATATATGATTTTAAATTTACAAAAATGATCACGAAAAATATTTGTGCTTAAAAATTTTTATTTATATTCAGTAAGCTAACTGTAATTTTCATAATTTTTGAATTATTGTAAAATATAGTTTTTACTTTCAAAGTTTAAGTAATTAAGCGGGAAAACTGATTATAAAATTATTTCCAAAATGTAAAGGCCTAGATGATTTGAGAAACATATTTTTATTTTGTGGATACTAAAGTTACTCATAATATTTTTCGAAAACATGTTGAAAGTACCGACTTCAATGTAAATAATATGATAACTTTCTATTGGCAGACATTTTTTAAATAGGGATTTTCCCCTGAATTTTACTATCTTGATTCTGGAATTAAAAGATAACAACATCGCAGTGTGTGCATTGGCTGCCATACCACATGATCAACCTTTAGTCGTTGAACAAATTCAATTAGTCGAGCAGAGTACAATAAATTGTTTATATGTAGTATAGCCGTGATCTAGATAAAAAAGAGAACAGACTTAAAGTTGAAAGGTTATCCGATAAAGAACGAATACGAACAAGTACGTTAACCTAAAAAAACCACGATGTGAGTGTAGAAAGTAGTCCGATTTGCTTGATGAGGCAACCGTGCCGATGTTATCTCTTATTTGATTTATCAATCAGAGTTATTGCCTGCTCTCGACCGACGAATTTTATCTCGTTCGGCCTTCGAACCACTCCGCCCCCACCCCTCCGCCTTTCCTTCCACTGACTCACCCACTACATTTTTTCCAGCGAGTGGCCTGCAATGTTACAATTGTGTCGGAGAAGAATGCCATGCGGAAACGGTCCCAGAAATCTCTTGCAATCTGGATGACTCTGAGGCATTTGTATTGGATACAAGTGGCATTTTGAATCGATTCCGACGATCTCCTTTGGTAGTGAAGCCACGAGACACTGAAAATTTGGTAGGATCTATATCATTTAAGAAGCATCCTACTAAATATATAACCAAATGAATATTTATTAAACAGGATGAATCAACAACCGACTCCACAGTAACATCCACAGATGCTTCATCCGCGTCTACAACTGATTCCGATGTCACATCAGACTCTACCATTGCGTCCACAGAATCCTCGTCCGCGACTGATTCAAGCACAGATTCTTCAACCAATCCCCAAACTGTAGGGTCCACAGAATCTTCAACCGATTCCTCAACCATCAGTTCCACAGACTCTTCAACTGCCACTACGGATGATTCTTCAACCTCAGATTCCACGGAATCTTCGACTACCTCAGAACCAGGTTCTTCAAGTCCTTCTACAACTGCTTCTACCACCGATTCTACATCCGAATCAACGACCGATTCTACGACCGACTCTACCACCGATTCTACGACCGATTCTACGACCGATTCTACGACCGATTCTACGACCGATTCTACATCCGATTCAACGACCGATTCAACTTCCGATTCTACGACTGATTCTACGACCGATTCTACGTCCCAATCTACGTCCAGTTCTACGTCCAGTTCTACGTCCGACTCTACGACTGATTCTACGCCCAATAGTTCTCCCGTAACTACAATTTCTCCACCTATAAGTTATAAATTGGCAGCCTGTTACAGCATCTATAAGGAAGGAGGTAATTATTGGTTTCAATGCACAACACACACATATACCAATTGCCTATTACTTCAAACGAAAATCAAACCTAATATCTAACATTATAAATTTATATAAATTTTATTTTACCTATTATTTCCCTTTATCCAAAACAGAGCTCTACCGTGGTTGTATTAAGGTGCCCACAAACGAATCAGCCTGCGAGGCTGTGAAGGACAAACTGGAAATTACAGAGGACTCCGCCGATCAGTGTGACATCTGTCTGACGGACAAGTGCAATGGAAGCACTAGTTTGCAGGTCTCATTGGGCGCCATGATCCTGCTGTTGGCGATGGGTCTGAAAAACCTGTTCTAGGGGATAGCCGAAGAGTGGAGTGCCGTTGTATTATATAATTGTTAGCAGTTTGTATTCATATTTAATAAAAAATGAACTATTATCAAGAATTGACAATTGAGGTTATTATATTTGAGAGTATATAATAAGTCAAAAGTTTGCATTGCATTCAAGAGCACGTTTCCGACCCTATTAGGTATATATATTCTTGATTAGCATCTCCAGGCGAATCGATCAAGCCACGTCTGTCTGACCGTCCGTTTGCTATATGGCTGAAACTGTGTCTTCTTTCCGTCGCAGTACTCCAATTTCAGATATACGGTTTTAGATTTATAAAAATCGAATATTTCTTATAGCTACGATCGACATAACTTCATCGTTTTTAAGCATTGGCTTGCCGAATTTGCTTCTTTTCTTGTTTACGATTTAACTCCTTTATAAATTTTCGAAAAATGGCTTTGCAAAAAAGTGTCAAAAAACGACACTTCTAAGCCCATAACTTTTTTTGCAGATATCCGATTTCTAAGTGACATACTTCTAAATGATCGTGGATTAATTCTCTAAAAAACTGCATTTACAGTTGAGTTTGTAATTTTGGGTCGATTTTTCGTCATTTTTATAATGCTAACCCCTTTCCAAATTTTCGAAAAATGGCTTTCCAGAAAAGTGTCAAAAAACTGGACTTCTGAGCCCATAACTTTTGTTACAGACATCCGATTTTAAAGTGGCATGCTTCTAAATGATTGTGGTTTAATTCTCTAAAAAACTGTGTACTCAGTTTGGTTTGTAATTTTGGGTCGATATTTCGTCATTTTTTAATGCTTACCCCTTTCCAAATTTTCGAAAAATGGCTTTCCAGAAAAGTGTCAAAAAACTGCACTTCTGAGCCCATAACTTTTGTTACAGACATCCGATTTTAAAGTGGCATACTTCTAAATGATTGTGGTTTGATTCTCTAAAAAACTGTATACTCAGTTTGGTTTGTAATTTTGGGTCGATACTTCGTCATTTTTTAATGCTAACCCCTTTCCAAATTTTTGAAAAATGGCTTTGCAAAAATGTGTCAAAAAACGGCACTTCTAAGCCCATAACTTTTCTTGCAGACAACCGATTTTAAAGTGGCATACTTCTAAATGATTGTGGGTAAATTCTCTAAAAAACCGCATTTTCAGTTTGGTTTGTAATTTTTCAAAGGGTAACCCCTTTCCTCAGATTTCAAAGTGTCATACCTCTAAATCCGTGCTTGATTGAAACAAAGGAAATATGAATCATGTTGTGCCTTATTTTCACGATTAACTTATCACCGTTATTATGCAACTTAAATTTTTGCATATCAAATTGATTGATAGATTAATCGCACAACTAGCGAACCAGTGGAGTTTCCTAAAGTGATAAACTATCTTATTTTGATTAGAAGTAAGTGCCTTTGTCTTCCGTGTTGTCAATGATATCCAGTAAAGAAGATATGGTACCAAGATTGGAAGATGTAGCAAACTAAACAGTTATTTTTCCTGGTTTTTGTCGCGTTTATATATAAACTATGCAAATTATTAGAGAAAGTATTGAGGAAACATGGCTATTAAAGTTGGTAAATCTTGGGAAAGTTTATTTCAGAAAATTTTGGGCATAATTATAAACGTAATTACAGTTTGACATTCCCAGGTATAAAAACAGAAAAGACTTTGCAATTGGTACTATTCAGTATTGCCTACTTTTAGGAGTGCTTGAATTTGAAATGTATTAAAGACTTTAATGGATATTGACATGATCAGTGTACACATAAAAAATAGGATTCCTCGTTTACTTAATAAACACAGAATATATTTTATTTATTTTAAAGGCACTTCTTTGCACTTAGTAAAAGTTTAATAAATACAAATAGAAAAATTAGACAACAGGCTCCTATACAGTTTTCGATTTACATAAAGTATTTGACACACACACGAACAAACGTATTTACATTCACGCGAAATAGCACATTCAAATAAAATATACATTAGATAATCTAGTTTTAACCAGCTAAAGATTCGGTGACAAACACCTCGGCTTAAATTATAGTTCACATAATAGCTGAGTCTCATGAGGAAAGACTGGGATTCCGGGCGGTTTCAAATGCCTGAAATTACATTTTTGGAAATGGGATAAGTAAATAATTGGTTAAACCTTTTATAAATCATGTAAGAACGAACCTTTTGTGCGATTTTTAGCAGACCCTCGTAGGTGGCATGACCAGTCTGCTTGACCATGCCGTGGAATACCTTAGAATTCGCCACCGTCAGTAGCTCGTAAGGCGACCCAAACTCTACAGCTCTGCCAGCATCCATGACCAGCACCTTGTCGGAGTCCATGATGGTGTGCAGGCGATGGGCTATCGTCAAAACAGTGCACTCCTTGAACTTATTTCGAATGGTGGTTTGGATAAGGCCATCTGTTTGGGGATCCACATTGGCTGTGGCCTCGTCCATCACCAAAATGCGATTCTCGCGGAGGATGGCCCTAGCCAGGCAAACCAACTGGCGCTGACCCACGCTGAAGTTGGTTCCACCTTCGGTGATTTTGCTCTGCAAGCCACTGGGAAGATCTGCCACCACATCCTTCAACTTCACCTCCTCTAGGGAGCGCCATAGCTTTTCATCGCTGTACTCGTCGAAGGGATCCAAGTTGTATCGCATTGTGCCGGAGAACAGAACGGGCTCCTGCGGGATAATTGAGATCTTGCTGCGCAGGTCGTGCAGTCCCATCTCGTTCGTATCCCTCTTGTCTATGAGTACGGATCCGTCGTTGTAGGACAGTCGGAAGAGGGCGTTGATTAGCGAGGATTTCCCCGCCCCGGTACGTCCCACGATGCCCACCTTCTCCTTCGGTTTAATGACAAAGCTGAGTGACTTGAGCACGTTTTCCGCCTTTGGATCAGGCGTGTAGCGTAGGCTCAGCTCGTCAAACACGATTTTTCCTTGCTCTGGCCAGGACTTGGGTGGCTTCATACCAGCTGGCGCTTCCAAAGCTCCTTCTGGCTCTATGTCCTCGTACTCAACCACTCGCTCTACGGCAGTCATTGTGTTCTCGAGCTCGGCGGATTGACGCATTCCCCACTGCACCATGCCGGTCATTCCCATCGCCTGCAGGGGACAGAATCCATGAGAAAATCAAACATTGAAACTAATTTGTAATGGCTCACCTGTGTTATTGCCAGGCCCACATCGCCTCCGTTGGCCGGAGGAAAGAAAAAGAAACTGAGAGTAATGATCGCTATGTAAATCACACAAAAGCAGTCCAGCCAATAACCAAATGCGCGTGAAGTGCTAATGAACATGTAAAATGCGGAGCTATGCATATCCTGGTAGTTGTCGAACTCCGACTCCAGGACGCGCTGAGCTCCGAAGGCACGGATGGTGGACAGTCCGGTTAACGAGGCGGCCAAGTGCGAGTATACTGGAGATCGAGCTGTAGGAAAACATAAGTATCCATTAAAGTTTAAAGCATACAGAGGTAATGAATGTGCACTTACTAATTGCTTCCATGCGCTTTATATCCCTCGAGGTCTTTAGATAGAAGGTACGCAGTTGATAGAAAATGATGCCCAGCACTACGGTTGGTATGAGAAATAGCGGATTAACAATCGCTATGACGATCACTATGCCAGCAAGTGAAAGGAAAATCTGTATGACATCCATCATGACGGCGGGCAGCACTTCGTCAACTTGTCCCATATCCTTGGAGAAACGGTTAAGGATACGCCCAGAGGGATTCGTGTTGAAGAAGTACATGGCAGCTCGGGTAATACCACGAAACATGGAGTTGTGCAAACGAATTGAGGCTTTCATAGCCAGATTGAAGAACAGAAAAGAGCGCGCCACGGTCACTATAATGGTCAACACTGTGATCACCGTGAATATGTACGTGTCCAGCATTTCAGCGTCCACGGGCCATCCAAGATCCTGCAGCCATATCGAAAGGCGGGGCTCCAGTTCCTTAGAGGCGAGTGTGTCATTATGATACTGATCAGCCACTTTGCCCTTTTTGGTTACCCTAAAGCGGAACATTTAAACTGACTATATAGAATGTAACCATTAAAGCTGATTTCTTACCAATAGGAGAGAAAGTAGTCGCCCAGCGAGGCCAATCCTTGCGAGAGTACACAGAAGCCCATCATCACAAAGAAGGCGAAGAATCCGCCGCCCGCCTTGAAATACTTGCTGTAGAGACCCATGCCGATTTGGCCAACCACCTGGCGCTCTTGATCGATGGTCTGCTCCGCCTCCGCATCCAGGCACGAGTCTGCAATGGACAGCAGGGACTGCTCGCTGTTGCGACGCTGGTCGGAATGGTTGTGACTGTAGCTCCCTGATCGTGAGCGAGACCGGTCCTCTGATTGATCATCCCGCTCCGGGTCGGCCAGCATGGAGGCAAAGTCCAGTCCGGACTCGCGCAGCGACTCGTATGTGCCCACAGCACTCACGTGACCTTTATCCATAATCACAATCTGATCGGCATGCTGCAAGAACTGCAGCTGATGGGTCGCCAAGATTACGATCCGTTCACGCAAATAGCCACGCATGCACTGCTCGAAAAGATGCCGGGCCACATGGGTGTCCACCGCACTGAGTGGATCATCCAGCAAGTATATGGAGGTCTCCCGGTATACAGCTCTCGCTAAACTTATCCTCGCTTTTTGGCCACCCGATAGAGAAGCTCCGCGCTCTCCAACAATAGTTTTATCCTTGAACGGAAGCAACTCGAAATCCCGCTCCAGGGCACACTTCTTAACCACCTTGGCGTACCGCCGGCGGTCCATTGGCTGGCCGAAAAGAATATTCTGTCGCACGGTGCCAGAAAAGAGCCACGGCTCTTGGGAGGCATACGACATGGTTCCATTAACCTTTATCTCGCCTGACTCTGCGGGCAGCTCTCCCAGAATGGCTTCGATGAGACTGGATTTACCAGATCCAGTGCGTCCAACGATGCCCAGCATTGTGCCAGGTTGAACCCGAAGGTTTACCCCATTAAGTGTGTAGTCGGGGGAGTTGACGTCCCATTTCGCCATAAGTCCGCTGATAGAGATTCCCGCCTCCGACAGCTTGGCGTTCTCATTAATTGTGGAAAGCGGTGGACCCAAAAGCTTATCCTCGGCTTCATCGCGATCCTCGTCTTCATCAGCATGGACCGTCGCCTGATTGCTGCCTGGCGGATCCTCTGGAATATCCACACTCTTATCCGAAACATCCGTCTCGTCGGACTGCATATACTTCTCCACGCGCTTGATGGACACCAGGGTCTCCGCCATGAGGGAGATGCCCTGGGGGAAAAAAACGGTCATGGTGGTGCGCAGGATGTTGTAGTAGGCGGTGATCAAGAAGGCCACTTCCGGGGAGAGGAGCGTCCCGAGCAGCACGTAGCCCACCAGACTCAGGAAAATTGAGACTCGTGTCAGAAAGATGATGAAGGAGAGCAGGATTCCCCTAATGTAGGACACATGTCGGATGGCATTGATCTCCTTCTTGCGGGCATAGGCCACCATATGCTCGAAGGGCAGTTCCCAAGCGTACATTTTGATCACCTGGATACCCGAGATTATCTCGTTCATCATCCGCACTCTCTCGTCCGTTCGCAGAGCGGTTCTGAGTCGCAGGACTGAGGTCTTCTTTCCCAGATAGGCTTGCAGAGGAATGAAGAGCAGCATGAAGGCCACACCAAACACGGCAGCGATTCCAATCTGTATAGAGATTTTAGTTTATCACTCGGGGTTCATTTGGTTCAAGTGGTTATCGCATTGCTCACCTCCCGGGACATCAGGTATGTGATAAAGAGGGTCTCCACTGGCCCCACCCACAGGTAGTGCACGAAAATGGTAGCCAGGTCCAGACGGCCCACGTCGTTGGACATAAGGTTGACCACATGTCCGGCCGTGGTGTCACCCAGTGCCGATTTGCTAAGACGCAGGGCTTTTCGGTAGATCATGCTGCACATACCAACGCGCATCTTGAGACCTTTAAGATTATACAAATATCAGTTGAGATAATAATAATTCAGAAAAACTATGCCTTTTAGACAAAATTGCTAATAAGATAGGGTTAAAGATAATACTACAACTGACATCGATCAATTCGATACTAAATTAGAGTTAAACTGCAAATGAATACTAAATCCTATCAGTTGAATAACGGAAAGTATTCAATTTACACATTTATTTGACAAGCAGCCCATTAAAATTTTTTTCCACTTATTTTTAATTCAATGCACTTTCTGTTTCAGGGACATCATCATAGAATGTTCTCATGCTTCGTAAATCAATCTTAAAAGTGTTATATTTAAAAAAAGGTGGTTTTCCAACTCTACTGATTAAGTAGTTCAGCGGTTCCACATAGCTTATAGATAATTTGTTATGTAGTTAATACGTACTAAAATACATTTCTGACTAAAAGTTTGTTTGGAGAAATAATTATTAATAAATAATTAGTATTACAACACATTGTTTATATACTAAATTCCTTAATGATCTTGCTTTGATTAAGTATACAGTAAATTCTGTTGATAAGTTCATTTTCATGAGAAAAAACCCTTGACTCACCCACATGCATTGTGCCTAGCATATAGGGATGCATTATAATGACGTTGAGGGCGCTGCACAGTATCACTCCACCAGCATAGTAGTAGGCCGCTTCAATGGATTCCGATCCATGTGAATAGTAGGAGATGAGTTTCAACAGGAAAATCGGCTGCAGCGTTCGGAGACCCAACTCCAGCAGGAAGAGCACCAGACCGAGGAGGGCGAAGTACCAGCCAAACACCCGTAGGAGAGCCCTAAGCAGATTAGGTTTTCCTTTGGTCTTCTCGAGTTCCTTCTCCCAAGAGGCGCACAATTTGTTGCCCAGGGTCTCTGGAAAAATTGCACAAATGAAGACAATATAATCACATGTGCAAGACTCAATAAATTCGGATTATGAAAACAATGATTGCCCAGAGACACAGTTATCAATTTGGGAAAATAAAAACACAGAATCATGGGCGCAATTGAAGAAAAAAAGCAAATCAATTGAGTCGGTCAACGAACATACTATGTACTTGCATCGATCAGTCAAATTAATTGTTCTCGTGATAACTACATACATTGCGTTTCGAAAATGTAAGACTGTTGGAATTACCATTCCATTATCTACAAATAGACTGATATTCAACTATGACTTGCACCGATTACAAATATCTCCAACTGACACATATGATGTATTTATGCTCAAGTCGATTTATAATTTTCCAATACACCATTAGGTGAATACACCATTAGGTGAATACACCATTAGGTGAATGAGTCATGATCATAATTTCACCATACCGGACTTATGCTCCTTTAAGGCCCTATACAGATCTTTGGTATCCAATGTGTCCTTCCGACCCTTGAGAAAAGTGGGCATGGTGTACCTATAATTTGTTGTTCAGCGTTATACATTATAATTTAATAAAATTGTAAGGTATATACTTACCAGAAACATGCTGCCGAAATAAAATTTGATTTTTCTCGGGGATTTTCCGGCAGATCTGCCGTTTTTACCGACTGCATTTTTCAATCCCGCTAATGAAACTGAAATAAAGTGTATAAAGTAAAAGTGAAATTGATAAATTGAGCAGTAGCGGATAGCGAAATATGTAATTCTGCTGAGTGGTTTTAGAAACAAAAGTCGATATGAGCACAAACACGTCACGTCTTAATCAAACAAACAAAATGCTGTTTTATTTATCTATCATTTGTATTGACGTTGGCCTGACGACTCCGAGAAGTCAGCTTATTTTTGTGGGGAAACCATTCCATGGGTAGGGAAATAAGGATGGTGGTTGTGTCACTGCTCATAAGTATGTAATTCGTCATATTAGGGTTCGCTTTAACGACAAGCCCAGGGAATGAGAAACATTCGAGAAAAGCTTAGTTTCCAAAAACAAAACACGCAGTTGCCATTTCGTTGTACAGTGAATATTGAGTAATATACATTTTGTAAGAACAAATTTTAATCGTATTCTTAATCATAATCTGAATATAACCCTAGAAGGAGTTCTTTCTAAATAAAATAATTTAATTTCTCAAGCTTAATGGAAATGTTTTCATTAAAAAATTAAAGTATGTACACACAAATGTATGTATATAAAATTAAAATGTATGGTCTTTAATATTTAATATTACTTTATACCATTCTTTACTCATTTTTGTTTTATTTTAGCAAATTTAGTATCAAGTATCTGCATATCTTGTAGGTCTGGATCGGTGTTCCTACCAACATACGAATGCAAACTAAATTTGGTAGGTAGGGATTTCCGTCCCACGCTCAAATAAAATGTTTAAAACAGGTTATTTAAACCCGGAATCCCCAAGTTAAATATGTTGGTATCCACTGTATTTGTTTCTTCTCCGCCAGTTTTCACTCACTCCCGCTGAGAATAAGCACTTGGGCATTTACCGTTGCCCATTCCGCATGTACATATTTACTTATATATTTATGTATTTTGTTGGGTGTGCGAACCGTACCACGTTGTTGCTGACAAAAGGGAAACTTTTATCGAAATGTAAGCATTTACATTACATTTATCAGCCAACAAACAATAATTGCGCACAGATAAAGGCCGCATCGATGGTTTTTCGTTTGTCTGTAAATTATCTAATCACATGGATTTTTTCAGGCTTGCAAATTACCAAACAATCGGCGAGCACAATTAAAATAATTGCCGTTGCGATTGCCTGCAAATCACATGTACGTACATTTGTTTCAATATTGTTTACATTCAACAAAACCGAAGTTGGCGAACGTGAGAAAATCGCGATAGAAGACCCGGTCCAGCTGGCGGCAACGCAAAAAAAAACAATTCAGTAAATAATAAAATAAACTTAGGTCCGCGCGCCGGAAAGGGCAGCAGGCTACTGAATCGTATGCTGAATTCTGAACACTGGCGGCTCGGTTTCGGCGGCTATCGGCTCTTAATACGAAATTCGCCCCCAACCCCAGACGCACACAAACTACAGTAAAGCCTTCTAAACTTTAGCAAAAAACTTTTATATTAATTATAAACTGTTATGTATTTAAGCAAGCAAAATAAAATTAGAGGCTCGATTATGCGAATATTAACAAAATTAAACATGTTGTTTATAATCTTTTAAATAGTTCTCTATTTTGAGATCTCACTGTGTTTACCAAGCAGTATGAAGTTTTCGATTTTCATAAATCTACGAAATTGACCACCAGGTCCAGGCGCAAACAAATTCAAATTGTTATTTTTTAACTAGAAACATCCATATACATAGGTATGTGTGCAATATGCAACAAATACATATATTCATTCCATCAGAAAAAAAAGTAAAAACATTATTTTCTAAATTGCAGCTCATTTATGTCTTTAAAAATTAGTAAGTGGTTCCAATAGAAATTAAAGATCTTTTTTGGGAAAACTAAAACAGGAGTTACCTTTAAAATTATGTGGCTTAGTATTGAGAGATAAGTTATTACATTTGAAAAAATTTGGGCTCAGAAATATTTTAAAATACTTCATCAAATTTTGTCGTTTTCTTATGTTGGTAATATTCAATACTTTACTAGAAAATGTATATTTATAGAAGTATGACTGTGCACTCGTTACCCGTGTTCATGTTCATGTAGGAGAGTATGCACATTGCCATTTCTTGCTGACAACGGTGCAACAAGTACAATTAAAAGAATGGCATTAAACTAGTTCCTAGTAGCTAGTTTAAAGCTTATAACATCCAATTTCAATTTGAAAGTTGAAACTTACAACCCCTTTAACCTGACAAAAGGTTATAATAGTTTGGAAATTTGCTAAATAATTTTTAAGACAGTTAAAAAAAAATTAAAACCAATTTAATGCCTTCTATTCGAAAGTATCTTCGAGTTATCATTTTAAAAGAAGGCACCGTATCAAAATAGATTCCATTAATCCAATTCAATTTAAAAAATAAAACTTGTTTATCAAACAACTGATTATACTATAAGTCGCGGTAATGGCAATATGCTTTCTTAAATATCTCCTTTAGTCTTAAATTAAAAAATATCTATTGAACAAATTTAGGTTGAGTCCAAAACTTGTTAATATGGTAATGAACTGCAATAGCAAAACTTTGCACAACTGATCTGTCCATTATAATAACATTTTCTTTAAAGCCTTTTGAAAAACAATAAACACAAAGAACATTCTCAGAAAAATGATCTTGTACCTTCGGGCCACTCATTTTTAAAGTCATCAAAAATAGTTTTACTTGTATTCCTTTCCATTCTTATTACCAACGGAACTTTCCTTCAAGTGAAATAAGTAGGACTGCAATTATTTAGTCTATAAAATAGTTCCGATTTCCAGTTTTATTGTTGGGTTTATTGGTTGTACATTGATGGAAATGTAGGCCCACAAGACTTGAAAACAAACTACCAACTAGCGAATCGAGGACGACGACTTAGGCAACCAAGGCGGAGGCGGTGCTCGACTCGTATTTCCAGTTGGGCGGCAGGACGCTCTTGGTCTTGTAGTAGCGGGCCAGACGGTGGATCCTGGACTCGACCAGAATCAGACGGAACTTGCCGTCCTTGTCCTTGCGGTTGCGCTCCAAATGCTTGCGGATGGCCACGGCCTTCTTGATCATATGGTACAGATCCTCGGGAATGTCGGGCTTCAGACCAACCGACTTCATGATGCGCAGGATCTTGTTTCCGTTGACGAAACGCACCTGGGCCACTCCGTGCGAGTCACGCAGGATGATGCCTGCAAACAATGAGGAATACGGGAAATTTGATTAACATAACCTCAAACAACAACACAGGGGGCTCGAACTTACCGATTTTGGAGGGCGTCAGACCCTTCTTGCCCAGCTTCTTAATCTGGTCCTTGACATCCTCAGCGTTCAGCTTCAGCCAAGATGGGACAGTGCGTCTGTAGGGGAGGGCTGATTGGGAAATACCCTTGCTGTGAACAAATACCCATATTGTTAGTACGCGTTTATGGCGGCGCCTGTCAAAATCGAAACGTCTGCACCATGTGCTTGCCTTTGGGTGCGATTTGTAACCGGCTTAACCCCTTAGGAATCGCATTTATCACATTCATTTGCTTATCCCGCACGGCTGGCACATTTTGCAAACATTCTGCTTTGCACAGTTGCATCGGAAACATTAAAAAATCGCATTTTTACCCAGGAGCGTGCATACGACCCATCTTGATAGTCTAGTTTTTGACACCGAAAAGAAGGTGGAGACTTTTGGCACGTTGACAGCTCTGTGATTGTGGAGATCTGTCAAAGTAGGTATCGATAGTGGCGATAACAGGCGGCCATCCGATATATTGTCATAAACGAATGATCTTTGTTAGAAGTAGAACAAAACTTTATTAACAAGCTGGTTTGGCATTTATTAGTATACAAACATTTTCGTTATTTTATAACTTGGAGAATTCAACTATCGATATGTTTAGTTTCTTGATAACCAAACTCTACACACACACACACAGAGTTGCTTTGCCTAGATTTTATTTACAATCCCAAGCTGAACGGTCATATTATTGTTTTCGGACCAAAAATTTAACATAAAAAATGCATTTAAACAAATATAGTGAACTGCTGGAGCGACTTGAGAGCGAGGAGTTTGAGGTGAGTGGTTTAGTAATCTTAAAAGTGTATAAGACATTGAAATTGCTCCGATTCCACAGCAAGTCGAATTGGGAGCTGAAGTCTACCAGCAATTACTGGCGATTTATCTTTATCAAAACAAACTGTAAGTACTGCATATTTATGAAACCAACAACAACATTTCTGACACACAATTCATAGGGCCAATGCCAAATTGCTGTGGATGCGAATTCCGGCTAAATTAAAAGAAGACAAAGAACTGGTCCAACTGAACTTGCTTAATCAGGCACTGCAGAACAATAACTATGCCGATTTCTTCAAACACATCAAGTACGAGTGGTCAGAGAGGGTAAAGTCACCTGTTGAAGATCTCTTAAGTAAGTTAGCATATAAAAGTTTCTTAAATAATTATAACAAAGAGAATTCTTAGTCAAACAACGCGGGGAGCTGTTTAGACTGATGGGCAGCGCCTATGTGTCCATATACCAACATAATCTAATGGAATTGTCCCTGATGTCGGAGGAAGAACTAAAGAAAGCCTATGTGGTCCTTAATTGGACTGAGGAACTGGACGGCGAGCGGGTGATCCTTAAGCCCAAGGTTCAGGAATCAACGCCCAGTCGCGCCAACGATGATCAGTTGCTCAAGCTGACAGAGTTTGTAACCTTCCTAGAGAATTAAGCTCCAATAAAATTGATTTAATTTATTTTGTGGAGTTCCTGCTGAAGTAGACAGTTTTTCGTGCAAAGCATGTTTTATATTATTTGCTAAGTTTCAGTTATTTTAAATATATTTTAAATAACTGAAACCCTGCTTAAAAGCCCTAACTCCTATTTATGATTTTCAAGCTGTGAAAAATATCGATGTTTCTACCTTTCTGCAAACATCGATAGTATCGAGTTATCATCGATTTTCGTGCCAGCACTATCGTTGTGTCACTTGGGGAAAAAAAATTGCACCGAACGACGACGTACGATTTTCATTGCAAAAGCAATCAAAGAATATTGTGTAGAACACTTGCGAATTGGAGCCGAGGGAAGAGAGAAGATTGCGAAATTATTTTGTAACCCCAAACAAGCGAATTGCGAATCCCCAGAGGGCAAAACCTAGTTGGTTGCCTGCAGAATAGAAAAACCGATTTTCAGTGCGTGTGTGTGAGCGCAGCAGCAACAGCGGAAAAAATGGCAGCGAGCGACAAATCAGTCGACGATTCTCTATATCCCATTGCGGTACTGATCGACGAATTGAAGAACGAGGATGTTCAGGTTAGTATCGGGCAACCGCCCCGCCCAAATCTGCAGGCCTTTCCCGAAATTTGCGAAATATTCTAGTGTTAAAATGGGGAAGCGTGCCTGGATGCCTGTGTATTTGTGCAAAAATGCGTCACTGTGTGTGCATAGCTATTTGTGTGGGTGAATGCCTGTTAGTGCACATAAAAATTATTCCATATTTCCATGTACACAAACTATTTGTTTTCTGGAACAACATAAAGAAAACCTATTGTTATTAATTAATCAAAATTATCTACATAGGTTTTTATCTGCGCATTCCAAACGAATTTGATATTTGCTTAACTTACATGTATCTATATATAGATATCATAATTTACGATGTTTACAAGCACGAATTATTTGCATATACAATTTGCAAATTCTGGTTTTATAAATAGAACAACTAACTGTGATTATTCAGCAACAATTAAAAAACACTGCAATTTTAACATACTCTATTACTTGAAGAACAAACGTTCTTATCTTAATACTAATCTAATCTCAAAAAGAAAACAATTATTAAGCTTTACAGAGGCTTAAATACAACATAGCTTTTTCGATATTTATCTTTTTAAATGTTCTGGTTAATTGTGATTTATTAAAAAAAAAAAGTGTGAAGTTTAAAAAATTATAAGAATCTACTTTGGCTGTTTAGTTTAATAAAATAATTTTGATTTGTATTAGCTCTGTTGCGGGAGGTAAAAATTTAACAATCAGCGATTTTGGTTATCGGCAACAAATATTTTGTGTTACCATTAACTATTATTAGCACCCTCCAGACAAGCCCGAAAATTGAAATTCCGCCAGAAATGGCTTTCTACTTTTGTTTTGTCTACATATAATCCAATCTTTTCGCTTTACATAACAGCTTCGACTCAACTCTATCAAGAAACTGTCCACCATCGCTCTGGCTTTGGGCGAGGAACGCACACGGTCCGAGTTGATTCCCTTCCTCACTGAGACCATATACGATGAAGACGAGGTGCTGCTGGCCCTGGCCGATCAACTGGGCAACTTTACAAGTGAGCAAATAGAGAGTAATTATTGTTATGAGTTTTCTCTGAACATTCCCCTCCTTTCCTTAACAGGTCTTGTTGGCGGACCCGAGTTCGCCATGTACTTGATCCCGCCCCTAGAGAGTCTGGCCACAGTGGAGGAGACTGTGGTGCGGGACAAGGCCGTAGAATCTCTGCGCACCGTAGCCGCTGAGCACAGTGCCCAGGATCTCGAGATCCACGTAGTTCCGACTTTACAGCGCCTGGTCTCCGGTGACTGGTTCACCTCACGCACCTCCGCCTGCGGCCTCTTTTCGGTCTGCTATCCGCGGGTCTCGCAGCCGGTGAAGGCCGAGCTACGCGCTAACTTCCGCAAGCTCTGCCAAGACGAAACACCCATGGTGCGTCGCGCAGCAGCCAACAAGCTGGGCGAGTTTGCCAAGGTCGTGGAGATAGAGTATCTGAAGTCCGATTTGATTCCGAACTTTGTGCAGCTGGCACAGGATGATCAGGTACGCTGATATAACACATTTTCTGTATATTGCCCTTATTTGCTTCGATAAGTCTTTGATTTTTCTAATCAGAATTTTATTAAAATTCTGAACAAACGCGTATCCAAGTAATCAAATAGGCAATTAGAAAATACAGCTTGCGTGCTTGTATTGTATTTACCATTAACTTAACTTGTGCATTAACTTAACTCAGGACTCTGTTCGTCTGCTGGCTGTGGAGGCTTGTGTCAGCATCGCCCAGCTGTTGCCCCAGGACGACGTGGAGCACGTAAGTGGATAAGCATTGATATACGCAATACCTTGGCTTACAAAATTTCCTCAACGTCTTAGCTGGTTCTGCCAACACTGCGCCAGTGCGCCAGCGACTCTTCGTGGAGGGTGCGCTACATGGTGGCCGAGAAGTTTGTGGACCTGCAAAAGGCCGTAGGTCCAGAGATCACTCGTGTGGATTTGGTGCCCGCCTTCCAGTACTTGCTCAAGGACGCTGAGGCCGAGGTTCGGGCTGCCGTGGCTACTAAGGTGAAGGACTTCTGTGCCAACCTGGACAAGGTTAACCAGGTCCAAATCATCCTTAGCTCCATTTTGCCGTATGTGCGCGATCTAGTTTCGGACCCCAACCCACATGTCAAGTCCGCCTTGGCCTCTGTGATCATGGGCTTGAGTCCGATGTTGGGTGCCTATCAGACGGTAGAGCAGTTGCTGCCCCTGTTCCTTATTCAACTCAAGGACGAGTGCCCGGAAGTGCGCTTGAATATCATCTCGAACCTAGACTGCGTAAACGACGTTATCGGCATCCAGCAGTTGTCGCAGTCTCTCCTGCCCGCCATCGTCGAGTTGGCCGAGGACTCCAAGTGGCGCGTGCGTTTAGCCATCATCGAGTACATGCCTGCTTTGGCCGGTCAGTTGGGTCAGGAGTTCTTCGACCAGAAGCTGCGCGGTCTCTGCATGGGCTGGCTCAACGATCACGTATACGCCATTCGGGAGGCGGCCACCCTCAACATGAAGAAGCTGGTGGAGCAGTTCGGAGCTCCCTGGGCCGAGCAGGCCATCATTCCCATGATCTTAGTTATGTCGCGCAATAAGAACTATTTGCACAGTGAGTAGTGGGTATAGAAATTTTCAAGAGTGATTTTTCATAGTGATTTTTTGTTGAACAGGAATGACCTGCTTGTTCTGCCTGAACGTTTTGGCAGAGGTCTGCGGCACAGATATCACTACTAAGCTGCTGCTGCCCACAGTCCTCCTGCTTGCCGCCGATCCCGTGGCAAATGTTCGATTCAATGTGGCAAAGACCCTGCAGAAGATCTCGCCCTTCCTAGAGGCCAGCGTAATCGATGCTCAAGTAAAGCCCACCCTTGACAAACTGAACGCGGACACGGATGTGGACGTCAAGCATTTTGCTGCACAGGCCATTGCCGGCATAGCAGCAGGTAAGCACTGATAAAATTATTGGTGGGGTTTTACAGGACGCGGCTAATGCAGCATGCATCTTTTTGAGGTTAAAAATTCCCTTTACTTAAAGTGAATGAGGTTGACAAGAAATCGATGAAAATATTTAAAATTTTGTAAACATGAGAAATCCATAGACAAACATTAGGAAACCCACTTTTAAAAGTATGATTTTCTTATTTAGAGATACATTTTGCGAGCTTTTCCATGTTGTTTATACTACTAATCTTTTACCTCGTAAAGAATCAATATTTTAAATTTATTTTTGTTTAAAAGGTGTTCAAATCTAAAAAGAGGTTTAATTTTAACTTCATATAGAATATTCATTATAAATTGCTATCCTGATGTAGAAATGGAACTGAATGTGTTTAGAACCTCGGTGCCGCCTTGCATGGGTGCAAAAATTGAGGCTGCAATGGATTCAAAGCTGATCGTAGAACCGCCTGCACAGCCGGCGGCTGAAGATGACATACTGCAGGAGATGAACGGCCAGGCAGCGGCGGCGGTGGCGGAGCCGCCCAAGGTTGAATCGGAATGTTAGAGGATGAGTAGCCAACCATAACAAGTGTGATGTGCCTCCCGCTGTCTCCAGCCAGTTCCACTGCCAATATGTTCAATTCCCCTCGCCATGACTTAAATTCACATCTCATTGTTTGTTCAAGATAACGAAGCTAAATACCAGATTAAAGTGCGAATGCAGTGGACCAAGTTATAACCGATACTAATGTTGTACCATCTTTTTCTGTCTCTTTCCCGGTAACATCTCCACCACGTGGCCGTCTCTCTTACCCACTCTGTGTTTGTGTGCAATAATATATTTGTATATTTGTTTACAGCGTAATCAACCTTCTTGCATCTTTTTTATTCTATTTTTAAAACTGTATGTATTTAACGCCGGCAACAAAACATATTATGTAGCAACAACACTTAAGAACGGAAATTTGTAGTGGATCCCGGGAGGTGTTTAACGCTGCAGCCGATGCTGGATGATGGACGGAGTTACAATCGGACTCGGGAGTTCAAGGAGCGGACCGGAGAAGTGCCACCATGGTCAGCACAGGAGGGAGACCCACTAAACGCGACACAGCTAAACATTATTACTTACATACTTATATTATACATAAATTACCACATAGGCATAAAGATCATTATTAAAAACATGTGTAGAGTTCGGAACATTTGATCGCATCTGAATGCAAAATAAAATTGTAGTGAAACAACAAGGATGGGATTTTTAATAAGTCCGAATTATACTTACTAGCGGAAAAATATAAATTGAATATTACACAACTATTCGTATGGTTTTGAATTGTGAGTACAAAGCATTGCTTCTAAAAAGTTTCCAAGAAGTTTTTGTTTATTTATATTTTAGTCATTTAGCACGACTCCAAAACGAGATCATTTCTAGCTTGAAAATCAATATGTCATGAGCTGAGTAGTAACCATTGATTCTTAACTTAAAGAATTGACTATTCCTTTTGCAAATCATTAATTATACGATTATTTAATTTGTGAAATGATTTTAGAAAATATGTTGGATATCGATAGTCCCCAAACTGACACCTGGCGATAGTTGGGGCTTATTTCTTATTTGTTTGCTTTGCGGTGCGAGCATTTTCGAGCGAGAGATCAGTTGGACTTTTGCGACGGGGCGGTGCGCTTGTATTTTTAGTCGTCTCTCTGTTTGTCGGTCAATGTTTGTTTAACTGGCGATTCCGAATCACTCGTAACTCGTAAGTGCCATTGAATTAGTCGACTGGCGCTCGTGCCCCAAATCACCGCGGAATGGCGCGTCAATAGGGGAATCAGATGCAAATTTGATTGGGCAAATGGGTGGAACCAATCAATTATGTGCATATATACGGAAACACTGGTGTTTGTGTGCCCAAATACAGGCGAACGCGAACCATTATCAATTTCCCCACTGGTGTCGCAATCTCCTCGTCCGTTTTCCGTCCACTGACCTACGATCTATGGTGCCACCTGCCCCGCCGACGAAACAAGTGCCCATATAAATATACCCCATAGAGTACGCGTTAATTACTTGCTTATGTCGAAAATGCTGAGCTGTAACTTCAATTATTGTGGCATTATCAAGCTTTAGCCTTTTTTTTTTTGCCTTTGTCCCCAAGTGGCGCGTTTTGCTAAGCGATATTTTTGCCTTCCGCCAAGTGGTTGGCGCCGATCCCCTCGCCCCCTGACCCACAGCTTTATCTGACGGCTAATTTTCCCCCGATAAGCCGGAATCTAAATTGAAGTGCACTTTATTTATGTCCGTAATATGACGACGAAATTAAGGCAAAAAAGGCCGGTACTTAAATTACGATTGCCTTGGGAAGTGATTTCCACACAAATCTACATACAATTTCACAGTCAAACTTGCTTATGTCGAATTGTTTATAAGTCGAGTGCCATAACTTGACCAAATAAAATTCATTGTGATTTGTTTCTTGTTATAGAAATTCAGATTATAGTTATGGTGCTTAAGTTTATTAAGTTTCATAAGTCCGAATGTCAATGAGACATTTTTATCCATTCAAAATTACTTCTGCTGTTTAATATTGGAGAATTGAATAAGACTTTGTCAACTCAAAATTTTTCGTTATTTAAAAAAATATATTTAAATTACTTAAGCAGTCCAATATAGCCTTCACAATCCAATTATATGTGTGTTGATTCAACTAAAGGACGTTACACTGTAGTGTACACGTGTGTGTGGCATTGCTGTAATTTCAAGTCTGCATATTTAAGCATTGTAGTTTGTTCATTGAGACCCAGGTTAAGGTAATCTGCGGCAACAGACAGTGGGCCCTACAGCTTGTTAAACTGACACTTGGCAAGCTTTTATCTTTTTCCTTAATATTTTATGGCATGTTTAACGGCCCTTAACCAAGGTTTATTGTTTAGAGTGGCAAGTACTTTTTTGAGTGCTACATATATGTTATTTATAAGAAAAGATTTCAATGAGTTATTTTATATACTATAAATCACAACGCAATTAAATTATGAAAGGAAAACTTATAACTAAGGCAAATTACAAAAATGGTTGTAATTTGGTTGATTGAACATTTTAAAATTTCTAATCAATTTGTAATAGACTATAAGATTTAATTGTAATGGGCAAGCTAATAGATCATTTAAATATTATAGTCTTTTAGTTTTTGTAATTAAAAACTGGGTAACATTGTAATTATTCTCCTAACTTTTGTTGGAGGAAATGGTTAGTATTGCCATTTTGATTGAATGTGAATGTGGAATTAAAATAAACAACCTGTAGTAGACTCACTGGCGACAGTGTTTTCGCAGCTTTCATTTATTGCTTTCGCCCAATCACCTTAAAATGATTTCTCAAGTGCATAATGGGATTAACGTTCGATTAAACTTGTTCAGCAACCTAGAAGTGGGTGAATAATTGGGATTTTAAAACATTTGAGTACCCAAAATCGGATGTTCCACTGTATGTACACATGAATGATGCATGAACAGGCAAAGGTTTGGACCTCCAGCCGGACTTTGCCGCCGTTGGTGCCACTCATGTGATTCACGATGCTCATGTCGCAAGCCTCACTATCTTATCCGAAATATTGAAATTTAATTAGAGTTATCAATTTCGATGGGTTGCAGGCCACGCCACACTAATCCGGCTAACCGAGTGTCCGTCCCAGTCTTTGCCAATCACCGCATGGGAGCAGAGGATATCCGGACAACCCACTGGCCACGTAATCAATCATTTTATGGACTAATAGCCGCCAACCCCAAAGCAACATGCACAAGGCCATTAAAAACAAATCCAGTAAGTGAGTAAGCGAAAATGGAAAATTCCGCTAATACGATTTGGATAATTATTGCACAGGGCTGCTCTGTGGACTAAAGAACTCCAAGGCGGATCTGACGACTGCGAAGTTTATACTATATTACGGGTAAGTTAACTGTTTCTAAATATTAATCCGGCATATAATATCATTAAATTTAACATGTTCGGTCATAGATTTTTTTTGCTGTTATCCAAGAATTTACCTAAAGTTTTATATATTCGCCCGCAGACCCACCGTAGCAGATAGTGATATCTATGACTTAACCGATTTCCAAAGTCTATTGGAGGACGAGCACTTGGATTTGTGCAAGAATACCGTGCTCTATTTGCATGGCTACCTCGAAGATCCGGATGTGGAGAGCATTCACGTTATAGCTGAAGCCTATCTGGAACGTAAGGATACCAACCTTATTGTCCTGGACTGGGGTGAGCTGGCCGATGGCAACTATATGTTCGATGCCTTCCCCAACCTTAAGCAATTGGGCCCAGAGCTGGCCAAGGTCCTGCTCCAAATGTTTGACCATGGCCTGGACATTGAGAAGTTTCACATTGTCGGACACTCGATGGGCGGCCAACTGGCCGGACTCCTCGGTCGCGAAATCATTAAGCGCACCAAAGGCGTTAGAAAGCTAAAAAGGTAAGAGTTTTTTACAATTTCTGAATATATCAAGGGACCAAGATGGTAAAAGACATTAAGTGCAAGATTAGAAACCAATTCTGTACTAAATCAAAATGCATGAAAAAGTCGTAAGGATAGTATCACCTATAATTTTTTAAAATTACATTTTATCTATGTAGCTTTAACTCAAAAACAAAAAACGAAAAAATATTTAATTTATAATTTTAATTTATTTTCCTGTTTTTTTTTTACTAATCCTCACCAATTTGCTGTAGAATTTCCGCCCTGGATCCCGCCTTTCCGCTATTCTACCCGGGCGCCCACCTTTCCGCGAATGATGCGGAGTTTGTGGATGTGATACACACGGATGCCTGGCTCTACGGTGCTCCGACGAGCACTGGAACGGCGGATTTCTGGCCCAACGGAGGCAGCAGCCTGCAGCCGGGCTGCCCCAAGCGGAACTACAAAATGCTCAGCGACAACGACCTGTCCAGCCATCGGCGCAGTTGGTGGTTCTGGGCCGAAAGTGTTTCAGATCGGTATCCCATTGGATTCGATGCAGTGCCTGCAAAGAAATGGTCGGACTTCAAGCAGAACAAAACAGCGGATACATGCCCGCCGGTGGTGATGGGTCACCATTGCCCGACGATGTAGGAACTTCTTTTTACGATACACGCAAATTTTGATCTAATCATTTGAAATTGTAATTTACAGAATACATGGCGACTTTTACTTACAAACCAACGGTCAAACACCTTTCGCCAGAGGCAAAGAGGGTGCTGTATATGTTGACCCCAAGGAGCTGCTAGGAAATACCCACAGTATCACCTGCGACTGCCCTCCGCAGCAAATAAATTAAATAGACCATAAACAATTTCACAGTGTACATTACAAAATGTAGCTAAATTAATGTGGCTTCTATAACGCTTAAATTTTGTTGTTGACCAAAAAGTATGTCTTTATCTATGGGCGTGGTAGTATTTGTAATTATAAAACTTGGTTTTTCTTACAAAATTTTTTATTCATTTAGTTTTAGAAGGGACTTTAATTGTTTTCCTAAAAATGGCAATTATTCCCTTATCATTTATTTAGCTATTTACAGTTGTAACAATCAGGTTAGCACTGTTTATATTTCAAAAATTTAAAAACTTAAACAAACAAAAGATCTTTATTCTGCTTCACCCTTTAAAAAAAAAACCATTAACTCGGACAGAAACGATCTTCTTTGGTTTAGTTGCTAAACGTCCTTTTCCAAATCGGCCGTTATAAAATCTTCAAAGCTTTTACTAGTTCCGCAGTTGTGGTTCATTCCGGAACCACTTGCAGCTCAGTGGTTCGATATCGATAACGCAACCACACATCGAACCGTGGACAACTGCCATCGCTAACAGAGCCTCGCGTCAAAAAAAATATTGAAAACAAAACAGAATCCGGTGGATCAAAATGAAGATAAAACTAATAGATTCTGTGGTGCGCAGCTTCAAGGTGGCCAAGATCTTCCGGGAGAACACGGACAAGATCAACGCGATCGACTTTGCGCCGAATGGGGAGCACCTGATCTCTTGCAGCGAGGATGACCAGATTGTGATCTACGATTGCGAAAAGGGGACGCAGTCGCGCACGGTCAACTCGAAAAAGTATGGAGTGGACCTCATCCACTTCACGCACGCCAACAACACGGCCATCCACAGCTCCACGAAGGTGGACGACACCATCCGGTATCTGAGCCTGCACGACAACAAGTACCTGCGCTACTTTCCCGGCCACACCAAGAAAGTCATCTCGCTGTGCATATCGCCGGTTGAGGACACCTTTCTCTCCGGCTCGCTGGACAAGACGCTGCGCCTGTGGGACCTGCGCTCGCCCAACTGTCAGGGCCTGATGCATCTCTCCGGCCGCCCAATTGCCGCATACGATCCAGAGGGCCTGATCTTCGCTGCCGGAGTTAACTCGGAGAGCATTAAGCTGTACGACCTGCGCTCCTTCGACAAGGGCCCCTTCGTCACCTTCAAGCTTAACCAGGAGAAGGAGTGCGACTGGACCGGCCTGAAGTTCTCGCGGGACGGAAAAACTATCCTGATCAGCACAAATGGCTCGGTCATCCGGTTGGTGGACGCTTTCCACGGCACTCCGCTACAAACGTTCACCGGCTATCCGAACAACAAAGGCATCGCCATCGAGGCGAGCTTCAGCCCGGACTCGCAGTTCATCTTCTCGGGCAGCACCGACGGGCGCGTGCACATCTGGAACGCAGACACAGGCAACAAAGTCTCAGTGCTGAATGGGGACCATCCGGGGCCGGTGCAATGTGTCCAGTTCAATCCCAAGTACATGATGCTGGCCTCCGCATGCACCAACATGGCGTTCTGGCTGCCCACATCCGAGGAGGGCTTGTAAACTATGTTTCCCATTTGTGTAGCTTATAAGATTAAAGTTTAATTTATAAATAACAATTAAAAAAACTAAAACAAAGCGGTCTAACTGAAGTCTTTTGCCTGCTCCTTGTGGTGGTCGTATCCTTTGCGTATGCTGTTCAGGAGTTGTCCCAGGTTGTGACCCATCTTGGCACTGATGCCCAGCACGGGATTTTGCAGTCGGCGCTGTAGCTCCTCAAAGTTACTTTGACCCTCCTCCACGTCCAGTTTATTGGCCACCACCAATTGCGGCCGGCTAGCCAGTCGCCCGCCAAACTGATGCAGCTCGTGCATGAGCTGCTCGTAGTGAGTCCAGGGCTCCGGTGCACTGGCGTCAAGGACAAAAAGCAGCAAGGTGCAACGCTCAGCGTGCTTCAGGAACTGAATTCCCAATCCCTTGTAGCGATGGGCATCGGGAACGAGTCCGGGAAGATCGGCGATGGTAAGCTGAACGTGGTCATCGTACTGGACGGTGCCCAGATGTGGACGCAGCGTGGTGAATGCATAGGGAGCCACTTTTGGTTTAGCCCGGGTCAGGGCATTCAGAAGGGTGCTTTTGCCCGCGTTTGGATAGCCAATTAGGCCGACATCTGCCATGCTCCGCAGTTCCAGGGTGTAAGAGATATCCTCGCCACTGGGACCAAATTCGCATACCTTGGGACTCGTTTCTTTGTCCGTTGTGAAGAAGCGGTTGCCCTTGCCGCCGGCTCCGCCTCGAGCGGCCACAAACATGAGGTCCGCCTGGCCGAGATCCCCGACAATGAGTCCCTGGGAATTCCTGATGACGGTTCCGATGGGCACCTTAATCATAGCGTGCTTGGCGTTCTTGCCATGACAATCCTTGGAGCCGCCCCGCTCTCCTTCCTCCGCTTTCAGTACACTGCCCACGTGGTTAAAGTTGCGCACATCGTTGGAGGCTTGGAACACCACATGTCCGCCGTGGCCACCGTCTCCGCCATCCGGGCCAGCCCTTTCATTGCACCACAGTTGCAGAAAGGACACGCAGCCATCGCCGCCCTTCCCGCCGATAGCACGGATCCTCTTGGCATCGGAGAAGTACTGCGCCTGGATCGGAGATCAGAAAATATGGATAAGTTATGTAAAATCCCTTGGGACTGAAGATCTTACCTCTTTTCGGGTGGATTTCGCCTTCTTTGGACGCAGGGCAGTTGCTGCTTGGCAGTAGTTCGCTACGAGTCCAATTGGTTTAACGTTTCTGGATATATCTAACGAAAACCCCGCTAGGAAAGATCTGCCGGTTATAAACAACATCTTGAAGTGCAAGAGAACATGAGCGTAGTTAAAAAGAAATGCTGCAGAACTAAAAGGGTTCGTAAGCAGTGGGGCGAACATGTTTTTTAAATGACTGAGCTGATAATAAGTACTGCTTCTGATCGTATTTAAATTATCAGGAGCTAGGATTGATGCAATAGTAATTGTTTAAATATGAACTGAAATGTAAGAACCATAATATTTAAAGAGGAAAAAACCCTGGTTACGCCCATGGCGACACAACCTGCTGATAGAAAATCATATCGAAAAGCCTATCGGAAAATTATCGAACTAGCTGGAAATTGCTAAATGTTATTGTTCTTGAGAGGAAGCAGAAGCTTTCCACAGTTGAGAAGGATGTCCATTAAAGCAGCCCTCATCGATCTCAGTGGCACCTTGCATGTGGAAGATGAGCCCACTCCAAATGCAGTTGAGGCTTTGAAGAGGTTCAATATTAAAAAGTAAACAAACTATTTATAAATAACATACGGATGTATTGTGCAGATTGCGAGATGCTGGCGTTGCGGTCAAATTCGTTACAAATACCACAAAGGACTCGAAGGCAACTCTTCACGAACGGCTCTGCAGGATTGGCTTCCATCTGGACCCCTTGGAAATCTACAGTTCCTTGAGCGCCGCAGTCGCATTTGTGGAGAATGAGAAACTGAATCCGTACTACATCCTGTCTGAGGATGCTCGCCAGGATTTTCCACCAGAGGATACTAGGCGCTACCAGGATTCAGTTGTGATTGGCCTAGCACCTAAGGCGTTCAACTATGACCAACTCAACGAGGCTTTCAAGTAGGTAGCATGCCGAAGACCATATGATTTAAAGTAACGATCAACTTTCCACTAGTGTTCTGTTGGAGAATAAGAACCACAAACTGGTGGCCGTGCATCAGGGTAAATACTACAAGCGTGCCGATGGACTAGCTTTAGGCCCAGGATGCTTTGTTAAGGGTCTGGAGTTTGCTACAGGACGAACCGCTAAAGTGATTGGCAAGCCCAATCCTTATTTCTTCGAAGGAGCTCTGGCTGGTCTGGATCCCGCCTCCTGCGTTATGATAGGAGACGTAAGTAGGCTCACTTAACACATTATGGATTCTATTTTAATTTCTGTTTTTTAGGATGCCAATGATGACATTGTGGGCGCCATGAGCGTGGGCATGCAGGGAATTTTGGTCAAGACTGGCAAATACTTGCCAGATGTCAATCCATCCCCACCACCAACAGCTTTGGTAGACAACTTTGCCGCGGCAGTGGATTGGATAATTCAGAAGAATAAATCTTAGGCTTTTAAATTATGAATTTCATATTAAAAAAAATAGTTATTGACGAATTTTTTATTTATTATATTATTCAATAAGGAATTACTATATCAGTAGTGTTTGAAAAACAATTAAATGTGCGAAATGAGTTAAATTCGTGGCTTACATTTATTAAAAACGACCTTCGGTAGTTTTTACTTTATAATTAAGAAGATCAAATCGAAACGAAATATATCGATTTCAGATTTTTCCCCCCAAAGCCAAACGCACACAATTATTATAAGTGTATAAATGCTTTTATTTTATAAATAGCCGTAAAATTCATCTGAAATGCTGTTTGGAACAGATCAACGGATTAGAATTAAGCATAAGTGTGTATCAAAATTGTGAGTAATTGTGGTTTTGCTGCTTGCTAGTTCTTGATGCATTTAAGACAGTTTTGACTGGGCGAACTTGCTGGCCAATTGGACAATCTCGTCCGCTTTCTCGTAATTTGTGCCCGAAGCCTGGGCGGATTCTGGTTTCCCGCCTCCCTTGCCCCCCAGAGTGGCAGAGACGTGCTGCACCCACTCGTTTGCTTTCAGACCCTTCTCCACGGCACTCTTGGGCACCGAGCTTAGGCAGAAGATCTTCTTGGAGTCCACATCGACAGATAAGAACATAGCAGCGGCATCAGGTAGCTGACTGCGAACCTGCTTAAGAGCGGCATCCAGCGCCTTGGTGTTGTTAAAGGCTTCCAGTTGCTCAACCAGCACTGTGGCCTTGGGATTGGCCTCGCACAGCGCCTTGGCGCGCTCCACGACTGTCACAGAGACGGCGGCGCGAAGGGCACGTTCCTTGTCGTCCAAAGTCTTCTTCAAACCCTTCAGAAGGTTACGCATTTCGTCCTTTTTCACGTACGGAATCGTGGCATGCGAGATTTGTTCGGTCAGCTCGACAATCTCCTTCACATGAGACTTGGAGTCCTTGCCAGACTGATCGGCATCGATGGTGGCCTTAAGTCGGATGATTTCTTGTTCGAAAGCCTCCGATTTCTTCAATGCTTTCAAAGCCTCGGGTCCTGTAAGAGCCACAATGCGACGGATACCCTTGGCAATGGCCTCTTCGCTGCTGATAACAAAATCCATGATATGGCCCGAACGTCTGAGGTGGGTGCCGCCGCAAAATTCCACGGAGGTTTGTTCGCCGGCCTCAGAATCGGGATTCTGCTCCAGTTCGTCCACGGACACGCCGAAGGAGATTACCCTCACGGGATCTGGGTAGACTTCGTCGAAGACAGATCGCAGACCACGGATCTTCTTGGCCAGGGCCAGTTGAGACTCCTTGGCGTATATGGGCACATTCTTGTACACCATATCCTTGGTCAGCTGCTCCGTCTTGGCCACCTGCTCGATGGTCATCGCCCCCTTGCTGTTAAAATCGAAGCGCAGCTTCTCTGGCACCACTAGCGAGCCCTTCTGCTCGGTGTCCTTGCCCAATACTTGCAGCAAGCAGTGGTTCAGGGCATGAGTGGCCGAGTGGTTCTTCATGGTTAGCCAGCGGCGCTCCACGTCAATGTGCAGCTCCAGCTCATCACCCACCTTCAGTGTTCCCTCTACTACGCCGATGTGAAGAATGTAGCCTCCGCGGTTGTAGACGCGGTCCACCAGGAATTCGTTTGCCTCTTCGTTGACCTTAACCAAAGCACCCTGATCGTAGATCTGACCACCGCTCTCGGCATAGAAGTTAGTCTTGTCCAGGACAATGCCCGCCTTCTGTCCACTGCTGATCTCGTTCACAAACTGGTTTTCGAAACGCAGGGCCACGATCTTGCTGTTGCACACACCGTAGTTGTACGCAGAATCGCGCTCCTCCGAAACTGCCTCGTACTTGTACTTGAAGGTGTCGTTCGTCGGGGGCACACCCTGATCCTGCAGCTGGGAAATGGCGTGCACGTCCAGATTGATCTCCTCGATCTTGCTAGCGCCCTTGCCCTGTGATAGCACATATGAATTCTGCTTGGCTGCCTCGTAGCCATCCATATCAATTTGCAGGGATTTCTCCTCCGCCATCAGCTGGGTGAGATCGACTGGGAAGCCGTAGGTGTCGTACAGCCGCCAAGCAACATCTCCGGGAATGGTGGTCTGGTTGCCAAGCTTTTCGATGGTGCGGTTTAGCAAATTGCGCCCGCGCGTTAGTGTCTTGAGAAACTGCAACTCCTCCTCGTTGATAATATCAATGATGTGTTGCGGATCCTTTTTCACTTCCGGGAACGCATCGCCAAGCAGATCGACCACTGTGTTGACCAAGGTGGCGAAGAAACCTGGTTTAGCATTCAGCTTCTCCGTGGCATAGCTAGAAAGTATAAATAAATAAAAATGGTAATATAATTGGTGTTGTAATGATTTAAATTAGTTGGAAACTAACTAAAAATCCATTAGATAAATAATGGTTAATAAACCAAATAGACAGACTGGCTTATCTAATGGTCTGATTTAGATTATCAAACCCTTAAATACATTCATCTGAGAAAACTCTTACCGCACAGCGCGTCGGAGGATGCGTCGCAAAACATAACCACGACCAGTGTTGTCTGGAGTGCCGCCATCAGCCAGGGCAATGGTGATGGTGCGAGCATGATCAGCGAGCACGCGGTAGGCCATGTCAATGCCGTCCACATCGTCGGCGCCGACGCGGCCCTGGTAAGCTGGGGCTCCAGTGCCCGCCTGAATGGCCTCGAAAAGGGGCACGAAAAGATCGGTGTCGTAGTTGGAACGCTTGTTCTGAATGACGGACACCAGCCGCTCGAAGCCCATGCCGCAATCAATGTGCTTCCTGGGCAGCTGCTTAAGACTGCCGTCGGACTCGCGGTTGTACTGGATGAACACGAGATTCCAGATCTCCAAGACATCAGGATCGTCCATGTTGACCAACTCTGGGACACTGCGTCCGCCGATACGGTCAAAGTGCAGCTCAGAGCAGGGTCCACAGGGTCCAGTCTCGCCCATCTCCCAGAAGTTGTCCTTCATGCTGCCAGGCAGGATGTGCTCCGGCTTTAGACCCAGGTCGAGCCACATCTGCTTGCACTCCAGATCGGGCTCCAGGCCGCTGGCCTCATCGCCACCAAAGTACGTAACATACAAGCGATCCTTGGGCAGGCTGAGGCGCTTGGTAAGGAACTCCCAGGCCCAGGAACAGATCTCCTTCTTGAAGTAGTCGCCGAAGGACCAGTTGCCCAGCATCTCGAAAAAGGTGTGATGGTAGACATCCTTGCCCACGTCGTCCAGATCGTTGTGCTTGCCGCCGGCCCGGATGCACTTCTGCGTGTTTGCCACACGCACCCACTTGGACATCTCGCTGTTGGGATCGGCGGTGCCCAGGAAGATGGGCTTGAACTGATTCATGCCGGCGTTGGCGAACAGCAGCGTGGGATCATCCAGCGGAATTGTGCTCGAGGAGTGGACATAGATGTGCTTTTGCTCCTTGAAAAAGCCCAAATAGGCGTCGCGCACCTCCTTGGCGGTCAGGAACTTCATTTTGCTGGTTCTGAAATTACAAGCCGTGGGTGAACTTAGTAAAAACGTTGCCACGCGACTATTGGGGCTCCCTAACCCCTCAAAATGGCCAACAAATCGGAGCAGTGAAAGTGCACACTGCACACTACGTGAATAAGTTACACAATTAAAATGCAAATTAAATCAGTATAAGGCCCTTTTGTTTACATTTTAAATTTGGAACTAGTCATCACTGGCGTCCAACCAAAACAAGCTTTGTATTACTCACGTTTTGAACAGTAAATGCAAATGCAAACAATTTCGTCAGCCGACTGCAGCAACGTGTGAGGGATTCGCACCTTTCCGATAGACAATGCGGCAAACTTTGTGAGCTATCGATAATTCCAGGGCTGGTCAGAATAGGTTTTTACAAATAATTGCATGATTTTTAAAAATATATTGCTTTCAAAATTGAGTGTTATCAGTTTGAAAGGTGTAAATAATATTGATAAGAAAATATATATTTTTAAAAAAATTATCTGATTGTTAACAGGATATTCATTAGCCAACCAATTTCGCGCCAGGCAAATTAACTTTTAAACCGTCAAAAAATAACAACTACATTTATACTAAACTCAAAAATGCGTCTCTATTTCAGCTAGTTAACAAGATAAAAACAATTAAAAGTCGATTCGCTGTGGCAGGTTGTCCTCTTCCAGCTTGTGCTCGATCTCCCTCATGCGCAGCATCATTTTGAAGTTCTGCTTGTCCTCTTGGCCGGTGAGGAACATGGTGACAAGGGCCTGCAGACAGATGAGGGTGCTAAGGGCAGGTACAATGGGACGGGTGATCTTCCGCCACAACTGAAACACCTCACGCGGACTTTCCGTGATTGAGGGAATGCGGTATGTGTAGCATCGGGTGGCGAACATAAATGCGGCAAATGGGGCCAGGATCGTGGGATACACAATGCCCAGACTAGTTTGGAAGGCGGCGCTGCGCACCTGAATGCATACCGGGCACTCGCCCAGTGGATTAAGCAGAATAGGTCTCTGGATGAAGAACTTGTGCGCCAGCATGGTGAAAATGGCGGGAACGGCGACAATGGGAAGGTAACTGGACAGCCGACCATGTCCTCCCAGTCGCAGCTTGGTGCGATAGTGGTTATTTATGTAGGCGCCCGTTCCCGCGGCCATGGCACTCAGAATTCCGGGGCCGTAGCGCAGGGACCACCTATTTACAATACATTATTTGAAATCGGTTGTTAGGTAAGCGGTTGGTTTGAAGGTGTCTTGCACTCACACATCCCCAACTTTGTCCCAGGCGGTTATGATCTTCCACTGGTACTTAAGGGCCTGATCCTCTGTTATAACAACAGCATCCTTGGGCAGTTCTTCGGGCTTGGCGCGAGATAATGCCATCTTTATGATAAATCAAAATATTTGGTTCGAACCCAACTAACAGCTGCTGGTTAAGAGAAGTGTTGTAAAACTACAAAACCGGCTTTGCTGAGACGTTTACAGTAAATATTGGAAAAAGAGAGCAGTAGGTTTAGAAAATAAAACAGGGAAACAAATATGTATGAATGTAAGAATAGATAATTTAAAATATTTAAACAAGCCCTCTTAAAATTAACAAAACGTTCCATGTGACTATTTTAACTTAAGCTTTACTGTGCAAATTTTTTATGTTTTTAAACCAGCTTTGTACCATTTATAGATTACAAAAAACTACTGTTCTTTCCGAATTTTTTGAGCCATTTGATTTAAAAAATTAAAATCTAATAAAGAAAAATAAATAAACGTTTCCCTTAGAACAGCTGTCCCCACCAGTGCTGTAAAATACCCGAATCAGTGTGGCGTGCTGTTTAAGATCAGAGTGGATTTAAACAGTAGTTTCGTAGTCCTTGCGGCTCTGTTCAAAATGCCACACAAGCGTAAATCCCGAATTAATGTGAGCCAAAGAAACTCCGCCACACGACGGGTCCAATTGGACCACCCGTCTACAGCGCCCCCGCATGTATTCGTCGAGTCCTGCCTTCTGATGGACGAGGAAATCCCGACACCGGACAGCCCCAAGGCCAAAAATGGCGGTTTGACGTCCAGGAGACCCTTCTCGGTCCACAAATTTGCCGTGCCCCAGTACAATAGCACCGTACGCAAGCAGGACGAGATTAACGTCATTACCCAGTTGCAGACAGACACAAATCTTTCGCCAGGAGCTGCGGCAGCCATAGCACCAAAGGTAAGTCCTGGCTTTCAAAACGTAGAACGGCATCTAAGCCATTTTATATCACTTTAAAGGTCACCCAGAAGATGAACTTTCCGCCGGATAAGACTGTTTTCAGTGGTTTAGTGCCCCTAAACGTCAATGACTCCGTGCTGGTACCCCACAAAGTCAAGCGGAACACCTCAAAGGACAGCCGGTCCAAGGAAACTGATGCAAGCAAGGTAAACGAGCCCCAGCTGGCCGATTATGCCGAGAAGGTCGATCCCATTGTCATGGCTATTCCGGAACCACGGCTCCGATTGGATTACACACAGGAACCTTTCGATTTCCTCGGCGCTTACAGAAAGATCTACTATTAGAGTTACATTTTATTATAAATATATCCGAGTCGCACAGTACATAGCTTTGTTAACCGATGAAGTTCATCACCACCAGGTGCAGGATCACATGGGCGAAGATAAAGTCGGCAAATCCACGCTCCGGCGAAATGCCGGCAAAGACGGTTTTGTTTTGGGGATTGGCCTGTAGACGGAGGCAGACCGCCAGGACGAAGCAGCTGACGGTGCTGATGAAGCCCGACAGGAATGAGTTGAAAGGGAAGGTGCCCACCAGGCAGCAGTAAACAAACTGGATGATGCCGGTCAGCAGAATGTAGCCCAGGTAGATGTCCACCAGCTTCAGCTTCTTGGGCGTGTTCTGCACGTAGTCGTTGTAGAACTTGGATATTACGCTAGTCAGCTCCACCATGTTGCTTTTATTTGGGCTATATGTCCGGTAATTTAAGGATAAAGGCGATTTATAATAAATTCACCGCAGACACGTCACGAAATGGGAGAGAACACGTTAGTGGGACCGTTGGTGGAATGTGAAAATAATACAGAAAACTCTGACGAGTACAGTGGGCACTTGATGGCTTGTCTGCTAAGAATTTCTATAATATAAAATTCATTTTAACAAATTTTTGAAATATGTATTTAAGGGATAATACTTACCTGAATCAAATAAAATAAATCTATACAAAACTTCACTCATAAAAAATGTTCTGTCATTTATGTTAAGAAATTTTCGTTTCGTAGGTTCTTCGATTCAGGATAGTATTAGCCTTAGGAATATTGTAAGAATTGATTACATTTGGGAAAATTTCCGAAAACAGGAATTACAATATGATAATAAAAAATGTAAAGTGCCATGTCATTTTTTACATTTTCGTTTTAAAATTTTACATTTCGTTATTCAAATAATATAACTGAAATTGTTGTTACTTCAATAAATATTGAAGTCTTGAACCAGCGTGAAAAGATTAATTTTTAAAAATGTATCGACATAATAAAATGTAGTAATTTACTTGTTTTCCAATTTTACACTTACCTTTTTTACTGTACTTGTTTGCTTTAAAAACCTGTTCTTGAAAAATGTTTAACATTTATACATTTTATTTCTTATTTAATTGTTACTGTACCACCTAATCGCCAAAATAATCGATAGATACGGAAAAAACCTACCTCGACTGTTGGTCTTTTGCTCAGTGCTGGTTTCGGGGTGAGAGGCAATTGTTATTACGAGCTAAATTCGAAGAAAATTGTAACGTATGTATTTCAAACCGCAACGACAATAAAGGGATAACATGTGTTGCAGCATAAAAATAAATACTTGCTATCAATTAGGAGTCGTCCTATTATACTGCTGTTAATGTATGAATACAACATGATTCATTGTTGATGTTTTCTCTGTTCGATTCGCAGACTGGGAAAAGATAATTGGCATCCGTCGTCTCCTCCCCCACGCACACCTATATTTTATTTAATGGAATGGACCACTTCGGCTTCAATTTGATTTAATTTTCGCACTGATAAAAACGCAATCGCGCCACAACGTTCTGACCTTTGCAGAAGTACCTTTTTCATTGTCAGTGTCAAGCGGGAAAAAATCAATGGAGGACCTGACGCCTTTAACGAACCTTCAACAGGTAGCACACCCACACATCTGTCCACCCACATGTGCATGCTGAATGGGTTTATTTGATTTTATCGTCCATCTGTTAATTATGATTTCTTTCAGTTCTAGTCCCAAGATTATTATTTGCCCAACTTTCCAAAAGCCGAGTACAACGACTACTGCAAATCAGTGTATAAACCCACAATATCACGTTGGCATCCATCTAATTTGCGATATTCTCTGTAAGTGAAAACAAGATATAGATACGTATGTATTTCTGTAAGGTCGCACTTTGTTGTGCAAGTCTGTGATGCAAGATAAAACAAAAATAAGTTAGAATTCTTGATGCTTTGTTTGATTTGTTTATTGCGCTCAAATAAAGACTCTTGACATAAGCCTGCTGTTTTGTCTGGGTTTTAACAATATAATCCCTTAATGCTCCTGCCAACAAAAAAAAATAACATTTGAAAATAGTCCACATTTTTTAATAATGTTGTATTTAGGTCGGCTAAAAAATAGAAGCACTCTAACTTAAATTTTAACTAGAATGTATTTGACTAAGTTACAATCACACTTTATGTAAACAATTAACATCATTGACATAGTTTTCTTAAAGATACAGTTGATAGTATTGAAACAAAATCCTTAATTTTAAACTTTTTTTTAACAACTTTTTTATGTTACTTATATGGTAATTGTGTTGTCTTAAATTAATTTTTATTCGAATTATAATTCAATTGAAGTTTTATTTTACATTTTACATAAACATACTAGCTTTGAAAACGCAACTAATATCAACATCGGAAATATTATATGTCACAAAAAGGCATGCAAATTGAGTACCTTTCGCTGCTGAGTCAATAAATCCAAATAAACAGAAAATAATGGGTGGATATCTGATTCACCGTCTGGATACATATTATATAATCGCTACTTATGGTACGATCTGCGGCTTTGCAGGCTATTTGCCGGTCTTATCGCCTCGTATTGCTTGTTTTTGCGACTGTCAGTGTTTTCGAAATTAAAGCTATACTCTAGTGAGGGAACGGACTGGCGAATTTGATATCGACTTCCGAAGCAAGCGTAATCAGACTCATATGCAAAGTAATGTAATGATCAAATTAATCGTACTTTGAGTCAAGTCCAAGGTTGAGTCCGACTATCAGCATGGTCGAAATTTTCCACTCCGCCCCCGGCAAACGTTTACTGTCCACTATCCGCCGCACTATCTGCACGTCCTATTGTTATAAGCGTGGAAAATTGAGTCAACGGAAAATTTCCGAGGCGAAAAGCGGGCCTCTCAATTCTCAGTTTTAGTGCGTTCTGAGCAGCCGTGAAGCACGCACCATATAGTGCAGTGCTCTGAATTAATTTCGTACTACTTGTTCCAGTGTTCCGAGGGTGCGCCGCGCAAGAAAAAGATGACGGAACGCCAGCCGCTGCTCCTGCAGAGCGACGCCTCCGACTATGAGGGCAGCCGAGGATCGGCGGCGCGACCCGTGCGCAGCTCTCCGCCGGACAACACGCTGGTCAACGTACACAGCGAGGACAGCCTAGCAGGTGAGTTTGTGATCTGCTCTACAAACACTAAATGTCCCGAAAATGTTGCTTGTATGGACTCTAAATTAAACTGATTCACAGTAAAATAAAAATCAAAATTAAGTGCATCAAAAATATCTCCAAATTGGTTGGGTTTAAAAACATCCAAAAGTATTCTGTTATTGGCACTTGAGAGTTTATGTTTGAGTTTTCGTGAGTGAGCTTTCGCACAATGATAAACAACCACAATAATAATAACAACATTTTTAAATGAAATAGATGACTATACACATTACATAAAAGCTGTACAAACAGGGTTAAATAATGAAGTCGTAGTTCCACTGCCGAATATTTATCGAGTAATATTTACATTATTCAAATTCAAATCCTAATCTATAAATATTTCTGGGGCAATGATTAATTAAACAGATGTAATGACTCAAAAATGAATAAGTGTTACATTTATTATTTTTAGTCATTCAATCTGTTTAGTTAATCATTGCTTTAAAAACAATTATCATAAATATTACGCTCTGGGTTTCCACAGAAATATATAATAAAAAATAATAATAATAATAATAAGCTTGAAATCGTTATTAAATCTTGGAATGAATACATGTTTTGATGAAATTATATTTCAGATTGGGTAATAAAAAATAATAAAAAACTATAAACTATTTAAAAAATTTAGAATTTGATAGCTTAAAAGATGAACCCAATTTTATATTGAGCTCCGACTGTAAACTTATATTTCTTTCGATTTGTTTCTGTGAGTGCACGCAGCAGCCTCGGGATCGGGAGATGATGAGCACGGATTGACGGATAAGTCCAACTACAACCCCACCCACCATCGCACCCTGGAGCACCCGACGTCCAACTTTGACACTCTGATCCATCTGCTGAAGGGCAACATTGGCACTGGCATACTGGCCATGCCGGATGCATTCAGGAACGCCGGTCTGTATGTGGGCCTCTTTGGCACCATGATCATGGGAGCCATCTGCACCCACTGCATGCACATGCTGGTCAGATGCTCCCACGAGCTGTGCCAGCGGTTTGAGCGGCCGGCCTTGGATTTCTCGGAAGTGGCATTCTACAGTTTTGAGTCAGGACCCGAGGGGCTGAGAAGGTACTCGATCCTGGCAAGACGGATCGTTACCACGTTCCTGTTCATCACCCAAATCGGTTTCTGCTGCGTCTACTTTCTGTTTGTGGCCATGAATATTAAGGAAGTGATGGATCACTACTACAATATCCCGTTGACGATTTACCTGCTGATACTGCTGGCCCCCATGATCATGTTGAATCTGGTGCGGAACCTCAAATACCTGACGCCCGTCTCGCTGATCGCCTCTATGCTCACTGTGGCCGGTCTGGCCATAAGCTTCTGGTACATGCTGCAGGATCTGCCGGATGTGCACACGGTCAATCCGGTGGCCACCTGGGTCACGTTGCCCCTCTACTTTGGAACCGCCGTCTATGCGTTCGAGGGGATCGGCGTGGTCCTGCCCCTGGAGAATAACATGCGCACCCCGCAGGACTTTGGCGGCACCACGGGCGTCCTCAATACGGGCATGGTCATCGTCGCCTGCCTGTACACGGCGGTAGGGTTCTTTGGCTACCTGAAGTACGGTGAACATGTCAGGGGCAGCATAACCCTAAATCTGCCGCAGGGCGAAGTGTGAGTTCTTAAAATGACTTTTAACATGTTCCTTATCTAGCCATATCGCTGTTATTTAACCATATATTGAATTATTTGAAACGTATCTTGATGACAATTTGATGCTCTTTATTCTTCTAGTCTTTCTGAGTTGGTGCGCATTTCCATGGCTGTGGCGATCTTCCTTTCGTATACACTTCAGTTCTACGTGCCCGTTAATATCGTGGAACCCTTTGTGAAGAGTCACTTTCGCACCACGGAGACCAGGAATCTGTCGGCAACTGTCCTTCGAATCGCTCTAGTCACTTTTACTTGTAAGTGCTCGAATAATCACGAAAGTAGTTACTTCTATTAACCTATATCATTGCTTAGGTCTTCTGTCCATCTGCATTCCCAACCTGGGCCCCATTATTTCGCTGGTAGGAGCCGTCAGCAGCTCAACTTTAGCCCTCATTTCCCCGCCAATCATCGAAATGATTACCTTCTATAACGTTGGCTATGGCCGCTATAACTGGATGCTTTGGAAGGACTTTCTCATCCTGATCTTCGGACTCTGTGGCTTTGTTTTTGGCACCTGGGCCAGTTTAGCTCAAATCCTAAATGGCACAACAAACTGAGTCTAAAAAAAAATGGGCCGAATGAAAATCAGGACCTGGCTAGTTCTGCCTACAAATGTGTGCGAATTTATGGCGAAGGCTTTATGTGGTTTTAATCAGACTACCAATATGTTTAGCATTACTTGTTTCCCTTCTTGAAACTGGTATCAGTCCAGTGGCGGTGCTCTAGTGTGTTGAATTTATTATTATCGCGATTTATTTGCACTTTTTGTTATTAATTAGCTGCAATCGTACCAGACAATAACTAGCATTTTAAGTAGACAGTTTTACCATATGTTTGTTCAGTTTGTCAGTATGTCAGTTGGAGAATATTGCTGTGTTAACTCGAGGACCGCACAATGCCAAAAGTGATTTTACGTAGTATTCTTAAATAAATTATTATTTAGCTTTTACTATGTAGTCTAGGTCGGGGCAGAACATTCCAAAGCAGCTGCTCAGAATTTCCCAAAACCGAAGTTAGCTAAAGTTATCTGCATACTTTTATCGTTCTTATAATTGTAATTATTGTAGTATATATACTCAACTTATTATATTGGGTCCCCGAAATGTCGACCTCCGATACAGTCTTGTAAATACATCAATTCGGTGTATCAACAAATGTTCTTTAATGGTTTAACGGATAACAAAAGACAATAATTAATATAACGTTTATAAAAATCAGTATCACGTCTGTTCTTAGTGTTTCTACCACAGTGATTGGATGGCCAATGGAACTGGGACTCCATTGGAATTGAGCACTCGGAATGGGCTCGAGGATAGCAGAATCAATCCTTGAGATTGAGGACGGTTCCTGATCTGCTTGGTCAGACGAGCGGGAGCCTGCTGGATGGGCTGAACTTCCTCTGCATCCGAATCGGGTGTGAACTCCTGCGGCTCCTCATCCGTGGGCAGCTGCTCCACTGCATCGGCGGGCGGGGGTCCGTAGGTCAGATCGGGGGGTCCGTAAGTCTGATCGGGCACTCCTTCTTCGAAGGGGACCTCAGGTTTTAAGTCCTGGGCGGATGGGTAAGGCGCTGCCTGTATCTGCTTTGCCGATCTGGCTGGTTGAGCTGCAATTGTTCCCAATGCCAGGATCAGTACTAACAAGGAACAGGAAGACTTCACGTGGCTGCACATATTGTTTCGATAATATAGAAAACCAAACTGTTGATGGAATTGTTGATGATTGATAACTTGCTGTTCGCAACCTGTCTTTTTATATGTTTCTCGGTAGCTACGTGGCTGGGTTACTAAATTTTTGGTGGTAAGACGTGGTCATATGGTTAATGACTGGGTCATCGTCGGCCCTTGTGGTCACTCGGAGCTACCGTCAATGTCACATTGCAGGTTTCCCAAATGGGAAGTCAATCAAACCCATTAATTTCAGTGTCAATGTTAGCAGAACTTATGCATTATACAAAATAAATAAAAATGTAATACAAAAATAAGTAACTACACATAAAAAAATTACAACAAGTAAATTTAAGTTTAATATTTGCAATCACATCTGACCGGTGTTTGCTTAAAATTCCCAAGTGCTTATTCCGCGCATTGTACGTATAAAAGGCAGCAAGCAACCCAGACTACTGTGTTGTTTGGAAGGAGAGCAAGTTAGCACTCCCCTAGACAAGGATGGAACACATAAACGGTCGGCTAGGCACAAGACAAGCCGACCACAATTTTTTTTGTTACTCCTCCCATACTCTAGGATTTTAACTATTTTTGTATCAAATTAGTAGCCCCGATTTTTAGTGCCTACATGTAGCAGAAAGAACAAAATAACAGGAATCCAATTGTGACAACACTTTGCCTTGGAGAGGTAAAAACGTTTAAATAAGTTTATTATTTTTAATTGACTTATCCTTACTTAATACAAATATCTCTTTAACTGGAATTTATGACTATTATAATAAACATTAATTCGTTGTAAGCTATTCTGCGGTACATATAAAAATGTAAGTTGTCGTTAAATAAAAAAGTTAATCTACACTATTATTTATTTGAGAGCTCTAGTTGTCCAAATTAAAGCTCTCTTGTCAAGGGTTAAAAATAATTAATGAATTTAAAACAAATAAATTTTGAAACTTTAAATCAGTTGATATCACATTTATCTTTTCAAAATAGAATGAAACCATCTAGGGGTCAATGATATTCATTCTATCTGGTAAGATAAATATGATTATGCTGGTAATGAAAAGGAGCTATAACTATTTTCAGGATAAGGATCAATACTACAATTCCTATACTTTTTTCTGTGCCAAATAAAAACTGAAGGTGGGATCTCTATCGCTGGCACAGCTCGGTAGATATGTGAAGAAAGTGCGCCGGAGTCCGGAACTATTGTTGGCTCGCAGGTTGTGCTGCGTCTGCCAGCAGAGTCTCGTTTGCTTGAGGATGATCTGGAGGACATTTTCCCGGAACGATTTCTTGAACTGACTAGCCACTGCCATAATATCATCGTGCATGGCAAAGGGCACGGGATTTTGTCGCACCGTCCGGGGATCTATATTAGACAGCAGCGGAATCAATTTCTTTTCCATCTCCGCCAGTTTCAACGTCTTTATCTTGAGCTTCTCCGACTGCAATTCGGTTTGTGGCCCATATTGTTTGCCATATCGCCTTCGGATCCACTCCCTTAACTCGGGGATTTGGTGACCATCGGGCAAAGTGGCCAGCACAAGTTTGCGATCTCGCTGCAGCACCTGGAAAGCATCGCTCAGCATCTGGTCCAGGAATTTCTCGTCGTCGGGATCGATCCGCTTGTCTTTATAGACGAGTCGTTCCTCGGACCTTTTGGGAGAAGGACACGGTGTCGCCAGCAGACTCTTCTCGAAGATCTTCCGCACACACCGGGAGATCGCTTCGTCAATGTGGCTCCTCCTAATTGTCCTGGGTACCCGTCTCTCCTCATCTTCCATTGCTTTTACCAGGGCACCACCTATAGCCTCTTTGGTGTCCAAAGATTCCTTACTGCCCTTTTCAAATATGCGTGTATAGTTGAAGACATAGGGACAGTGACTTTTGGGGGCCGTAAAGTAGCTAGGAGTCTTTTCTTTTGGGATGTTTCGATTCCCATCCTCACCACCACATAGCCGCATCTTGGGGCCACTCCTGTCGTACAGTCGTCCCCAATCACCTTCGAGGAGGAGCACTTGGGCAGGAGTCTCCAAGCTCACGTGGACCAGCTCGCTGCAGGCGGCACATCCGTACTGCCGCGAAGCAGGAACTCCCGGACTCCAACCTTTGTCGCCAAACTTAAGAAGGTACTTATCCACGTCGTTGTTCAGGTGATGGATTATCCGCTCCCTTGTGAGCTTTATTTGGGGAGAAGGAAATTAATAGGATATTATATTAAAATTAGCTTATTTATTATTTATTTGGGATGTATTCACGAATGGGTTTTAGGAATACTTTATAAAATTTATTCTTTAAAGACAAATATTTTAGATATTTAAATCCATTAGGGTTGTATTTTTACTTATATTTTGCTCTACAACATATTTCTTTATATAAATATATTAGGTATAAATATTTAATCAGGACTTACCCGCTTTTCCCTCCCTTCCAAGTCGATCATATCCTGGTATCTTTGTTGCTGCTCGAGGAGAAACGCCTTTCGCTCCTGCGATCGGGTTTCCTCATGGAACTCACACAGATCCCTTGGCTGCTGATCATGTGACTCAGGATCACTGGGCGCCTCGTCTATTTGATCGAATAGGTGGCAGAGCTCGTGGTTAATAAGCGCCTTAACTATGCGCTGGATCGGACGAAACTGGAAGTCGGCAAACCACCGGTCGTCTTCCTCCTTTGGATCCCCCACCTCGTTGGGTATCTGGACCTCAAACAGCGGGGAATTCGACGAATAATAGGTGGACGGGCGGGACGATTTTGGGCGGGGCTGTTTCTGAAAATAGGGCTTCGCATATCTGCAGGATTGGTCCGATGAACGAGTCCTTGTTTGTGGGAGCTGTGAGGAAAGAACTTTGTCCAGCTCTCGAAACGTAGCCGGCAGATCCTGTGGCTGCATCTCATCTTCCACATCCTTTGGCTTATTAAGCTCATTTAGGGTAGGAATCGGAGCTGCGATGGAGGGTCGACGAGATTGCTTCTGCAAATAAACCCAAAATTGTTGTAGGTGCAAAAACATGGTTGAATCATTTTAAAAATTAAAACGCTTTATTAATATTGTATTTAACTATAACTACTTTTTAAAATGTTAGTTATTAAATTAGGTTTTTTTTTTGGTTGGTCTACTAACCTTTTGCAGGTCCACTTTTCTGTCACGATTTCCACTAAGCGGAAGAACTTTGTCCAGCGCCCGAAAAGTGGCCGGCAAGTCCAGATAGGCGATGGTCGAGAGCAGGAGTTGTCCGTTAACCGAATACTTTCCACATGGACCGCCAGACTTGTAGTGTTCCTGGAAGAGGAAGTAGAGGAAGGCCAGCTTCTGGCCGCGACTCAGCTGCACAATCCTGAGGAGCTGCCGGTTCCTGACCAGCGGACGCAATCCCAGGCGCAACATACAGTCCCGTATGGTTCTGATATCATACGTCAGGACAGTTCCCAAGTCATCAGCCGCCTTCATCTGAAGGAGGGACAGACCGCGATGCCAACTGGCGATGGGTAGCTCCAAGTCCGCTCCAGATTCCTTACCCATTTCCCTAGTTACACGAATAGTTATCGAAAAGTAAAGTGAACACAACAAATTTAAGAAACTATGCAAATTTTGAGAGTGTCACACTGGAATTCGTTGTGATTAATGATGTGAGTAGAAAGGGCAAATTCGGATAAGAGTCTCATGGCTACGATGGTGGATTTATGGTTTAAGGGAATTTTTCATTTTGTAATTGAGATCAGTAGTGCGTTGGATGCCAGTAGTCACGGAAAACCTCTCCTCAATCAAAATTCGCCGTAGGCATACACGAAAATGGCCAGAAAAAGAAGGACTATAGCGGGATAAAAGGACCCATTATAAATATCTCGTATTTTTAAGGAAGTTATGTGACCAAAAGAACTTACCGGCTTTCATTCTGGTAGTTCATGTTACTACTGATACTGAATCACACCAAACACCATTTTAAATCACTCTGCTATCTATCCTTGAAATGTAGAGTACGACTTTTGCGGTATGATAAGTTCTATTTCGGAACGAACATGGATCGTTTAAAAATAATCGCATGATCACTCTTGGTATCTGTTCCTCGACAACTAACAAAGTAGACACCACCAAAAACAGTGTGCCATTTGGAACTTAAAAGCTGGAATAATAATGTCTTCAGTTTGAATGACATTTTGTTCTATGTCTAAATTACATATTCTTGAATTGAGAAGAAGAATTATTGAACTTCGGAAAGACAATGATTTTAATTGGAGCAAACGTGCAAGGCTAGCATAGCCTGGGTTTTCAAAGAAATTTTGTTGTTTTCGAAAGGTTTTATTATCTTTCCGAACAAAATTATTTTTTTGCTAAAACAATCAAAACCAAACAAAACCATTGTCGAAAGTAAACTAATCGACTGATTTTGCAAACACACAGATTACACAATAAAAGTAGTCAATAAGTTTTCAATGCATTTTTGTATTTCCTACAAATGAAATCTATTTAGGCACAGGGATCGACCCACTTCCATTGGCCCCAGGGGATGCACGACTTGGTTGTGGGGTCGAATCCGGTGGTTTCCTCCGTGCTCTCGGTTTCCGACGCGCAAGTTTTAACCTCTGGATCCTGGGAGCCAAGGGACGCGCACCACCAGTAGCGGGTGGGGTCCCAGAAGTTGCGGATCTTCACCTCCACGTTGGTGGAGTTGGTGCAGTCGGGCTTGTTGTTGCCATCGGGATTGCAGCCGTAGACTCCGGCGCAGAGCGCCATCAAGAGGGCGAGGCAGAGCAGGACTAGGGCTGCGGATCGGAGAAGGGTCCTTTAGAATCTTGTTCCGTTCCAAAAGGATTCGCAGCTGACTTACCGGCTTTCATGGTTGAGCTGTGACTGTTTCCGTGAGTGTGCTTTAACTGCGCGAATTCGCAGGTTTATATACCCGGAGCCCACTGATACTACCTTCCAAAAATATCAGTTATCTCCCTTGCTTCTGCAATGTTCTATTTTGGCAGCGACATGAAATAGTTTAAAAATAATCGTGCCATGTATCGCTGATCGTATCTGTATCTCGACCCGAGCAATGCGTTGTCCCTAGAAATTTCAAACAATTATATATTTATGCTGTATAAAAATGATTTATAAAAATGCCAAAAATTTGTGTTATATTCTTGTAAACTTATGTTTATTGTTTACATCTGTCATTTAATGAAACACAAAAAATACTTGCCTATGAGAAACAAAAAGACTTGTTTTGGTGGGGCTAAAAACTATAATTAGATTACCTATTATTAGTTTTCGCATATATTTCGCTGGTGAGATCTGTTAATTATTTTATTTATTTTTTAAACTGCGTTTATTGGCTATGCACATGTTTTGATCGAAGGATTTTCAATTTTGCCTTACAAAGAACTGGTTTTTTGGATTGTTACAATGGATTTACGAGTGTGGTTCCACTCGGATCCTTTGGCTGTTTTTCTACAGGGAGGCTAGAGTTGGGGGACGTTGGACCACATGTTTCCGGACCTTTGACTGTTGGGAGCTTTTCCGTGGGAAACCTTCTCCTAATCGAGGGACTCCGGAGTCCTTTGACTGCAATCAATGCTGAGGCTTGATTGGCGCCCAAGGACTTCCGTGCAGTCAATTTGGAGTTCCATTGTTTCGCTGGAACAAGACCAGCTCGCTGGCACAGACGGAATATATTGCTATTCTTGACAAGGGTCCCCTCATTTGTCCAGGAGCCGGAAAGGAGTCGGGATTGATCCGACGACACAATAGACCCCGTGTTCACAGATCCCCGAGCAGATACCGGTGTTGGTCTGGGAGTTCTGGGATATTCGACGTGGAAGCGACCATCAGATAGTAGTGAAGGCAGCCTCTGTTCAACAATCCACTCCTTTGAAGGAGATTCATCAGCAGGGATCTTTGTTCCTACGAGTACAGTTTCCGAGAAGCTGGCTTTTTGCGATCGGCCAGGTGGATCGTGCGAAATCCTTTTCTCACCAGAGGACGGGTTTTCACCAACTGGAATCTCTACTTCTGACTGTTCCTGCTTGGTTGGTGTGGGTGACTCCTGTTCTCCCAATTGGGATAGCATTTGGAACATAATATTGGTCGGGTCCTTGGGATCAGGACCACTGCTTCTACTGATACTCATGCGTTTTTCCAACTGGTAATTGTGGGCTGATTCCACGGCTGCCGTGGCCGCAGCCATCATCGCACGTCCCAAGGTTTCGCAGATCGTCCTGAGGTCCGCAAGATCCGGTTGGTCATTGGTATTAGTGGCCTGATCTCGGCGACCAGGGGGCTCCATTTGTTTTGGGGGAACCTGAGGAATTTGACCTTCTGGAATATTTAAAGTACCGCCACGTCCACAGCACGGACACTCCCTCTCCATCCGCCCACCCGGCACATTGCTAAAGCAGTTGCTGGTAGCGCGAGGTACGGGAATGTAGATGGGGATGATCCGGTCCTCTGGACGGACCACATAGCGCACAGTTGGCTGGCTAGCTCCACTGGAGGAATATCGAGGGCAGGAGCCCCTGAGCTGGCTCTGCGACGACTTCCGTTTGGGTGGAGCGCACATCTCGGGCCGGATTCTTGGATGCATTCGGGGAGGAGCCTCCGCCGGAGCTCTCATATTCGGGGATATGGAATCCGACCGCGGGGGCTGCTCCCCTGCCTTTCTGTTGCCGGGAAACAAGGGAATCGCCTGCACCGAGATGGGCATGGCCTGCATCTGTCCGCTGGAGGTCGGTGGCTGGGACACCAGCTGGATCATAATGGTGTTTGGCGGACCTGCACCACTGCCGATCCTCGACTCCATCACTGCGGATTGATCACAAGGAATTTGGAAGCATTACTGTGAGAAGTAAACTGCCTACGCCTACTGAAAGAATGACAGTCTTGTTTTATCTCTTAGTAAGCTCCGCAAAAAGATTTAACTTCAGATACTTAACGCTTGGGTTTCATTATTAACGTACACATTTTTACCGCACATCAAAAAAGAATATCTTTTTTGTATAGTTACATGTTATTTGTTGTCATACAATCCGATTTGCAATTAAACCTTAAGATAAGGTGCCTACAGTGTACTCTTTCATCTCGGAAGTTATACCTGAAGTTAGATCAATCTAAAGGTCAGTTATAAATAACCGTGTAACTGTTAACTTTAACTTAAGACCTTAAGTTTGGTATTTATTTTATCAATAGCATATGACGAATTCGTCTTTATATTTTCAAGGCGTTTCAATCTTATAAGTTCAGACTTCTTATCTGCAATAAAGTATGTAATAGCTTTATTCGGCATTTAAAAATATATAGGTCCTGAGCAAGACATTTTTATTTAGTAAAATATTAATATATTTAGTATAATTATTTTGTTCATAACAAATATTTTTAAGCCACATTTTATTGAGAGTTCTACATGATGTGGATAGATTTAGCAACCATAGTGTTATTATTGAGCAGTACTCAACGGCTAGAGTTCCAAGCCTGCTTGGCCCGTCCTCCCCATGACCCCCATCTTATCAAGCCATTCCGCCACCCGAATTTAGGGGCGCAAGTACTGCGTAGCGATACAGATACGGTCGGCGATACACGACACGATTACTTTCAAACTAGTTCATGTCGCTGCCAAAATAGAATTTTGCACAGGCTTTTCGGCGAGGGAGATAACTGATATTATTGGAAGGTAGTATCAGTGGGCTCCGGGTATATAAACCTGCGAATTCCCCCAGTCAAAGCACACTCACGGAAACAGTCACAGCTCAACCATGAAAGCCGGTAAGTCAGCTGCGAATCCTTTTGGAACGGAACAAGATTCTAAAGGACCCTTCTCCGATCCGCAGCCCTAGTCCTGCTCTGCCTCGCCCTCTTCATGGCGCTCTGCGTCGCCGTCTACGGCTGCAATCCCGATGGCAACAACAAGCCCGACTGCACCAACTCCACCAACGTGCAGGTGAAGATCCGCAACTTCTGGGACCCCACCCGCTACTGGTGGTGCGCGTCCCTTGGCTCCCAGGATCCTGTGGTTAAAACTTGCGAGTCGGAAACCGAGAGCACGGAGGAAACCACCGGATTCGACCCCACAACCAAGTCGTGCATCCCCTGGGGCCAATGGAAGTGGGTCGATCCCTGTGCCTAAATAGATTTCATTTGTAGCAAATACAAAAATGCATTGAAAACTAATTGACTACTTTTTGCTTTATTATTGTTTGTAAAATCAGTCGCCTAGTTTACTTCCGAAAATGGATTTATTTCTTTTTGATTGTTTTTGCAGCAAATAATTTAGTTCCAATGACAAAAGTACGATATATAAAGCTTTGAATTGTTCAGAAAGATAACGAAACCTTAATTTAAATACCAAAATTATTCTTAAAGCTATTATTTTCGAAAACAAGAATTTGTTCAGATTGTTCAGCTATACGATATAGTCGTCCCATCGGCCGGATTTTTAAACATAAAAGGTTTCCAAAAAAAATATAGATTATTATTAATTTATGTAGATAGATAATGCTGGCGTAGGAACAATAGAGTTAACTATGTTAAGTTTGCTGATTTTGTCTAAAATAATGTTTTATCTCATATCCCAAAACCACTTTTTCGCGCACTGTAAAAGCTATCAGCATATAACTTTCTAAATCTTACTGGTCGATCGGACGTCTATATCATATAGCATAGGAACATTGGGTAAAATTGGATCCATTTGGTTGTTTCGAAGAATTGTGCGTATATCGCTTTTTCTTGCCTAATCATTTCGGATCCATCCTTGAGTTGACTATAACCTATATCTGTCATTTGTAGCAGCCGAGTTCCAGCGGACCGATGAAGTCCATGCCATTTTGGGGGCAATCGATTCCCTTGTTTCCCGGTCCCAGAACAGTACATCGATTCTAGGGATGGAGATTCCAGAAAGTCAGGTCCCTCAGGTTCCCTCAGAAAAAATGGAGACCAAGCGGATCTTGTGGACCTCAGGACGATCTTCGAAACCTTGGAAAAAAGCAACGCAAACCCAACACTATGCCAATTTGGAAGCCAGGGGCCAATAGATCCACCCACACTAACCAAGCAGGAACAGTCAAAAATAGAGATTCCAGTTGGTAAAAAACCATCCTCAGGTGAGAAAAGGATTTAGCACGATCAACCTGGCCGATCGCAAAAAGCCAGCTTTTCGGAAATGGTGCTCATAAAAACAGAGATCCCTGCTGGTAATGAGCCGTCAAAGGAATGGATTGTTGAACAGGTGGTCCAACTTCCCCCGAATCATCCCTACTTGTAGGAAAACAGTCAAAAGTATTTTCTGAGTTAAGCAAATGCCTATAGAACCTAAAGATGTCAAGCCTCAACATAAATTTTAAAGAATATTCCACCAATTTTTAGCATTTTTAACCATCATTATAAGCATATTGTAAATATCAAAGCGTGGAGATACACATACGATCAGCGATACATGGCACGATTATTTTTAAACGATTTCATGTCGCTGCCAAAATAGAACATTGCAGAAGCAAGGGAGATAACTGATATTTTTGGAAGGTAGTGTCGGTGGGGCTCCGGGTATATAAACCTGCAAATTCGCGCAGTTAAAGCACACTCACGGAAACAGTCACAGCTCAACCATGAAAGCCGGTAAGTCAGCTGCGAATCCTTCTGGGGAGGAACAAGATTCTAAAGGACCCTTCTCCGATCCGCAGCCCTAGTCCTGCTCTGCCTCGCCCTCTTCATGGCCGCCGTCTACGGCTGCAATCCCGATGGCAACAACAAGCCCGACTGCACCAACTCCACCAACGTGGAGGTGAGGATCCGCAACTTCTGGGACCCCACCCACTACTGGTGGTGCGCGTCCCTTGGCTCCCAGGATCCTGAGGCTAAAATTTGCGAGCCGCCAACCGACGACTCGGAGGAAACCACCGGATTCGACCCCACATCGAAGTCATGCATCCCCTGGAGCCAATGGAAGTATATCACTCCCTGTGCCTAAATTGATCACAGAATTGTACAAAATAATAACAACTTCTGGCAAACTTTATGAATACTTGTGTTTTCTTTTGTAATTATAAGACAAATTTGTTTTTCAAATAACGATCCTAACGTCATTATCTTAAAAAACCCTTACTTAATATTAAAAAATGTTTATTTAAATGCCACTGTGGACTGAAGACCACTTATAGAGTTATAAATAGCTTACATACAACTCTACAAATTTTTGAGCAACAAAAAAACAACTAGTTTCGTTTAAGAAGATTCTTTTTCTTGTACAAGAGGCTATAAAGCTCTTGGGATTTCAAGATTGTTGACATAAGAACCTAAAACATTTAGCTGAATAATAGTAAATGATAAAATGTTAGTAAATTTTGTATTTGTGTGTAAAGTTTAATTTTCTCAAAAAAAATGATGTCAGAGATTTGTAGATGTTGAAGGTTTGTTAAGAAGTGTTTTGCCTTGATTTATGTTATCACAAAAATACAAATATCCAGGATAGGTAAAATATCACAATTAAAAGATTTTTAAATAGTAAATACAATATAACAGGTAATTGTTCTATAATTCTCTATAATTTAGGTATTTTATATAAATAATTATCCAAGTATAGTTCTCATTTCCCTTAACTTGCACTATGGTCGATTGCAATGTGCGTAGTACGCGAATAGTTAAGCTCAGTGCCACTTTAGCTACAAAACGACATAACAGTCCAGCCTAAGTGGCCTTTAAATGCACTGAGCTTAAGAATTCGCGTACTTTGGCTAGCAAAGTTATGACACATTGCACCTTAAGTGGGCTTTACTTGCACTACTATTCAATTTTTTATCTACAAACAAGGTCGCAGAGCGTCCCGATTAGATACAATAACATTTGGCTTAAGATAAAATTGTGCAGCGTAGGTGTTGCAAAAAAAAATGTCCAAGCCGGTAGCACGATTGGCTTAGATTAAGCGACATGTTTTAATAAGTGGCGCAATGTTTCATATTTAATTTCCCTGTTTTGTGGAGATAGCGATTCCGCGAAATACCAGCGCAATTCTCAATAAGTTGATAACGAGACACGTTTCCAAAGACAGGCATTTTTGCGATCGGGCTTCGACTGCCGGAAACACATACATCATCCGCTACCATTTTAGATAGTTTTGCATGTCCCTTCTAAAATTGGACACACGTCTAATAAATTAATGATGTTTTTCGAGTAATGTTGCTGCCGTTTTGACGGTTGCAGCCAACGGGAACGGTGATAATTTCTTAACGATTCTTAGCTGCGTTGCCATCTTCCATCATTTTGCGGTGGGGGGTTTGAGTAGTTTCCCTTTCGGGCTTTCCACCGTGAACCCTTTCGTTACCACCATTACAAGTTGCCACTTGGCAAGTGCCCTTCAAAAATATTATGGTAATACCATATCATTTATAAGATAACTTATGAAAAGCATGTAAAGTCTTTTATACGGGCTTAATAAATCATCTTATTACAAGATATGCCAATTTGTAAGTGTTTTATCATATTTATACAAATTTATATCCACTTGATTATGTAGGTTTGAGAGAATTTCGATTTTGTTTTCAGTGAAAGTCACGTTAGGTTTAGCATTACAAGATCCCAGAGAGGAGCTCACTTAGACTAAACCTGCTAAGGAAAGTTAAATTCCCCGCGAGAGTGGCGCAACTGATGGACGCAGCGAAGCGGACACTTTTGGGCCCCAATTGCACAGCACAATTTGTCGCCAGTCGCTGCAATCCCTGGGACTACTTTACTATAAAGTCGATGACATGGCGCCGGCGAGCTTAGTCATCATGTTTGCCTGCAACCGGAAGCTTCGGATCGGATTTAGTCTTGCCTGCTGGATAGGTCTCGTCGTGGCCCAAAATGCCAGCGATCAGAGGGTCAGTGATCGAGAAGGAAATCATCTGGACCTGGCTGGATCGGCCACCGCCAAGAGTTTCGAGCCACCGCCCGAATTCTACAGGGGTCCAGGATCCGGAGGTTCGAGTCCTTTGAGAGGACCCAGCAGTCATCCCTCGCTGGGAAGTGTGGGCGAGAGTCTAAGTGAGACCTACAACAAGTGGAGAGCGGGGGCTACCAATCTCCAGGACCGAATCAGTGTGGGTGAGTTTGGCGGTAAATTAAATTAAATTTATAAATTATCATGGACTTAACTATTTAAAGTGGACTTATTTAATAATCACTTCGAAACGTCGAATTATAATATTTTAAACATTCAATACTAAGCAATTCTTAAATAACAGTAAATAATCAGTCTTTATTAAGATTGCAAAGATTCAAATGTTAAAAATCCGACGACTTATTATAAAGTTATTTGGCTCATAACGTGGCTCTACCACTCTAACGATTGTATCATTAAAACTAGGTCCTTATGGAGGCGCTGGAGGAGTAGCTTCTCACGCACCGACCGTGGGGAGCTTTGAAAGCAATTCCCATCCTTATCCTTACGAGTACTCCCACAGCAGTGGAGGAGGTGGAGCACCTGCTGGTTTTGGAGGTGGAGTAGGATCCGGGGCCTATTTCGGCAGCTCCAGTGTCGAAGCGGGTATTCCATTCGACGTGTATGGATCGCGTCCGGGTCACGGTGTCGGAGTGGGCCATGGTCACTATTCCCCGCCAGAGTATGCGTATCCGTATCCCCTGGACCCTCACGAGATAGCCGCGCACAAAGGTCCTGGTCACGGCGACGTCTCACCCAAAGCCCTTTTGGCCAAGAGCTTTCTAATCCCACTGGCCAGTGCCGCAGTTTTGGGGATTGCCGCCGCCCTGGTCAGCAATCCCCTGCTCCTCCAGTTGGGCACTGTTTCCGGACTGGGAACCATCGTCGGCAAACGCAAACGACGCGCAACTGGCCAAAATCTGCTAACGAGAAAAGCCCATGAATACACTTTATAAATAAATATGTACATATATGCCATTCATAACAGAAATAATACAAAATACCCATTTGTCTTCAATGAACTTAAATCGATAAGAAGCAATCCCTGATAAGATTTTATTTTAAAATGGTAAACGGTTGTGCCAATCTAATTTCGGACATGGTCATTTCGAGATAAATCCTTGAAAATAACATATTAATCGGCAGCACTTTATTCGGTTGTTCCCCTAATAACAGGAAGGTTTTAAAATATTAACGTTGCTTTGTTTTTGATTGAACGGCTGGACTCTACTTTTTAGATCCATTACTTTTAATTGCGTTAAATCACGAATCTTTTTGTATTTATGCAGTTTTTTTTTTGAATAGTTTCATTGACCGTTAACTTTGCATGCAGAAAGACTACAAATATATATGGTAAAATTATCTAAGTTAACAATAGTAAAAGTTCTTATTATTTATGATAGTATAAATAAACGATTTACGAATTATTCAAAAAGAACTTATTTTTAACTCAAAATGGATTGAGTCATTACTTAATTTTAGTTTTGGCTTAGGTCTTCAGTAGTTAATTTCGGTGGTATTTTTCCGATAACATATTCGATATATCGATACATCGTGATTGTTCACGTTAGGCTACCTCTAGTTTAAACGCTTCTCTTTCTTTTCGACCACGTGGTGCAATTGGTTGGTGGTAATATCCAAAGCGTGCTGAAATTTTTGGCGAAATTCATGTAACAAAATGTCGGAAACTTCAGAGGACGAACAGGCGCAACTGCAAAGCAGCGACGAAGAGGAGGAGCTGAGTGGAGAGGAGGAGCAGGACCCGGAAGATGACGAAGAAGTGGAAAATGATGAGGCGGCGGAAAGTGGCAACGAGGATGCAGATGCAGCTAGTGGCTCTGAAGGGGAAGAAAACGCAGCTGAGGATGAAAAGCTGACATGGAAGGATCTCGTATGTGCCTGTCTCCAAAATAACCTCATGGATACGTTCTAAGCCTTATATTTTCCTTTAGGGTCTAAATGATACTTTGTGCCAAGCCTGTGACGAACTGAAATGGAAGGCTCCCTCCAAGATCCAGCGGGAGGCTATTCCGGTGGCCCTGCAGGGCAAGGATGTGATTGGACTGGCGGAGACGGGCTCCGGCAAGACTGGAGCCTTTGCCCTGCCCATTTTGCACGCCCTGCTCGAGAATCCGCAGCGGTTTTTCGCCCTGGTGCTAACGCCCACGAGGGAACTGGCCTTTCAAATTGGGGAGCAGTTCGAGGCTCTTGGTGAGTTTTTTTTTCCAGAATAGAAGCATGAATGTTACCCAAACTATTACATGATAATCCACACAATGATGTTAAACCTGCTTTGATTTTGTTTATCAACGAAAACATGAAATTATTATTTTCTTATTCGTCACTACCTCTGAGTTCAAATCTTAATTGTAATCCTTCGTTTAATGTAGACTGCCCAAAACTAATGCATATTACTCTGAATTCCAGGTAGCAGCATTGGCATCAAGTGCTGTGTGGTCGTCGGCGGCATGGACATGGTGGCCCAGGGCCTGCAGCTGGCCAAGAAGCCGCACATCATCGTTGCCACACCGGGTCGCCTGGTGGATCACCTGGAGAACATGAAAGGCTTCAACCTGAAGGCTATTAAATACCTGGTCATGGACGAGGCGGATCGCATCCTCAATATGGACTTTGAAGTGGAGCTAGACAAGATACTGAAGGTGCTGCCGCGCGAACGCCGCACCTTTCTGTTCAGTGCGACCATGACCAAGAAGGTGAAGAAACTGCAACGCGCTTCGCTTAAGGATCCGGTGAAGGTTGAGGTGTCGAACAAGTACCAGACGGTGGAGCAATTGCAACAGTCGTATCTGTTTATCCCCGTCAAGTACAAGGATGTATACCTGGTGCACATCCTCAACGAACTGGCGGGCAACAGCTTCATGATCTTCTGCAGCACCTGTAATAACACAGTTAAGACTGCCCTGATGCTTCGTGCATTGGGATTGGCTGCCATTCCCCTGCACGGTCAAATGTCCCAGAACAAGCGTCTGGCCGCTTTGAACAAATTCAAGGCCAAGAATCGTTCGATTCTCATCTCCACGGACGTGGCCTCTCGCGGCCTGGACATTCCTCATGTGGATGTGGTGGTAAACTTTGACATACCCACGCACAGCAAGGACTACATCCACCGTGTGGGTCGAACAGCGAGAGCGGGTCGCTCCGGCAAAGCCATCACCCTCGTCAGTCAATATGACATTGAGCTGTACCAGCGCATCGAACACCTCTTGGGTAAGCAGCTGCCATTGTACAAGTGCGAGGAGGACGAGGTTATGGCTCTCCAGGAGCGAGTGGCCGAGGCTCAGCGCACGGCCAAGCTGGAGTTGAAGGATCTGGAGGACACTAAAGGTGGCAGGGGCCACAAGCGGGGCGGGGACAACCACGACGATTCGGAGCACTTCACGGGCGCCCGGAAACGCATGAAGCCTATGGGTGGAGGTGGGGGCGCGAGCAGAGGAGGAGGAAGCAGTGGTGGAAAAAAGGGTTTCGGCCAAAAGAACTGGAGCAAGGGCAAGCCAAGGAGATAATACAGATATACGATATAGTTAAGTTTCGATTTTATTTAGTGCTACTCTATAATAAAAAATAATTGTACAAATAATTTTGAAATTTGTGATTAATGACGAGTTGGGGATTAAAAATGAATTCAAAAAAAAGTTTTAAGCTGAATTAAAGTCCAATAAAATCTGGAATTTCCAGATATCAACCATTCAAATGTTTTCATCTTGGAGATCGACGGAAGCGAATTCAATTTTTTACGGAAATCTAAAAAATGTCGATTTTAAACTTAGGAAAAGAAAACACGTATTATTAAAGAAAAAAGTCACTTTTCATTTATTAATCAATTCCGCAATACATAAAATTGTAAATATGGCAAATCCTATAATTACCTTTAATATGATATTTTTAATTATGTCAAGTGTGGTGCAGAAATACTGCTAAATGTCAAAAAGAAGCTGAATCGATACCAGATCATTTCAGATATAATTACATTCGTTTGTGATGCTTTATTAAACTGTTAGTATGGTCAATGGAGTTATGGAAACTATAGTTTCCATTTAGGTTATTAGGGGTTATTGGTGGATCCCTAAAACTAGGGACTTCGGGCTGTCCTCTAAAAGATGTTCGCAGTTGCCCGGCTGAAATAAGCGGAGGAGGACTAAAAGCGACTCCTGATACTCGCGAATTCGAACTGGAATACTCATTTTGAATATGGCACTTCGATGCGTTTGCTAGAAACGACATAATAGTTTCGTTGGCACATATAGCAGTTGGTTGAAGCATTATCAAATTGGCAGCCTTTAAAAATTTCTCTCCCTGGTCTACAGACGATTGAAGTATTGTAATCAAGTTTTCTAGGGGCATCGTGAATTTATAATCCTTGTCCAGCTCAATTAGCTTGTCATAATAATCTTCCCAGTTGGCGCTCGAAACTATACGTAATATCATCAGTGTCAAATCCCTAAACTTGTGCGCCTTGCATGGTATCCAAACATGCTCCATAATGCAGGCCACGGCCTTGTCCTGGAGGCCGCATTTATTGAGAGCTCCATATGCGTGGGCCACCAGAGGCGCAGAGATGCCTCTGTGCAAACGGCAGTCGGACAGCATATTCAGCATACGCTCCCGGAGCTGACGTAGCTCGAAGACGTCCACAAAAGAGGTGAAGTATGTTTGGAAGAGCAAATTACATCTCAGCGACTGTCGATAGACATTTACCAAGGTCTCCTCGTCCATCCTTATCAAACGGCTCTGGACTTCGCCCAAACTGCTCAACGAGTGATCGCAGTTGAACGAACGGCACTTGTTGTCCACAGACTGCATGCATTTGACCCCAAACAAGGTTTTCATCCAGGAAGTATCCTGTTGTTTGGGCTGGGATATGGCGACGGGCAACTCGGGGATGTAAGGTTGAATGCTGGCACTAACCATCGGAACTGCTTCGGGTGGTACTCGATATGGTGGTGCGAAGACCGGCATTGGCTCTTTAGCCCGTCGAGCAGCTGTTGCCTCTTCCCGCTGCTTGCGACTGGATGCAGCTGCCGGAAGATCAGCCAGTGGCCGTTGCGAAGGTTTGGCAGAAGTCTTCTTTTTCTTCTCCAACTCCTCCTGTTTGTAGAGGCAACGCATCACTGGCGGTTGGGTCTTCAGCTCTTCTGCGGTTAATTTGGGTATCCGAAACGACTTTGTGTTCTCCACTTTCGGCCCTTTTGCTTCGACAATAGGCTTAAGTGTTTCTATCAGTGGCTTTAAAATTGATTTGATTTGATTTCCTGCAGTTTCTTGCTGAATCGGTTTGGGCTCAGGCATAGTCGCTGTAGCTTTCGATTTATCATTTGGTTTAACCTCAATATTGTCATCTTCGAGACTACCACAGGAGGCAGCCACCGAGAGCACATCGTCGTCTTCCTCCTCGTAGTCTAGTTCTTCCTTTTCTCCCAAGATGCTGCCCACCAAATCTGACTCTTTCACGTCCACCGCCGACAGAGTCGGCAGCTTCTCAAAGAACTCCGTGGTGTTGGCCAGCTGATGGTCGATTTCGCTAGGCGTTTTATTGATAAAGTTTTCTAGACAGCGGTCGATCTCCTCTACCTCACGGAACAACTCCATCGGCGAGTTAAGCAGCTCAATCTCGTTGGCCACGTTATCATCTTTTGGGTAGAGTTCATTTGCGCTGGCTTCGCCTCCGCCAACGGGACTGGTTAGGTCCATGGCGTCGTCCACTATTTGATCTTCGCTGATGTCACATTTTTTGGACACATAAGGCTTTCGTCTCTGGTGCTTGTCCTCGAAACTAGACCTATTGTAGTTGTGCTCGTAGAGATGGCTGGGCCTATTGTTTGGCTGCCTCCTAAACATATTGGACTTTCGGCCAACATTTTTTCCAAGGGTTCCATCTTTTGGTAGGCATTTCAAATTCATCGGAGTCGGTGGCATATGGGCTGGCATAGGCGGCGTTTCGGAGCTTATCTGTGGCAACAAAAGGAAGTGGTTAGGTATTGTAAAGTCCATGAAACTGCTTACTGCTTTTACGCTAACGTTTTTTATGCTCCTTTTCTTGAGGGGTGGTGAGTTGTAGGATTTGGGCTCGTTCCCCTGAAATCGGGGGTTTTCTGTCTGCTTTCCAGATGATCTTGACGCGTTTTGCGGTTGCTGAATGATCTTCTCGTGCGCTGATGCCTTAATGTTTAACTGCTGAGTTTTCTGCAATAGTTTTGACGGTGTATTTTGCTTCGATGGTGCTTTAAGATGGTTCTGAATCCCTTTTAATTGCTTCTGAGCCACTTTCTGCATAGGTTTGGAGGGTGGCTCTATAGATTCCGCCTCCAGTCTGACCTGCAGCTGGGCTTTCTCTTGGAGCGAGGGGCGTCCTCTTTTGCGCTTTACTTGCCTAGTGTCAAAAGTCGAATCTTCGGCAGGAGCCTCCTCTTTGATGGGGGCGTCCGATTTTGGTTTATTGACCTTCTTTAGCCATTTGGAGAGCGGCATGTGGTCATCTAATTCGTCGCTTGATTCCTCCGAAAGCTGTAAACTGGTCTTTGACCTTGACTTTGGTAAACCATTATTGCGCTTGTGCAGCAGATAATTAACTGGTCGCTTTACAGGATTGTTTACTAATGTGTATTGTGGACTGTTTGTAAAAGCACATGTATTACGACGCTTGATCAAGTTAGCTGAAGAACCACTGGAATCCCGTTGTTTACAGAGTCTGAAATCTGGACTATGTGTGGGAAAAGACGAATTTCGACGCTTGGGTGTCTGGCAAGCACTAGAATAAAATGGCTCCGTGGTACTCAAGCCGATTTCATTTCCGGAGGCACATGAATCTTTCTGGTTGATGGGATTAAAGATAGAAGCATCAGGGAAGGTAAATGTATTTTGGCGCTTTGAACCACTAAGGCTTGACTCTCGGCTTTTGTTTGGCTTCCAGAAAGCATCATTGGACGCGTATGGATAATGATCCTTGGTACTAGCCTTTAAAGCTTTTGTCTCTTGAAAAGGAGCAGCTATGGAATACATATGTTTGCTGGGACTAGGACTTTTAGGTCGACCGAATTGCGACATGGTGTCCCGACGCCCGTTGGGATAAGGAGCTTTGGGAGGAACAGAATGCGCCGTGGAATGCCGGCGCTTTCTGGAATCGGTGGGTGGATGAGATTCTGCAATCTTCGGAACTGTGGCTATCGATTTCCGCAAGGTTTCCCTGGGTCTGACCAGGAATTGGTTCATAAGCGGCGTGTAGGGATTCTGTTGGTGAAATAAAAACAATTAAATTTGCACAACAATCCGCAAAACGCTTACAATGTTGCTTTGGATGCAGTAAGGATTATCCCAGCTTTGAAGGAAACGTTTGTAAATCTCCGCCCATTCCGCCGGCGGAAGCGAATCGGTGTGCACTTTGGTTAAAATCTGCTGCCAGCAGGACATTTTATCCCGCATCCTCATTGTTTTTTTTTCTTTTTTTTACGATTAAATATAAGTTATATTTCGTTTGGACACGCGTTTGCAAGTTTGCGGTTCTTTTCAGTGTGACCAATGGCTCTTTTCAGTGTGACAATGTGCTTTCATTAAATACGAGAAATAACATGTTATTGTATCATGGCTTACACGCTGAAACGGTCATATTAAAAGTTGTTGAGGTACTTTTTGTCTCGCATTTAAAATGTTTGGAATCTTGGAATCTATTAATTCTGCTTTTTTAAAAATCAGGTTTAGATTGTACCGCAAAGTAATTGTGATACGGAAAAGTATAGTATAGTTGTCCTCAAAAAAGATGAACAGCATTGGTGTTTAACAATATATGTATATTTATAGGGTATATCAACTTCGGCCCGAAATTAGCTTTCCTTTCTTGTTTATTTTCCATTTTGGAAAACTAAAAACAATTTAAGTTAAGACTAGAAAAAACCCGCTTTACATTGAATCTATTTGATTTCTTCGTGATCTATATAAACAGATTATTCTACTTTAAAAAACTTTGTGTTTTAAAAAGATAGGCCTTATCAAAAGATTTTGTATTAACCACCGTTCATATTTACTGTTTTGCACCATGTCAAGTTTAAAATATATTAACAAACACACACGATACAAAGTGTGCGTTTATGAATTTATTGGTTTTGCTGTTAGTGTGGCGAAATTACAAGGAATTAAACTAATTAAAATTTCTAGACGATATAGACAAACCAAAAGTCAGAATTGTACTAATCATAAATATTTGCACAACGCACGCGGCCAGTTGCAGTGTAGCTACAGTCGTAAGATGTATGTTCCGCCCGCAGTTAGGAGCACTGTACGTCAAACAGCTCGCAGATGCCTTCGTCGCTTTTTAACGCAAAGTTAAAGTCTTCCTGGGGTGGATTCAGCTGCACCAACGGCGGGTTTTCTGCAAACAGAATAGGGGAAAAACCAGTTAGGGGGAAAAACACTTTGAAAACTGCAAGAAAAATCTAACCTAGATTCGGATCATCGGGATAGAATCTCCGCAGCGAGTGCCCGGACAGGTAGTTTTGGAAGATGATCTTTGCCGTCAGCTCGTTCTCCAGAAGCTTCATCTCCTCCTTCATCTCGGGATTGCAAGAGTAGCCGTGCTCATCGGTGACCACATTGCCCGTGCCCCCCGGAGCGTTACCATCCTCGCTGGAGTGCGACGAGGTCGAAGGCGAGGGCGTGTCCAGGCGGCGATAGTCGAAAAACCCATCCGCATCGTGCGGATTTGTGGTGCTCTTGCCCTGGTTCGTCACTAGGCAAATGTCGATTGTGCTGCCATTATCCAGCGATACGCTTAGTTCATACTGCAAAAAAAGTTATAAAGTCTTACAAATTATTCACTGCTACAGATGTGCTTTTGGGTTACAATAAACTTAAGAAAACAATAGAATGATATTCATTAGTTTAGACATGGATAATTTCAAAAAAGGCCGAAAGTTGCACAATCGAAATATATCATATAGCATATAATGAGTAGTGTAACGCACATGATTACGTTTGATATCCACTTCCTCGTCGTAGTTCGGTATGGTGAATACGGAATCATCTCCAAATATGTCCAGCAGATCGTCACGTGTCACATAGGCATAAGAGCGATTGGAAGGATCCTGCATTACGTAGCGTAAATTCCGCTGTGCGTATTCCAGCTGCTTGTCCAGATCGTCCTCTTGCATTTTCAGTTGATTGGTCCGGCTTCGTGCTAAGTCGTAGTCCTCCTGGTCTTTTTCATTGTTAAAGCCCCCGCCGCTAATAAAATTACGTTAAAAAAATTAGTATACATATAAAAATTTCACAATTAGGATCGAAAAAAGCTTGATATCATATTAGAAAGTTCTAAAAAAAAATGATATTCCGATCTCTTGTACCAATGGTAATATAGAACTCTGTTTACTTAATTTGTAGTCAATTTATATATCGAAGTAAGTCACAAAAAGTTCAGTTAAATTTTGGAGTATTTCACCCTATTTTGTAATTCAAGAAAATTGGTACTAACCATTTACAGATATAATCTAGTTAAAGTCATTTTAAATTATTGAAGATCAAAAATAAGTTTAAAAATTAGTGCTAATAAACAATATGGTTTAATTTTAGGCAAATTTCACCTTATTGTACAGTATTTGCTGTATATTAAAAGTTCAGCCCGCTATTGCCACCCCACTACGCGCTATTTACAGGTAATTTCAACTTTTAAGTTAGAGTTGGCCTAGTTTGCAAATGCAAATGAGCACCTACCGCCAGCGCACTAGGGAGCAATGCCTGCCCTTATCTATAAGTCCAATGCCCTCCAGAACATTGGTAATATCGTATATTCTACGCTTCTGCACGTCCAAGATTTTGGTGGCCTACGATCGAAGAAAAAAAACTGGATTAAAGAGGTATAAGACAAGTGAACCAGGAACATACTGCTTTCAGATCGATGGAGCCGCCGTTGGCCTTCATGAGTTCAACGAACTTTTGGGTGAGCAGGACCAATGAGCCCACGGAGCGCTGTTGTCCCGGCTGCGGTTGCGATTGTGAATGCGACGGGGACTTGATAGGTGTGGGCGGATCCGTGGATATGTCCATGCTAACGGACACGGGCTCATATGCCCTCGACTGGGCAGGAGATTCGTCCGGTTCCACCACGTTGCCCGCGCTGCTCATCATCATCATCGAGGAGGAGGTGCCCGCTGCGGAGCTGCTGTCTCTTTTAACAATACTCGCTGTTTTTCGCTTGTGCATGGTCCGCAATCGATTCGACTACTCTTATCCCGTTCTGGTAACTCGTTGTGTGCCTGCACTCGATATGCACTTGCCAATAATAAGGAATTATTTGTGGTTTGGAGCGAAAATTAAATGAAAATACGAATGTTGGCGCTAGGTTTGCTTTCCGCCATTTATGTCACTTTTTTCTATTCTCTTCTCATTCTTTGTGCGCAGTGTGGCAAAGCGACGCGTCACTAGGCGATAGTTCATTAATCAATCGATATGCGTGCACTTTGCAACACTGGAAATGGGTTTTGAACTGGTTAAAGTGTAATTCTTTACTTATTTATATTTTTATTTAACTATAAAAACAACTGCAATTTGATTCTTGTATGTTAATGTCTGACTTATCCTGCTTCTCTTTTATTAGGCCATCCACTTCCACTTATTTCCACTCGACCTTAACGCTGATTTCGTTTTTGAAGACATAGTACTTTTTCGGTGTGTTTTCAACTTACGACGACTGATGCGTTCGCTCTTCGATTACGGTTCATATTAAAAGTATTTATCCTTTGACTTCGCCTCACAATTTTTTATTTGTAGAAAACATTCATTATATTTAATATTAACTAACACAATTAAATTTGTCAAAAAGTTTCTTTAGTCCATGAATAAAATGGAGTTAAGGGCCTTAACTTAATTTCAATATGATTAAGAGGATCTGTTTTCCAAATATCTGTGACATGATGAGTTCTTCTCCTAATTTGGTCTAAATATTAAAATGTATATTTTTTTTAAATCTCTTTAGAACATTTAGTTAATCATTCAATTTTGCATCTTTTTAATAAAGTTGCAGTGTCAATTTCTGAAAGATAAAAACTTTTTTTTTGGTCTTATTGAAATTTAAATATTTATTTTAAATATCGCATAAGCATGGGGCGCGCCACGTTTTCTAGGCCAGCCAACGGCGTTTTGCAACACTGCTATCTTTTGCCTCTTTTGTTTTGTTCGCTTGTTCTGCTTTGAAAAAAATCAACGTGCCCTGAGCTCAACCTTATATTCAAGCTGAAAGGTTTTAAAAATATTGTGATTTAATAATACACCGATAACATGCCAGCCAAAATAAAACCGAGACTTTCGCGTGGTGTGCTGGACATGAAGTTTATGCAGCGCACAAAGGTCAAAGTGGAAAAGGAGGCGGATGATGAGCAGAGTCGAGCACTGTATTCCAATGAGATTAACCAGAAGATGATCAACTCCAGCTCGAACTTTTTGGTGGAATCAAGTTACTCCATATGCGCTGGACTGATAGACGGACGCCTCAGTTTCCGGGGCATGAATCCGGAACTGGAGCTACTCTTGGAGCAGGAGCTGGCGGAGAAGCAGGGCCGCACGAAACCGGAGCAGCCCAAGGAGGTTTCTGACCAGGACATGGCCAAGGCTTACTACACCAACAAGGCGCCCACGGTCACCGGCAGCATGGGAAAAAAGTTCAGCACCAAGAAGGACTTCAACAGGAAGCAGAATGGCGACGATAGGGGAAATACGCACCCCAAGAAGAAACAGCATTTCAAAAAACCCCGCTCGGATGACGATTAGTTTACTCCTTAGTTCTTACCCACTGACCTAGCTAATAGTTAAATAAAAATACGAATTCAATTGGATCCGCTCAGTGGTTGTTTCACCGCCTGCAGTGCATAGCACATCTGAGTGTTGTTGATCCAGCGCCAGGTGTTGCTCCAAAAATCGTAGGTGCTTCCATTCACCAGAACCGTTTGGCAATTCACTGCAAGATAAGAGAAAATGGATGTAAACTACAGTTGTCAAGTTGTTGGCAAGTGGCATTTTCTTCATAGATTGCAGGGTTTAATTCAAAAAGGTATAAAAAAAAAATGAGCCCAAATAGGAAGGACAAAGAAGAATTGAATCAGCTATAATGGTGTTAAAATTTTATAGCTTAAACCACTTTGTGCCGAAAAAAGGACCTTGGTACCAATCTTGAATAGGTAAGAAAATAACCCACTTGTATCCAAAATACGCTGCACATCCAGTGGCGAAATCATCTTGTCCCAGTGATGTGTTCCCTTGGGTACCAGATTCAGCACATACTCGCTCAGGATAACGCCGCCGAACCAGCTGGGTATGGTTTTGTTCAGGGTGGTAATAAAAATAGATCCTCCCGGCTTCAGAGCTCGCACACTGGCCTCTAGCAGGGTCACTTTATCGTCCACATGCTCCAGCACTTCGGATACTATTACTCCATCATAAAATTCACAATTGGCCTTGGCATGCTGGTCCACGGGTTCCATTTTGTATAGAACATTGCTAGCCAGTTCCGAACTGAAACACTTAAGGTGATCCCGAGCGGCCTCAATCAACTTCTCGCCGAGATCAATGCCCGTGACCTGGGCACCCAGGCGCGCCAGTTGCTCCGTCAGCAGTCCCCCACCGCATCCGACCTCCAGAATGTGCTGCCCCTTTAGCACTTTGGTGGTATTTACGTAACCAGGCTCCACTGTGCCGCGTGAAACGATGCCATCTCTAATGAATGGAACCCTATAAGGGGGACAATAACTCTTTAGCAAAACATACAAATCACCATAAATTCGTATAGCTTACCTAATCTCGTTCAGGGCATGCAAAGCGCCCATGGTACCATTTTGATTCCACCACTCGGACGCATGATTTTCGTGGTGCCTCACTTCCTTTTCGGTGCCGGCATCCAGTGACGTCGCTGTGCTGCTGCTCCTGGCAGAATTTCGCAGCAGAATACCTGCCAGTGATTGCCTCAGCCCACTGGAATGCCAAATTGTGTAATTTGATCTATTATTGCAGTTTATATTTGTATTTACCGGCTTGCAAATACCAAATTTCGTAGCATTTTGAAAGCAACAACACACTTCAACTAAAACAGCTGACTTTGCTTGGCTGCAAATTTTGAAGGCAGGAGCGTATACAAAAGCTTTGAAGGGGTTCGAAAGAACCGTAGCGAAGGAAATGGTATGTAAGTATGTAGTACAATTACATTTTAATAAAGAACCACTATTTTCTATGATTGTACAAAGATATTGAGATATTAATGATGTTACATTTAATTTGACTACAACATATGTTAATAATGAAAATAAAACATTTTATTATTTTCGTTGAATACCCTTTTTACCTTTGGTGTAGCACCCCTTCGACTCCACCCCTGAAAAGTAGGAGACATTTAGAGGGGACCCAACGGAATAAACCGCTCTCTCGGAACTGTGGGCAACGAAACAGTTCCGATCGTTGGTTCTTTATCATTCTTTATTTTTCAATTCAAGAGAGAACCGCAATCTGTCTTTATCGATAAAGATAACAAAAGTCTTTGTGGCTAATCGCGAATCTTGTAGTTTTTCGTAATGCCGGAATACAAGAAGCTCGAAAACCAGGAGGCGGATGTGGAGAGTGCCAATGTCCAGGAAAACGAGGCGCAACAGCGGCCGGCTGCAAGTCAGCAGGCGGGCCAAATGGTGACAGTGTCCTTGTTCATGCTCCTCTTCCTCGGTAGCTCATACTTCCAGGTATTCTATTTTACAAATATACATATATATTCTTTAAAAGACTAGTAATCCTTTCTTTAGCCCCGGCCACGGCTCCATAACTATCGTGGGGGCAGGGGTCATGGAATGGAGCGGAAGGATGACTGCGACATCCAGCTGGTGGAGTCTATACCCATTGGCCTGACATATCCCGAAGGCAGCCCAACATTCCTAAGCACCCACGAAGCCTGGCTTCAATTGTTGGACAGCGCCAAAACATCGCTAGACATAGCTTCCTTCTATTGGACACTCAAGGGCGAGGACACGCCCGGGGTAACGGATAACAGCACTCAGCCCGGGGAGGAAATTTTCGCCAGACTATTAGACAACGGGAATGGCGGCAACCGGTCACCCAGGATCAAGATCCGCATTGCACAGAGTGAACCATCCAGTGTTTCACCCAATTTGGACACAAAGTTGTTAGAGAGTGCCGGAGCTGCAGAAGTTGTGAGCTTATCGTTTCCCAAGTACTTTGGCAGCGGAGTCCTCCACACCAAGCTGTGGGTGGTGGACGAACAGCACTTTTACCTGGGCAGCGCCAATATGGATTGGCGGGCACTCACCCAGGTCAAGGAGATGGGCGTGCTCGTCCAGAATTGTAGGCAACTAGCACTTGATGTGGCCAAGATTTTTGAGGAGTACTGGTATCTGGGCAACAGCAAGGAATCAGTGATCCCCAATTGGGACTATTCTTACCACACCAATAACAATTGGGAGTCGCCCTTGCAGCTAAAAGTGAACAAGAACGTTAGTATGGAGGGCTTCCTGTCCAGTTCACCGCCTCCTCTTTCGGCATACGGACGAACAAACGACCTGGACGCCATCCTAAACACCATAAATTCGGCCATTACATATGTGAACATTGCGGTTATGGATTATTATCCACTGATAATCTACGAGAAGAACCACCACTATTGGCCTTTTATCGATGATGCACTGCGCCGGGCAGCAGTTGAGCGCGGCGTGGCGGTGAAGCTGCTCATATCCTGGTGGAAGCATTCCAATCCCAGCGAGGACAAGTACCTCAAGTCACTGCAGGATCTGAACTCCAAAGAAGACAAAATAGACATACAAATTGTGAGTACGAAGCTAAAGCACAAAAAATGAAATACGGTAAATGATGACCAAGTAATATTTAAAAAATGGCAATTCTAACTTTTACGATATTGAAGAACACACAAATAATTACCCAAAGTGACCGAAAATTTCATTATCAAACTTAAAATCGTTCATTTGTTCTTTTCCAGCGCCGCTTTACTGTGCCCGAAGACACGAATCAGGAGAAGATTCCCTTTGGCCGGGTGAACCACAACAAGTACATGGTCACTGATCGAGTGGCTTACATCGGTACTTCCAACTGGAGTGGCGACTACTTCACCGATACCGCCGGCATCGGTCTAGTGCTTCAAGAGACCCACGAAACTGAGTCCACACACAACCTGAGAAGCGATCTGCGCAACGTATTTGAGCGGGACTGGAATAGCAAATACGCCACTCCGTTAAAATAAGCTCCCCATGTCGTTATTTTATTCTACAAACATTAATCCGATCCCAATGTTATTTAAAATATTCACGCTTCCCACAAATTGTTCAATCCTATTCATTGCTTTTATTAATTTTTGATTATGCGTGAGGGTAAATAAAGGGCTCGTTTCACGGCCATAACAGAAAATACAAAATAATACATGTACTCTGTGAAGTGGAATAATATAAGTGTATAACGTATGTACAGTGAGCAAAAAATCATATACTAATCAAATTCAATATTTCATCTTCGGTTTGCAGCCTGCACATGTTTTGCGTCTCATTTGTGACATGTGTCTTAACTGCATTTAACCAAGCTGCCTTGCTAGGCACTAAATATACGTTAAATACTCTTTTCAACTTTAACTTTTGAACTAAGTTTAGGTTGGGCGAACGCCTTTGTCGTCGTCTACGTGAGAATCGGTATCCATCTGAGGGTGCTCCTCCATCACTTGATGTTGGCGCCGCGCCTGAGAAAGTTATTGCTGGCAATGCTCTTTTCAATTGCCACGTGAATGGAGGAAACGCGGGCCAGAAGCGTATTGTAAATTAGCAGCAGACAGCGAGCATCGATAGCTGGAAAGGAATTTACATTAGACTGGCTCGATTCAGGAAAGACAATCCCCGACTCACCTGCATAGAGAATCTGCTCGCGGCGCAGCGGTCGATTGGCCCAGTTGGAGCACTGGTTGGACTTGTTTAGCTTCTTGCCGAGACACGCCAATGAGAGATCCGTCAGGGCGTCTCCGGTCCGGTTCACATTGCCGTAAGGAAGCTCAACGCCGAAGCGCTGTTTCTTCAACTCCAGCCAGAGATTTCGCAGATCCAGATAGTGGTTAGGCATTTGTAGGCGCAGCTGCAGCGGCAGGGAGCGCTGCAGAACGCTGAGATCGCTGACCATGGAGAAGCCCACCTTGAGGATGTTCACGTTGTTGAAGATGTTCGCGCCCAGCAGCCGCCAGTGCTCCGATCGCAGATTCTCCCTCGCCAGACAATCGATCAGATAGACATTGTGGCCCGTGGCGATCTGTAGGACGCACAGCTGGCTATCTCCGCACACGTTTTGCATCCACTCCGAGTCCAGATAGATGGTGTGCTCCTGCTTAAGGTGGTTCAGCATCTGATCAAACTGTGCCGCTTTGTCCACAATGAAAAGGCACTCGTCGGGCAGGTCCATGGTCAGGTACATATCACAGCCACTCGCCGCGCCTGCTTCTTGGCTGGCGCACTCCCGTCCTGCTGCGTTTCCAGCGCCATTTTGGGAGACCTGGGACTTGATCTCCAGCGGACAATCGTTCGGATTAATATTGAACTCCGTGTACCAATAAATGGCCTCCAAGTGGGCCCCCGCCGACGCAATATAGCTCACAAAGTCCTTGCGCAGGGCGTAGTCATAGGCATGGACACTTACCAGCTCCCGAAAACTTGCCAAGTTGATGCGTGCCTTCTCGTACTCCCGGTACAGGTAGTGAAGGTAGCTGCACGTCTTGGTGAACTTATAGTTGGGAGTGACTGCCTCATCGAACCCGTATTTCTTGGCAAGCCTCGCCACGATTTTAGCAATGGGCCTATAGCTGAGCACGTGGTGGGAGATTTTCAAGTTCTTGTAGCGCCTGAAAGGATAAAGTATGAAGTAAAACAAGTTTGAATTATAATAGAATTCCACTTACCCCAGCAAATGCTCACAAAGCTCTATAACCGGCTTATCCTTATGCAGAAGCGAGTCTAAGAACTTTACGAATGGCAGGCGCTGCTGTGTGGCATGGTCAAGATACTCCTCGGCCAGCGGAAGTTTCTCGATTGCAATCAGCGGGAAGGCCAGCTCCAGCATGTCGAACTCGTGCGTCAACTGCAGGCTGATGGACCACTGGGTGACCTCCTTATAGTGACCGTCGTCCAGGAGCTCCCGCAGCTTTGGCAGAAGTAGATCGCGGATTTCGCGCAGACCGAAGGCATAGATCACAGCATTGTTCAGGGCCAGCAAGCCGGAGGTTTTGACAAAGTTGAAGGCTATCATGCTGGTGTTGGGATCACAGCCCTCGCTGAGATGCGGGAACTCTTCGTGGAGCTTGCACGCCGTGTCCAGCACAAAGTGTGACAAGCTCTTCGGTTTGATGTTGCTGCTGTCGGGGCAGTTGGCGAAGATTTTTAGGGCCAGTAGCAGCGGATCCTGTTGGCCCATTAAGGCCTTCCCGAATTCCTGACGCAGATGGGGCGACTTGTTCTTGCTGTACATGTTCCACTTCTCGCGAAACAATTTGAAAAAGTTCTCAGCCTCCGCGTCCAAGGTAGCATCGAAGTTGCGCCCGTTGATCCCAGCACCTGTTGTAATGTCCTCCAGGCGCTTGATCTTTAAGTTGGCCATCAGATTCTCCATCTCCTCCTCGTCCGACTCGAAGCCGGCGGGTATAGCATTGTACATGTGGCTTTTGCGTGCCATTTTCCACCGGCGCCTCTTGTTCCGAAGAGCGAAGGAAGTGCAATTGCCAATTGCAACAGCAATTGACAAGTTAAAATTTCGCCTGCGACTTGCCGTGTCGCCAACAACAAAAAAACGCTTGCAGAAACCGCCAATATTGGTGGCAATTTGTCGTTTTTTGCTACAAAAACTAGCTAATAGCTTCTGGCAATTAATTACTATTATTTTATATAGCGCTAGATATTATTTTCTTTATTTTATTTAAATCTTTAAATTGTTCTGCACTTTTACGCGTAATGAGAATAATAATTTAAAATAAATATTTTTTTACACTTTTCAATATTAAAGTCCTGGCTTGCTAAGTTATTTTGCAAATTCTTAATTAGCAAATTAATTTTAAAGTTTAGACCCGACTTCTTTGCTGACATTTAGTAATTTAGCATAGTTTCTTCAAATGTAAATCATATATCAACTTTAAGCTATTTTTTTGTCGTTTTTTCTAGCTTCGATTATAGCTTAATAAGCATTTCTCATTTTCAACGCGATGGCAACACTGCCTCTTGTGCTATGTGGCAACTCTGTTCAGCGGTACACGTGCGATTTGTTTTAGTTTGCTCGTGTAAAAATGAAGTTGGCTTCAAAAAAAGTAAAGACCCTGGGCAAACCCAAGCCCGGAATCAGCAAAAATAAGCCCGTTAAGGATGCCCTCAAGAAGACGAAGACCAAGAAGGGGGAAAAACACTCTGAATCCACGGCTAACATAAAGAAATCGAAGCAAAAAGACACTGCTCCAGTGAAATCGGGAAATCCTGCAAAAAAAGGAGCCAAGAAAACACACAAGGAGGAGCTGGAAGGACTCAAGGATATAGATCCAGAGTTCTACGATTTCCTCAAGAAGAATGATAAGAAGCTCCTCGAGTTTAATCTGCTGGACAGCGATGACAGCGACGACGAAGAAGATGAAGACAAAGGCAAGAAGGCGGCTGAGCGAGAGAGCGAGGAAGACGAGGAGGACGAAGAGAAGTACCACAAGCCTAGCGAGGACTTGGCCGTGGCCAGTGATGAAAGCGACTTCGATGACGAGGAAGATGACGAATCCGCCGCTGGAGGCACCCAGAAGATCACCCTCAACCTGTTGCGCCAGTGGGAGCAGCAACTGGGCCAGGCTAACGTCTCCATCGATATTGTGCGTAAGGTGATACAGGCCTTCAATTCAGCCCTTGCCAGCATCTCGGCTGATGGGGCTGATGGCGGCGAGAACCAGCCCAATGCAGCCGCTTTTAAGGTCGTCGGGGCAGCCGCTTTCAATGGAGTCATCCAGCTCTGCGTGCTTCATCTCCAGCCCGCCATTATCCGAGTGCTGGGCGTGAAACCCAACAGCAGTCTGCCACTGCACAAACACAAGAAGTGGGTCAAGGTGCGCGGCTGCCTGCGATACTACCTCACCGATTTGATCCGTCTGGTGGAGCAGGTTTCTAGTGCCAATATCCTGGGGGTCCTGCTAAAGCATCTGCACCAAATGGCCGGCATGGTAGTGCCCTTCTCAGCACTAGGAAAGACCATCCTGAAGCGCCTTATTGTGCTCTGGGCCACTGGAGATGAAACAGTCCGAGTGTTGGCCTTCCTCTGCATCCTGAAGATCACCAGGAAACAGCAGGTTAATATCCAAATAATCTATATATAATATCCATTTTACTAACTTTATGAAATCTTGCAGGCCACCATGTTAAATCACGTTCTGAAAGCCATGTACCTGGCTTATGTGCGCAACTCCAAATTCGTTTCACCCAATACTCTGCCTGGGATTAACTTTATGCGCCGCTCGCTAGTGGAGATGTTCGCCTTGGATCTAAACGTGAGCTACCAGCACGCCTTTCTTTACATTCGGCAGTTGGCTATTCACCTGCGAAATGCAGTGATCCTGAAGAAGAAGGACAGCTTTCAGGCCGTGTACAACTGGCAGTTTGTCAACTCCCTGCGCCTGTGGGCCGATCTCCTGGGAGCGAGTGCAAACAAACCGCAGTTGCAGCCCTTGGTTTATCCCCTTGTTACCATTGCCACTGGTGTGATCCGCTTGATACCTACCGCTCAATACTTCCCGCTGCGGTTCCACTGTCTGCAGACGCTGATTTCGCTGGCCAAGGAGACCAATACTTATGTGCCAGTGCTGCCGCTGATTGTGGAGGTATTGAAGAGCAACACCTTCAATCGAAAGCACTCGGCGGTGTCGATGAAGCCGCTGCAGTTTACCTGTATTCTGAGGCTTAACAAAGGACAGCTGGCCGAAAATGGCTTCCGGGATGAGGTGATCGAGCAGGTCTGTGGCCTACTGCTGGAATATCTTGCTCATGAGTCCACCTCGCTGGCATTTAGCGATTTAGTGGTGCCCACTGTAATGGCCATTAAAGCGTATCTAAAGGATTGTCGTAATGCTAACTACACCCGCAAGCTGAAGCAGGTTCTTGAGAAGATCCAGGAGAGTGGCCGCTTCATAGAGCAACAGCGCGGCAAGAGCAGTGTTAACTTTGACATAAAGGACGCCCAAGCGGTAGCCGCATGGGAGCAGCAGCTTCGCCTGAAGCGGACTCCCCTCGACATTTACTACACCAGCTGGTTAAAAACGCACGAGACCAAGAAGCGACGACAGGCGGCGCAGACAGATGAAATCAATGCGGACTACGATGTACCCAAGTTGAAGAAACTGCCGGCGAAATCAGGAGTGCCTGTGAGGAATGAGAAAGGCGAGATTGAGCTGTTCCCCTCAGATTCCGAGGATGAAGGTGATGATGGCCTGGCCATGGGATCAGATGACGACGATGAAGAGGAGGAAGTGGTCGAAGAGGAGGAAGTAGAACAGCCTAAAGCCAAGAAGGCCAAAAAGGAGGAGCTGAAATCCCAGCCAGCAGTGGCGGAAGATGATTATGACGAGGCTGGCGGAGCCGTGGATATAGTTAAGGACTTGGACTTAAACGATTGGTAGAACATTTAAGATCATTTAACTATATTTAAACATTAAATTCTTTAAAAATACCAAAGCAAAAGTTACTTTTCGGGCGGCTCTTTGCCGGGAATAAACTCGTACTCCTTGTACTTGGGGAAGCTTCCGATTGTTGGTCCGTCCACCTGTTTGGGAAGCGCCTTGTCGTCCTTGCTCTTGGAGTAGGTAGCCTCCAGCTCGGCAGCATTCCGCTTCTTCATGTCCATGATCTGGAGGTTCTTAACCAGCTCCTCGCGAGTGGGCGGTTCATCGCGACGGCCTCGCAGCCACGCCTCCCACTCAGCGGTCAGCTCCTGGTCAAAGGCTTCTTTGTCCGCTGGCTCAAACCACCGGGAGGGCTTCCTTTTTCCAATCGAAGGATTCGCCGGAATCTCGAAGTACTTATTGCCGAAATAGTCCTCCCCAATGTAATCCCCACGAAACTGACGCGGCCGCAAGGACTTCCAAAAGTTTTGGAAGATAATGCCGATCACATCGCGCGTCGGCTTGTTAGCCATGCTTTTTTTAAAATGCTTTATTATTTTTCGAATGGCAAGAAATTTAAACTTATTTTAGCATTGAGAGATTTAAGGTTAGGTCTGACGTTTGTTATGACATGAACAGCTGATGATTGTTGGGCAGTGTTGAAAAATGCCGGTCTTTTTGCAAGACAATTCAAATTCTTAAATTAGGTTTTAACGGCAGCGCATAAGGACCAAACCAATCCCGCTGGAAAATGGAAATCAAGTCGGTTCTTAGGCTGTTATTGTTGTAGTCCATGTCCTCGAGGACTAATCCAATGCCGGCTGCATAAGTGAAATGCTCCCCAGACCAGCTGGAAGTGCCTATGAAGGCTACGCTTTCGGTGACCATGTAAGAATTGCAGCTTACTCTTCCGCCTGAAATCCTTTCCAGTTCATCCGTGGTGGGCACCACAAAGCGACGCTGAAAAAGGTTTAACCTGTATTAAACTTTCTATTATCTTATATATATTTTGTGTGGCCCTTACAATTTCTATATCCACTTCCTCTCGCATCTTGTTGAGTGCCTGCAGAGATCTCAAGAAGTGATCTTCGCTGGGATCCGAGTACTTCCACCATGAGATGAGCAACCTAATAGTCACACTTCGCTCCAAGGCAGCTCTACGCAGGGCATTGTCTATAAAAGGCCAGTATTGTAGCTTGTTGTTGCGTCTTAGCTGGGGAGAGTAATCCATCAGAGAGAGGCTTATAAACTCGGTTGCCTTATCGATGGTTTCTACTATAGCATCCAATTCGTGGCTCCTGCCAGTGGCTGCCAGTCCAGGAGGCGATATAACTAAGTAAGCCCGCATCGTGTGGTTTCTGTTAATGTTCAGCAATAGTGGTCTTCGCTGATTGATGTGGGTGTGGTATATCCATGGCCAGTATTCCGGCACTTCATTGTTGCCCAGATACCAATAGGCCTTGAAGATCTTTGCCAGATCTTGGGCCAGAGGCGGACAATTTGTGGCCAGTACACCCAGTTCTTTGCGTTGTGTAAGTGATCGCCAATCCATGCTAGCGCTGCCCAGATAGAAGTGCTCTCCATCCACCAGCCAGAGTATGGAGTGCAGGAAATTAATACCCACGACATCGGCTGCTCCATAATTGGCCAGGATGCGGGCATCAGCATGCCACAAGCTGTCCTGGCTGCGATTCACCACAATCCGCAGACGCACTTTGGGTCTGCCTGCATCTCCATTAGAGAGTAGACGGTCAAAGAGGTGATCTCCAGGCCCTGTGCTACTGTCGTTAATGTCCAACCCGCGCAGAGTCCAGTGCGGCGAGACTATGTCGAGGGAGGTCCTTGCCCGGCCCAGCAGCAGCTGCCAGGACTCAAAGGTGCTCTTGAGGGGGTGGCTTTCCTTTTGGCTATAGTTCAACCCCAGGGGCAGACTCTCCACCAGTTCGAGTTGGCAAGGCAACGGATTCTCCACGGGAACGGGGCTGTTTGCGTTCGCATTTCGGTGGAAGGTCTCCCAAGGCAACAGCAGAACAATCAGAACCAAGACGAAGAGTATAAACACGGGTATGATGTAGCCGTGACTGCAGCTGCAAAATTTACGCTCATCCTGGAGCCGAAAATTACAATTAGGACGCCGGCAGCAGGATGTGGTCGTTGGAGTCGGTTCGTCCTGCGTCCTTGGCACTGGTTGGTAGTCACCGGGTATCTCGTGCGCTCCTCGACGCTCGGACATGGCGACGGGGTCAGGACTAATGCTGACTGGCCATTGCCAAACATTTTCCTATCCGAACTTATTTATTATTCGCACAGTTGTGGGAAATGGTCGCCCGCCCACGCAAGCAAACGAAACAGTGTTCTAAAGCGATGCGGTGGTTATCATTACTGATAGCTAAAAAATTAGAACTAATAGCTAAAATCTACCTATGAAAGGGAAAACAGGATGTTAACTAAAATGAAGATAGAAAACTTAGGGAATCAATACTAAATACGCCTTAAAGCTTAGAATTGGTGAGCAACGCAAAAAATATTATCATTATGACCAAATCAAAAATCAGGGAATTAAAGTTTAGTGCACTTTAAGACTTAAAACTAGCCAAACATCACAAACCCAAAATATAACATCAATAGTAATCATTATTGTAATATCATAACAATATCAATGATTTATAATATCAATTGAGAAAACCTTTTTTATTTATCTTCCTGTTAAATACAACGTGCCGAATTCACGGTAGGCTTAAATATATACCAAAATAAAAGCTTTAATATGACGCCTAGTAAGCATACAAAATAAAAAAAATGTTCTTGGCAGCGATAGAACTGACGAAATTTGTTTTGTTTTTATTGATTTCAAAATTAATTAAAAATTGTTTTGTTTGCTTGAGCATTGCACTTTGATTAAAAATTGCGCTGTTTTTTACAGTGCACCCAGAACTGGCGGGAAACTAGCCGGCAGGGGCATCCCCGTTACTTAATCGCGACGCCCACGAACACTGGTCGCTGTGCGAAAGAAGTTAGTCTGTGTTGAAATCTTCCGGCTGAGAGGGCTGAAAATTTTGACGGCTTAAAAAGTTCCGCTGTAATAAGTTCCATCGAGTTTCGAGTATCGTTTAATTAGGACGCGAACAATGGCTGCGAGATTGATGAGCGCCCAGGCACAGGTAGGTCCTATTCCGGAGCCTGTGCCTCCAGCCGATCCGATAAAACCACGCAAATACATATATAATCTGCCAACAAAAAAACCCAAAATCAAAGCTGCGATAATTGCTACTGGAAACACTGCGCGAAAGCTGGCGAAAAATCGTTGTCAAATATTGTGCACATCCAGCAGGATGTGAGCATCGAAAAATCGCGAATTTTTCGCACAGCGCTTTCTAACCTAAAAACAAAATCCAAAGTTGTTAGGTAACCGACGACGAGAACGTAGTGTTTGTGATTCTGTAGCGCCCCATCTGCATCAAAAAGTGGTTGAATATATAGATCAGTGTTCTATGCGAAATCGGTAAAAGTTTCCAGCAATTAACAGCAATTCGCGAGGGTCCGACCAACTTGGCTTTTACATAATCGCCTCTCATGCAGTTATTTAACTAGGAGTCCCCATAGCATATAATATATCTTTGGGGAGGTTCGTCTTATCTGTGACAGGTGTACTTACACTCTGATAGTGGCTGGACTTAATATTGCTTGAATATAAATTCTGCTCTTCAACTGGGGTATCACGCGCATTGGGGATTGCCTTTCAAGTGGGGGTTCTTCCACGACAGATTGGAGAAAGGTTTCACTGTAGTCGGCAACAAGTTAATGACCTATTTGACGTAATTGCCAGTGCAATTGTTTCGTTTTGTTTGTGTGGGTCACGTGGTTTTGCTAATTGCAGGGCATCTCGCCGATTTGTAGCAATTTAAAAGGCTAAACGTTGACATTATCTTTGCATAAACAAAATAGACTGTATTTATAGCTGCTTTTCCCGAAATGAATTCTTTTTATTTAAATATCGTAAATACCGATTAAAATACTCCCAAAACTTTATCGCTTTTCATTAATTCCCTTAAGTTTTATTCTTTATCAATTCCTGCTCTCAATAAAAGCTTTACTTTTTAATTTCTGTGTGTTAAGGGGAATAATTTTAGATGGTCAAAAATAAACAACCTTATAAAGCGACACCTTCCAAAAAATGCTTATTACTAAATTGCTGTAGATTAGAGATCTTAAAATAACTCTTGCTAACAAAGTAAAAGCTATGTCAATAATATATATAACATAATAACGCTGAGATATGTACATATGTCCATATGTACATATATTTACTTAGATTAGTCATATTTTATTGGAATATTTTTGTTGATGCTCGAAAGTTTCCCAATTGTATTTATATATTTTTCGACACCAATTGAGATTTTCTGATAAAGCTGTGCCCATTTAATTAAAGTTGAGAGGCCTCCTGACATGATAATCAAGTGTTTATTACTCTACCAACGAATCAATCAAATCAGCCTGAGTACGGTGACAACACAATAAAATCTCCCCTGATAACAAATCTCGAGATTGGCAAATATCTTTACTGTACGCGTCATGATTGCTAAATTATGTGATGTGCTAATTAGTAGATCTTGATTTGTTAATCCAACACTACACACAAAAAAATTTTGTCATGTATGTGATTTAATAATAATATAATATATTAATATTTTGTTCTGTAAAAAAATAAATACATAATATGTATTTTGATTTTTTATTTTTTTATTTTTGATATGTTTCTGTAAGAATCATTTAAATGTACGTCGCGAAATACATATCGAGATATATTTGACATTTGATTAGACTAATTCTTTAAATGATGATCACTAATGGTGATACCTTTATTTCTCACTGTTTTAGGTGTGCCGACTGGGCAAGCATGTGGTGCCCGAAGGCCCCGTGGTGCGCCAGTTCCACGCTTCCTGCTACACCGCCTCGAAGGTGGCTCTTTCCAAGTTCGACTCGGACGTCTTCCTGCCGTACGAGAAGCTGAACAAGCGCCTTGAGGTGGTGCGTGGTCGCCTCAACCGACCACTGACTCTCTCCGAGAAGGTGCTATACTCGCATCTGGACGATCCGGCCAACCAGGACATCGAGCGGGGCACATCCTATCTGCGCCTGCGTCCCGATCGCGTGGCCATGCAGGATGCCACCGCCCAGATGGCGCTGCTGCAGTTCATCTCCTCCGGACTGAAGAAGGTTGCTGTGCCCTCCACTGTGCACTGTGATCATTTGATTGAGGCCCAGGTCGGTGGACCCAAGGATTTGGCCCGCGCCAAGGATCTGAACAAGGAGGTGTACGACTTCCTGGCCAGCACCTGCGCTAAGTACGGACTTGGTTTCTGGAAACCGGGCAGCGGCATTATCCACCAGATCATCCTGGAGAACTACGCCTTCCCCGGCCTGCTGATGATCGGCACTGATTCGCACACCCCCAACGGTGGCGGTTTGGGTGGCCTGTGTATTGGCGTTGGTGGTGCCGATGCCGTCGACGTGATGGCCGACATTCCCTGGGAGCTGAAGTGCCCTAAGGTGATTGGCGTGAACTTGACTGGCAAGATCAGCGGCTGGACCTCGCCCAAGGACGTTATTCTAAAGGTGGCCGATATCCTGACCGTCAAGGGAGGCACCGGCGCCATCATTGAGTACCACGGCAAGGGCGTGGACTCGATCTCCTGCACAGGAATGGCCACCATCTGCAACATGGGTGCTGAGATCGGTGCTACCACCTCTCTGTTCCCCTTCAACCAGCGCATGGCTGATTACCTGAAGTCCACTGGACGCGGTGGCATCGCCTCCGAGGCCCAGAAGTACCAGGGCAAGATTCTGTCCCCTGACAAGAACTGCGAGTATGACGAGCTGATCGAAATCAACCTGGACACCCTGGAGCCCCATGTGAATGGACCCTTCACACCCGATCTGGGACACCCCATCAGCAAGCTGGGCGCCAACTCGAAGAAGAACGGCTACCCTCTGGACATCCGTGTGGGTCTCATTGGCTCCTGCACCAACTCCTCCTACGAGGACATGGGTCGCTGCGCCAGCATTGCCAAAGACGCCATGAGCCATGGTTTGAAGTCTAAGATCCCCTTCAACGTGACCCCCGGATCGGAGCAGATCCGTGCCACCATCGAGCGCGACGGCATCTCTGAGGTGTTCGACAAGTTCGGCGGCACCGTACTGGCCAATGCCTGCGGTCCCTGCATCGGACAGTGGGACCGCCAGGACGTGAAGAAGGGCGACAAGAACACGATTGTCACCTCGTACAACCGTAACTTCACCGGCAGGAACGACGCCAACCCGGCCACCCATTGTTTCGTCACCAGTCCCGAGTTGGTCACGGCTCTGTCCATCGCCGGTCGTTTGGACTTCAACCCGCTGACCGACGAGCTCACCGGCTCCGATGGCAAGAAGTTCAAGCTGAAGGCTCCCTTCGGCGACGAGCTGCCAGCCAAGGGCTTCGACCCCGGCCAGGACACCTACACCGCTCCCCCACCTGTGAGTTTACACTAGCACCACAACTGATAAAAAGTTTTTTTAATAACTCAATATGGTTAATCCACAGACTGGCGATAAGGTGAAGGTGGCTGTCGATCCCAAGTCGACTCGCCTGCAGCTGCTGGAGCCCTTCGACAAGTGGAACGGCAATGATCTGACTGACCTGACCGTGCTGATCAAGGTTAAGGGCAAGTGCACCACCGATCATATCTCTGCTGCTGGACCCTGGCTGAAGTACCGTGGCCATTTGGACAACATCTCCAACAACATGTTTATTGGCGCCACCAACTACGAGAACAACGAGATGAACAACATCAAGAACCAGCGCAGCGGCTCCTGGGGTGGAGTTCCCGACGTGGCCCGCGACTACAAGGCCAACGGCGTGAAGTGGGTGGCCGTCGGCGATGAGAACTACGGCGAGGGCTCTTCCCGCGAGCATGCCGCTTTGGAGCCACGTCACCTTGGTGGTCGCGCCATTATTGTCAAGTCTTTTGCCCGTATCCACGAGACCAACTTGAAGAAGCAAGGTCTGCTGCCCCTCACCTTCGCCAATCCCGCTGATTACGATAAGGTTTGTATAGATTAACTTATGTAAATAAAAGTATTAATTCTTAATTTGTGCACCAACAGATCCAGCCCACGAGCAAGATCTCCCTGCTGAACCTGAAGTCCCTGGCGCCTGGAAAGCCTGTGGAATGCGAGGTCAAGAACGGCGACAAGGTCGACAAGATCACCCTGAACCACACCCTGAACGACCTGCAAATCGGCTGGTTCAAGGCTGGCAGCGCTCTCAACCGCATGAAGGAGCTGGCCGCCCAGTAAATGGTCCTGGATCTACTTAAGACCCTCTGTCCAGAACCCAGAAAACCAGCTCTTGCTCCTTGTAGGCAAAAACACACTCAGACTCACAACGCAAGCAATCGAGTAATGGTATTGTTATTCAATTTTTTTCAAATTGTTTATAATTTTATTTCGAGTATATCGAGTGTGCTGTTTTAAAAGTGAATTATGTAACCGAACGATGGCGAGAATTTGTAAGAGTTTTATATATATATAATTATACACATTATTTTTAATTCTTGCTATGAATGTTTCCTTAGATTTTTTTTCCTTTCGAATTTGTCTAAATGCTCTGCAGATTGCCTCGACGATGAAGATGATTAAGTGCGAATAAAACTCAAAGTAATACGTATTAAACCGATTCTTTTATTTATAAAACAGAAACCCGAAAAGCGGACAATAAGAGCCCTCAATAAATCCCATGTCTCCTTTATTTTCCCCCATTATTAACTTAATTGTATCAATTATAAGATGTAAGAACCAACAGTGAGTTGATATTATTATGTAGCGGAAAATAAAGTATAATAACAGTATCTTAATGCCTTTAGAAAAACATCTGGGAAATTTAAATCTACTTGGAGATTAAAAAAACGCTTTAATTTAAACCACAATACAAAAGCATTTATTTCACTTGTATTTGGTTTCATTTGAATAGTTTGTCATGTTTTTTTCAGTGTTGAAGAATTAAACTCAAATTTTTGGTAAATCAAATTTCTAGTAGTTACAATGAATCGCAAAGGACGGGCTAAAGAGTCAACTTCCACCACGGAATACTACTACTCCGATAGGACTCCTTTGGGAAGAAGCCGAACGTTGCTGGTCGCTAAACTAGAGAGGGAAAAAAAGAGTGAAACGTCTTTTGACTCCACCACGGGCTACTACTCCTACTCTGATGGGACTTCGTTGAGAAGGACCCCAATCACCTTCATGCCCAGTCCGAAGCTCATGCAGAGCCCCAAAGTAAAATTAAAGTTAATCGCCCTATATGAGGATCACAAGTGTTTGTGGAGTCAATGTCACAAGGACTTCTTTAATTTTGAACGCAAGGAGCAAGTCTGGGAGGCAATCGCTAATGAAATGAAAATGGATTCACCACCTGAGTTTTGGAAGCATATGATCCACAGGCTCCGCTATAATGTCGACTTGGAGCGCATCCAAAAGCAGGAGGCAAAGTTTTCGGGCGGAACGGCACAACCCAAACTATTCTACACGGATAAACTTCAGTTTCTTAATCACATGTTTGACAGAGAAAGAAAAAGTTTACCAAAAGAGAATGTAAGTTTAAGGTTAATATGTAAATGCAACAGATGAATATTTTGATTATAAAAAATAAAAAAACTAATAATTTAATTAAGTTCCTTTTTATGAGAAATATACTTTCAATATATAATAACTTTCAATAATAACTGGTGTCAGTAAAATTTCAATTAAATTTAGTACAAAATACAATTTTTTTTTATTTTTCTATAAATTTTGTGTATTATGACTAATTTAATGGCTTTATTAAACGTCTTGAACCGAAGTTAGTAGTAATATATAAAGATTAATTAAAACAAGTCCAAAATATTAATTCTTTTTATTGTCTGTCGTCAAATTAATTATTTATTATTTGCCCACAAGCCCATGCAGTTAAAGTCTTCGGTAGTTATTCTTGAAAAGCTTCCCTCGAGGAACTTGCGACAAGTGCGAGAAAACCCAAAACCGCCCACTCCCATCACTGAAAAGATGGCTTCCCTTGAGAAGCTAAGAAACCACCATAGCAGCAAGTTGGTTCTGACCCCAGAAGCCTTTCAAAAAATGAAGAAGATCACCAGCGGAGACCCCTATTTTATGACCAATGTAAAGACAAAGATTAAACCATAGTTTTAAATCGATTTTTCGTTTTATTACATTTCTTGTATCATAATCGTTTTGTTTTTTCTGGTGTTGCCATTTTTTTAAATATAGACGTTTTATATAACAATTCATAATTTTAGCTTACAATATTTTTGTTTCGTATTCTTACAATCTTTTTGTTTATGCCTTTAGCCACGAAAACACTTCCTCTCATGCAAATATACAACTTTCAGAACTTGGGGTTGCAATTATTTAATATCTGTATGTATATAATATATATATTTTATGTATATAACTAAAAATGCGTAAATTAATTGTTTTTGTTTGTTACGTGGTTTGTGGGCACATTCCTTTTCACAAAAGGAACAAAACATGAAAATGTACATAAGTATTACCGGCAAATAGTTTGCCGTCTGTGTTAGATCTCGATTCGCTTAATTTCGCATTAATTACACACACATGCATCATCGATATTATGAACCTGAATTGTTTTCAATTTTCGAAACGGCAGTTCCAGTTCTGTATTTTTGCCTCTTCAATTGCTCGTTTTACGTGTCTCTCTAAAAGGCAGGAGCAGCGGCGGCGACCTCGAAGGTAAGGATCGATCCATCCGCCGTTCGATCGTTATGCCAATTGACCGACCGATCGGCCGTTGTCCTCCTATCGAGCGCCCGCCGCTTGTTGGTTGGTTGATTATTGTTTGTCTCATCTACTTCTATGAAATGGCTGTTGAAAGTTTTGGTTTGAACGCATCATTCCCACTCGGTGGTGCCCGGCGGCTTGGCTGTCAAGTCGTACAGCACTCTCGAGATTCCATCCAGCTTGGAAATGTCACGCACAATTTGATTTAGGACCTGCGAACGAATAAATATTAACCAAGCATACTTGATGACAATTCGCGGATGAACTCACTTGCACTGGCAGATGCACAGAGCCGGGCTCAGCCGGCACACCGGTCATAAAGTCATTCGTTATGAATGGCCGCAACACCACAGATCTTCTGCAGGAGGGAGTGCGGTTAATGGGATCACGATCGAAGTGCACGGGTATGAGAACGACAGGCATCTGTGAGATTTTTCGGTACAAACCAGCTTGCATTATGATCTGAGAACGATATACACGGAGATTTAAATTTACATTTTCCACTTTAACACAAGACAAATTACTCTACCTCATTGGCAATGGCATCCGCTTGCCTCAGCTGCGATAGTACCACCGTGTTAAGTGTGGTGTGCGTGATATCTGTCACTAGATACTGCACGGGATCTCCGAAGATGTAGCATACCCTGTTCACGTTGTGCAGGATTCGCGGTATGATCTTGGCAAGGAAGAGAAGGTCCTGCCAGTTAGGCTCTTGACTCGTGGACAGGCCCACTACGTAGCTGTAAGACCGTTTGTCGCCCTGGACGCCCACAGAACGGATGGGCAGCAAGGTGGCCTGAATCTGCGAGTTGGCGGAGATTCGCAGCAGGTCCTTCTGCTCCGCCTCGCTGGTTGCGCCCGTTACTCTGTTGATCAGAGCGTGGTTCTTCTGCAGCTTGTTCTTATAGTCCACGATTACGCGGACAATAACCTGTAAGTAATTCAACAATTTATTAAAAGGTTAATAAAAAGGTTTTTTTGCAAACGTGCCTGAGTCTCATAGTAATCCTTCTCCATGTATGCCTCCTCGGCGCAGAGGACGCGGATGGCCAGGCCAGGACCAGGGAAGGGCTGCCTTTCCACAAGCTCCGGCGGCAGATTCAGATCATTACCCAGATCGCGCACCTCATCCTTATGGAAGTCACATAGTGGCTCAACAACACGCCCCGCATTACGAAGTTCTCTATAATAAAAATTGATTAAAAATTCGTTTATTAGAGATTATATTCACATTACCTGATCAGATCCGTGTCATTGTGGTGCGTTTTGATTGTTTCTGCATTCGTGCTGACCATATTCGAGGCTGACTCGATCAGATCTGGTCGGAGCGTTCCCTGGGCCAGCATAACCTCTTCGGGCTTCAGCTTCAGCTCGGCCACCACGTCGTTGGTCACTTTGACAAATATATCACCGATTATCTTGCGCTTCTCCTCCGGATTGTAAGTCTGGCAGAGCATGGGAGTCTCCACCACGGAGTACTGGCCGGGCCGCTTGACCTGCGTGGTGCCTTTAAGAAACGTGTAGCCTTCTTTGCGGACGATTAAATCGATGCCGATATCGCGCAGTGAACGCTCCACATTCTCACTTTCGTTCTTGCGCATGAAACCTAGAGTAGAGAACAAATAAATTAGTTCTGATTTTGGTATTTTTAACTTATGTTTCTTCTTAGCTTGAAATATTAATTTTAATGGTATAAGCAAAAGATATTAATTTGACTACCAAGTTAGCTTAAAATGAAAGACAAAAAAAAACTAATTTTATTATTAAGTTCTATTCTTAGCATAGCTGTGAAAGTATGTACGCGACCCTTATCTTCTGCCTTTCATACCATTATCAACATGCACCGCAATTATCTGATTAGGATACAGGGCCCGGCGAAGCAAAGCTGCACAGACACTCGAATCCACGCCACCGCTGACCAGCAGCTATAAAGTATAGATTCCAATTAGATATGCAACTCTTTACTGGACATTAATATTTTCAAACTCACCAACACTTTATTGGTTCCCACTTTTTCGCGGATGTAGCGTATGCATTCCTCCTTTCGGCTTCCCATTGTAAAGTTGGGCGTCAGTTCGCAGATCTCGTACAGGAAGTTCGATAGGATCTGTTTGCCGTTGATGGTTAGGTCCACCTCCGGATGGAACTGGACACCGTAGATGCGGAGTACCTCATTGTAAATGGCCGTCACAATGCGGTTTGTGGACCAGCCACCGACCTTCAGATTCTCGCCCACCCGCTCTACGCTGTCGCCGTGAGTTAAAAGCACAGACTGTGTACGACTGAGGCGACTGTGGAAGCAGAAAATTTAAAGTTTTAGTAAATTACAAGAAAATTTGGTTAATCGGTGGTAAATAAAGCCACTCGAAAGAATAATTTAGAGTATCAGAATGTAAGGACACGTGTAGACCAGTTTATAAACTCCATTAAACTGAACTGTTCTTGGCTTTTAAATTGTTCTGGCAGCATTGTATCAGCGCTTAAATAAATTCAATCAACCTAAGCACTTTCTTGTTGCTGCCATATCTCAATTTTCCTCTACTCCTGTCTCACCTGAAAAGCGGGCACGAGGTCTCGATCTCGATGTTCTGTTGGCCATCCTCCCGCACATCCTTCTTCAGCACTGTGCCCCCGAACTCTTTGTTGATCAGCTGCATGCCGTAGCATATGCCCAGCATCGGGATCTTCAGCTTAAACAGATCGGGGTCGTAGCTGGGCGCATCCTCTGCGTAAACGGAGTTGGGTCCGCCGGAGATGATGATGCCCCGATAGCCATTGTTGCGTATCGTGGCCGCCGGCGTGTCCAGTGGCAGGATGTCCGACTCCACGAGGAGTTCGCGAACCTTGCGGTCAATAACCTAAAGGCAAAACGTAAGGATTAGCACGGCGTATTCGCAATTTATATAAGATGTTATTTCGAGTGGGTTTCGGTATAAACTCACCTTGCCGTACTGTGCTCCCGCATCGAGTATAACAATCTTATCGTGCCGCAGGCCGTTCTCCGCTGTGCCCAGAAATATGTTTGAGTTCATTTCTTTATCGTTGCAGCACTGCAAAGATCAAAAATTTAAATGTCAGTCAAGCAATCGCCGAAACAAACACCGAATCTCGACTGGCTGGTGGGGTCGTTTCTGCGGCTTATTTATGCTCCAGTTGTGGCTGCAATCGACTCTAAACAGACAAGGCTAAAAGCTGGCTAGGAGGTGGGGAATGGGGTTTAGTCTGGGGCACTCGCGGGGATTGAGATTCAGGGAGGTTGAGAGGGCTCACATACCGGCAATATCTTGTGGAGCACTCGCAGAAACATTCAACATGCAGCTGGCCAGGACGCTCTACGATAGACAACAAACATTGGCAAAGATTTTTTCGTCACAGAAAGGTGGAATGTGCAATGTGGAAGGAAAACTCCAATGCGAAAACTCAAAGCGAAGAAAAAACAAGGCCAAAAAGGCGACGCCTACGAAAAATGATTTGAGGTGCGGGGTGGCGATTCTGATTTGTATACCCTTGCTGGGGGTAATCAATTTTGGGCCAGATTCTAATATGTGATTGTTTGTGGTTTACAATCATCAATAAATAAGTGTGTATATATAATTTAAACAGAAAGCAATGTAAATTAAATTTTACAATTGGCTTTTTATATGCACGGACCTGATGTTTATTCTTAACTTGGTAATTTTTATCTGTTTATCCAAATTGGACGACTTTATAAAATTTATTAATATTATGGTTATTAAGGTTTTAAAGCGATAGTAAAGGTGAATTCGAAATTATACTATTATATCCAATGGATACCATTAAAAGAATTTGTCAAATTTGCATAGCTTGGTATGTTATAACCACAACTTTATTTATTTATTTATTATAGTTTTAAAATATATTGAATTTGGTCTGGGAGAAACGAAAAATTGTTTGTATATTTTTAGTTATTATAAAAGCATAAAACTCAAATTATTGTGCTAAGACGATCTGTCAAGTTTTTGTATAATATTAGACTACTATAAACTATAGTTACCAGTTGTATAGTATTTTTGGTTATATGTACATATATTTGCTTAGCTCTGGTAAAATTTTCATTTAATCGGGTTCGAAAAGGATTCTTTTAGTTTGTTTCAAGACTACATTTTTATTGTATTTTAGAGTATTTAAGAATACAAAAGAACTTCCTGAGCTCAAAGTATCAACCAAAAATTATTTTTAAAATTTAAATACTAAGCCGTTTACAAATAAGATAGGTTGTTTGCCACATAGATCTTTGTAATTTTATATGACCATAATGGAAAACCGTCAAAAACAGCGAACAGCTAAGATTATTAAAACAAAATATATTTAGCTATTACCAACTGCAAGGGAATATACATTTCGGATTGCCGAACCTGTCGACGATTTTCGTATATTATAGAAAATACAATTTCGGATGCGAGTGGATGAGGATGTGAAGAGGAAATGGAACGTAATGGGGGATAAGGGGGAGGGGCGCCGGCTACTGACCGCCAGATGACAGGCGAAAATGCAAGAGAGACTGGGAGCGAAAGCAAGAGCTAGAGAGCGAAAGAGAAATGGCAGGTGAACGAAAACAGAGAAACATAGATGCAAAGGAAAATGCGTAAGAAAAATGGTATAAAAATAAACAACAAAAAAGTCAGGAGACAAATGGCAGTGGCAACTCTGCAAGTTTTCTTGTGTTTTTCATTTTGCGGCAGCAACTCCAGGGGTTAAAAGTGCATTAGGTCACTGATGCGAGATGCAAAGGTTGTGATGTAAGCCTTGTTCTTCTTTGGCTCTCTCTTATATTTTTGATAACAACAAGCTAAAGGTTATCATAAATCACATAGAAACAACAACAAAAAGTGGGGGGCCGCGTGCTTGTAACTTAATACACATGCACCTAGTACACACGCACACACTCACACTAATACACGTGGAGCCGCCTACAAGCGGCGCTTATAACCACAAAATGGCCACGAGAAATGTTTGCAAAATAAATCGCAATGGGCAAAAAATGGCAAATGCGGTTAAAGTTGAAGCAAATTGCAAATGCAAGGGGTGGTGACTTGTGGGTGGAGCTGTGCCGCATGGCGATTTCTTCGGGGATCGGGCATCTTTAGTCTTTAACCTCACCTGCTCGTCGTTGTCACTTGGCAGGCGGTTTATCCAGGGGGGCGGGGCGGAATGTCCGTGGGCAAGGCCGTGGAAAACCGTGGCAAGCAGCGGAAAACTTAATGCTTAAACACTAGTTCGCGATCCGTTATTAGCGGTCTCCTCTCTCTTTCTTTCTTTTGGCTGCTGCTACTGCTGCTTTTCCGCGTCTCCACGGTTTCCTCAGCACCGCTGGCAAAGTTTCTACTACGATTTTCACGGATGCAATTCGGCTGCGTTCGATTGGTCGTTTCTAGGCACTTTTCTTTCGCTTTTTCTGCAATTTTTTCGTGAATTAAAGCCGAAAGATGACTTATTGACGAGCGTATGACCGTAACTTGGAAGCGATAAAATCCGGCGTTTGCGGCTAAAAGAAAATACTAAATGTGGCTAAACTAGGGATTTTTTGAAGTGCAAAATACCAATGCGATAAGTCCGTTGGCTACAATATAAATTGTTTAAAAGCTGTGTAGTTTGATGTATAACATTATATCTATCTAAAACACTTTTTGATTTTAACTTATTATTCACATATATTTGTTAACACTTATATAATTCCGTTTCAAAATAAGTTTTTTAGTATTTGCCAACAGACGGTATAAAATACTATCGTATAAATATACAAGAATACTGCCAGCTCTAGACAGCCAGTGTTGGTTAAGATACACGGTCAACAGCATTTTTAAAACTTCACAACTGCGGCCATACTGAGCCCGCCAAAAGTAATTTGTTTTTGCGCTCATTTGGAAAACTCTGTGGAAAATCTAAGAAAACACGTGAAAATTCGAAGACAAACCATATGAAATGAGCCCTGCAAATAAGTCCCAGCTGGATATCAGCATCGACGACGAGGAGGAGATACTGGCGCTGGAAAAACTGCTGGGTGAGCCGGAAACCGATAATGCCGAATCTGCAAAATCGGAAAAACCAAAAGGCACGCCCACTTTGGCCAACGCAGTACCAAAACTACGAGAAGACAGCAGTTTCGCAAATGCCTTTACCTTCGAGAAGACCGTGAAACCCGCCAAGCAGGACAAAATTGCGATCAGCAAAGAACCGGAGCTGGACTCTTCCGACGACGAAGAAGTTAAGAATTTCCTAGAACGGAAGTACAACGAGTATGGCAGTGATATCAACCAGAGCCTGAAGCAGCAGCGCGAGAGTGCTCACGAGTCTAAGGTGGCCAGGGAGGTGGACCAAGCGCTGAAGAAGACAACCCAAATGGTCACATCCACGCCGCAGCCGCTCAAGAATCCGCACAATCCCATCAAGCGCCAGTCGGCGGTGAGTAGCACTTTCCAAAGGCCTCCGCCAGCTGCAGCTGCCGTGGCAGCCACATCCCAGCCAGGTGCTCCCGTCTCCGCCGTTTACACGGATCCTGTCTTTGGACTGCGCATGATCAATCCCCTGATCTCGAGCTCACTGCTCCAGGAGCGCATGGCGGGCAGAAATGCGGTGCCCTTCTCCGGCGTAGCCTTCCACATCGAACGCGGTGATCTGGCCAAAGATTGGGTCATTGCCGGCGCCCTGGTCTCCAAGAATCCCGTGAAGAACACCAAGAAGGGAGATCCGTACTCCACATGGAAGCTGTCCGATCTGCGCGGCGAGGTCAAGACTATCTCACTTTTCCTCTTCAAGGAAGCCCATAAGTCCCTGTGGAAAACAACGGAGGGCTTGTGCCTGGCTGTCTTGAATCCCACTATTTTCGAGAGGAGAGCGGGTAGCTCCGATGTGGCCTGTCTGTCCATTGATAGCTCCCAAAAAGTCATGATCCTGGGTCAGTCCAAGGATCTGGGCACTTGTCGGGCCACCAAGAAAAACGGGGACAAGTGCACGTCAGTTGTTAATACCACCGACTGCGATTATTGCATCTTTCATGTAAAGCAGGAGTATGGCAAGATGTCGAGGCGTTCGGAGCTCCAGTCTGCCACCGCTGGTCGTGGCCTTAATGAGCTAAGAAACAAGGTGTTGGGTAAGTAGGTTTCTACGAATATAATTATCATTGTTAATTATCTTAATTTTTAGGCAAAAACGAGGTCTTCTATGGCGGACAAACCTTTACGGCAGTTCCGGCCAAAAAAAGTGCCAAGCTCATCTCTAAAGAGCGCGATCGCCTGAGCATGCTGGCTGGCTATGATGTTTCGCCTTTCGCTCATACCGCTGACCATGCCTCCAAGCCCAAGACAAGCGAACCTCCTAAAGTTCCGTATGCAGAGCGAGGTGGTCCGGTTTCCCGTTTGGCTGGTGGTGTGGAGGCGTCTAGAAAACAGAGGTGCCAGGACTTGGAGCGATTGCGTCAGCTCAAGGCGGAAAATGAGCGATTTAAAAAGGAAGAGGCGGCAAAGGGTAATGTTTTGGGCAGTGACAATAAAAATGAACCCTCGGCAACCACTCCCACTCCCAGCTTTCCCACTACACCAGTGCCGGACAAGTTCAAGAATCGGGGCTTCTCCTTCGATGCCAGCTTGACACCCAAACTATCGGGTAGCGAAAACTTTTCATTTGAGGTCAATGTGGGAGCTCGTCAGGCGCAGAGTGCCAAGCTGAGAGCAGCCGCGTTGCTAAAGAAGAAACCGCTGGAGAAGATCAATCCCAATTCCACAAGGGGCAGTGAAACTGGCAAGAGAAGAGCCATCGATGAGCTCAACGACAAATTCTCCAGCAGCGCCAAGCGCCAGAAAATTGAGGAAGATGATCGCGAGCTGATGCGCAAGTCCCGAATCGAAAAGATTATGGCAGCCACGTCATCCCACACGAATCTCGTAGAAATGCGAGAGCGCGAGGCGCAGGAGGATTACTTCAACAAGCTGGAACGCAAGGAGGCCATGGAGGAGAAGATGCTGGGCACCTACAAGATGCCCTGCAAGGCGGTCATCTGTCTGGTGTGCAAATACACCGCCTTCTCCGCCTCCGATCGCTGCAAGGAGGAGAAACACCCTTTGAAAGTGGTCGATGCAGAGAAGCGATTTTTCCAGTGCAAGGACTGCGGGAATCGCACGATCACAGTGTTTAAATTGCCCAAGCACAGCTGCAAGAATTGCAAGGGATCGCGATGGGAAAGGGCGGCTATGATACGGGAGAAGAAGGTCCTCACTGGCAGGGAATCGCTGTCCATTAGGGGAGATGAGGAAACCTTCATGGGCAGCCTGGCCGGCAGTGCCAATCTCAATCTGCTGGTTCCCGACGAAGAGTAAAAACAAGTCATCTCCGGCCGTTGTTGTATTTGGTATGTTTTAATTTATTTTTAAGAATAGCAAATGCAGTACATACAAATATTTACAGTCCTCTGGTTGATCGCTATTTGGCTTATAAAATGGGATTCGTTGTAGATAAATAAGTACAAGGTTTCGATACCTAAAGATCTAAAGTGCCTGTGAGATTGTTCAGTGCAGGTTTTTTATGGTTATGTACCAGGTGTACTCGCTGATTTTTGACGAATGTTAATCTTATGAATTTATGAATCTAAGATTATGACTGAACATCAAAAGATTGATGATTGGAATGCTTAACAATGTTTAGAAATTATGAATCACACTTAGCTCATCCTAGCAAAATTGTACAATCTTAAAGTAAGTTATTATAAATGCATTAATTTTTTAAATAAATCCCACAAAATGTGTTTTAAATATTTAATAAGACACCGTACGTGGAGAAACCTTTAAAAAACAGGCACAATCTAAAGTCTTATAAGCAGAAGTATACAATTCAAAAATGTATATTTCTTTAAATATACGTCTCTATTAAAGTTTTTACAAAAGGTTTTTTTCTTCTAAAATCTTTTCAAATCCTTTATGTTTGCAAGTAAAGTTAAAGGCAGAAATTGTTTATTCCCGACTGTTTATACATCAATCTATCCAAAACGGTGTTTTAAAAATATTTTTAGATTTTTTTAAGAGAGGGTTTGGAATGTGTGACTAAAAGAACCTAGTTTCTCTTTGGCTATTTAATTTCCCTTATAAATGCTTGGGAGTATTCGAAATCGAATGCGGTTCTTTTACAATTCATTTTTGGCATCAGCATAAAGCTACGAGACTAAATGTAAAACTAAAACTAATTAACAAACAGTTTGAACTGAAAAACAGGCGCAGATGAGAGACAAGAACTGAGTGGATGGGTGAAAACAATACACTGGCAGATTTAGACTACATCCTCGGCCTGTTGACCTGGTTCCGCCTCTGCAGTTTCCTTGAGATTCAGCAAACTGGAGAAGCGAAACGAGATGGTCTTGGATAGGTGCTTTTCGAATTCCCTGCTGTCCAGATTGTCGGGAATGAGACTCCTGTTGGTCATGTCCATATAGGAGTGACCCCTCTTCACGGGAACTGAATAGTGTGGCAATGAGGTGGCCGCTGGCGAACCACTGGTCATATTGCTGTAGCTTGGAGTGCAACTGGATTTCCGAATGTTCAGGGGAAATCGCAGATCGTTTTCGTATCGCAAAACCTGCTCCTTGGCGGTGGCATCGATCAGGGGGCGTGGCAGGTCATAGCCAGGCGGAGCCGTCGAAGTCACTGGCATCTCCTCCTCCGACTGATCATAGCTGGTGCCCTGGTCATGGATGTCGTAGGCAATCTTGGGCGGTGACCAAAGGTGCTGCAACGATTCTGGCTCACCGAACTCCGTGGTCATCAAGGCAGAATCATCCCCGCAATAAAGCGGATTCGAAACGGCATTCGTCTCCAGATCTATGTACTTGGCATTGTTGCCCAATAGTTTCTCAAACTCCGAGGCCAAAAACTTGAAGGAGGGTCGGCCATTCGGTTCATCCGCCCAGCAGGTGCGAACAATGGAGTAAACCGCCTCCGAACAATTCTCCGGCCTGTCCATCCGATAACCCGTCTTCAGCAGGGACCACAGATTCTGAGGGGCGATTCCTGGATACGGGGAGGCTCCCAGGGTGATCAGTTCCCAGCAGAGAACGCCAAACGACCATACATCCGATTTGCTGGTATATACGTGATCCGCCAGAGATTCCGGTGCCATCCACTGGAGGTTGGGTAATATTGTAAAGGTTCTCAGGAACTAATCTATAGTGGATTGAACTTACCTTGACGGGCACACGATCTCGAGATCGCTTCAAATAAGCATCGTCCTCGTAAACATCTCGGGTGAGTCCGAAATCGGAGATCTTGCATATTTTGCCATCCGCTAGGAGTACATTCCTGGCTGCCAAATCGCGATGAACCAACTGCAGAGATAATAGAATATAAGTAGTTTAATTACTGAATTAGTTATTGGGTTTATTGAACTTTAACTAGACCCTCTGAAATCTAGTTATGGATTGGTTCGTATCTTAAAGTTTGTGGCTTAAAAATCAACCAACCTTTAGTTCCGTGAGGTAGGCCATGCCCTTGCAGATCTGCCAGGCGGAGGTTAGCACCATCTTCACATCGACGGGCTCCACTCCATCCGCGAAATCCACGCCGGCGCATTCGATCTTTCGGCTGAGGCGGAGATAGCTCCTTAACGAACCATAACGGGCATACTCTATGATGAGGAGAGGCGCCTCCGAGGAGGTGCAGGCTGCCAGCAGCTTGATCACATTCGGATGGGAGACTTCCTGCAGGAGTTGAAATTCCGAGAGCAGGGCCATGTACTCCACGGAATTGGCACCCTTCTTGAGCATCTTCACAGCCACGGTGGTTATTCCGGGCAATCCAGCGATGTCCGTGGCATAGCCCTTGAGCACCTGACCGAACTCACCCTCCCCCAACACCGTATCCAGTTGCAGTTTATCGCGGGGGAACTCCCACTTGGTATCGCCACTTTCGAACTTGAAACCACCTTGCAGTGGCATCAGGGCGAGATCTCCGTCTCCCAATTCCGGAAGAGCCTGTTTGGCGGATGGGGTTATCGATTGTTTGCCCAGGCGACGTTGGAGCATCTTCCTCTGGGCAATAAGCAGGCAGAGGAGCACGAGGACGAACAACAGAGGACAGCTGATCACGAAAAACATGCAGAGGCGGTCGCACTCGAAACCGGCCACATTTATTACACCCAGAAGCAGGGGATCCTGGAGAGATTGATCTGCTGGAGTCCCCCGTCTTCCGCCCATCAGAGGTTCCGCCTCCGTTTCGTTTTTTCGCTTGCGGGGCTTCTTAATCTTGGGTTCCTCGTCCAGCGGAGCACACGAGCACTTGTCGTTATCCTCGCATGTGCAGGTTCCAGAGGCACTATAGATCCCCCTCTTGTTCTCATTACTCGAATGGGGACCCATTATTCTGCCAGCCGGTGTGCAATCCTGTGGACAGGCCATGGGATTCAGTTCCTCCAACGGATCACACACATGATCCGGACAGTAGCGAGATTCGGGCACACAGGATCCATATCTCGAGCCAAACATAGCTGAATTGGATCCCCGCCACTGACAAGATCCGCCACCAGTGGCCAATCCACAAAATCGGTTGCATTGCGACGGGAATTTAACCTGGGCGCAGGTTTGCGATCGTGACTTGATCTTCAGATCGCAACTGATGTTCTCGGGTCTTCCATGAATCAAATGCACATTTATGACTCGAACGTGCGAGAGACGTTGCTGATCCATCCAGGTGACATTCAGGAAGTATATGGTTTCAGGGGCCTCTTCCAAAGCCTGTGGTTTCTTCACAAAGACAATACCCGATGTTGGGGTTATGCCAAAAGCATCAATTTTATCCTCCACGATTTTGAATCGTATGGAACGTGACCGCATCAAGTCTAGAAAACTTTCCGGCTGAGCTACCCGATAATAGGAGGCAGCAGTCCGGTATAAGGACACATCCTTTTCGTATTCCACGATCAATGGACCCGAGGATCTGCCTGCTGAATCACCATTGAAATCCTCATTCTCGAAGATTCGATGTTGACGAGATCGCAAAGGAAGAGCTTGAGGCAACTCTTGGTCTGTTTCGTGAAGATTACTCAGGTTTATATGGAAACAAATGTAGGCCGTGGCGGACATGGCATCGTTGTGGGTTTCAATGGTCAGATCCCGAGCTTCCAGGGAAACGCAATAGGGGGATTCCCGAAAGACACCGTTGCGGGAGAAGCGAAGTTCTGTTGGGAAAAGTTTCTTAAAATATATCTAATATGATATTCCGATCCTATACTCACGACAACTGACGATGGTATGTGGCCTGCCCGTGTGATCCGCCTCATGGGCGTGGCAGTCTGGCCGGAACAGTCCATTGGTGTCATTGTGGACGGCGTAGACCAGGTGAGCATTGGCGGCCAGCGTATCCTTGTCCACATAGATGATTTTCTTCCCCGCCTCCTCATCCTGTGGGGATATGAAAATAAGAGGGGGATATGAATTAGCAGGTCGCTTCATTAGCATTTACTGACCAGCGCTAATTAAATTCCACTTGGCACCCCCTGGAAAATTACAGCGCTGCCCTCCAAGGATGCGCTCTTGGTGATTAGCATTTTAATTCGTGCACAAGGTCAGGCTGGGGTTTCAGATCCTCGGGGACCTGACATTTCCCTGCCAGGTGGATGGTGCACGGTGCAAGGTGGACTCACCCGAAACCCTTTTAATGGATCCCCGGGGCAAGGACATTAGCTAGGTGTCCTCCCTGCGCTTAGGCTTAAGTTGGAATGGTGGCTTTTGTTAAGGTAGGATCGACAATATATTTGAATAATAAGTGGGTTGGAGTTTTCTCTATTGTGTTAGGAACAAACGAAAGAGGGCAAATCTTTTGGGAGAAGTGTTGCTATTGTTATGTTTTAATTAGAAAACACATTTACACATTCTTAGTATCCGAATTCAAAGCGTTGCAAACTTAGAAGTTATATATTTTCGGTAAAGATTGAGTTAAAAAAACTGGGCAGTAAACAATCTTAAAGATTTGACACCATTACTCTCCCAATCTAAACTTATGTATTAAACAAGAAAAGTCAGCCAGAGTAATAATGATTTGAATTTCTCTTAATACTTGCACTACTTTTTGAAATAATCTTTTTAAACTATCTAAAGTTGAATGTGTTTCCAATTCAGTTGACCCACCCGATTTTGACCTCAGCCACACCTCATCACACCAAACTTTTGTTCGGTTTATTATGGGACATGTCGCCAGCAATTACCTCGAAATAAAATAAAATGTACATTATTGTGTGTACGTTATTTAAATGCAGAGCCACCTACGGCAATTTGTAATGGCAGGACTTTAGTGCAGAACCAATTACTCCAGCTGAATGGAGCGGGTGGAGATTCCACTATCTGCACCTGAACTGACACAGTTCGCAGATCCTTGGGGATAGGCTTGGCTTGTTTCGAACACGACAACATAATTTACTTTTGTGGCAACTTTAAGGGACTCCCAACTCCGGCTTCAATCCACGCTGAAGTCACTTGACGTTCCCTTTCCCATTCCCATTCCTGCTCCTGCTCCTTTCACTGGCTTTCCCTTCCTGTCTGTCATGCTCCAATCATAAAAGCCCATAAACGTTACGCGTTTTTAATGGCAACATATGAGTTGGAATGGGAGAAGGGGAGTTTGGAAAAGAAGTCGCGGAAGTGGCCAACTTTGTCTATCTACCCCAAAAGGACCTCGGAACCAGACGTGGTAATGGCCAAATAATGGCAGGATGACCGGACTTGGGTCTTTCAACAGCGGGGTCTTCAGATACACTCGAAAAATATCAAGAAATATTCAATAATAATAATATATACAAATAAATAATAAGTCTCGGAAACCATCATAAATCTGGCTTACCCCTGAATATGTTTTTTATTTTAACAAGACAATTTGTGGTAAGTTTTAACTTTGTTCCATAATTAAAAGGTTTTAAAAAAGTATTTTAAGACATTGTGAGGTCATTTTAAGGATTTCCTTAAATTTTCCTTAGTCCAAAAGAGGATCTTTGAGTAAGGGATGTTGTCTAAAAAGTGTTTGAACCTTTAACAAATATTATTTCGAGTGTACCCGACTTGGTTGCGTGTCTAGGGGGCGTTCATCATGGGCGAATTCAATAAGCCCGCACCCAGTGAGCTGCCAGACAGCCGGCAGACGAATTGTCTGGGCAGGGTCTGGCTGGGATTGGATGCCCCTCGACCCTCTACCTGAAATGCTCTCCCTCGAAATCCTTTAAGAACTCCCTTCCCTTGGATGAATTCCATAACTCACCGCTTGAAAGTAGGGCTGTTCCAGGTAGAACTTAAAATTATTATCGCTCTCCTGCAACTTAGGCCCATTATCGTTGCGATCCAGCAACTTGATATCGAAGCTACGCGAGAATTTCCTCTGATCCCTTGTGGACAACTTAACCGTGCAGATGATCCTGGCCTGCAGCTGTCCAGCCCGGGCATTCAGTCCATTGAGCTCATCGTGATCCAGTGGCTGTCGGGTGTACAGGCGATTCTGTTTCAGAACGAAGTGGGAACTGCCGGCGTTGAGGGAGTACTCCAGCGACACATGTGGACACAGGTACTTGGCCGCCCGCGAGTTGAGGGCCCCGATGAGGACCGGCTCAAAGGAATCCCTACGCCTATACTGACCCTGCGATTCGGCTATGCTGTACTGCGCACTGCTCCAGAAGCAAATGTGCTCCAGTTCTGCACAGTAATCCTCCAGCGGTTGCGGTACCACCTCCAAAGTAAGGTGCGTCACGGGCAGCAGTTCATGATCCGGCTGATCCCTGGGAAAAGCCGTGACCACATACTTGACACTCGAGTTGGGTGAGCGGTAATCAGTGCGCATGTATATCTCGCCGGACGAACTATTTATCCGCAGCAGGGGATTCTCCTCCAGGCTGTAGAGGTAATCACTGGCCAACCGGTTGCTCTCCATCCGCAGCACTTGGAACTGGACCAGCGGGATCTTGGAGAAGATGCTCTCCGATTCCTCGTTAATGGGCAGATTGAATTTCACCGACGTGCTGGGAAAGTAAACATCGACGGCTGCGAAAAAAAAAAAAGAAAGGAAAACAGAGGGTGGAAAAATCAAGTTAGTGCTGATGGCGTCATGTGGGACTTAATGCTAGGTTGGGGGTCATTGTTTGGGATGCTGCCACAAGTGGTTGACCACAATTGACCCACTCAGTTGAAGTGGGTTTGCTATTCCATTTGCGGAATAGCAGTGGGTTTGAAGTCTAGGAAATGTTGCAAAATGAAACACTTTCTAAATTATATACGAATTATTACAATTAGTAGTGAATAAATCAGGTTGCATTATTAATGTTGTTACTTAAAGTACCTAAATTATAAGGTGTATACTACTAAAAGCTTACGTAATTATTACTATAATTACAAAATTTGGTTTTAACTCAAAAGTTGAAGGAAAGTCCCGTAATATTTTGTTGATTAAAAGCCTAACCACTGTACTAAGCCCAAACAAAATGTATTCCCGAGGGTTGTTATCACTTTTGGGTTTATTTACCCATCATCAGCATCAGCGGAGGGACACACGCTGACAGTCGTCATCAAATCCAATCAAATGATTTAGTTTAATAAGCTCGCGTTGACCTTAATAGAGGTGGCCATAATACCCAACTCCCCCTATCTACCAAATTGAACAGGGCGTATGCGTAATTTGATAAGAGCTCCATCCTAATGACACTCGATTGTTGCGGTCGTGTGTTTGCATGCGAGTCAAAGTCCAATACAAGCGATAAATAAATATAATACAGATATTGTTTATTAGCATATGGGTTATCAAAATGACGCCTTTTCCTCCACCCATTCCCCCTTTCACAAAAAACTCCCCTTGTTGTCATCTGAATTGAAGTGTCGGCGTCATCAAGTTGCGTATTGATTTTGTGATAACGATAAAGTTTTTGTTAGCCGGAAAAACTACAACCCCAGGCATAATTGGTTACAAATTTTCCTCGCCCTTCGTCCATGTATTTCCTGCGCCCAATTTTATGCCACAATATTTGGAGCAAACATTTGGGGGACCGAAGAACTCTTGTAATGTTATGGTGTAAATAGGTTGGCGTATCTTGTTAAGTAAATAGAAATTAAACTCATTGAACTTTAACTGATTTATTTGTGGGGTAGTTAAGAAATTTATTGATCAAATCGGTTTCAGATTTGGCTATAATTTTGGAGTGAGTTACTATTCTTTATCAAAATTTGATTGATCTAAATGTTCCTTTATAGGTTTGAGTTTATAAGTTTGATTATGGACATTAAATAGTGACTGCAAAATAATAGAATGGTATTTTTACGTATTTAACTTATTTCAATCCTTATTCTAGGAGTAATAAACTGTTTGAAAATCGTTTAAATTAAATTTCTTTTGAATGGAGTTGTTGAACTGAATTGATTATTTACTATTCGATTCCCGTCCACAGTAATAGTAATCAAAATTTACATTTTCTTCGGAGATTATTTATGTAATTCAAAATTAGCTCTGATTGTCCCGCCTATTTTTATTCGCTAGATTGGATGAACGATTTATAGACAGGCAAAAATTGTTATGTTTATAGCAAGCCATTTTGCGCAGTGCAGCTAGTAAGGGGTACAAAAAGCCGCTAATTGGATGGCCACAAAGCAGGCGGACTTACCTCCACTAAATGCCTGTCATAATTATGCCCTAGCTTTCGAGAGGTAACCAAACAGAGACCCACAACACTCCACCCTCCACAAAAAATGTGGGGAAACCTTTTTTCCTGGTTACTCCCGCAAACCAAAAAACGATTGTGGGAAAATCGCTCCTTGATATGGCCTTTGGCATAGTACACACATTATAAATAATAAAATGTGTTCATTACAATTGCTGACGCCCAGGCATGCGAAAAATGCTGATAAAATATTTAGATGAGAGTGTGAGTACGAGTAAACCCTGTAGGGTATGTGCCCGCTCCAAACACGCACGCATTCATAATGACATTTTAAATGCGTGTCCTTGGCGCCCAACGTGGGGCATTGGGGCCCTGGAGCCACCCACAAAAAATATATTAATGCTGTCAGCGTTCCTAATGAAATATGCGGGGTTACCAACGGGATTATAACGCCCCCAACTCCGCTGATTCCTGCCAAATGATGGCGCCAGTCCTGTTTATGGGTGAAGCGTTCTGCTCATGATTAAGTGCCAAGTGCTTCACTTTACAAGAAATCCAAGGAAGCAAGCATGAATTCGCGTTGAAGGAACCCACCGATCCTGGGGCACACCAATAAACTCTCTTTAAAGTTATGCGAGGGGGAATTAAAAAAGATTTTTAATCAGAGATTGTATGGAAATTATGGGCAATAGAACAACGATTATTTTGTTATGTTCTATAAACAGAAGCATTAAAGGCGTCCTTAATCTCTAAAAGAAGTTAAGATATATCCAATGAAATAAGTTTTCATTTGTTTAAAAAGGAGGTTGACAAAATAGATGGAAAAATGAGAGGTTAATGTACAAAAGTATGTTGCTGTATCTCTCGACAATTTGTTCCATAAATAAATCTGCAGTTGCTTAAAATTAAACGGTCACTTAGACTTAGAGTTTTGAAACCCCTTAAGTCAGCAAAGCCATCTCTTTTTTAAGTAGCAAGCCCCAACCAAATCCCCAGTCCCTTAGTACAAAAGTCTTTAAATAATCTACCACCACCGATTTGTTCCAATCAGTTCTCAATTAAAACTCAACTTGACCTCTTCGATTCCCTTAAGACCAGAGCTCTCAGACCATTAAACCTGCGACAGGTGAGTGGGATTAAGCTGGTGATTAAAAAAAGACCACAAACACCCACAAAATGCTGACCAAAAGTCAACAACCGTAAAAAGGAAAAAAGCGACAAAAAAACAGGACGAAAAAACAAAAAGCGTAAACAGGGAAGGACTAAGACTATTAGGTTATCTATTAGGTGGACAATTAAAAAGCCAGCGAATGGCGCATTAAAAACTCGAAGCGACACTGGATAAAACATGGCCTTAAAATTGAGGGAGGAACTGGATAGCCCAGCGGAAAATTTCTGGGGTGACTGGACTCATTGGGAGTTGTTACACTTTAAAAAATTTAAGGGTAATAAATACGGGTTTATCAGAAAAAGTTTATTAAATATATAAAAATGTCATATCTTGTAAAAGCAAATTTAACATTAAACTATTTTTTGTTGGAACAACAAACAATATTAAATGTATAATTTGTTCTGCCAAAAAGAAACTATTTTAATGCATCTCCATTATAATTACCATAGCACTATACCATATAAATCTAATTTATAAAAAATGTATAAAAATAAAATATAACCAATTAAAATAATAATTAATCATTAGTATTTAAAATTTTGTAAAAATTTGTAAACCCACAACATTCTATTTAAATTATGATGTTCATTTCTAAAAGGCTTACACAATTTGTTAAAATAAAATAAGCAACAATTTCTCTCCGTGTAGAAGAGCCGCTAATTACAGCACTGTCAACAATTGATGGGCGGCGACTCGGATCCCGACATGGCCATTAGCCGGGCCTGCGTACCTGAACTTGGTGGCCAGGTGAAATGGAGACTCCGAATGAGGTGCGGTCGCCGGATGAAATGTCAACTAGTTTCGCATAAACTAATTAATCTGCCCGAATTAATTGACTTGGCATCGAATTGGGTCGCCAGTTGTTTGCCTGTTTGATTGGCCAACTACCAAACCTTCCGGAGTTTATTGTCCTTGTTTTTCTCAGCACTCCAGGATGACTCACTTTGAGCTTTGGGTGTGCGGATAATTTTGTGTTTTCCAGCATCCGACTCACATTATGTTTGTCTACTGCTGCGTAATGAAAAGTTTGTCTTTGTCAGGGTTTTTAGTTTTTCCTGTAACGCTTTTCCCCATTCTTTTCCCTGTTGCATTGTTTTGCTCATTACTCATACGTCGCGTATGCCAGTCGTGGTTCTATGTTTTCCTTGGCACTGACTGCAATTGTCTGCTATTGTGGCTTTTCCTGCAGGAAATGTTGGCATTGGCCAATCTCTGGCCCTGGTTGTTGCTCGAATTCGCATTATTAAATCCATGCCATCCTGTCTCTCTACTTTCACTCGATCGAAGTGTGCAGACAAAAGTGTCTTGAACGGTTTTTCTATTTCCTGCCCTGACTGTCCCTGAAAATTTCTCTTTGCCAGTGCCAAAGCAAATTGAATTGAAAACAAGTTTAGCACAAAGCTCAAACAGAAGTAAGTTATACTCTCTCCATAGGTAGAAAATTATATATGAATGTAAGTGCTAGGAATTTTTATTAAATTTAGGCACTCATTTAATGAAATTTTTAATACAAAAAGTTGAAAAGAAAATATTATGCGGTCTTCAAATATAACTAATCATTTTAATTTTATTCTATTATTCATTTTAGATCTCATATACATTTACCTTTAATGTAAGTCAGTAAGGAGAGGGTATCTCCATCAACTAGAAACAAATTGTTGTTATTGATTTAAATGTAATTTGTATTTAAGTTTTCCTTTTTCTCAGTCTGGCACAAAGAAGTGCACAGTCACAGTAGATAAGAGATTGAGAAAAGTAAAGGAAATTACAGAATAATCGCAGACTAGAAGTCACCAGGCGAACTTCAAAGACTTTGTCTTTGGCATTGAGTGAGGGATGACACTCCCGTCCAGACAACTAAGACCACATCCACAAATTACTGACCCTGGACGGTGATCGATGGGCGGGCTCTCTAATTGTTGCCTGTCATCAAATGGAAAGCATTTGTCAAAGTCAAGTCTCTTAAAATATATGCTAATTACGGGGCTAATTAATAGGGGCTACAATTAGTCAAGTTAAGTTGTAAACTGAAATGTTGCTATTATTCTAAGAAGGCGGTTTAATGCGTTGTAAAATATATTTTATTTGCCAGTCAACTGACACTAAAGGCCTTTAATACTTCCATAAAAAAGTATCATGTTTAACAGATTTTACCATTAATTTTACATCATATTTAGGAACAATCTAAAAAGTATTTATTTCAAAGCTTTGCACTTCGTTCATATAACGATGCCTGTATTTTGCAACAGCGAACGCATAAAAAAAGTGCAATAAATAAATGCAGATTTGAGTCTCCCACTTGAAGGAGCTGAATGGGAGTGCATTATGCACCCAATATCTGTATCTGAATCACGCTATTTCTGGGATCTTAACCTGGGTGCGACAATTGGACAGACAGTGGCAGAGACAGATCTCATAACTGCAAATGGATTTCGGTTTTGTTACTATTTTGTTATGCAAAGTACCCTAGAAGACGGCGGGCCAACCTTGAGTGTCTGATAAATGTGTCAAACGGGCTCATAAATCTGGCCAATGTATGTGAGCAAAATATGAAATACTTTGCAAAAGTTTTGTGGCAGGCAAAGTGATTTGAGATTGGTTATAAAGTTAGAGATATTTGGGAAGGAAATGGAGATTGATTTAAAGAGTCTTAAAGTTATGGTTATTTTTTATTAAAATGAATAAATTAGAAACAATTAAATAGAGTCTTTATTATTCCATTTATTATTTTACCCTTTTTATAATATAAAAAAAATTATAATTTACCTTAAGTTGAGTTAATTGGAACTACAACGTGGAATAACAAAAATCAGATACAATATTGCATGCCACTTTAAACTAGTTTTTATATTTTTATGGCACAATAGAAACAACTACAGTAGTTATCTTGTTAAGATCGATGACTTCAATCTCTTCTATATAATTTTCTTGATTCAGTAAACAGCTGAAGGCAAATTTATATCTTTTTCAGAAATAACTGAAAGTCAGTTATTAAACAAAACACTTTAATTGAAGTCATGAAACAGCCAGGGGCCACTTAAAAGTTTGCGGAGTGCGAAAAACATACTGAAACCCATAAAACGAATGCAGGCACACACCTATTGACTTAATTGATTGCACATGAATTCATGAATTTCTGGCGGGGAAGGGGCTCAACTGGGACAGCTGGCGGGCACTTCGACACCTTTAACCCGACTGACTGATTGACCGATGGAGGAGTCAGCTCAGTTCACACACGGGGGACAAAGTCCAGGACTCGAAAGGAACCTCTGGTGTCAGCTGTGCCGGAATGAGGCGGAGTGGTAAGTCATCCCCCGAAAAAATTCGATATGTCTTCGCAGCATGATGAAATAATTTTTTGGGCGTGTGCTCGACTGGCACGTCATACAGTCAAAACAAATTGATGTTAAAAATGGTAACCAATTTTGGATTTACATGTATCTAGTCTATAAATAAAGGTAATATGAGAAAAATATATTTGAAACTCAGTACTAAGAGTTAAGAGTTTGTTAAAGAATAGTACACATCAGCAGTGGCGGATCCACGGGGGGGAAATTAGGTAAATTTCCCCCCCTTGGAACCGCAGAACCTGAAAATTTCACTTGTTTGCTAGAAATCACCGCGATTTCCAGTTTTCGTCTTTTTCAATTTCCCCCCAAGAATCGTCTCTGGATCCGCCACTGCACATCAGACATAATCAATTGAACATTAGAAGTATAAAGTATTACAAAATTAAAAACAGTAATTGTACAGCACGATAAAGTGATTAATAAAAGTTAAGGAACTTTACACATATTTGATTTATTACTCATCAAAATACTCATTCAAAATATGAAATCTTTTGGAATCATTTAAGTAACTTCGTAACAGTTGTAACTTACTGTTAATGTTAATATCACTGTTAGTAAAAATCCAAGAAATACAGGCAAAGCATAGTAAAAATGTATAAAATTAGACCAAACTACACTTTAAGTACAAATATTATGAATGAGACTTTTTTATTAACTTTAATTTGAAATTCCTAATTTAGTAAGTATTTATGTTTCAGTATAAGACATTGATGGAGGGTCCCCGTGGGTTGGTAGTAGTCGGTAGTCCAGTCCATCACCGTCAGTCAGTCGGTTGCAAAGCCAAAAGCCATAAGACAGAAGCCAAAAGCGAACAGCGAAAAGCCAGGCCCACATATCGCTTACCAACTTGTCAAAACGTCAGTTCACACCTGTGGCAGTTGAATAAAGCCTTGTGGGTCGCATAGAACGCACCGGGCTTATAATTACAATAAAGAGCTAAGCAGTGCATCATAAAGCCAATAAAAGAGCCCCGAGTCCACAGTGCCCCCTCCTTAAAGAGGTCATAAAGGGGTTCGCACTTTATTACTCCATATCTTCGGTTGCATTCCCACGGCGCGACTGTTTGAGTTTTAGTTATCTGTGAGATTTGTTCACTGCCACTCGATGCAAATTAGTGTAATTGCCTTTTACGAGCTCTCTATTGGCCCAAGAACCAGGTGGAAAGGGTTAATGGGCGCACTATGCCACTGATAAGTCGATCAGGTATTTACCGATTTTAATACCCTCAACAATTAAAGGTACAATTGGGTTTGCTCCACCCAAAAGGCTAAACACTTTCATTGCATAAGCTTTTGATGCTTTTGCAATAAGTAATTGAACTTTCAAAATTCAATTTGGCCACAATTTATTTTAAGACAAAGAAAATATTGATTAACTAATTGTAAACTAAAAATGGTTGGTTGTCTATTTTAAATGGAATGTGTTAAAAGTATACAAAGATATTTGCAGGTATTTCGTTTGCGGAGGAATACTTTTATGAGGCAATCATTTTTAAGCACATTTTTTTAGCACAGATGGATTTTAAGTGTTTAGGGCAATAAATGTTTATTGCTAGTTTTTTTCAGAAGATGTTATAGGTTGGTCGTATATTAAGTACCATTACTTTTATTTTAATTTTAAACATAAGATGGTATTTTTTGTAAAAGAAAAATTAAAATAAATGTACGAAGCAGTGAGAAATTTCTATACATTTCAATCGTATAAAATAAAATGATTAAAACCAAAATCGATTCTACTTTTATTTTATAAAAAAACCTTTCCAAAACTAAAAGCCCCCAGAAACATTAAACAAAATATTCTTATTACATACGTAAAACACTTAAGCAACATAAATTCAAATTGAAATGGCCATGTGATCAAACATTGGATCAAGAATTACCCAATACCATGTTGTGTGAAGACCAAAGTCTTTTTCATTTTTCATCTTTTAATTGAGTTTCACTTACCCGCACAGTTGTTTTCTTGCTGTGTGACAATTGTGAGCAGCGTCACAATAATAATAACAAAAGCCTCCATCGTAGTCACTTTTGTTGCAAAAAGTCAGTTATAAACTCGGCAAATTGTGGCTTTTTCTCCCCGTTTCACTCACTCGTGTACGCACATTACATATTTACACATTTTGAACGCGTTTTTAATGGGTTTTGACCATTTATTGTTTCTTTTTTGTTTGTTTTTATTTTTTCGTTTTGTCTTTTATATTTTTTTATGTGTTGGTCTTCTTTTTCATTGATGTTGGCAATTAGCCACGTACGATTCGTCCACAAACTTAATTACTTTTGATCACAAATTGATAAGTAGCATATATCAATTAATGTGCGAAAAGCAGAGCAGGAAATGTGAAAAAAGAACAATGAGTAGGGCAGATATAAAGACCACGAACATTAATAGTTTTTTGTTTTTGGGACAGTACTACTATTTGTTAAAACGAAAAACCGAAGTCTGTATACCCTTGCAGTTTTTATGAGAATTTGTTATGGAATTTTGATTCTGACAAAACTTTGTTAAATTCTTTAAAAGATATTTATATGTTGAATCCAAATAAGCGAGTGAAAGATTAATATTTAAAGTTTAACCAACATTTTACTTCCTAAATATAGAAATACTATCTAAAAGCGTATGAATAGTAATTATTATTATTGATAGCGGCGCCCACACTCCCCTTTTGTCATTTAACCAATCTAATTTATCATTCGATTAATTCCGCACAAAATTCTCAAGAGCCGCGGGGTCTACGAATTCTGATTATTGCAATTCAAAATGAGCTTCGAATTTGTTTTCCTTTTTCGGCATTACAATATTATTGATATTGTTATTAAATGGTTTTCGGCTGCTATTTTTGGCCAGCGCCAGGTGAAGAGCTTATGGTCTTTAACTTTGTTTTGTTTTGGATCTTATTCCGCACACTTTTTTGGGGGTTCTGAAGCCAAACCCCTGGGGTGTGGTGCCTTTTTTGTTCTTATTGCTATTAATCGTACTTTTTGCCAATTCATTTTGTGTCGAATCGCTTTCGGTTGTCTCAATCGGTTTTTAAATGGAATAATTTAATTAAATTATTTGGGCAAATAAGTGGTTTCTGTCTGAGGGATTACTTCACAGTTTGTTTGCTTGCTCTATTCAAAAAGTTAATTGGTTTTTTGGGAATAATATCGGATATGTATTAAATGTAATATTAAGTATAAACTATATTTTAAAAGATTTTAGGGGATAGGGTTTACAGAATGAATAATTGCCTAACTCGCTCTTAATTTTATAGTGAAAAAAAACTGAAAAACAAAACCATGGAGAACTATGTGGCAAATCCAAACTAACGAATTCTAAGCAAGTACCAAGGCAAACACTCGAAGAGGACGTGCCACGGAAAGAGCAAAGCAAAGTGGAAGTACGTGTACTCTACCTCCGCAGTACCCACTCTATAGAGTAGGTATTCTATGGAGCCAGTACCGGCACTCCACTTCACTCCAGTGCGGATGGTATGTGCGGTATAGGCGGTACATGTGGTATCCAGCGGTGCACGGCAGGTGTGATAAAAAGAACCCGAAAGAGACAATTGCGGCGTGAATTACCCGCTGGCCAGGGGAATGGCATTGGAAGATAGCACGCATAATTCAAACGAGCCCCAAAGTCAAACAACGTGATAAGCAATTCACAAACACTGACCGAAAAATGGCATTTCAATTTTAAGTAAACTATAGGACTCTAAACCTTAAATACGTATAAAACATAAAGTTTGCTTTCCAAAAATGTTTATATGATAATTTGGTTAAGTTGGAATTAGAATCATGGTTGAGTATTGCAAATTTTATAATTTTAATGCATTTATATGAACTAATAATACAAATGTCCAAGAATTAAAATGTATAAAATTATAAGGTTTGACTTGTCTGTTACAGAATATTTAGGAAACGTTTTATTCAAGTTAATGGTTTGTCTTTTGTGGCTCTTGAATGTATATTTTTTGGTAATAATTTGAGCCTAAGTTCCTTTAATTTTAATGTCTTGGCAAATGTTACAAAATCGAAACATTTACCTCTAAATGAATAACCATAAAAATCTGTTTAAACTTTTAAAGTATACTCCTCTATATACATATTTAAAAAAGAGCACTCTTCTCGTTTAAAGGGTGTTCAGTAATTCATTTTGTAAAACGTTCTGCTTCTTGGTTTGCCCAAATGTCACATTCAAATTCATGATTTTACCACAATTTTTTCGCAGTGCAGGCAGAGACCGACTGACTGACTGACTGGCAGTCCGAGTGTCTGCTGTCTACTTTTCGTCTAGGGGGCTCTTCAGCACCTGAGCACTTTAAAGTTCAAATTTTTGACACACTGGGAGCTCAGTCGGCGGCTGCTAATGACACACGACTGACACAAAGAGGCTTTTCCAGCAGACACACAGAAAGATTCGCTGGGAGCCAACCGGTTGCCAATTTGGGAGAGTTTGAAAGGCCCATGGCGTTCCCCCATTAAAGGTTACCCGACCCAGGCGATCCGGGCGCACTTTTAAGGTGCGTCTCCTACAGGCCGTCCTGTTGCGCCAAAAATGGCAATTGCCATATAGGAATTACTCGAAACCGGCGACTAACGAACAACCGACGACCGCAAGAGTCAAAGTACGACTGTGGAGGTTCTTCAGTGTCAGTGACTGCCCCCGACTGTTTTTTAACTACACTGCGACCAAAAGGTGTTTTAAGGTGACTAACTGAACATATCCCCAATGTAAATATTTATCCTGGTATTCCTGCTTCTTAATAAAAAAAATGTTTTTAAAAGTATTATTATTATTTATACAAAAATAATCAACTAATCAATATAATCACTTAGTCTTACAATATTCAAATGTAAAATGTTGATTACTGAGGACTACTGATTTTAAACATTTAACAATTATAGTCTTACTTATCAAATGATTATAAAAACTTTATGTTGTTATAGGTTTAATATAAAAACTATTAATAGTTACAAAACTTATTTGTTGAAACTACTTTCAAAAATTCAACTTCCAATTCAACATCTAACACAGCAACTTTAAAAGATATTCAAGTAAATAGAAGATCAAAATATCAAAAACACTTTTCGCTCAGTGCGTTTGCCTTGTTAGTTGTCTCTGGTATTTTTTTCGTTCACAGACATCGGCGAATTGGAAAAGAATGCGAGCGTAGCATCAATAATTTTGGCCTGGGAGCTTAGACTTCTTGTTTGGTTTCCACGAAAAAGGGTTCAGGAATGCCAGCCACTGTCAAGGTGGCGTATGCGTGATGTTCTCATTGAACCAGAACAAACACAAACGGCAATATCAATCCAACTCTAATTGATCTCATTGTTTGAGTTTTTAGATCTGAACACTTGTAAAGGTATTTGTAATATGTATGTAAATTAATCTCTCAACAGGCATTTGCATATGTTTCTAATTAATCTTCTGTCACCTAGGTAATTAAAAAGAAATATTTTTTAATTAAACTCACATTTTATTACTTGTCTGAGGTAAATATCTACATTTTAATAAGCTTTTCACCTGTGCTAATGAAAAATCCAATCAACCATCAACTCTGACATTTTTAAATTGATGAATTGCATGCAATCTGTTGTTACATTAATAGCATTTTTAGTTTTTTTTTTTGCACAAGCTGTTAATAATTATAATCATAATTAAACCCTTTACAATCAAAAAAAATTTTAAACCGAATCTGTATTTCATTTGTAACTTGTAACATTTTAGCAGATTATTAATTTAATATTTTAAACTAATCTATATATAATTTGACCTAATGAAAACACACTTTTAAATCATTTTTTACTAGATTTATTATAACATTTTACGTCTTTTTTAATTGCTGTGCTTATCTCAATGTTATAGCTATTTCAGAAGCTATTAAGCGAGTAATAAAATAGAATCCAACGGCAGCTACACTTTGGTTTTAAAAATTATTATTGCGAGAATTTACATAGGCATTTGTGGTATTTATTTCAACATGTGTCTAATTTGCCGTCTTCAGTTTCGACATATTAAAATATTTCCCTCAATAAACTGCAATTATTAGTAGTCACAAATTGTGTAAACCAATCCAACTTAGACACGCACAGCTAAATCACAATTATCCGGTGCCAATCTACACGATTTTTCGTATTGAGTTGTCAGTGCCACTCGAAGTGAGGATATTGGCTGCATTTGGAAAACCCAAATCTGGAAAATCTGGCCATAATTCGCAAATAAATTTCAGCGCTCGCTACATACGTAAACACGATCTTGATTTTCCTAGACACGATTTATGGATGTCTTGCAGCTGCTGCAGCTTTTTCGCAGACTCCTTAATTGTTCGGCTCGAATGGCAATTATTTATGGGACAGTTCAACAGTGTATTAGCCACCTTTTCGCGTTTTGGCCAGCTTTTTCGCGGAAACACTTCTTTGACTGTGGGAAATCGCTGAGCCAGCAAACTAACGAGCAACCGAACCGCTTCGCACGAGCTCCGTTTGAAAAATGAAACTGAAACCGGCAACTGGCAACTGACAACCGGCAACTCCAAAGCCGCAGAAACCCACAATTCGTACAGCTTCGTGTTTGCCAGCCGATGTGAATTTCCACGATGACGACGTCATGAAAACACCCTCGACGAGTTTTCCATTTTCCGCCGGTCTATTGCTATCGCTCCCCCTAATCACCGTCATCCCACCAACTAATATGCTATGTGAGATAATCAGATGTGCATGTTCTACTGCTGTGCATTTTATTTACCTTTGGAAACATGATCTCATGTCAAGCACTTTCCTTGACAGCTTCTTTCGTTTTAATTTCACAAAATATTTGCCTTTATTGGGAAAGGGTTTCGGTTCGACCTTATCTCTCGCTTATCGCTTGGTAATTGTGGGAAATGTTGGTCTTGGGTAAATAGATCTTAGTTTGCCAGAAAATTCAGCAGGGGCTGGCATTGTAATTAAGATTATGATGTTTGCTTGGGCAGACGATTTTTCTGGATTATTTTAAAGACATGCAAAACATTTTTTTAAATTAAATAAAAGCAGAGAAAATGTTTAATAATCTTATATTATGTGATATTAGGAATGATATACCATATAAAGTAGTCGATTTGATATAGCCATGTCCGTCAATTTCTGCACCGTTTTGCGGATTTTATTTCCGGATATTGGCCATCAAAACCATATATTTAAAACATAACTTTGCCAAAATAAGACGCACAGCCAAAAGAATAACTGTTTTGTGCAGCTGAGAACCTATACAATCCATTCCAGGTTAATTTTGGGTAATTTATTTTTTGACCGATTTTCGCATTTTTCATAAGGGGTAACACTTGATTTTTTCCGAATTTTGGGTCAAAATAAAATTTTTTAGCTGAGGATACCAAAAGATTGGAAATTTTGTAACGAATTCAACGAGGTATGGCATTCCAAGATCTGACCATTATTTCTAAGGGTTTTTATGAAAAAACCGAGAAATCGAGTTATATTTTTCTGGATTTTGGCTTTTTTCATTAGGGGTTACTACATGAATTTTTGGAAAAAATCGAAATTTTAGAATACGACGTACGACCAAGATGTTCCACGATTTGTTTTCCCCCCACCCAGCAAAAAGATTTGGTTACTTGTTGTTTGTCAAGTGTATTTTGGTTTGTTTCTGCCGTGTGCAGACGTATTTGATTTTCCGGATTGGTTATTTTGATGCCACTTAGCCTTTAAACATTCGGTTACAAAAACTATTGGGTCAAGAAACGAACGGCCAACTGTGAATGAACAATCTGGTGCCGAAGTGGGGATGCAGGGATGCAGGGATACACTGGCCACCCAGGATCAGGATCGGGATCGGGATCGGGATCATCGTTAATTGCAAGCGGGGCACACGGGCTTGTCGCCGTCGATCTTGAAGGTCTGCGTGGTGATGGGATTCTCGCACTTGTTGCACCGGAAGCAGTCGCGGTGCCACTTGACGTTCATGGCAATCACCGCCGAGTCGGTGATGGGCTTCTCGCACTTGGCGCACCTGGCGGCGAAGAGGTCCTCGTAGTCCTGCTTGCAATAGGCCTTGCCATCCCGCTCGTAGAAGGACTGGTTGGCCAGCGGCTTCTTGCAGGCTCCGTCGCAGCAGAAGCAATCCTCGTGCCAGCTCTCGCCCATGGCGCAGATGGTCCGCTCGAGGATCGGCTTCTTGCAGCCGGCGCAGGTGTACGTGTACCGCTCCACGAAGCACTTGTTGCACACCGGCTCCCCGTTCTGGATATTGAAGGTGGCGTCCTCGATCTGCTCCTCGCAGTGGCGGCACAGGAAGTGCTCCGGATGCCACGTCTTGCCCAGGGCGGTGATCATCCGCTTGGTGATGGCCTCGTTGCACTTGTGGCACACAATGTTGTCCGACATCTTGGTAAAGGGATCGTTTTCTGCAAATGGAAATGGGTTATTTATTATTATTAATTTATGTTTTATATGTATAAATGAATGTAAGATTGGTTTAAAATGCACTGAAGTTAGGATCTCATATATCTTACCTGTTTTTCCGCCTGTGTACACTTTCCTCCTTCTATTTCTATTCTCTCCAAAATATTATTCTTTCTCCGGAACTCCGTTATTTAAGTTACTTTCTCTCTTTCAGAAGGTTCACACATAAATGATAGAACAGAAAAAAGGAGTAATACGGATTTGGACAAAATTTACTACTATTTTTTTGTTGTTGACAATTTTGATGTTTTTTTGTTTTAATAAATATAGAAAACGAAACGAATGAAAACGTATGAATTTAGCAAGACTCAAAAACTGAATGAGATATGCGATGTGGACGCTGGGTATGTAGTTTGACAACTGAAAATCAAGGAAGCATCACCTACTTAGGCCGAGGAAATGTATGAATTCCGTATCCAGGTTACTTGATTTTTATGGGGATCTTATATAAATTTGCATCGTTGATAACCTTATTTATTATTAATTAAATGTTTCCCAAGCCCACTGAACCAATTTTTCCCCTCATTTAAAACATAAAATTAAGTACTTGAATTAGTTTTTTCAATATAAATTATTCCCCTTACCCAAAACTTGGTAATTTTATACAACATAATAAAACTTAATTTTTGGTGGTTACTTATTTTTGTCTTCAAAATTTATAGCCATTTTTTCTTTGAAATTCAAGCTCTCGAATTAGTCACACCAAAAACCATTAACAAATTGCCTCCAAAATAAAAAGAATAAGGGGAATCTTCCACTTCTAAGGGTGACTTCGTTCAAACAAACGGTCGGCAATTCCTTGAAGGCGCTGCTAAAAATGTTTGCAATTAATAAAATGCTTTTCAAACGTATTTATTAAAAAATTTAATTAAAGCAAAAATGCTTAGTAAGTTCCGTTTAGTCGGCAATTAACAACGGCTACACATGCGTGGAATTGGCAGGAGAGGTGGTGGTTGCTCCTTCAAAGGACTCACCCTCCCACACAACCCCCAAAAGGGCCATCGCAGCCGAGGTACACTTCGAAAAATAACAATATTTTGAAATAATATTTATTTATTCAAAAATAAATCTCAGAATCATTCTTATTCACATTGGACAACTTCGTATTTTTAAAAATAAACATTTTTGTTTATTTGTCATAAGCAAAACTATGGCTTTCACTTGAATATTAAATTTATATGTTATGTGTTAGGATACATCAAACGTTAATTATCATATTTAAAATACTACTCTTTTTTTTGTTTCCACAATGTTTAGCATCAACCAAATTAATTGATTATAAAATTTTTGTTAAGCTCAAAAATTTAGGAAAAACATAGGAAAACTATGAATTTAAGATACATAACTACCTTCATTACTTTTTCTTTAAATATATTCATTAATTGAAACATTTAATGTGGAACTGTTTATGTATTTATTTTAGATTGAAATAGATAATAAATATATGGAAATTATTTTATTATATGACAGCTTTAAAACTAAATATTTATATATCTATTTAGCCCATTATTTCGTGTTTTCTCAGTGCATGTGCCACTTCTTTTGTTCCCTTTTCGATGGCCGTTTGGTGGGGCACAGCAATTGTTTGTGGTCGCCGCACAGTGGGTGGGATGGAGTCCTGGGTGGTGGCAGGAAAACGGGGAGTGGGTGTCCTCGGCGAGGACATGTCACAATTTGGTTTGCGCTTTGATGCGTTGCAAGGAATTCGAAATTGCAGCCCCTTTCGGGAGCCATTTGCACTCCTTCCGAGCCAGAAAGTCGTGTAAGTCGAAGGGGAATTTGTGTCAGGCGACTGTCTGCGTATTCCAAAGTGCGTGCCCAGCTCACATCCTCACCCACATCCACATCCACATCCTTGTCGTAGTCCAGATCCGCATTCCCAATGCCTTAAATAGGTTGACCCGCTCGTTAATTATTTTATCCCGTGTAAATGCAATAATTGCATTCGGGTTTCGCACTTTTTTCTAATTGCTCAAAGTGGCGCACCATTTTTTGGCACGTTTCTGGGACAAGTTCAAAGAGTTGCTCCTTGGGGCCACATAAATATATCCTTCAAGTTTGCCCGTAATTGCAAACTCCAGTTGCATGACCCACAATAATTTATTCGGGTTTCTCGACTGCACTCGGGTGGTTTTTTTGTCGTGTGAGTAAATTTAATTAGTCGCTAGATTAGATTGGGCCAAGTGAAGGGGAGAAGGGTGAAGTGGCCCAAAAAAAGGGGTAACAGTTTATTACAGAGCGTTATTTCAAATTGTCAGAGGAGATTTGGGGGCTATAATGTGACACACTTGGAGAGATAAACTGTCTGCGGATTATTGGGAAATTTTTGCTTTGGCTTGTAAATTATTTGGAGAATTGGGTCGACTTTTTGGGCAATAAGTTGATGGTATAACTAAATCCACTTAACTAAAAATAACAGTAAATTAAAACCTGCCTAATAAAATTATACATTTGTGTTTAACTAGATCCAGCTGGTATTTCTGTTATTCATAATTATATTTTATATGCTCAACTGATAATAGCATAATAAATATATTGGAAAAATTAATTAAGAATAACAATAGATAAGAGTTTACAGAATTGACCATCAAAATCATGTTCAAATATAAAAAATATTAAGCCTGGAATTTAGATTTAGATTGTCCTTTGATTGCTAAAGGAAAACATTAATAAGATTCTACATTTAAACTTTATTTTTTCATCATGCTAAAACATTTTCTCAATTTTTGTGCCTTTGACCATCAAAATCATGTTCAAATATAAAAAATATTAAGCCTGGAATTTAGATTTAGATTGTCCTTTGATTGCTAAAGGAAAACATTAATAAGATTCTACATTTAAACTTTATTTTTTCATCATGCTAAAACATTTTCTCAATTTTTGTGCCTTTAAATAACTAAATCGGTTAAGAAACCGATTAAAATTTGAATTGAATTTGAAAAGGTCCTTCAGCTGGAGCGAGTTAACTTAAAGTTCCATCCCCGTTTGGCCGCAAAACGAGAGCAGGATCAAATGGGAGAGGCAGTGCCGCGAACAGGAGCAGTGGCAGAGTCGGGAAACGGGAGTCGCAATCAATTACGCGACAGATTAATTATGCATCCAGGGAACGGATACAGGACATGCCGGCCACCGAGCTCATTGAACTTTGATTTGGGCCAGGTCCCAGAACCCGTCAAAAAGTCAGTTGGTCAAATAGGATGCAAGCGGATTGTTTATTATGCTGTGTACTATTTTAATGGCTATAAAAACAGACTAGGAATATATATAGTAAATATATGTACAATTAGAACGAGAGTAACGACTAAATTAACTAAGACTTAGGAACTATACATAAGGCTAATCGATGACAATGACCTCCTGCTGATCCTGGGGATCCGGAGCCAGGTGCTCCTCCAACTCCTGCTGAGCATGGCAGTGCTTGTGTTTGTTCTTGTTGCTGGGCTTCTTGGAGGAGATCAGGGTGCGGCGTTTCAGCCGCTTTAGCTTCTTCTTCTCGCGCTTCTTCATCTTCTCCTGGGCGACCTCCAGGATGGTGCCCCTGAGTTCCAGGCGGTAGTTGTTCAGGTGGCACAGCTCCTGGGCCAGCGGATCATCGTCGGCCGGTGCTTTGTTCTCCTCATCCTCCTCATCGGACAGCAGGTTGTCGAAGTTGGTCCATGATTCGTTGGAGGGCTGAAGGTGCTGTCTGTGTAGCTTCAATAGCTCCTCGGTGAGAAGGAGCTTCGAGGTGGCCCACTTCATCAACTGGTGCTTTTTGCAACCCATCTGCTGGCGATAGCTGAACAAGTGGAATGTCAGATTCGGTACAATCTCATGTGGCTGCTCCACTTCTGGCTTCATGGACTCCTGCGTCTCCTTGGGAGTCAGACAGGGAGTGGGCGTGGCATTCGTCGTGGCACGTGCCTCCGAACAGGACACCTTGCGATCCATGACGTTGCCCATGTTGTTGCTGATCTAAATGCTCGATTCTCTCTGACAGCTGCAATCGCTCACCCCTCAAACTTATAGGCCCAGAAAGGCAAAAAGGGTTTTCTCCAATATAGGCTTTTACCTGGCGATGGAGAGCTTTACCTGCACTTCAATTAGGCCTGCTTTCTTGGCCGATTCGCTGGCTGTTTTATGGCCCAAAACACCTGGCATGGATTAACGAAAAGTTGACAAAATTCGATTATTTAAGCCTGCTGCAATCCACAACACAAATCGTGTCCTTTCACGGGATTTCTTCTTATAGACTTTCCCAAAAAGGGAGATAATTACCTGATTATGTCGGTTTATTTCAGTTCTACAGTTTTGAGCTGGAGAAACAGCTTCGAATTGCAATGTCCTTCTGGGTTTTCTTTTAATCTTATAGACTCCTTAGCTTTCTGTTCGCGACTGATTTCATCTGATATTTTCAGGGGTTTCGCAGTATATTTTATCTTACTTTACTCAATTTTTAAATTTAGATAACATTCAGCTTAGTGCAAATAAATGATAAAAAACAAAAGTACTTGTTGAGGCAAATCATCAATTTTGTATATAAGTTGTTCAGGTTGTTGTTCAACCAGATGAAAACTCATGAGCTACTTAGATTACTTTTTGTTTTTCTAACAGCTTTAGCCAACACTTGAGGTCTTTTTGACATATCATTAAGGATACGTACAGTAGAAATACTCCACAACTTTGCCACTGACACGTTTTTAGTTCCATGGAATTTTTATGTTGGCATATGTATGTTTAAGCTATGAAAGTTTGACTGTATATCCTTAAAATATTAAATATTCATTTAGTACTATATATCTGAGACCTTGTATTAAACTACAATTTCGACACAAAATATTACGTCGTACAAAGAATCGATTTATTAAATTGAAAATCGCGTTCATCAAACCTTTTTCTAATGTAATTTTGATCTTACTACATTTTAAATTATTATGTTCTTAATCTTTACAGTTTACATTATAGATTTTTTATTTACAACATTACATTCTTAGACTTGAAAAGCAAATTGAATAACTTTCTAAGATATAATTTAGGTTATTGAATCAATTTTACTATTTTACTAGCTGTCTTAACTATTTTGCAATATTTAATGTAACTCACGTTGAACAAATCATTTAACAGTTTTTCGAATAATACTGATTGTCATCTTTACCTGATTCCTTCTGAGGGAAATTGCAAATTGGCAGACAATACTGAGATATAGTAAGGCACTTAAGAGACCATCTGTCGCATCTCAGGTAGAACTTAAGCCATAGGAATTTCTAAGCTCCCGAAAGGGCAACCTTTGACCTGCACGAAGGGACAGGTAACTGCCTCCCCCTGCAGAAACTACTACCTGTCCGCGGTATATAAACCACCCAAGTCAACCACATCATTATCACTCACATTCCAACTGTCAATCGCCATGGATCAGCCAACCCAGAACCTAAAGAAGCTGATGATGTTCCGCACTCCCAACGATGAGGAGGCGCTGAAGAACCAGATCTTCATCTTCAACTCGCCAATCGACTACAAGGACCAGCAGCTGATTGTGTACCAGAAACCAGGCATCCTCACTGGAGACAAGGACTTCGGCTACTGTGTGGTCTACAAGCGGGATCACTATGTGCTGAACAATCCGCCCAACTTCAAGAGTCCCACAAAGAGGAGCTTCCTCAACGAGTGCATCCGCCAGCTGTATCTGATCAACGGCATGGGTCACAAGATGTACTGGCGCACCACCAGTGCCATGGCATTGAGCACACCCGGCGAGGTCTGGCACCAGGTGAACAGTTGCCTCCTCCCCGAGAGATTGTCGGCCCAGAAGGAGAGCCTCAAGCGGGTGAAGAGGCAGCTGTTCCGGGAGCCACGAGCAGACCGCAAGAATCCGAAACCGCTGAAGGGCAAAGTCTGGGGCACCCAGGTCTTCTGCTTCAAGGCGATGCGGGAGAAGATCGGCAGGAAGTACATCCGGCGTGGTTACCTCACCATTGCCCGTCGCGAGGCTCTCCAGGAGATGATCCGCGAGCACTTGGCCCGCGAAATGGTCTGCTCTCCGGCCGTGTGCCACACCGTGATTAGTGCCGCCGATGGCATCTTCAATGTGAATGCCGGCGTCATCGGAGACATATGCAGCTACCACAGCCACGTGGCTCGCCATCAGCCCGCCGTGGAGTGCCGTCTCACGGCCGGAGAAGCCCGACTCCGGAACAACGAGGCCTGTCGACTGACACAGCGGGCCAAGCGACTGGAGGCCATGTTCATACACGAACAGGTGCGACGGGCCGTCCAGAACCACCAGCTCATCCTCGAGGAGTCCGTGCGGTCCATCTACTACGCCAAGGAGCTATTCCGCCTGATCGAGGATCACGAGGAGTTCGTCTACACGGACAACAAGATCCTGGGCAAGATTTGAGGGCCCCATTCCGACCGGCATAGCCAATCATTTTTGTTTACTGCTTCCATAAAATGTATTTTTAATTATAAGTAAATTGTAATAATAAAATTAAAAACAAACGAAATATTTGATTTTTTAACGATATAAAAAGGTGATTAAATGGGGAGTTTCAAAAATGTTCTGCTGCAGTTCTTATAGAATTGTAAACTTAAATGTTACCAACTTTTTACTTTCTTTTCATAAACAATAATACTATTATTTATCATCAGCGTTGTCTTTATGGTCTTAAAAGGAAACCCATAATTCACTGTTATTTATTATTGTTTTAACAATAAAATGCTTGTTTTTAGACAAAATTTTATAAAACTTGAAATATTAACATTTAATGTATAAAAATTAGTTTGATTTCGATTTGAAGAAGTATACTGAAGGGCTTGATGGTATCGAGTTTAATGGTATCTGGATCTAGGATTATTCTCTTAATAATTTGGGGTTACGTCGTCTTCTGCTGCTCTATCAGCTTGGAATGAACGTCCATTAGGCTCTATAAATATGTAAAAAGTTTAACATTAGAAAGATATTTTTTTTTAAAATTATAATCTGTGTAATTGGATATATTAATACCTTAACTTACACATTAACTTATGCAAGCAAAAATATCAGCACAATATAATTTTATAAGGCACATATGCTTAAAATTTGTATTTGTGTTTTATTTCATAAAAGTATTATTTCAAAATGATGTTAAAAATGTATGCAAATATATTTAATTTGGATATAAATCCGTTATGAACTTCAATTTTATTTTTAGCTTATATTAAATATTTCAGTTTTATTGTCTTCTTTAAAGCTTGGTAAATATGAGCCAGTATTTAGCCGCAGGCAGTCTTCCATCCGATCTCCAATTCTTTGGCAGAGTTTTTCATTCTTTTGATGACACAGTCTTACATTTCATTTTCTTTAACCATCTATAAATTTGTGTTTTGTATTACAAAGATTAAACATTGTTTCAGATACATAAAGTGTGTGTTTTGTTGATAAAGCAAAATAAAGTTTGGATACTTTACGCAAAATCAGTTTGTGTAGCCCTCCTGTTGGGAGCCATCGTCTAGATCTCTGAGAATGCCCTGTGAAATTGTGGCAATGCAAGTTAGCCAGTTATTAACAAAGTTCTGTGGCTCAAATCATTTTACTTAACCATAAAACTGAAACCTTGGAAGCCTTTATATTACAAGCACTTAAGTTTAGCCATGCCAGTCCTTAAAACTAATTAACAACCATAAAAGTTATTATGAAAGGAAATATTTGGCAGAATTACGGGTTTAAAAACCAAAACCTTCAAAAGCCTTTTAAGCACCCATATTCCAGCTCAGCTGTATTCCAATCTAAGCCCGGGTTTCTACAAAATCGAGGAAATCGAGGGCGGGCATACCTTGAAGTATTTCACGGTCTTAACTCTCAGCTCCAAGGTGGCATCCTCGTCGCAGATCATCAGGGTATTGGCATGCTGTTGGAAGGCACTCACGGTCCACATGTGATTCACACCCTCCTCGATGGCCTTGTACAGGGCAAACGCCTTGTGGGCTCCTGTGATGAGGATCATCACCTCCTTGGAGTCCATCACAGTGCCAACGCCCACGGTCAAGGCTTGTTTGGGCACCTTGCTCATATCGTTGTCAAAGAATCGGGCATTCGCCTCCAGCGTGTCCTGCGCCAGAGTTTTCACCCGGGTCCTGGAAACCAACGATGATCCGGGTTCGTTGAAGGCAATATGCCCATCGGGTCCAATGCCACCGATAAATAGCTCCACTCCTCCGGCCTCGCGGATCAGATCCTCAAACTTGTTACACTCGGCCACCAGATCAACTGCATTGCCATCCAAAATGTGCACATTTTTTGGCTCGATGTCGATGTGCTTGAAGAAGTTGTGCCACATGAAGTAGTGATAGCTTTCGTGGTGATCCCGGGGCAGGCCTAAATGTGATAAGATATTATAATAAAGACAGATCTAGTAGAAGCATTCTAAAATCAATACTATTTAATGACTTTTCTTGGTCTTAGAATGTTTTTTGTCTAGAAAATATATTAACCCAGAACTCACCTACATACTCATCCATATTAAAGGTTTTTACAAATTGGAAGGAGACCTTGCCCTGCTTGTAGAACTCAATCAGTTCTTTGTACATTCCCAGGGGAGTGGATCCTGTGGGCAGGCCCAAAACAAAGTATCTGAAAAGTTGTACATTTCATTAAGTGTCAAATATATTTTATTTATAATTGTTTACCTGTCGGCAGTTGGCTGAAAGTCATTAATCCGTTTCATCACATATTTGGCCGCCCACTTGCCAACCGAATCGCTCGTCTCCAAAATCACCAACCGCATGGTTCAGATGAAATAGTTTTCCAACTATAAATTACTTTTTAAATTTAGAATAAGTTGTATAAGTAAAATGCGTTTTTAAGAGCATAAAATGTAGAGACAACTGACTTGATTTAAAACATATTTTACTATCATTAAATTTATTAATCATATTAGACAAGCAATTATATAACAAAATTAATAAACCTTTAAAATTTTGAATTAAAATTTTTTTAATTGTATCCAAACTTTTCATAGAAAGACTGAATAACGTCACCAGCTGTGAGGAAACAAAAGATATGTATTTTCGAAATGAAAAACAAAGGCCTTATCGCTTTAGAATATTCACAATACTAAACCATACAGTTGACACTGCCAAGGATTTAGATTAGATTTTGATAGTGTAATATGGGATAAGATACAAGAGTAATTCCGCCCATTCAGTTGTGTTTTTCGTTTATATTTGCACTGTACTTAGAGATTCTTTCTTGTTTATTATTGTACTCGACTGATAAGCCGAAAATACTCGGCAATTATTGACAATTAACCCATTTATGGCGTTGTCCCCACGGAAAACACTTTCGTTCTCACTTGGCAACCACGAGTTGTACTTGAATTTATTTATTATATTATACTTAGCTACTCACCTTCAAAACACGCGAATGCAAACAGCTGCTTGCTTATTATTATTTTTATGTGATATTATTGCTGGTCGACACTGACGATTTGGGGAGTGTTTTTTGCGTTTGGCGCTTATTTCCAATTTGAGCTGCAAACTGAGACTGTTCAATTGTTCAATTCGACCGGCAATTTATGCAGCGATTAGCTCGAGTTTTGAGTTCGTTTTGCGGTTGAAATACGCTCTTCAGCTGATAAAGAGAATAATATTTGAATAATCGTCAATGCAGTTGCAACCTTGAGATACTTTTTGTTATCGTTATCGCAGGTTGAGCGGTCATGGTTTTGTATTCCGTTGCTTCGGGAACACTCTTCTCTGTATGTTCCAGTTGAATGAACTCCCACTTTGAGCCGCATATTACACTCTTGAGCGTTGTATCTTTGTATCTCTCAGTTTAATGAACTCCCACTTCAAGCCGCATTTTTCGCTCTTGAGTGCATAGAGTACTGCCTTTTTGTATCTTTCTGTTTTAGCTCTCTTGAGTGTTTTTTCGCATAGGGTTGACACATAGTTCGAAAAAAAGTTCAGGAAAAAACAGGAAAGTGGGGATATAAAAAGCCGTTTACTTTCTAACTCCCTAGTTCTCATTTAAATTTACTCAATAAAGAACTCAAAGCTAAGGAATTTTGAGCGTTAATATTAAATCGCCCGCATTGCATACATACACACGCAGAAAACTTAAAAATCCAAAAATAACTCAGCGCGGAGAATGAAAACGCAAAGCGGACAGAAAAAGGGCCACCAGGCGGCGAAAGTGAAATGTATACCCTACAAAGGCAAAATTCTATAAAGCATATTGGTTTTATCGTTTTTTTCGATTTGAACATTTTTTAATTATTCCAAAAATTAAAACAAAATTTTTAATATGCAACATAAGATATTACTTTTTTGGATCTAAATAACCTTTAACCCTTGCTTCAATAGATCGGAAATATATATAAAGCCGTTGATTTCATAATGGTTTTTATATTATTTTTAAATTAACTTTTTTTTATATTTTTATTAAACATGGTTTCTTTATTTTGTATTATCAATTAGCAATTACATACATAAACGTAGATGTACTTAAAATTTAGTTTCGTTCTTTCATCAGTTTGTGTATAATAGTTTGTGTGGGCGTTGAATTTGTTTGGCCGGCGTAAAACGCGACCACGCCCACCCATAAAAAAAGCGACGGATCGCTGAGCCGCAAGGTGTTCTTTTTTAATTGTTGTACATTTTTCTTGTTGCTGTAATTGCTGTTTTTATTGTTGCTTGTCCGGTAAATTGTATGCAGCAGGAAGCTCAAGAACCGGTTTGAACCGGGTGAAAGCGGTTTTTTTTGGGGTTGGGGATCGTAAACCCTATGGCCATGGCTAAAAAATATATACTGCTGTCTTCTTGTCATTTCCGTAGGCTTGTTTCTATATATATATAATGTATATTGTATTTTATGCTGATTGTACAAAAAATACTTAAATAAATAAGTCTGTTGTCAGGAGCATCTTTTAGTTAATTCTCTTGACCTGTATCTTCCCTCACTGTTTGTTTGCTCGTTGTTTTTTTTTGTTGGTTGGTTTATCTTGGATATTGCTTATAAACTATTTTCTTAATGAAATGGATGGGCCGAAGTCCATCGAAAATATTGTTTCCTTGCAATATTTTCAAAGTTCTTAGCGGCACAAATACAAAAGGTGAAGGTGGTATGTAAATTCTATGTGGCATAAATGAAATACAAAACTCCGCCTTATACCAAATAAAGTTTACAAAAGATTGTTTAGATGGAAACACAAAACGTGGAAAAACGATGTCATTTGAACAACATAGTAAAGAGCTTTCTTGGTGTGAGTTAAGTTTAGAAAATAGAACAGAAACGAAAGTAGACGAAACGAAGATTATCGCTTAGCTGCTTAAGCAAATCTACACAAATGATTTTTGATTAAATTACGGGCGTTGCGGCCACAAAAAATAACTTAGCTGATTATTAAATCTCTGTACCTCTTGCGTTTTTGTGGGTTCTTTTTTATGTTTTCCTTATGATGTTATCTGTTTGTCTGGTTCAGAAAAGATTGTTGTGTGTGATATTACATAATGGCACACTTCTCGCCGGTCTGCTGTGGATCGCCCTGCTGGTGGTAGAGCTGCTCGTTGCCATCAACGGCGCTTACGCTGCGCCGGCGACTCAGACGGGAGGAGGAAGTGTGTTGCGACACCACGCGCTTGATGCGATCCAGATTGGCCACAGCCTCGCCCTCGGCGTTCAACAGAATCGTCCTGGTGTTGTCGGCGGCGATCCACTTCTGCGACTTCATTACCAGACTCGACGGCGGCTCATGCGAGGCCTTGGTGTCTGCAGACCAAACGGTCACCACGGCATTGGGCTCAATCTTCACGGAGCGGTGGAACTTGTAGGTGGTCGACGGACCGCCCTCGTTGATCAGTCGCTGCAGCTGCCAGCCGCCGATGGCCACCTCGTCGCTGCCCTTGTTGTAGAGCTTCACGAACTTGCCCTCGGGATCGATTTCCTTAATTTCTACATTTCCTTTGGCACTGGCCGACACATAGTAGTCCGAGACGCTGCGATCCTCAGACTCCTCGACCACGCCACGCTTGCGCTTCATGGCGCCGGAGGGCGTGCGACGAGAGGGCGTGGCCCGGGTGGAGCTGCGCAGTGACTGGCTGAAGGACTGCACGGTGGCCGTGTTGGCTGCTGGGGTAATGTTCAAGCGCGCCTCCTCGCCGACCAGCAGCTTGTCGTAGGCAGCGATTTCCAAGTCTAAAGAAACCTGAGGAAAAATATGTTTTAGTATAAAAAGATCCAGAAAAGAAAATAGTGTCTGAACGCACCTTAATATCCATAAGATCTTGGTATTCCTGCAGCTGCTGGGTCATCTCGTCGCGCAGACGGATAAGCTCCTTCTCGAGCAGAGCGACTTCTTGGCCGTGGCGCTCGCGATCATTGTCCAACTGCTGCTCCAGCTCGCGGATGCGCACATTCAGAATGGCATTGGTCTGCTCCAAATCGTTGATCTTGGCATTGAGACCGTCGATGCGGACGCGTGTGGTGCGCAACTCTTCGATGGACTTGTGCGTGGAATTGGTGGTGCGTGCGGCGGCATCTTGCATGCGACGGATTTTGTCCTCGTATAGGGACTCGATGTCGTCGCGATTGATGCGCATCTGCTCCTCGTACTGGGAACGCAGCTCCTGAAGCGACTGCTTCAGCTTGGCATCGTACTCGGAGCTGAGGCGTCCATCGATCTCACTGTATTCCGTCTGGCGAATGCGGCGCGACTCGTTGATCTCCTGCGAGTGGATCTGATCCTTGAAGGAGAGCTCCTCGCGCAGGCTCTGGATGGTGTTCTCCAGATCCACGCGCGACAATGTTTCCTGCTCCAGGTTCTTGCGTGTCTCGTCGAACTGTTTGCGCAGGCGCTCCAGCTCTTTGAGCACTTCGTTCAGCTCATCGCTGGCCTTCTTGCGATCGGCATTGGCCTGGTTGTATTTGTTACTTAACTCATTGGCACGCGACTCGTACATGCGGGCATTGCCTGCGGGGTGGAAAAATCAATTAATTAATCTGGTGTTCGGCTTAAATTGGGTGCGTTATGGGGTAGGTTTGATCACTTCGGCTGAGGAATGAAGTCTTTGGATATTTACTAGAATTGAATAGAGATATTTACTTGAAACCTTCTCAGATTGATGAATGTATGTTACATTTCAATTTACAATTTTATGAGAAACAAATTTTGCAAATAAAACATTTTATGTTTTTATTAGCTTTGTTCCATATTAAGTTTTAACTATAAGCTGATATGGCAGATTTCCTTTTCATTTATCTACACTTACCTTCAGCGGTGCTGGCCTCCTTTGTCTTCTTGTCCAGCCGGTTCTTGAGCTCCTCGTTCTCCTCCCACAGCCGCTTGATGTCGATCTCACCACGAGCCCGATCGCGAGCCGTGTCATCCAGAAGGCGGCGAGTCTCCAGCAGCTCGGCCTCGAAGATGTTCTTGATGTTGGTGGTCTCACGGGTCACCGTGTCCCTGGTGGTCTGCACCTCGATGCTGAGGCGGGAGTTCTCCGTCTCCAGATTACGCACACGGTCAATGTAGGTGGCCAAGCGGTCGTTCAGGTTCTGCAGCTCTACTTTCTCGGCCACGCGGGAGTGACGGGTGGGACTCAGGGGGCTGGAGGCCGTTTGGGAGTGGTTTGGTGGCGGCGGCTGCTGGTGATGCTGCTGCGGACCCGCCGATGGCGCCCTTGGGGTGGAGGTGCCGCCGGGCTGCGGCGTGGCGGTGCCAGCACGTCGGGATTTGCTTGACATTTTCACGCTGCGAAAGAGATAAACACACAGAATAACACGTGAGTTTTTATTTGGCTATGACCTCTTTAAGACAACACAGAAAAAAACAGATCAAATAACTTTGTTATATTTTCCAAATAGTTTTTAAGACTTAAAAATGATCGAATACAAATGTTACAAAATGTATTTATTGAATCTCGTTCGTGATAGTTGAATGAGGTTTAATCTAAATGATTTTCACATTTGTTTATTAAAACATCGCTTAAATCCTGGGCTGCCTACTACATTTGTATATTATTCTTAATTACTTTTTAATTAATTAAAATGATTTGCAAAATCATATCACAACAATTTGTTTCTTGTTGTGTAAAATGTTATTTTTGCGCCCTGATAAAATTCCAAACAGAAATCGAAAACGAATAGTGGAATCGCACAAAACGCTCAAAAACAGAAGCAAACGAGTTTCTCACGCTCTCACTCACACACGCACAAACCCCACTTTTCACTCAAGCGACTGTACTAAAGCGGACGAGAAAAAAAAAGTGAGTTTGTCGGCGTTTGTTTATGGGCGTGGGGCCAAAAGGCGGGGCTAATACGAATATAATCAATCGCTCTGATTAACTATTCCAAGCGACTCACTTAAACCGATTTGATAAGCTCGAGGAAATCGCACAATATGGCGGTTTTAATTCAATATTTGCGGCATTTTCACGCAGCTGCAGGCAGGGGGGTTATTTCGGTTCTGAGTGAAACTGCACCACCGCTTTTCATCGGCCGTTATAGTTATTTCGTATTGTTTTCCACAATCTCTTATTGTTTACTGGCAGCAACGAAACTCACCTGTGTTTTGGTAACGAACGGAAGATGCACAAATTGGAAAATTAAATATTTCGCTGCAATAAAACGCGGCCGACGCTGAAACTTGTAATCGGGATTTGTTGCGATGGTTTTAGAGATGGTCAATCAAAAGGATCAATCGATTACTTCTCGGCCTGGGTGGTATGACCAGACTCGCAGAATAAATAATACTACATACATATAAGGATATTTATATCGCCAGCAATTTGCCTATCGCACTCTCTCATAGCTGACGAACAGAATTCGACTCTCTTAGTACGGGGCTTACATTTTTTGATTTGTTTAGACATTAAAAAATCTATATATCGATGTTAATCGATAGTTTCATATATTCAGCTTTAGTGGGATTTCTAAAAACTCAAGCCGAGGTCACACTGCTTGGTCTTTTTTGCTCTGCGTCACGTTAAAGTTTTTTAAATAGTTAAAGTCGCTTTAAAAGTTGTATTTTAAAGCAGAAAACGTACGCACAAGGTAGGTCAAACTTGGAAAACCCCCATGCAGTTTAAAAAATGAACACTCGCAAAGAATATTTCGTTTTATTTTGAAATACATGGAATGCGGTGCGGTGAAAAAACAAGATGGCGGAGGGTACGCCGGCACCGGTTCCGCAAAAAAGCGGCATTTTCTTTTACAATCACATGTAACTTACAAACTTACATGCGTTTTTTCCCCACAGAATTTAGATTTGTTCTCGTAGCCAAAGTCTCGATCAAAAAAAAAACACTAAGCTAAAATGGCAGACAACGATGATCTTTTGGACTACGAGGATGAGGAGCAGACCGAGACCACTGCGGTTGAAAGCCAGGAGGCACCCAAGAAGGATGTTAAGGGCACCTACGTGTCTATACACAGTTCCGGATTCCGTGACTTCCTCCTGAAACCGGAGATCCTTCGGGCTATCGTGGACTGCGGCTTCGAGCATCCCTCGGAGGGTAAGTACACCACTGAAGTATCAAATGTACAGTCTCTAACGTTCCATCATTGCCTTGCAGTTCAGCACGAGTGCATTCCGCAGGCTGTCTTGGGTATGGACATCCTCTGCCAGGCCAAGTCCGGTATGGGTAAGACTGCCGTCTTTGTCCTGGCCACTCTGCAGCAGCTGGAGCCCTCGGACAACAACACCTGCCACGTTCTGGTCATGTGCCACACCCGCGAGCTGGCCTTCCAGATCAGCAAGGAGTATGAACGCTTCTCCAAGTACATGCCCACAGTCAAGGTGAGTCCTCGTTTTATAGTCAGAAATTTAAGTTATCAATAAAGAACTCAAAAAGTTCAAAGAGGCAAGACCAAGACTTTTAAGGGTCTGCAGTACAATCCATTTAAAGGAAAATTGATTAAGTGCTATTCAATGACTTGAATCTAATTAAAAGTTTGTGTATGTTTTACATAAATATGATTTTATTGCAAATCAAAATTGAAAATTGAAAATAAGTAATTCATTAAAAGGTTATCCCCATAAACCAGCCAGAAGCTATTTTTGTTGACTTATCAAGATATTTGCTGATATTGCATGTTAACGAGTCTTTAAATATAGGTTAAGTGTAGCAAGTAAATTTAAAGTTATAGATTTAATAACTGCACGAATTATATAATCTAATAACTTCATTCTTTTTTTTAAGGTGGCTGTGTTCTTTGGTGGACTAGCTATTCAGAAGGACGAGGAGACACTGAAAAGTGGAACCCCGCACATTGTGGTGGGCACTCCTGGTCGAATTTTGGCTTTGATTCGCAACAAGAAACTCAATCTGAAGCATTTGAAGCACTTTGTTCTGGACGAGTGCGACAAGATGCTGGAGCAGCTGGGTACGTCGACTAAACACCAAAAACCTTTAAATTTTCGCTCATTACTAAACCTATCTTTCAGATATGCGTCGTGACGTTCAAGAGATTTTCCGTAGCACACCGCACGGCAAACAAGTGATGATGTTCTCTGCCACATTGAGCAAGGACATTCGTCCGGTTTGCAAAAAGTTCATGCAAGATGTAAATATCAACGTGTTCATAACCAAAATGCTCGTACTTCTCCACCTCGCATCCACCGCTATCACGACAATTAGTTATTATTTTGTTAACGCCACCCGATATCGAATTCTCGATCTCGATCCCCCATATAAGCCAACCACCATCTTGCAAATGGTTAAACGCGTAAACACAATCGTCCAGCGCTCTGCGAGCATAACTCAAATCGAAAATGTTAGTTGATAACTGCCAGAAACCATTTTCTAAATGGTTAAACGCGTGAAAAGCAACCGTAGCGAAAACATAAACAACCAGTAACCGCTGAACAAATCAATTGAAATCGCAATGATTTAAAATAAACAACGATAGGAAAATGCAATACCCAAATAAATCAACGAAAAACAGCAAATCACGCCGACTGGCCGATGAGACAAGGTGAAACAAAAGCGAATGCGATGCGATATGCCGCTCATCTGTAATCCGCACACTTCTCAGAGCGATCGTCGATCCTCGGGAGCAGTTCAGAGTCTAGTTGATGAGATGTGGTGGTAGCGTGGCCGTATGTAGAAAATTCTAAGCATATTGTTGTATGTTCCGAGGCGAGCCTAGTTTAAGTTCGATTTCCGTTTACCCCTCTTAATTGTTCCCTTTAAAATGCGCCACATTCTATTTCCGATATCTAGCCCATGGAGGTCTACGTCGACGATGAGGCCAAGCTGACGCTGCACGGACTGCAGCAGCACTATGTCAATCTGAAGGAGAACGAGAAGAACAAGAAGCTCTTTGAACTGCTCGATGTGCTCGAGTTCAATCAGGTATGTAATTCTCAGCATTATTTAATTTGGAATCCTTAATTTTTTTTGAAAATAACTTTTCTGTTTCCTGCTTTAAGGTGGTCATCTTTGTGAAGTCCGTACAACGTTGCGTGGCCTTGTCCCAGCTGCTGACGGAGCAGAACTTCCCCGCCATCGGCATCCATCGCGGCATGACCCAGGAGGAGCGCCTGAACCGCTACCAGCAGTTCAAGGACTTCCAGAAGCGCATTTTGGTGGCCACCAATCTCTTTGGTCGCGGCATGGACATTGAGCGCGTAAACATTGTGTTCAACTACGATATGCCCGAGGATTCCGACACCTACTTGCATCGCGTAGCCCGCGCCGGACGCTTCGGTACCAAGGGTTTGGCCATTACCTTTGTTTCGGACGAGAACGATGCCAAGATACTTAACGAAGTACAGGACCGTTTCGATGTTAACATCAGCGAGCTGCCGGAGGAGATTGATCTGTCCACATATAGTAAGTTAAATTTTATTATTCACTTCTTGCAAAATACTAATTTGTTGTATTTTACTTTTCAGTTGAAGGACGCTGAAAATCGAATGTGCATGATACTCCGTAAGAAAAAGAAATGCACTTCGAATAGATAAAAACTAAAACCTTTTATAAAACTCTACTTTATAACTAAATAAAAAAAATATTCAGACAATGTGTTGACGTACAAAAGTGAATGAATATGTAATGCATTTATTTTGGGATTGGACTTAACGATAGGATTATAGTTTGTCCTGAAATAATTAAATTAATTTAATTTTAAAATTCACTATGCATACTTTGAATAGTGTGGGACGTTCTCCTTTGGAGGTTTTAAATAGTTCAAGGCAAGTAAATATAAGACCAAAAATATGTAAGTTTTTATATAACATCACGCAATAAAAGAAACGAAAGACCCTAACGAAATCAATGAGTTTTTAATCTAGTTTCTTTTAATGGAGATTTAGCTATCCGGAAAAACCCGGGATAGTTTAGTGTGTTCGTTTCAGGACATGCGCAATGGCGTGGAGCTTCCGGCAACTGCATTGCGACAGGAAGGGCGAGGGGTCGTAGGGGTTGCCCAAGGAGGACGGAAAAACAGGAGGAGAAAAACAAAGCCAACGACCAAACAATGTGAGAAAATGCACGCGTGCGAAAATGCTGCTCAAAAAGTATGTGAAAACGCGACGTAAGGTGAAGATCCTTCTCCTGCTGGCCATCGTGGGTCTGCTGGTCATCACCATCATAGTGTTGGGCTCCAGTGGACGTAATGCGGCCATCGAGCTGCTGCTGGACGAGCGGTTCATCGCACGAGCCTACAGGCCCGGGGACCAACCCCCGGAGAAGCCCCCGGCCGTGGCCGTAGCCCTCATCCAGCCCCAGCGGGAGAACGGAGTGATTGTGCCCGAGAAGTACGACGAGCAGAAGATCAAGGAGCGCATCATCCAGAGCAAAATTGATCTGATGAAGCAGCAGCAGCAGAAGGACCACGAGGCTGAGCAGGCGGTAATATTCAAAACAGTACAAATCAATTGTTTTCTAAATCAATTTAGAAATAGAGCTTTTTTGTTCTTTAAATATCAAATCATTTTCAATGCAATAAATACATTTAAGAAAAATATTAATTTAAAAAGGTTGAAAAAAAGTATTAGTATTATCTAAATGTAAGATTAGTTAAATAATTCATTAAAATTTTTTTTTAAGTTAAGAAAACTTTAAAGTTCAGCAAAATCCTTAAAGATACAATCATTTCTATTTAATGATTTCAAAATAAATTTATTTTCTCAATATTATCAGGCAAGAACCACTTTGGATGTGGTGATAACAGCAGTGCATATTTTTTACACAGCCCCAGTGCCCTGGTACAAGTCCAAAAAGCCACCTCCGCCGCCAGCGGAGCACCCAAACGATGTGCCACTCACAACGCCGCGACCAGTGAGGATCCTCAACACAGCCTTCTATCCGGCATTGGGTCTGTACAAGCCCAGTGCCACGCTGCTCTCCCAGCACTTTGAGAACATCCGGAGCTGCGGCGTGGGAGTGCTCATCCTGAGCTTCACAGGCGGCAAGCCAGCGGAGGCGGCGCTCCTCCATCAGATCCTGGAACTGGCTCCCCAGCACAATCTAAGCGTTACCTTTGAACTCAGTGTTGCAGGGAATCAGAGCGTGGAGTTTGTGCGGCAGCAGCTGCAGGAGATTGCCACATACTCCAGTCTGCCTGGATTCTACAGGGTATGGAGCCAGTCGAGAGGTGTTTCCCTGCCAGTTCTCTACGTGAGCAATGCCTACAAATTGAGTGATAGTCTGGGCAGGCTGCTCTGTCGAACGCCATCGCTAGTAGAGCCTGATGGATTGCGAAGGGTTCTGGACGCCTTCTTCATAGGTCACATAAGGTTAGCTGCCTTTAATATTTCCAATATCTAATCATCATTATATATCTCCTCTTTTCTTCAGGCTAAAAAGCCATGCGGATGTCCTGCGACGGCTGTGTTTCGATGGCTTCTACAGTAAACTGCCTAGTAATGGAGCGGTCTTCGCCAGTACCTGGAAAAACTGGTCGTATCTGAAGTCGTTTGCGTTGTCCTATAAAATGCTCTTTGTGCCCACTGTGGGTCCAGGATTTGCGGAAAGGAATAAGTTCCCGCGACATGGAGATATTCAAAGGCATCGCAGCAATGGAAGGGTAAAAAAAGCGTTGTAACCACCTTGTAACCAAGTTAATCTGATGATGAATCTAATCTTTTTAGTACTACGGCGTGGCTTGGAGAACGGCCATTTTGAACCACGTGGGCTTTATCAACATAGCCAGCTACAACAACTGGCCGGATGGCAGTCAAATCGAGGAGGTGATGCCCCGCGCCGGCTTCCTGGACTACAATCCTGGCTCGAGAACCAAGTATCTAGATCTCACTGCCCACTGGGTGGGAAATTTTCTGAAGACGCGTCAGGAGGCGGCGGCGGCAGCTTCTCCGGCATCGCCACAAAATTGCTATGAGCTCTTGAACGGGACAATTTGTTAGGCGCCAGCGAATCTTCCAAAATGAAAGGATAATCCTAGTTACTTTAGAAGCAATAGCAACAATTGCAGGCCACACAATTACTTTTGAACTGTTAACGAGTCTTCTGCTACACATATATACACTACATATATATCGTTTTGATAGTGATATTTTTAATAACTCAGATTAATTCGAAACATCAAGGGAATGACAATTACAAGTCGAGTTTTTTCGCAAGAAATGAATTAAACTATATTCGATCAGAAGGTTGTGCATGAAAAATTTAAATTTATATATAAAGCCAATCGTTAAGACAATTCAAAACACAACTATGGAATACAAGTAGTTTTCTTGCCAAAACACTCGACAAAATAAAACGCAAATGAAAGCAATTCAAATTGATATCAATTAAAAGTAATTCTAGAGCCAGACATACTTTTTTATTAAATCTATACTAGCTTTCAATTATTGTAGTATATAGAGGAGAACAATATCATAACTTAATGCCATGCCATATATTATGTAGACACCAAAGAAAATTATCTATGTTATAACGGATTTAAACTAAACACTTGTTAAACGATTGGTACTTACAAAATTTTAACTTTATTACGAGTACAATATATAAATACTTTATCTAAGCTTTAATAGTTTAGTGCCAAAAGAATCAGTGTTTTATTATGGGGAATTATTTGTTTTGTTTTAAGTCAAGGTTTTAAACTGAAAAATGTTAAAAAATAATTTAGTTAAACAGATGGGCAGTTATTTCAAATATTTATTTTTCAACACTCCTCTGGAAGCTATTAATATCTATAAAGTCCTATGTTATTTTTGACAGGTAAAGAAGGCTGTCATAAATTATACATTTTGTATTCCTTTGAAGAGGCTTATGTACCTGTAACCATGTCCACTCCGAAACCAAAAAATGGGGACAAGTCGGAGGGAAGGAAGACCAAGGGTCAAGGACTAAATGCAATAAAAGGATGCTGTTGCAAACGGTCGCAGTGCATAAAGAACTACTGCGATTGCTATCAATCCATGGCTATTTGTTCCAAATTCTGTCGCTGCGTTGGTAAGTTATAATATAAGAGGGATTAGGATGTAAGACAATCCAGTTTTAGATATTTATTATCATTATTTGAACTTGATATGTACATATTATTTTATCCAACATCAAATTTTTAAACCTCTAAATTTAAATTTCTTCAAGCGAATAATATTTGTAAATCAATTATTTCATATAATATACATTTTCATGATTAGGCTGCCGGAACACGGAGGTTCGCAAGGCCGTGGACTCCACCACTGGGTCCAAGAATTCGAGTGCCTCGAAAAGGGAAAAGGCGTCGGCCATGAGTGCAAAAGCTGCAGCTGCTGCTGCCAAGGCGGTCATCAATGTCCAGATGAAGGGTCTCCAGGCTGGCGGGACTGCAGCAGGAAAACCTGTGCCCACCATACCTTTTGCCTTGGTGCCAAGCCAACAGCCGATTCCGGTTCCCATCGCCATCACCATTCCTCGTCCCCTGGCAACTAATACTATTCCAACCAGGGTAGTAAAGCCTCCGGTGGAGCCGGTACCCGTCGTGCCTCCCATCATTCCGGTCAGGCAGGATGACTCACGGGAGCGCAACCTCTTTGTCCAGTCGGTCAATGCTGCTCTGCTGGAATGCATGCTCATCCAGGCCACCGAAGCCGAGCAGCTGGGATTGGGTGAACTCCAAGTGGGCCAGTTGGTTCTCGCGGAATTTATGCGCGGCTACAAGGAGATATTGGAAAAAATCTGTGAATATAATAAGGATTATTTTTAAATACTTAAATTAAATAGACATTTGAGCGTTAAAATTCAATATTAGTTTAGATTAATTATTTAAGATAATACCTCTTTATTGATTTATAAAAAAAATAAAATATACCAAGAAAACTTATATAAATATAAATATATTGAACTTAAATTGATTTTTACAATTTCATTTATAATTCTATGTCAAAATAATCATTTTAAGTATATAAGCATTCCATTGCTAATGGTTTATATAAAAGGTAAATTTTCTTTCATTCGATCTACAAAAGAAAACTTGTTTATTGGCATGCTCTTTATATATAATATAATAACTTGCGCTTGTAGAACTTAATCATTTAACATTCTAGTTTTATAGCTATATATTTACAAAATTTCAAAGCTAATAATTTATATTGAAAATGCAATGAAAAAAAAAAGGAATCAAAGAATGCTTTTTACAAAAATTAAACCTCCTGGCAAAAGCCAAACCATTTTTGAGAGCTACCAATCGGGTGGCTGGAAAATAAGCTCAGTAACAAGCATATCGCAGCTCGTTTTCCTTTGGGCCATTCGCGACCCAGCTGGCGTGGATTTGTGCCTCTCCAGCGGCATCTCGTTATCACTATCACTATCGGATTGCTGATCCTCCTCCGATTCATCTTCAGCATCCTCGTCCAAGCGTCGTCGCTTCTTTTTGCCTCCCTTGGGAGTTTTCGCGGAGCGATACTTCTGCCAAAACTTTGCAGGCTGGGCAAACTCAATGTAGTTCGGAAATCGCATCGCCAGAGCTCGGCAGAAGCTATCAAATGTATGCCTGAAATCGGAACTCATCGCGGACTTGAGATTGCGATAGGTTTCCTCCACATAGCGAAGGCAACGCTCCAATTGCTTGAGCTGAAATAGATAATATACAATTAATACTTATGTATTCAATATAGACGTTATTAGATAATTAATTTTTCAACAAAATTTAACTGAAATTATATTCTGTAAAAGTTTATGAAAACTTACTGGCTCCTCGGAGTTATCCGCCTTGCGTCCCCTTCCCCTTGGTGCTGGTGCTTCTCCTGCTGCTGGTTTGGGTGCTGGAGCTGGTGCCTCCATTGGCTCATCCTCACCTTCATCATTAATGTCGCCCTCGCCTGGAGTGCTCTTCTCTTTGCCCTTACCTTTAGTGCGAAAACAAATGCGACGCATGATGAAGAGCATATCCTGAACCACGGTCAAGGCGCCAGGATTACTCACAAAAGCATTGTCCCTAGTTTTTTCTAAAACATAAATATGAGAATCCGGTTTTATTTTTTCCTTATTTAAAACTTACCTGCCAACAGCTTCAGTTGGCCAAAGTAAAGCAACAGCGTGTTTTCATCCACCGAGGACATGATATGATTGTAGAGCAACCTACGACTTTTGGCCATTTCTGGACCCTTCAGTGGCGACTTATAGTTGGCATCCGTCCTCACTCCTCTTAAGTAAGCCTGACCATTCAGGTCGAAAGGACACTCCTTGAGGCAATGGTCGAAAAGCATCTTATTGTACAACCTTTTGTAGCGAATGAAGAAGGCATCCGCTTCCCTGGCCACCTCGGCACTTTCATCGACCAGACCAGCCAGCATGGATATGAGAATGGGACCCTTTAACTTGATATTCCCGGAGAGAATCACATCCTTCACACACCGAAAGGTGCGCACTCTGGTCATGGCGAATTTCGAGTGGAGTTTCGACAGAATGACCTGGAAATTGCTCTCAAGAATCGAAGGATGCTTCTTGCCCAGATCGTTTAGGGCTATCAGAGTGGTGTTGATGATCTGCGGTCTGTCATTTTTGGTCAGAATGACTCTATAAAGCTTGGACACGCTGTTGGCCAAATGATTTTCCCGCAGGCACAAGCGACCTGCTATTACAATCATCCAGTTGATCATGCGCTCGTTATCCGTATCGAATTCGGACTCACTGAGCTTGGTGCATTCCTGCAGGTACTTAAATACAATGCCCACAATCCGGTTGTCCACCTCCTGGGGCAACATCACTATTATCTCCGTATAGGCGCCCAAAAGGCACTGCAGACGGGTGTGCTCATCCTGGAAATTCTTGGCACTGTTCAGAATTCCCTCGGTCAGATCTTCCAGCAAGCAGAGCTGCCAGTCTGGCGTCTCGGGAGCCATCGAAGGAGCCTGGCTAGCGGACAAGTGGTGGATCTGGTTGATCAGATTGACGGCACTGGATATGATGCCCAGCCAAATGCTTCCCGTGCTCAGGGCATTCAAAAGCCTCTGAAATAACTGATTTAGAGCTGGCTTCGAGAAGTTCCTAAGGCAGCCAATGATGAGCTGAAGGGCCAGAAATTGATTGGATTTCATATTGTATGAGGAGAGGCCATTGAAGATGCCAATCAGTGCGTCCATGTTGTTGGTGATGCGGCTGGACAGGAGCAGCAGCAATCCCCAGGCATCGGTGGCCATGGATGTGGATAAATGCGATATTATAACGTTCACCAGCCTGGGTCTAAAATACAAAATAAGGGACTATTAATTTCTGTTAAATTTTAAAGAAATCTGCAACCTACGTTACAATGGTTTCCCTTTCCAATAGGATTGCGAATCTTTCTTGCAGATAAGCTCTAGGTTGTGTCATCAAAAGAGTACTGATGATTCGCCAGGGCATAAAGTGTTTCGCTTCATTTGAATACTCCAGGGGCTGGATGTTCCTCAGAACCATGCGATCAAAGCTCTGAAAGTTCAAAGAAAAATTAATTAGGTTCCAAAATTTCTCCAAGGCAAAACCCACCATTAAAGCCTGCTTTTGCAGGGCCGCATCCTCATCGCTCATTAAGCAAGCCCAAATCCGGCAGTACACACAAATCAAGGCGAAACAATTGGAGTATGCCTCCAGTAGGGTTTCTATAGTGTCCAGCGCAGATTTCCTCACCGAAGCCAGCCGATCCACAGCCAGCAAAGAGGTTTCCCTCACGAAATTCGTATTGTATATGATGAGGGGATTAACTAGCACCAATCTTTCGAGTAGAGCTATGCCAGCGGTTCGAGCTAAGCCATTATCCGCGGCCAGAAATCGCTGGTACACCGTTTGAGGGACATTCTTGACCTCCGGCTCCAGTTCCTCATGACCCTCAAAACTAAAGGCATACTGGACAATTCCGGGCTTCTCAAAACGCAGCTCGTTTTGCTCAGCGGAAGGCTCTGGTAGTGATTCCACATCCGCATCCTCAAACTGAACGAATCGAATACTCTCGTCTAGAATTTTTGTGGTCAGCGGGGAGCCTTGTTTCAGGGCCAGGATGAGCACTTGACAAGCCTTCCGGCGGACAGTAAATGTCCGATCATTGAGACAGCGCATCACCTCCCTCAGGAGGGGTACTTCCCTTGGCACCTTGGACACATCGTACCGGAAAATGCTCCACTCCACCTCGCTCTGCTGCATCAGGATCTTCTCAATCAGATCCAAAGCACGAGTTTGAATTCCCACAGCATCGTCTGCTTTCACAGCGTCCAGGACAAAGTCTGCGCAGGATTTGTTGCACTTGGCGAACAGAATCCTGTCGTATTTTGCCGCATATCCTATGGCCACCTTCTCATCGTTGCTCTTCCACTGCAATAATATGATAATAAATTTACAGTTTTTAAAAATGGTATGCTTTACTCACCGCTTTGATAGGATTGGAAACCACGCACTCAATGTAGAAGTGCAATATTCGGATTAGAATGTCCGGATACTTATCTATAAGCTGGATAAACCAATCCGATATGTGCTCCCCGCTCTGCATCGCCCCTCCTCGACGTCCTGCTCCAATGCTATGTGGACTATCCGTATAAACATGCATCGGAAATGTCTGCCGCATTATCAGATGAAGTGTTTCATAGACATCGCCATTGTGCTCGTTGGCTATTTCCCCAAAAAGCTCGAAGCATTTGGAGTGCAAGGCGGGAGCACCTGAAAAAAGTTTAAATGCCATGTTCATTTAGTTATTATTAATCGTCAGATAGTTATTTTTATTAAGGTTTTGTAAAATTAATAAAATATTTTGAACAAAGACTTTCATATAATAAGTTTGACGTTTATAAATATGTTTTACTTATTAGAAAAGTTGGAGAGTTTAAAAATACGTTACGCCAAAAATAAACTAACAAATCGATAAGCTTCCGCATTGTTGCCAGCCCAAAAAAATGTTGCGAATCTAACATATCGATAATAGAATAGTTTTTTTTGCACCTCTAGGCAAGGTAAGCCAAATAATTGAATAATTGAGGAACGACGGATAACTATTGCAATTTCAAAAGATGCTAGGCGTACTGCGTATCCAAGGAGCGCTTCCTTCGGCGGGACAGGTGCGCCTCCTATCCGCCCGCCTCCTGGCAAACAAATCTTCCACTGACATGACCACAAATAGATGCGAATCATCCAAATCGCCGGCATCGGAGCACTTTGACATAATCATAGGCGGCGGAGGACTGGTGGGCACCACTTTGGCCGCCGCTCTGGCCAAGAATTCTACGCTGGCGGACAAGAAGGTGCTGCTGCTGGAGGGAGCTCCGGAACTTCGGGGATTCGATCCCTCCGGACCATACCAAAATCGCGTATCCGCCATTAACAAGAACTCCATCGAGCTGTTTAAGTCCATAGACGCCTGGTCGCACATCGAAGCCGCCCGGTACAAGCATGTCAAGCAGATGCAGGTGTGGGAGTCCAACACGGATGCACTGATACAGTTTCAGCACGATAACTTTGCCAGCGATGTGGCCTGCATCATTGAGAACGATCTGATCCTGGATGCGGTTTATGCGCGGGTCAAGGATGCTCCCAACGTAGAGATACTGAACAAGGCAAGGATCCAATGCGTCCGCCTGCCCAAGGACTCCGAGGGCAATCTCTCCGAGCTGCAGCTGCAAGATGGTCGCTCCTTTTCCTGCGATCTTCTGATCGGAGCCGATGGCGCCAACTCAGTTGTGAGGAAGGAGATGAACGTGGATGTGTTCTCTCTAAATTACGACCGGATGGGCCTGGTGGCCACCTTGGAGCTGGGCGAAGATGCCTGTGATAACTCTGTGGCCTGGCAGCGGTTCCTGCCAAACGGACCTGTGGCCTTGCTGCCGCTGACTGATAGACTGAGTTCCCTGGTTTGGAGCACCACCAACGAGCAGGCCAAAAAGTTACAAGCCCTTCCCCCGGGGGAGTTTGTAGATGCCCTCAACGAAGCCTTCTGCAGGCAATATCCTCGCGTGGAGCTGGCAGACAAGGCTGTTCAGACTCTAAACTCCCTGTTTGGACACAATGCCAGCCAGCATCAAGTGCAGTATCCTCCAAGGGTTTGCGGTGTCCAAGACAAGTCCCGTGCCACTTTTCCACTGGGATTCCTGCATGCCTCATCGTACGTCTGCAATGGAGCAGCTCTGGTGGGCGACGCCGCCCATCGCGTTCATCCGCTCGCCGGCCAAGGAGTCAATCTGGGCTTCAGCGATGTGAGGCACCTGGTGGAATCCTTGGCAGCCGGAGCCTATGCTGGATTCAAGCTGGGCGACAAGCAGCATCTGATCAAGTACGAACGCAAATGTCTTGCCAAGAATGTGCCCATCATGCTGGGCGTCCATGGACTGCACACCCTCTACTCCACGCAGTTCAGCCCGGTGGTTTTACTCAGGAGTTTGGGATTGCAGCTGACCCAGAATTTGCCGCCCATTAAAAACTTGTTTATGCGGGGAGCAATGGGCCAGTAGATCAACGACAATAAAAGGGGAAATTAAATCATAAGTGTTGTAAGTTTTTCACACCACTTGTGAGTGGAATAAAGTGAGTTTATATCAGTGTTTATAACCTACTTAATTGCTAGGTCAATGGCATGCTGGTAAAATATTAGTGTACAGCTAAGATTCGGCCTATAGGATGTGCAATTTGATTCAGACAGATATATTGCTTTTCACTCCAATTTAAGTTATTTTCTTATTTTTTTCTATGATAAACCATAAATATAAATCTTTAAACGTTAACATTTAAAACACAAAACATACATAAGATTGCTTTTATAGAAACTCATTTTTCTAATATGAAAGCTTTGACATATAGGAACATTTTAAATGAGATTCATTATTAGAAAGAATTGCACAATCTATTCAGCCTGATAAACAAAGCTTAATTCTAATTTAACATTCGTTGTTAATAGTTTTTAGGTTGGTGGATTTGGGTTGAAGGCACATTTGGCATTTGGCAAGATACGTCTATCTTAGTCTATACAAAATTTGGCATGTTTTTGGAAATTGGTGAAATTTATAGTTCCTGGTGGCTCTTGGGCAAACTCTCGCCCAGCTTCAGTTGCTGATCGAGGGTGCATTCCTCCTCCTGGACGAAAACCTGTTCCCGATCGCTTTTCAGTCGAGCTTCTCCTTCTTCACTCGTATCCACATTGATTTGTTGCGAGTCCTCGGTGTCGGAAATGTAACTCGAATCTCCTGTATAGTGAATGGGATACAGCAGGAGTGGAGAGGCACTTAAAGCCACGAGATTCCTTTTAGGGAAGGCTTCGCTCCAGGTGTTGTTGGGATGACGATCGAACATTAAGGGCAAAAACTCATCTACAGGTATGAGTTTGTGAAGCGGCTTGGCTGCCAGCAGCTTCAAGGCTCCCTGTAGCGAAATGACATAGCCCAATGTCCAGTAGGAGTAGCCGGCATGCACAAGATTGTCCGCATTTGTCACACCCGGTTCACTTTCCTCCTTCAGACGCTTGCGACCAAAGTAAATGAGGTCGTAATTCACTGCGCCTCTGGCCTGATTTAAGACCCTGACCGCATTTTGCCGGAAATAGGGTTCGAAGCGTATATCATCCTCCAGAATGAGCACCTCCTTCAGCCCCTTGCGCACCATCATCACCCAGATGCTGTAGTGGCTCAGGAAACAGCCAATCTCACCCATGGTCATGGCCCGATGATGATATGGATCCTCGTAGCCGGGCAGGAACCGCACGCCCATCTCCTGTAGACGATCCGTGGTTAATTCTTTGCCATCAACAGCGGGAAAGTACTCGGCTTCTATACCCAGCTCCTCGAAAAGCTGCTCCATTTTCTCCCGTCTCTCGGGACGTCTCTTTAGGTTTATCATAAATATACGATCCAAGGAGAGCTTGCTTTTCTCCGGTTTCTTTGCCAAATTCTTATAGTAATCCAGTAGAGGAGGCACAGCACCCAGATCGTTGACCATGAGGCCCCTGATATTTACCAGCTGCTGGAGATCATTGTCCAAGGAATCACCTGGTTCTAGAGGTTGCAGTATATAGCCAAAGATTATATCGTTGCAGATGTGCAGGGGTATGCCTGAACTATTGGCGGATATGGCAAATACTATAATATCATCCGCAGGTCCATCATAGAGCGGTTCCTGCTGCCTGCTCCTCTGCATTTCCACTAGCTTGTTTTTGTCGAAAGTGAGATTCCTGATCGCTTTATGATTCATGTTAACCAGAACGGCTGTGTGCACCATGGGCACTGGGAAGCTGCCTTGTTTTTTCACATGGTAGATCTCCTTGTACTCATCTGTGCGCCTGTAGTAATAATCCTCCGTCATTCCGCACCAGAAATTGGAGTACAAGCTTTCCGAGATTAACATGGGAGCCACAATGGGTAATTGGAGACGGGTGAGGGTTTTAAGTGAATCTTTCGAAGTCAGAAAGACATCGGCGTCCAGGAAAAACACAAAGTCAGCCCAAATATTACGACCATACTGGAAGGCCTCCTCTTTCAGCGCGATCAGATGTTTGAAACGCGATGCTGGCCACTCGTATGGCGAACTTTCGTTTTCATAACTCCGAACTTGGGGCTCCAGAACATAGTTAACAGCATGATAGTGATCTGCAGAGTGCTCCAGCCACGTCTGCAGGATATCTATACTGTCATCGTTACTATGATCACAACGTAACCTGAGATAGTGCGAGATTAGAGGTATGTTTCCCATTTCTATATATTTATACCTATACCCACCAAAAGGCAATCCTTTGTTTGGGATAATCCTGTTGTTCCAGATAACTCAGGAACATGGGCAGTGTGTGGGCCTTGTTACGCACCAGCAGTGCAATCAGTACCGTCGGTGGCTCCAAGTAATCGTCATCATCCTGTCCAGAAATGAACACCAAAACGCTGGCGAGGAGCAGGCCGAAAACCACTTGTTTCTTCATGACCACGTCACTAGTTTAACACATTGCAGGGTGCAAAGGGGTCACAACGCACAATCTGGCGCGGCGGAAGCGTCCAAACTGTTTTGTTGATGCCGGAGAATCAGAGAATCGGCCTTATCTATTAATAAACTGCCTCCTTCTTTGCCAGCTCCAGATGGAGTGACTCTCAAACTGCATCAGCTGTGCCGGCGCTCAAACTATGCGGGCAGTGTTATCGCGAGTTATCGATTTGGCTTGATTTGAATGTATTTCAATTAGATTGTTTCGTTTTTTTTTATTTAAGTTGGTTTATTTTAGGTTTTTTTTTTTAAGTTATTAATTCTTTGAATGCTTGTTTAGATTTTGATTTTGTTTTGATGGTATAAATTCGGAAGGGAGAGCTGAAAAACTTTTTGAAAACTTAACTTTACATTTGTAGACAAACTGAAATTACAATCTAATTAGCAATTTTGTAAATTATTCTTAAGCTTGATAGTTAACACATTGCATTTGTTGTTGCAGTTAAAAATGGTCGTCCCTTTATCATCCATTTAAATAAAATAACTACATCTAAGGATTGTCCAGAATATTTTACAATAGATATAACAAACATTTATTGTTTTTAAAAACGTGATTCAAACAAGGTTCCCTTTACGCAGTCGCTGCATGGGGTTTCGCATAGCTGGGAAAGTTAAGTTTTAGACCCTCTTTAGCTTCAAAAAAGGTGTACGACAGAGTGATGGTGTCGCAGTGCTCCAGTGCTGGATCTCCGGTGATTTCTGGGTCGATGTAGAAGAACACGGGCATGTCCACCTCCTCGTGAGGATTCAGTTGCTGTTCCTCGAAGCAGAAGCACTGGATCTTGTTGAAATAGGCGCCCGCCTCGAAGGGGATCACATTGTAGGTGCTGATGCCAATTACCGGCTTATCTGTGGGATTCCGGGCAGTATAGAAGGCCAGGGCCGTTTCGCCGGGCGCCACCTTAATCTCGAACTGCTGGGGCTTGAAGTTCCAGCGCATGGAGGATCCGATATCGGCGTTGAAGCGGATCTTCAGCACCCGATCCTCGACCTTTTGCATGTGCTCCACCTTTTCGGCATCGTGACCCTGCGATGTAGTTCCTCCGTAGCTGTATGCCTGGCAGAAGATGCTATATAGTGGCACCGCCGCGTAGCTGAGTCCCACGATCAGCACTCCGCCGGCTGTTATATAGTATAAAGTGGATTTCGCCCGTAATTTGCGAGCAGCTTCCTCCGGAGAATTTGTGGATTTCATGCGCCAGAATTGTTGTGTCTTTTGCGCGGGGGTCTGGTGCCGGATGGAGCTCCTCATCAGCTGGTGGCATTGCCCACGGAGTGTAAAAAGGCTGCGCAACATCTTTGGCGTTTAATATCTCGTATGTAAGGGCCAATTCCTTAAGGTTTTCATTTATTACTTGTTTGTATAATCTTGCAGGTCGTTTAGTGTGCTGCAGTGTGTACACACCTGGTTTAAACAGCTGTACAAAACAAACTTCCATCTATCGATATATCGATAGGCAATGTGGTTTGAATATTTCAAACATAATTTAATATTGCCAGGATATTAAATTGGACAAAATTATTGTACTAAAAATCTTCTTTAAGACATTTTAATATTAATAATACTATGCAAAAAATTCTTCATTATGATAGTTTTCCATTCATTTAAATGAATCTGAATATGTATAACAATTATTTTGTTCTTGGACTTAAACCTAACGTATGTAAATAAATATAATACAAATTTGTACCCTTTTTTCTCTAGTTATAGAACTACGGTTTTTGGCGCCAAAAATTGCAAAAGAATGATATAAACAAAAAATAAATGCATTGAACACTCACATGAATTTTGATATCCCACTTTAAAGTTCATGTAGAGCACCTCCATGAGGCAGCGAATGATCCTGTCCCGTGGTTTAAGGTGCTCCTTGAAGTGCACATAACGAAAGACCACCTTTAGATCATCGCAGATGGTCAGAAAGAACATCCATACGGTGTTGGCCCGGACGCTTTTATTGCCATTCAGTTCCAGCAGCCTGAAGATCTTAAGGACCTGCTCGATCACATCCTCGTCAAAGATGCCATAGCTCTTGGCTCCCGGTATAGTCAAAGTAAGCAGATAAGTGCTCACAGCGTTTAAAGACAACTGAAGATTGAGGTTTTCATTCATGACCTGTGGAGCAGCCTGTTGCACATGCTCTGGCGGAATGACCAGGCTCACAAGGGAATAAATGTACGAAAGGTACGCATTTGCTGGGGAAATCCCGATGATATTGGCCCAGTTGTCGTGGGTGTTGCTATAGCTGGCCTGATTCTCATCCCTCATAGAACGTATAACTCCAGATAAATCCCGAAGAAACTGCAGCTGCGTCTCCTGGTGGCCAATCTCCTGTTTGCACATGGTCAGGGACCAAAACTTCTGACCCCGCTGCCTCAGAACATCATCCTCGGCTTCCTCGCCATACAGCCATTCCTCCACATCTACCCACTGCAAATGCGGCACATAATACACGTTTAAATCACTAAAAATACGATTTAACTCGGACATGTTTACATTTTTTGCGTCCCGTGCTCAAATAAGAAACCGATAACCAAACAGCTGTTGCTACTGCAGCAGCATACAATCGATAAACGATAAGACCAGAAGAGCGGTTAGTTTTCAAAATGGTACAAAATCAGGGCTGATATATTAATGCATTTACTTGGCTTATTATTATGCAATTTAGTTGTTGTTTCGTGGTTACATACGCGCACTTAGTTTCTAATTCCGCTGACAGCTAGAAATCCAGCGAGGCCGAGGCATTGGAATTGCTCAGTACACCGGAGATGCAGCTGTCCGGCTTGGCGGTTGACTCCTGCAGCTCCGGCGGCAAGTGGAACTTCTCGATGACGAACTTCTTGCGGCGCAACTTGAAGGCAAGATCCGTGGTGTCCGGCATGTGAACGGCCAGCGTGTTAAGCGCCGACATCTTGTGCAAATGGAGCAGCCCGCTGTACTCCTTGAAGGCGGGATGCGTCTCACGTTCCGATCCTGCAAACGACTCCAGTTCGATGGCATAGTCCACCAGCTGGCGGATCTTGGGCACCAGACTGGCATCGTACTTGGCAATCAGGTGCATGGGCATCGTGATCAGGCACACCGAGTTGCAGTTGCGCACACTGGCCATCAGCAGGGTGAGGAACTTGATCAGATCCTCGCCGAAGTGTTCGTCATACCACAGCGGCGATCCCAACGAGGTTAGGCAGACGCGGCACAAGTTTTTCTTGGTCCCAGCCACGAAACTCTCATCCCGCAGCAGATGTTGGATGTCGTTCAGTAGGTTTCCGTACCGGGCATTATGGAAGACCTGCGACTGCGACTCTTGGCTGCCGGTTTTTGTGCTGCTGGTGACGCTGCTACTGTTGTTGTTATTATTGTTGTTGGCGGAGTTCTCCTCCTGGGGCTGAGTCTTCTCCAACGGAGTGTTTTCCTCTCCTGGAATCGGTGGGGCATCCTCCACGGGCTGCTGCTCCAGCGTCGAGGGGGTCGGGGAGCTGCTCTTGAATAACTCCAAGATTCCCTTGTAATTATCGTCCCACATGGTCGTATTAGCATAGTAGAGCATCATCGAGTCCATCTGCTCCATCAGGTTGAAATGATGACCGATCTTGGCAGTGGCATGCTCGGAATTAACCAGCGGCAGATCGTTGTACCGCCAGGCGATCCTTAAACCATTCTCGGTGCCACCGGCGCCCTGCGCCTGTTGCTCCTCTTGCTGCTCCACCTCCGTTTCCAGTTCGGTCAGCGGTTTGGGCAGACATCGCAACATCTCCGCCGGTAGATCGTCCAGGCTGCCCAAAAATATCTCCTGCTTGGAGAGCACGCCCTCCGCCAGAAAGTACTTGGCCAGCACTTTGGCATGCGTCATGAAGCGATCCTCCTCAATCAGGCAGATCGAGCCCATGGGCAGGCCGCCGCCGATGACCACGTCCAGATACGGATTCCCGCTGGAGGTGATCACCTGGGCTGTGTGCGGCGAGGTGCGGGTGCCACGGATCGGCTTCTGCACGGTGCGCTTGCGGAAACTGGTCATCTTCTTCGGCTAACCTTTATTTTTGCGTTCTGTTCTTTTCTCCGTGTTTCTTCGCGTAAACTTCTATTTTCGATGGCTGCCAATAGGGGTACACACTCGGTGGGTCAATCGATAAGTCAGCACAGCTGTTTTTTCGCAAATACAGGTGAATGCGATAGTTTAGCTACTATCGACTAAAAGCAGTTAGAAAAATCTAAACAGTTTTTCTTTTAAAACTATATATAAAATAAATTCATTGCTACCTTCGATAAAATTAATAAGCATTTGTTAGAATTAGAATTTAGTAACACAATATTGAGTATTATAGGCGAATGTACTTCCACAGCCTGTTTGTTTTGCTAACTATTTTACAATTGTTCACAAAATATATTAAAATCAGCGAATTAGAAAACTAAAAAAAGCTGTATTTACACTTGTCTAAATGTAACAACAGTGTTCATATTTTTAAGAACGTTTTTCTTCAGTTGTAATATAGCTATATTTATAGAATAAGAAAATAATTTGAGTATCACTACGTCAACCATTGTTAGGGGCACTCAAAAAAAAGCATGAACGCATCGATAACAAAAACAGCTGTTTTGGTCTAAGTTTTACCTATGCAGTTTGATGACATACTTTTGTTTGTACGTAATTGTAGAAAACAATTAAAAATTACCTTAAAAACAACGCCACAATGGCCGAGGTGACGCCACCGCAAATGACGGAACAATTGGACAACGAGGAGGTGCGGGAAATTCTGAAAAACACTACAGATCTGCGCCAGTACTCACGACAGATTGAAAAAGAGTTTAAGGAGGTGGAAAACAAGTCCATAGAGGGTACATAAATCACTCTACTTCCTTATGCAAACTCAAGTTTAATTAGTTCTCTTTCTTTTAACTAACAGACTACATAGCTGAATCCCAGAACATAGCGAATCTGCACAATCAGATAAACGATTGCGATGATGTCTTGGAGCGTATGGAAAATATGCTCATGAGCTTCCAGAGCGTGTTGAACAACATCAGCACTGAGATCACGCAGCTGCAAAGGAAATCGGTATCCATGTCACTCCAACTGACAAACAGGCAATCGGTCAAGGCTCAGTTGTCCCAGTTTATAGAGGACATGGCCGTGTCCGAGGAGATGATCAACATAATAATGGAAACTCCGGTTACAGAGCGGGATTTCAGTACCCAGTTAAATGTCCTAAATCACAAACTCTCGTTGGTAAAGGAGCTCAGCTTTAATGAGTCCAAATCAACCAGCGATGTGAGCGATGTGCTACAAAAGCTCCGACTTAAAGCCATGGCCAAGATTCGCTCTTATCTGCTGGAGCAGATCTACAAGTTCCGAAAGCCAATGACCAACTATCAGATCCCCCAGAACGCCATGCTTAAGCACAAGTTCTTCTTCGAGTTCATCTTGTCCAACGAGCGGCATGTAGCCCAGGAGATATGCAGCGAATATATCGATACGATGGGCAAGATTTACTATAGTTATTTTAAGGTTTGTGAAGAAGATCGATGTTGTTGTACTTCTCATACTAAATTATATTCTTATAGAGTTATTCCACCCGCTTGACGAGTCTCAAATTCGAGGAATCCTGCACAAAAGATGATCTAATGGGCATTGAGGACAATGCCTCCAAAGGAATATTTTCCAAGACAACGAGTCTAAAGCACAAGAGCACCATCTTTACAATAGGAAAAAGAGGCGATATACTTAACCAGCAGCTAGAGGCGCCTATTATAGTACCGCATGCCCAGCTTAAAAATCGGGTAGGATATTTGGCTTCAATAGTTTAAAATTCCTATTTAATCTAATTTTTTTTGTAGTACACTGTGGAAGCTCTCTTCCGTTCGGAGCAATATGCCCTAGTGGACAATGCCTGCCGGGAATATCTCTTTGTCACAGAATTCTTTATGGTTCGAGGCACCCAAGCACAAGACTTGTTCAACCAAATCATGGGCAAAACATTAACTTTAATGATTGTAAGTCAATAGATTTATTTTCCAGAGTAATTAAAACTAATAACTATTTCGTTTATTTAGAAAAATTTGGAGACCTCAATACACGACTGTTTTGACACTATTGCTATGTTCCTGTGCATCCATCTAATATTCCGATATCAACTTATGTGTCACAAGCGCTGTGTGCCTGCATTGGATAAGTAAAATTATTTTTTGAACGTTTATTGAGTGAAATTTTAAAAATATTTTCCAAACAGATATTGGGACTCCTTGCAATCGGTTATTTGGCCACGCTTGGAACTGGTTTTCCGCTTGAATATACAGAGCATACACGATTGTGATCCCACCAAGTTCAACAAGGAATTGGGACCGCACTATGTAAGAAAATATTTTAATAAGAGCTTGTAAAAGGCTGGGTAATATTTGGGGTTTACCAAAAGCAATTGATTTTTAAAGACACCAGTGATTCCCTTATCACAATTGAGGAATGCCCGCCAAATGAATGTCACATTTCCAACTAGATAGAAGAAGTGCCTGGTCATATAATACGTACTATTTTTCAGATAACCCGACGCTATGCAGAGTTTAGTGCGGCTATTGTGGGAATCTCGGAGCACTTTCCAAACGAATTAGTAAGCCGATTGCTTCTGGAACTCCAAAACGAAGTGGAGTGCTTTATTCTACGTATGGCTGCAATATTCCCAACGCGCAAGGATCAGCTCATTTACCTAATCAACAACTACGACTTGGTGTTGGGTGTGTTGATGGAGCACACACGGGATAATTCCAAGGAGGCGGAGGCCTTTAGAGAGCAGCTCAATGCCCGCAGTGCAGAATATGTGGAGGAGATTCTGGCCCCACATTTCGGGGGTATAATTCAGTTTGTTAAAGAGTGCGAGCACTTTTTCGAGAAGGAACAGATGGATGAACTGAGAAAGCAGGAGCGAAGAAGTCTGGCTTTGGTGGCCAGCTTCTCGGCGAACTGGAAAAAATCTCTTGAAGAGTTAAACAGGGAGGTACTCCTCTCCTTCCCGTCTCTGTTGACGGGCTCGCAACTTCTCCAGCTTGCGTTGGCCAGTTTGGTGCAGTATTACCATCGCTTCCACAAGCTTCTCACGCCCAACGCCCGCGCCCAGCTTACCAACATCCATGTAGTGATGGTGGAGATCAAAAAGTACAAGAGTAATTACTGAGAGATGCTTTAATTGAATGTGTGTAGACTTCTGTGTATTCCAACTTGAGTAAAGTTCCAAAATATATGTGTAAGTAAATCTGCCCGGGGTTAAGACTTAATCCTCATCTTCGAACATCATCTCCACGAGATCCTGATTGGAGCAACGTTCGCCATCCAAACGCTGTGGCTGCTTCCAGCGCAGCAGAGTGGGCAAGAAGATCAGGTGGGTGTTGGGATCCTTGCGGAAGGGACAGTTCAAGTCCTTCCAGCTGCAAAGAGAAGTAAGTATTTTATTGTTTACTATAGTCAAATAATAACAAGCAGCATGAACACAATTCAAGAGTATCATAAAGCTATCGCTGTTTAATGGTTTTTTTTATCATGAACGTTCTGGGCCTGTGAATAACCACTTGAGTGTTTATTTCATCATAACACAGCTGCGGTTGAATGACTAGCTGCTAATTACCAAAATCCGGTAATCTACAAATTCATTTACTAAAAGTATAACTTTTTTTTTTTACAAAAATTTCATTCTATTTATAACTTGTAATGATGAGCACATATGCTGACTAATTTCATTATCAACAGAATGCAAAATGTATGCAAAACATAGGATATCCAGCTTTTTAAAATTTGGGTTTTTAGCATTATTCATATAGCACTGTGCGTCATAAATAGGTCAATACTATTCTTCTTACCGTAACTGTGGATTTAAGTATTATTATTATTAACTTACTATGCCCGCTCGCCCACATCCACATGCACAAAGTGGGAGTTGCCAGGGGCCTTCTTCAAAGCATCGTGTATCACCGGCTCCGCTGCAATACGTATACGTGATATGTTAGTTAGGTTAACCGCAATGGAATCACGGGATTCTCACCCTTGACGCAGTAGGGGCACCAGCTCTGGCCATGCTCGTCCTTTCCGCCACTGAAGAGGACATGGACCGCCTCGTTTCCGTTCTCCAGCTCCTCCATCTTCTTGGAGAACTCCTCGTAACCCTTAACATTGTGTGTGACCACCATGATCTTGCTGGGATTAGTATTGACCGCGTAGAAGCGCCTGAAGATGCGACCGAAAATAGTTGGCAGCGACGTGATGGTGCACTTTGGAGTAACTGGCTTCTGGAAGGGAATGGCTTTGCCTGTTTTATGAGTTTTCTAACTTTTTGGCGTAAAAAAAGCTTACGATAACCGATGACAGGGTTGTCAGCCGGCTGGCCTTTAATAACATGTCCATTTTTTTGCCGAAAGCATTTTTGAAAAAGGTCTCGTTTGAAAAGTATTCCAATGCTACTAGAAATTTTACATAACAATCTTTTTTTTTATTCGTTGTTGATGTTAAGTTTTTTTAAATAACCAATTATAATTCATCTCTAAATTTATCGATATTCTTGCTAATCGATATGTGCTATGGTAGCAACACTATTTTTATCGCCCAAGACAACAGCTGATTACAATTCTTTTTATCATTAAGTGCATTTATTTGTTTTTTTTCCATCGATTTGGTCCTCAACGATGTCACGGTTAGCTTTATTGCGCAATTTGGTCAGCCAGCGGCAGAATCTGCTGCCCACAAACTTTTCCCGTCTAAAATGTGTGGCAGCGATGCACTGGACTCCAACTTTGCGGCAGGAAGCGTCGCGCGGTAGGTGTTTCGACCGCCAATTAGGTTATATATATATTAATATACACATTAATTATGCAGGTGGTGGCGGTTCGCTCCAGCGGTCGCAGGATAACACCCAAGTGTCCACGGATGTGCGTCCAATTGGAGAGAAGATCAAGGAGAACACGAAAACGGCCAGCTACACGGCCATTATAATCGCTGGACTGGGAGTGACCTGCGTCATGTTCTTCGCCATATTTCGGGAGCTCTTTTCCAGCGAGAGTCCCAACAATATATACGCAGATGCATTAAGCCGTGTGGTTGAGGATCCGCGTGTGCAGGATGCCATTGGAGCGCCCATCAAGGGATTCGGAGAGACTTCCAGGCGGGGTCGCAGGCAGCATGTGGCCCACTCCAGCTACGAGCGCCATGGAAAACCCCACATGCGGATGCAGTTCTATGTGCAGGGCTTGAGGAACAAGGCCACCGTGCAACTGGAGTCCAGGAGGGTAAGAGTGATCCATGTTCATTGTCAGGGAAAAGTATGTTCGACTAGGCCAACAAGACTAAAGCCGTTTAAAAAACTCATTTTTTCTCTCCTATTGAAATCAAACCATTTAATTACAAATTACTTTCCTCAGGCTGACTCTGGCAAACTGGAATATCGCTATCTATTTGTGCAATTGGATCACTATCCCCACACCACCATCATCCTTGAGGACAATCGCGCCTTTGATCCCGCCCCCGAGCCTGCGTCCGCAGCGTCTTCTTTTGGCAATCTGGCCCTAATGTCCAATAGTCGGGATAAATAAGCGGATCCTTCCGATCTTCTGCACTCCACTTAAATTTTCTGTACATTTGTTATATTTATTATTTGACTGACAATGAACTTGCATTGGAAATCCCACAATAGGCAGCCTAGAATCATTCGCCAATCGAGAAGTTGTCCATCTCCAGAATGGCTCCCGATTCGTGTCAGTAGAGCTTCTTCCAGGGTATGATCTCCCAGGATCGCACGATATGGCGTCCGAAGAGAAAGTCCTTTAGCTTGTTCATTATGTAAAACGAGATGCCGAAAAAGGAGGCAAAGTACAGCCAGAATTGGCCAAGACGTTCCCAAATGCTGAGATGATAACGTGCGGGAACTTGGAGTACATCCAGTTCAAGTTCGATGATGAGTCCGGGTTCCAAACGAGATGAAGCCTCTCTGTAGTATGTCTCCTGCACGGACAGCTGGAAATAAGCAGGATTGGCCTTGACTTGGGACAGCAGGGATTCCATTTTAAACTGGTCTATATTCCCTGTAGTAGAATTTTTATCGACTTGCACCTTCCGGAACTGAGTCTTGATATTGCGTCCTGGAAATGGGCAGGTGAACTCCACGTACTGCTTTAGTTGAAGCTCTCCTTTCAGCTGAATGTGTCCGTTTATGAGGCGAGTGGCCAGTGGAAGCTGAAGCTGATGGGCCAACACTGACGGAGGGGAAAGATCACACTTGTGTTGCAGTTTAGCTTCGAAGAAGACCAGCAAATTGAAGCTCAGCAGACGAGCGGGCACATCTTGTAGTTCCAGTTGAAAATGTGCCCGATCCGTGACGCCATCGTAGTCCACATCCTCAATCCAATATTTGGTGGTGGTGCAACTATTTGTGTAACTCTCCATTCGGGCGTTGAAATTGCTGAAACTGCTGCAGGCAACTAGAGATTCCTCCTCTTCATATTCTCCTGGTTCCGTTGTACCCACGAATATATACTCATAAGTGAACTCCACATTCGGCTGTTCGTATAAGACCCTCGATTCAGATATCCCCGAATATGGACTCAGCAAGGACACCAGAAGAACGGGTAGCATCACGGAGAGTGCCACAAAAGCCAGGACCAAGAGGGAAGCAAAGGAGCACAGCGAGTTCTTGTACACGATCGCCGTGTTTGTCGTATGGAGCGGAATAAATCTCATCTTGGCCTTAAAATCAAATTAATCCGGTTTTACGAGAACACCTGCTCATTTGACACTTGTCAAAAGAATGTTATGAAAATACTTTTTCGTTGCAACGTTGCCTGGCAACCTCTAAAAAAAGGAACTGCTGACTTAATGGGTAAGCTATTTATTTACTTTAATGTTTTATTCCCGTAAATTGAAAGTTCTTTATTAACTCTTCGCTGGAAGATTAATTTTAAAAATTATTTACAAACTATGATAGGACTATCAAAAGAAAAACGTTTAAAGCCCTTGTGCGCTCATTCTTTCAAAGCTTATTTAATGATCTGAAAAAGATTTTTTCTTGTTTCAAAAAAGATATTTGTACTTTGAATGCTATGCAATCCCATATTTTTAAAAGACTTTAAAAATATTTTAAAATAACTCAAAGAAATCTTATTTTTTTTTTAACAACGCCATCTATGTGTGAGTTTTGACAAGCATGCGTTAGAGTGTGTGAAATGTAGATACAATGTAAAATGTAATCATAATAAATAATAAATAAGTACTCAAAATAAAATAGATAAATTATAGATAAGCACAACTAATTAAAAAAGGAAACAAGAACTTAAAATTTTTAAACTGATAAGAATTCAAATATTTGTCAATAAACTGATATTTCTTCATAGTATTTTACCTAAATATATGTACCTTTCTTAGGTAGCTGTATAAGATCAGAAAAACAATTATATTTCGAACAAGGAAAAAGTGTTTCCGCATTAAGAATCCCCGTCTCAAGTTCATTCATTGCCAAGAACTCGACTCTTCAATCGCTTTATTAGCAACGGCCTCGCGCATCTTTTCCAGTTGAACCTCCAACCTCCAACTCCATTCCCGGCCAACACAGCCAATACACATCCGTTTCGGCTTTAAGCCGATACCAAAAAAGTATTGATTGCACATAATTATAGGATTTCGATACGGGTCCTCTTCAAGCTCGCACAACCCACCGACTAAAGTGAAAAGTGAGCCTGCAAAAGGGGGACTTGGGGGGAAAATGCGAGCATAAAGAACGGTCCCATAACTTGACCAACATTTGCTCATAATTAAGACCGCCAACTGGTTTCCAGTTTGGCTGCAGGAGGTTCGCAACGCTTTCGTGTGCACCGCGTAAAAATCGGAAGTTGCAGCTTTGCATTTAATGCGCTTATTTTAAAGAGTGTTGAAAGCGGAGTACTCAAAAAAACTATATGCATAATTGGACCAGCGAAAGAAGAGCGGTCGAAGAAAGAAAGAAAAGTATGGAATATAATGAGGAACTTAATGCGATATCTGACACAATTTTCAAAGAAATTTTAAAACACAAAAAACAACAAAACTTACAAATTAAATTAAAGGCAATACATTTCCTTAGGCTTGAAAACTAGATCTGGAATCTAACTATTGAACTATAAAATTACTAATTTTTGTAACCAATTGTCTCTTATTATTTTATTTTCGAAAGCAAACATTTATTTCGTGTCATTGCTTACAAATTAATAAATATTATATATGAAGACTTCAATCTTATATTGTCTATTACCTGTCACCTTTGCAAGTTTCCCATCTAGTTTTTGTTTAACCAAGAAACTTGTACCTTTGATTGGAATGTTTACCTTATGTTCGTTGTGGCCGCGTGACATGTCAGGTTGGGTAACAAAGTTTTTCTGATTTGTCTTTTGACTTGTGTGCTGTCTGACATGTGTTTTGTGCATATTAAAAATGTGTGGTAAAAATGATGGCCTGCCAGTCGGTGGCACAACTACCAAAAATGATGAATAAATAAAAGTGAATCACAATTTGACAGTTACGTCAGCTAAATTTGCGGCTGATCTCTGACAGTTGCTGCACACTTGTTTTGGCTGATTCAACTTGTGTAGCATCCTGAATTTAAGTAAGTTGAGTTTACAAATCCACCCAAAAAAAAATCAATAACTTTTCTACATTTTCTTTTTCCACATTGCCACGCCATTTTACAAAAAGGCCGAGGAAAAAGAAACGGGGGAAAAGTCTGTATGTAAAAGCCAAGATGGCAGACAAGCAGACAGATAGGGCGGGGGCTACTACTATATATACAGATATATGTATATATGCCAGCGCAGTTGGAATTCAGCTCACGGCCCCAGGACAATGCCAGCTCTGTGCCCATATATCCTTTTTCAACGAAATTTCAGCTTTCACTCGTTTCGCGTACGTGACCGTGTTGCCACCAAGGAGCTGTTGAAGTGGCAAATTCGCACAGCGCCACCATTCCATTTGGCGGGTTGGATGGGGATGGTTGAGTGGTTGGGTGGATGAGTGGTTGCAGGTCAACATAATGGTGGGCGGTGGGTGGTGGGTGGCAGTGTGCGCCAGGTGGGGCGCTGGCAAAAAGTAGCAGTTTATTAGGCGCACCAAATTAACATAGGACTACTAATGACTGCCTCGGAAAACTTACTAAGCAGGCGAAAATTTTAGATGGGAGAAGTACAGGGACTTTAAGAGGAGGCAAGCGGGAAATTCGGGACTCTGGCAGTGTCCTGCTAATTAAGTTTGTTGGAAGGTGGTTGAAATCTGAGTAAATGATAAGTCTGTTGATAACAAATAACGACTGCTCAACACCTATAACTATCTTTCGTTTTGCTTAAACTCATTTAGCTGAAATTAAAATTTATGAGATCGCTGACAAAAAAGATTGGTGAATTATAAGTGTTTAATTCATTGTGATTAAAAAATAAGGCCAGTATTTAAAAGGAACTGCCTAGCACAACTATAAAATTGTTTTTATAAAAACTTTAACAACGAGCTTAGCAAATAATACACATATTTTAAGTCTGGTACAAATTAAATTGATATACTTGTATTATTCAAATCACAAATAAATCATTAATTCTTATTAAGAAAAGCTGAGAAACAAAACAATACCATCTGAAAATTATGCTAGAAATAAAATGAAATCATAACTATATTAAACACAATCAAAATATTATACAAATTAAATTTATTAAGCCAAACAATAAACCCATGAGCAAATTTATCTCACTCACCCTGGAGTTTTTGACCATTCAATGCCGGTTGAAAAATATTACAACGCCTGCGCGGATTTACATCCTTTTTGTTCAGTCGCATGCCAATCCCCACACCGACACCCCTTCTACTGGATATTGGATGCTGGAATAAAAAAGGGGAAATGCGAACGCTTTCCCCGAAGCTTTTCTTTTTGCTGGCGCTTAGCTCCCCAAGGAAATCAAAGGGAAACACAACGTATGGAGTACGTTGAAGTCGCTTTAATATTTATACAGAGTTCATGTCTCTATCTGTGGAAAATTCCCCTTACAACACTCAAGTGGTAAAGTGTTATATGTGTGTATCTGTGAGGGGTATTCACTCAAGGATGCCGCAGGACGAAGGATGCTGGATGGAAGATGGGGGATGGAGGGTGTAGGATGTTGCCGAGTTCCTTTGGTGAACTATATTTGACAATCAAGCCGCAAGCATATGTTACCCGATAATTTGCCGAAAGTTTTAATGAAAGACATGGGACTCATTTTTCCTGCCATTCTCTGGGTGTGTGTGTCTGTGTATGTGCATGAGTTAATGTCCTTTTTGTGTGAGTGCGTTTTCCTTCAGCATTGTCGCCATTTTGTGCGTGTCCGTGTGTGCCAGAATATTTTGATGAGCTCGAGAAAAGCTAGTGTCCTTTTCCGAGAACTTCCGTCTTTGTGTGGGTGTGCGCCTGTCCTCGGTTTATGTGTATAATTTCCATTTTATAAATGACTTTTCCCGAGAACTTTCCGAGTAGCCGCCGGCCACTGTAATCACGCCATATCTGTTGAAAGTTTACAACTTTTTGCCAGCGTTTTTGGAATACAAATTGTAAGGGGTTTTTCGTCCTTGTTAGTTGCTGCACCTTAAAACACTATTTTTTAGCTTAGTTTAGTTTGCTTAGTTGGTTAAAAAAATACGTGTTGCAATTCATGCGAACAGGATTTAAACAAACGTTTTTAGGAAATTAGTTTGATGTAGTTGGTTTTGATCCTTGCAAAAATATAATATTTACTTTTGACAATGTCTATATTCATCTTTTAAAGTATTTCTTTTTTTCTTACTAATTTCGTTTTGTAAGACTTTCGTTTGTTTTGGTTTCATATTAATAATGCATTCAAAATGGTACCAAATATTTCAATGCATATAAATTGAAAGAAAATAAAACAAAGCGAAATACAATAAAAATAACAAAGTTGCAGTCGTTTCCGGCTGTGACAAATCTGTTCAGTTAGCATGATACTCGTATTTAAAAAAAGTAAAAGGGGTTTCAGTAACAGCGCCGATTTTTAAAATACCCTCAAAAGATTTTTATAAATTTAGCTTACCCTAAGTGTATTATACTTTCTATATTGTTAATTCTTTTAGCCCTTGTTATGAACAATTTATAAATATTTCAAAAGAAAAAATATAAATTTTCAGTTATCCCAAGCTCCGCTTTCTTTTTTGTATTAAAGTGTATCACTGAAAGAGTAAATTTGAAAACGTGGCACACACCCACAAATGCGCCACTGCATCCCGCTGGGCAGTGGAGCAGACGACTAAAAACTGGACAGGTTCGTGGTCCCTGGAAACTGCCACAAAAATCGGCGACGAGGAGATGGAGGCGACACTCTGTCATACAATTTTTCAGTTGTTGTTACTTCCTTGGTTCCCAATGTTTTTTTTTTGTTTTTGCCCTGTTGTTGGTAATAAGCGTAAAACTTTGACAGTTTGTTATCCGCATTTGTTTGGTGGCTTGCAGTTTTCATTTGCCCGGTCTTTTTTTCCCGTTTTATTTTGTATTTATTTTCATTTTTTCAGTGAGCCACAAGCTGATATATTTTTTTCCCCCCAGCGAGCACCTGTTAAAGTTGCCGGAGTGACAGCAGCGGCACTTTCTAAACGGCTCACCCGGGAGCTGCCGCATGATAAGCGTTGTCCACGAAGGATCTGCCAGGACCTCATCCCCTTTTCCATCGTTTTTTTCCTGTGGGTGTGGCAGGGCAATTAGAACAACAAGAAACATTTAAACAGATGCATGTCATTTTGCGGTTTTCCCCAAAACCATTTTTTCGGGCACATTTTCGTGTTTTGCTCAATACTTTT